GGCATTGATCCAGCAGTCTCACCTGGAAAAGAACGAAGGTTCGCATTGACATTTCCCTCTCCCGCCTTTTCCCATTACCATGGAGTTGGCTCTAGCCCTCGACGATGAGTCCCACTAACACTCCATAGCATGGTCCGCCTACTGGTCGCCTGTCCTCCACACTCTGACCTCTCAATGTACCAATCCCTGTCGAGACATTCGGCACCATGCCGTGTCCACCCTCCAGCGGTCCCTCCTATCGATCGAGATCAGCTCCACGGACGACAAAGAATGGACAGCCATCTTCGACCAGGTCCTCTTCCCGCTGGTGCTACGCTTGCTCAAGCCCGAAGTATACCACTCCGACCCAGTCGGAATGAGCGAAACCCGCGTCCAAGCGGCAACCCTAGTCTGCAAGATCTTCCTCCGCTACCTCGACCAACACCCCAACCGCGCCGGCATGCTCGACCTCTGGCTCAAGATCCTCGACATCCTCGACCGCATGATGAACAGCGGCCAGGGCGACAGCCTGGTACGTCTTTCACCCCATTCTACCATTTCCCCTTCAATACACCAGACAACCCATGCTAACCAAAATCAGGAGGAGGCCATCCCCGAAAGTCTCAAAAACGTCCTCCTCGTCATGGCCGACGGCGGCTACCTCGTCCCGCCCTCCCAAGACCCCAGCAAGGAGCAGATGTGGACGGAAACCAAGAAACGCCTCGAGCGTTTCCTCCCTGATCTCTTCCAGGAGATTTTCGCGCAGGCTCCTAAGGATCTGCCTCTTCCTGCTTCGAGGATTCCTTCTCCTGCGCCTTCCCCTGCGCCTGAGGCCTCGGCTTCGGCTTTGGCTTCAGAGGAGCCATCATCTAAAGAGGGAGCCCCTGCAGAAGAAGCACAAACCTCTGAACCTCAACAACAACAAGAGGAGCAGCAGCAGCAGCAGGAGCAGGAGTCGACAGAAGGCGAAAAGGAAAGCGAAAACCAACCCACCAACTAAACCGACCCAGTCTAATCCAACCAACATAACCCCGTCGAACATTACATTACATTACATTACCATCTGATCCTTTTTTGTGATATGATATACCTGGGGCATATACACGGCGTATGCATTTCTTTTCCCCCTTTATTTGTTCATTCTTTTCACTTTTCAATTTTTTTTTTTTTTTCTTCATTTGATTTATTAATTGTTTGTTGTTTGTTGTTTGTTGCTTCTTTCGATAGTGGAAAGCATATATGTATATGTAAATAGATAGTTATATTTAGTTTTCAAGTCTCAGATCCCTCACTCACTCACGCATCTACATCTACGCATACAGAAATCGAAACAATCGATGCATTGTCTGTTCTTTGATATCATATCAGACCAATCGTAGAACATACTTATGACATGTTTTTACTCCAGCAGGCTGAGCTGAGTGTGTGACCCGTTATAGTTTACTATACCAGGACTGACTTGTTATACTAAAGTAGTAGTATCAGGACTGAGTTGGGTAGGTAGGTAGGAGTTTACAATAACAACCCTAGTACTCTCTATACTCTATATATACCTATCATCAATCCAGATTAGATAATTGACTGATGTACAGCAATGTTCAATCCAAACTAAGGGGTGGGTTTATTCAGATTGGAGATATAAGTAGAAGTAGAGTAAAGTAGAAGATAAATAGATAGATGAATGCCTATGCACAACGCCAGGTATTGCACAGCCACAGACAAGACAAGACAAGACAAAACAAGACAAGATCACACAAATAGTGGATGGTAAAAAAGAAAAAGGAAAAAAAGCAAAAGAGAGAACCCATATCTCAATACCTTTCGGTTTCTGTCAGAACCAACTCATGGAAAAAAGAAAAGAAAAGGGGAAAAGGAACTGATCGGTGTACAGCGGCCAATGTCCAGGCCAAGGAATCAAACAGAATAAACAACCATTTATCCTCATATCAAGACAAGTGAAATCTTCACCTCAGTCCGCATCCATGTCAGCGTCGAGGTCGATAGCATCCGGGTTGGCCGCGGGAGCCGCTGTTGGCTCTTGGCCTGCCGGAGGAGGGCGGTTGCCGCCTTCAGGCCCTGTGCTGGCCGCGACGAAGCCGACGGGTGCGCGCGCCTGTCGCTCCAGGGCGGCCATGGCGTCGGCTTTCTCGGTCGAGCCCTCCATGTCTTCTGTTTCGGCGCCGCCTTCTTGGGTCCGCTGCTGACTGCGCGCGATGGCTTGGGAGGCGATGAAGTTGACGTCCGTGCTAGATTGGTTGTGGTGTTAGCTATGTTTTGGTGATGGTAGCGTTGGGTAGTAAGGAACATACTTGTATTGTGCTTGGACGCTTCGCTTGATGCGGAGCATCTCCTTGAAGGTATCTTCGTTTCCGTGCTGCACTTCGAATGCCTCCCACTTCTGCCAGAATACGGCGTTGGTGCGCGGGTCGCAGAACTGGGAAGCATGGCCATAGATGGCACGCGCTCGGTCGATTTCGCCCAGTCTTCTCTCCATCTCGGCGAATTTGAGACACATTTCCTTGGCTTCCTGGTCGGGCAACGCGGCGATAGCGCGCTCGTAGATCGGCCGCGTGGAAGTGAGGCCGAAGTTGGAAGCGGACTTGGTGATGTAGAACTCGAACATCTCGAAACGGTCCTCGTCGGAGACCGCACGCGTGGCCCGTTCGTAAATTCTCATGGCATGTCGAGCCAGACCGCGCTCTTCCTCCAAATTGCCGTACATCAAGTAGAGCGGCTTGGCGAACTTGGGAGGACATCCGTCGAGGGCCTGTTCAAAGAGATCCCGCAGTCTTTCGATGCCAATCTTCCGATCCACGGCCTTGGTTAAGTAAAGGTTCCAAAGCTCAAAGGCCACGGGATAGCTGAAGAGATCCAATCCACGCTCATAAATCTTGAACGATTCCTCGAAGTACTTGTGTTCCTCCATGAGATTGGCGTAGTTGACCACCGTCTGGGGCGTGGCGATGCGCAGCTCGAAGATCCTCTCGTACACTTTCTTCGTTTCTTCCAAGGACGAGACACTCTCCACCAGATCGACGTAAAAACTCCATAGCTTCCAACTCTTGTGAACTCGTTGCTGAGGCGAAAGGTCCTCGTCAAAGTAATCCACGGTGGACTTCTTCGGGGCCTGGGTCGCCTTGGCCATCACTTGCACTGCCTGGTCAAAGTTCTCGTTGCGGAGTTCCATTTCGGCCCACTCGCACCACGTCTCCGCCAGTTCAGCAACAGACTTGAAAGGCACCTTGACAGCCTTCTCAAAGATGACCCGTGCGGAGTCCAGGTCTCCACCGGTTTCGTAAAACTTGGCGTAGTTGACCCAAAGCTCTGAGAACTTCCCGTGGGCCTTCTTCGGGTTGATGGCTGCGATCGCGGCCGTATAAGTTTGGACGACTTCACCTTTGTTGTCGCCCCACAAGGCTACTCTCTTCTCCCATTCAATGACATTGTTAGGGTTTTGCCTCAGCAGAACGTCATTGACAAGGAATGGGCGACGGTCCATCAGCTGTTCAAACCTGAGCATTCGAAGATCAAGGTCGAAGTCAGCCTCTTCGTCAGACTGGTTGTTCTCTGCTCGAACGGCCGCGGCTTCCATCAAACTTCCGATGATGGATTCCTCAAATTCAACGTAGGAATCGAATATAAGGGTAAAGTCGCGCACAGTCATGACGGTGATAATGCCTTCCTCGAAGACATCGCGGGCCTTTTCAAAGCTGCCCTTCATGATCCAATAAGTCGCTAACCCGGCCCACAGTTTACCTCTCTGATCCGCGAACCGCTCAATTCCGCTGCGCAGAATTGCATCCACGTCGATACCGACCTGGGGCCCGGTCTTAATCTGCTTCGCCTTTGAGACTAGCAGGTCAACCATCTCAGTCCACAGCTGGAAGTTGCTTTTCCCCTCTTTGGACTGGAACCGCGGGTTATCAAGGATATCCATGTACTTCTTCACGGCTTCCGTGTATTGACCCATCTCCACCAAGAGGTGGATGTACTCTTCGGCGTTCTCCGGGTGAATCTGCATATAACGCGCCCAAATCTTCACGGCGGTCTGACCCGAAGCGGACCGGGCGAATTTCTTGTACAACTTCCAAATTCGATTATGTTGAGTAATCGGGAGGGCTCGCAGCGCACAATCGAAGGTCCGTCGGGTTTGCGTGATAATCGGTTGCTGCAGCATGAAGGCGAGATACATTTCCCATATCCGGGGCATTTTGTTGAGAAGAATCAACGCCCGTTCGAAGAGCGCGTTGACTTTCTGATACTCCGACTTATAGATGGTCGCATTGCGGCCGCGAAGATGGTTCACTCGAAATTCCAGATACTATATCGGTTAGCAATTATTCCAAATATTGAATTACCAGGGTGCCGCCATGCAGAACCGTTATAAAGAAAAGAGAAACCCGAACACCTACCATCTTCCAGAGCTTGTAAGACCGTGGGAGTTGTTTGCACGCGCGCTCCATCACCTAATAAAATCAGTAAACGATTCCAATTCAAATACCATGATCAGAAACATACAAAAGCCTGTTCGTAAAGCGTTCCATGTTGCTGCTTGTACACGATGTAGGCAAGCCATGGCTTGACGCTGCCGGCATCCCGAAGCAGATCCTGCTCGTACACAGTGTCCTGGTCGGCCTGTCGTCGCAAATCACAATACATTAGCCCCATATCATCAAATCGCGTCAAGATCTTCTCACAATCAAATACAGATCAGGCCCTGAGGCCGACGTTCGGTCCATCTGTGCGTGTTGCCGGTGGGATCTCGGGGGCAGAAGTGTCCCTGGCATGGCGCCACTCAGTTGAGCGGGACCGGCTCGCACGGTCAAGACGGAATCGAGGGAAAAGGTGGTGGCATGAACGGGAGAAAGCTCTCGTCGTCGGGGATGAAGCAAAAGCCGCCAAGCGCCACCATTAAGACATGGAAGGTTGAACGGCGCGCACGTGACCCGGCGGCGGGAACGGGCAGAGGTGGTCCAAGCTCCTCCCCTCCAGCTGGTTATCGCCTATCGCCAATCATGCATCTGCCTCTGAACGACAGACAACGTTCTATAATATCTCGCAGTCATGTCTGGTGCCGCGGTATGTTATTCATTCTTTCTATCTTGATCTTGTCTTCCAGTTTACAAAACAGCATGTTAACGTTCCGTCATGATAGGGCCGTGAGCCAGTCTTCCCGACTCGCCAGTCGCTGGGGTTGATGAAGAGCAAGTTGAAGGGTGCAGAAGTTGGACACAGTTTACTCAAAAGAAAGAGTGAGGCCCTGACAAAGTAGGTATCTCCACTGTACTTCCCTTGGTCATCCCTGTGCTAACTTCCACCGCCCCTAGACGCTTCCGAGGTATGGCAACATGACGTCTAAGCCCCCCGCATCGCATTCCCGACACTGACGTCGTCAAACCAGAAATCACACGACGGATCGATGAAGCCAAACAGAAGATGGGACGGGTGATGCAAATTGCGGCTTTCTCGCTGGCCGAAGTGAGCTACGCGGTTGGAGGGGATATCGGCTACCAGGTTCAAGAGTCCGCCAAGCAGGCTCGCTTCCGCGTCCGAGCCAAGCAGGAGAACGTGTCCGGTGTCTTCCTGCCTCACTTTGAGAGCTACACGGAAGAGGGGATCAACGACTTTGGGTTGACGGGCCTAGGAAAGGGTGGTCAACAAGTACAACGCTGCCGGGAGACGTATGCCCGGGCGGTGGAGACGCTGGTAGAGTTGGCCAGTTTGCAGGTATGTGGTTGGCGACTGGATTGCTTTTGCATATGCTGATGCTCTTAGACTGCGTTCGTTATTCTGGACGAGGTCATCAAGGTCGTCAACCGACGAGGTGAGTTTCAACTACCCCAAATGATGGGCTCATATACTAACATAACACAGTAAATGCGATGTAAGAAACACAGAAAGCCCTGGGCTTTAGCTGATACTAATATCACGCAGTGAGCATGTCATTATCCCCCGGACAGAAAACACCATCAAGTGTAAGACGCGCCGCACTCGTTGTCACCCAACTACGCTGACTTCATCCCCAGACATCAACTCGGAGCTCGACGAGCTCGACAGAGAGGAATTCTACCGACTCAAGAAAGTTTCGGGTAAGAAACAGCGCGACGTCGCAGCCGCAGATGCCGAGCTCTTGGCTCGCCGTGAACAAGAAGCTGCCGAAGCAATCGCCCAGGGCGACACCAAGGCCAAACCGGAAGAGGAAGCCCCTGACGCTCCGGATGTACTCGGAGAGCAAGAAGATACGGATGTCATCTTCTAGAACATCTTGTTTATTGCAGTTTATCTAGGTCTTGTAAGTAGGCAGTGTAACTTCTAGCATGCGATTTGCTTTCACATCATGATATTTCTATTCCTTCTTTGCACCGATCAAGATATCGAGATAAAGTAAAACGAGCCCAAGGTAGACGTTAAGACGAGAGACGAATCGATATTTGAAAATGTCTCTCCCCCCCATTCAAAGAATACAAATGTAAAAAGAAAAGATAAAAAAAAAGCTCCCATCCCAACGCCAGTAGCAACAAGTCAAGTAGATCGCAATGCCCAACAATGACCAGGTCCTCACACCCCCACCGCCTATTGCCGCTGGAAGGTAACGCGGATCGGCTTCCCCTGCTCTCCCATAGGCATACCGGAGGTCGCCTCCTTCGCACTGATCGCCCCAGACTCGTTCTCGTACTCGACAAAGGCAATTCCCTTGCGGCCGGGGACCAGACGCACCTCCTGGAAGCCCTCGAAGCGGCCAAACACGGCCGTGAGGCTCTCCTGGTCGGCGGTGTCGGGCAGGTCGCGCAGGAAGAGAATCTTGTTGGGAGGGAGATACTCGTCGGGGATGACGGCCGCAGCGGCACCGCTGGTGGGCTTGAGACCGGCGCCTTTGGCGGTTTTGGCGGGGCGAGCGGCGTCGGGGGCGCCGGAGGGTCGCTTGAGCTTCTTCTGGGCTTCGAGGGCTTCGTGGGCTTGTTTGCGCTCTGTTTGAATTGGTATCAGTGTATCCCCCAAATAAAGTAGAGGTGAAAGGGAAAAGGAAATAAAAAAAACATACCCTTCTCAGCTAACCGCCTCCTCTTATGAACCTCCAGCTCATCAGCCCCTCCCTCGCGCAGAACCGTCGCGTCACTGCGCGTCTTCGCATAATCCAGAACCATCGGCTTCTCAAACAGATCGAACCCATTGATCTCGTCGATGGCGTTCGTGGCGGAGTCCACGCTGTCGAAGACGACGAACGCCTGGCCCTTGGCCTTCAGGTTCGTCTTGGCGACGATTTCGAGGACGTTGCCATATTCGGAGAAGATCTCCTCGAGGGCTTCCTTGAGCTGGTCGACCTTTATCCGCTCTTCAAGGTTGCGGACCTGTTGGAGCTGGGTGGTTAATTGTGTGGGCTTTTGGGAGGGGGTGGGCTGGTTGGTTGGCTGGTGGTGGTGGACATACGTAGACTCTGCGCGGAATGAGGTCGATGGTTAGCTGGCTGTGATGATTTTTGGGATAGATGGATGGGTAGAATGGAACGTACGTGGCATTGGGAGGGTTCGTCGACCCTGATACAGCGGCCATTTTGGGTTTGCGACAAATGAGGTCTTGTCGGTACTGCGGGCGAGTTGTTCGATCGATTAATTACTTGGAGTACGTCGAGCTCTGGCGGAAGTTGACTCGCCGATGGGAAGATGGGGGGGTTTAATTATATTATGTGGTGCAATAAGAAAGGGCATAATATACAGTAGCATCATTGGTCTAGTGGTAGAATTCATCGTTGCCATCGATGAGGCCCGTGTTCGATTCACGGATGATGCACTATTCTTATCTTTTTCTTTTTTCTTTTTATTTCTCCTTACTGCAACTCAATGTAATACTTTTATTTTCCACGTTTTTTTTTTTATTATCATGTCCATTCGTTTCTATAATGCTCTAACAATATTCAGGTCTATAGCCAGGCAGCTATCTACAACCCAATGCCTCCCTAACTCCCTCAACATCGCCCTTCAACTCCTTGGACTGTCTAGTCCAGTCCCCACACTTCACAACCTCTGAACGAGTCTCCATAAACAGATACTCGGCAACGACATTGCGGACCTTCGTACTCATTAGCAAGCTATAGCCAAGAATGTATAGAACAAACAACATACCCTAGGAAAAGGGTGCAACAGCATCCCCGTCATCTTCTTGAGAACCTCAACCCTCAACACCTCTAATCGCGACAGACTCGCATATATCTTGACTGCAGCTTCCAGTCTTGCAACGTTGGCTGTTTTAAAGTGTGCCTTTTGGACAGCGACGAATAATTTGCGGAAGCTGGATCCTGGTTAGTGCTATTCTTGTTGTTGGTTTGGGCGTAGAAAGCAGGGCGTGCGTACCTTGTCTCCGAGCCTTCGGGGATGAAAGAGACGTAGCCGTCGAGCAGCCAGGCTATAAGCTCCAGGGTCGGGATGGCGTAGCGGTCATCCTGCAGGTGTTCAGTCAAAATGACGAGGAGGTCTTTCAAAACGGCGATAGCCACGGCCTGTCGCTCTTGCGCTCCGTGGTCATTGAGACTATAAGCCAGTGCTAGGCGGGACGAGCGAACGAGACCCTCGGCTCCGACGACAGCTGATGTCGCGAGGCCTTGGAACAACGGTAGGCGCAACCAGTCGACTGACTGTAGTTCGAGGAGCTGCAAGAAGTAATCAACCGATGAGACATGGCTGAAGTGTTCGTATTTTCTGTATGTATGCAAGTCAGCGAAACCGTTAGGCGTTAGGTGTCAGCAGATATGAGGAAAGACAAATCCGCACCGCTGTAGTTGTGGAAACTCCGTCTCCGATTCCCAGAATCTCTGAAGGCCAAGCCACGCCTGGAGCCGGACCTTGTCCAACTTCTCCGCCGCAAGTCTACACAGACAGCCGACGATCTCTTGAACGTGTGAGCGGTCCGCCGTTCCGGTCTTCTTCTGAAGCACCGTATTCGCAGCTTGGATAGCCTCCATTCTGACCAGTGATCCAATATCACCCCGTCTGTTTGTCGTGTAATCGTTCAAGAAATCAACAAGATTATCTGCGATGGTGGGGGTCACGTCTATGCTCATTAGCCACAATCCTCACTCCAGTAAAGGCGGGAAACCTACCTATGTAAGGCAAAACCCCTGTGGTCAGACTCTTCACAGCCACAACCCTCTTCTCAATCAATTCTTCCTTGCTGGCTACGCGGAGTAGCTCTTCTATGATCGACTGTCTAACACCATTCTCCGGCGAGATCTTCCGGAAGATAGCTCCCAGGACAAGAATCTCGCCCCGTGCAGTGGGCAGTTTCCGTGTGGCATGGATGTGCGAAAACCAGCCCTGTATCGTCTCGTCCTGCTCTAGCGAGGATAGGAGAGAAAAGAGTTCTGGCCAGGCGCTTGCAGCCGCCGCTATAGAGGTGTCTTCGCCTCGTGAGATGCAAAGCAAGAGCACTGTGCGAGCTTTATTCAACGACTCAAGCGATGGCACGGTAACCCGAGGGACGGTATTTTGGGACGTTGCCAGCGCTAGCGACTGTATCAAGCACGGTGCTGCTTCGGCTGTCAGTTCTGGACGCCGTGCTTGAAGAGTCAAGTCGTCCTTCGTGGGACTAGCCGGGGAGTTGAAGATTTCCCACACTCCAGCCAGCTGGCGAGCAACATCCTCAGCTTCGGGGGAGCTGCTGTCATCCGATGTCTCTCGGCTTGAATTAAATGCATCGACCGTAGCAGAAAGCGCAAGGAAACAACCATGCCTGGCTTCGACCTCGTTGTGCGGAAGACTCAGGATTTTGTCCACCAGCTGGTGCAGCACGACCCCCATAGTGGCGAAAGTCTTCTGGGTGCTCAAAACGCCGATTGCTTTCGCAGCGTGTCTTCTGGACTCCGCGTCCGGTGAGCCAATCCCTCTCCAATCCATTAGTGAGTTCAATAGAGGGCGCCAGTAGGTGTGGCTCAAGTCTGCAGTTGCTTTAGCAACATCGATCATCGCCCTCGAGCGGCGCGCCACCGCGTGATAATCCACCACCTGGACCAGGGATATCCCCTCTGCGATGGTGTTCGGATGGCGGCCAATGAGCTCTTGCAGGGCGGCTGAAGCACCTCTGCGGATGTTCCCAGATGGGTCCACGCACGCGGCGCAGACTAGCTCTGTAGCTAGAATCTGCAGGGTGTTCACTCCATTCTGGTCCGTCGGGGTGTTGATGGCTTGCGCGTCCAAGGCCAACAGCTCCTGGGTGGTGTATTTCCGGGATAGCGCCCAGATGCCAAAACATGAGGCGTCTCGAACGCCAGTCCCGACAGAGCTTCCAGTCGAAGATCTTTGTTCGAAACCAAGTCCGGACACAAGTGGCTGGAGAACATTCGGGAGTTGGTGTGTTGGGGGAGCGCGACGGAAGAGAAGATGGCCCAGGGTGAGGATCAGCCCTTGCCACCGTTGCGAGTCAACGCCGCTTAGATTTCGCTTCAATGCGTTGATTCCGATCATCCTTGCCTGTAGCGGTGTAACTATGGTGCCATCCTGCTTTTGATACAGGATGTTCTCCTCGAGCGAGCCAGTGATGGCCTCGATAACTTCTGTAGCCATTTCAGGTTCGAGCTTCAGCGTGATGATGCTCAGTGACTTGCTCGCAGCAAACCGCACAGGGGTATCCTTGTCGGCCAGGGCTACCAGGAAATGATCGATAGTATCTTCCAAGACGAACGACACCTGGTCATCAGAGAGCGAGCCGTCCCCTCTCTCATTAAGCGATATCGCCATGAGAGTCAAACTGCGGAGTATCTTGATGATCATCTTCCGCGCAATAGCTGAGGACTGCACAATCTTGGAGATCTGCGACTCGCCCTGCACAGCGCTGAGGATCTGTCCAAACACAGGTACGATCAGAGGGCCGAACTCCTCCACCTGGCCGGACGCAGCCAAGCGAGACAGGAAAGATAGCACGCCAATACATGTGTAAACCGACAGCAGCTCAGCATCTCCTGTCGGCTTGATGATAGAAAAAGCCCAATTTGTAAGATTGCCCAGGATCCCAAAACTCTGCATATCCCCCCGCAGCGCCAGCCTCGCCAGAAGCACAGTGGCAGCCTCGCGCTCCTTCCCGGGGGCGTTCACATAATGCAGAGACAGCGATAGAATAGACCGGGCAATGACAGGCGCCTGGGGCGGCAGTATCGTGAGCTGCTCGAGTTCCGGATACGGGACTGGGATATCGTCCGAGGACAAGGACGACAAGTCGAACGGGGCGAGCAACAGGTGCGACAGCCATATCAGCATCACATAGCGCTCCTCCCAGACAGGTCGGCGGGAAATATCTCCCAGGGAGACATTTGCGGGGTCCTCCTGGGGGATTTCGTCCCATGCGATAAACGCTCGCAGCAGCGGCTGGAGGTACTTGGGTTCGTTGTTCAGGAACCGGCTGATCACTTTGACCCCGCGGACCTTGCAGAATGTGTAGAGAATTCTGCAGATTGCCCTGGGCAGCGGATAGAGATGGTTTGACTCTGCTGCTTTGGAAGCGTAGTGGTCGCGATGGTTGACCAGGTACGCAAGGAACGCATCAACTAAAGGAGGGAGCAGCGATTGCAGATGCGGATCTAACAATTGCGGCCACTCCTGAAAAGGTTCCAGCTATACCGTCATCGTTAGTCCAGTCTATCTCTGCTAGAGTTGGGGTGTTTATCCTACAAGTCCCACGAGTTTCTCTGCCTTGGCGGCGGGTGTCCGTCGTCGTGGTGTTCGGCTTTCTTTTCCACGCTCGGTTGACGGTTTCCAGAGTAAGGCGGGCAATCTGGTGGAGAATTCCTTCACGAGGTCTCCAGATGCCCGCTGCAGCTTGATCTCCCTGTCATCGGGAGCATCCATGATGAATACCGAGCTTGGGGGTGGGATGTCGCTATTCAGAACTGTAGCCTCGCGACCCGCGGGGAATCGCCAGTATTGCCTAGTCATGTGACTATTCGACCACCAATGTTGATGGATAGAATCAGGAAATTCATGAGTAATATCTACTATTATTCTAATTCTCTTGCTGTCTGTGAAGAAATCCCGATGTTGAACAATTATCAGTTACTATAATGTTGTCTCGTTTCCGTGACATATGCAATATACTTCACTATATATGTAGTCCCTATATATAGTCTCACCCTGGCTATGATTGACTCAAATACTGCAATGCCATTAAGACTAATATGCATAAAAATGACTCGCTATAATACAATATGGATATCTTTCGCCCTCAGCCCCATACTCCCTCCTCCACCCCCCCCCTCCATCCCACAGAATCAAAGATCCTCGTCCGTATCCGACACCATATACCCCTCAGCCCTATAGATCCCGCCCAACCCCCTCTCCACAAGCTGAAGCATAGTCCTACGAATATGCATAACCGTAATGACAAGCGCAAGCGAATTCCAGACATCCTGGCCCCATTCACCCAAATCAAACTGGGAAATAAAGTTACTGTCCGTCGTCTCGGTTCTATCCTGCGGATCAGCGCTATAGGTCATGATGGTGAGAATGGGACCGCAGATGAGGAACCCCGTAAACACGGGATACAGCGGCGAATCGTCGCCTGAATATGAAATCGCGCTCGACTCATCGCTGTGTCGTGCGGCGAGCGCCTTCAGACGCTTGTCGAGTCGTTTCACGCCGTTGATGATGGAGTCGCCGACCTTGTGGGGATGAATCGCGTATACGGGGATTGAGTCTCGGTTGAATAGTAGATGTGCGTCGAAAACGGCCCAGCGGATGTACCGCTTGATTTCTTTCTCGATCAGGAGCTCGGGGCGTTTTTTGAGGATGCTGCAGTCGCGTACTCGGCCGCCCAGGCTGAAGAGGTCGTTCATGGACTTGCTTGCTATTTGGTCATTAGTGACGTCTCTCTGTAGAAGCCAGAGAGGCAGGATTCGTTCGCTACATACCGTAAAACTCAGATCCTCCCAGCGCCTGAACAAGCGGTTCAAAATCCTCCCCAGCAGCAGGAAACAGCGACTCAGGCAGAGTCTGGAAATCAAACTTCCACTGCGACGACAGAATAGGCTCAAACCCACGCATCGCCAGCCTTCCAAACAGATCTCTCTCCACCTGCGTATAAAGATTCCCAGGAAGACTAATCGCATCCGCCAACCGCTTCGACCGCTCCAGCGAGAAATCAAAGACCATATCGGCGGTCTCATTCTTGGAGATGCGGAAGTCATTAGTCGGCGCGTCTTCCTCGTCACTCCCCTGCGCGCCCGCGGCTCGATTGTATGACGGTTTCCGTTTCTTGGGCGTCGGGCTTGCTTGGGCGCCGCGGAGGAAGTTGCCTAGTGCGGATATGGCCGTGCCTTTCTCGTCGTGCCTCGCTTCATCATAATCATCGTCATCCATGTTCTCAGCATGATCGATCACGAACGTGGGATCGGCCCTCTTCTTCTTCTTGAGCTTCGACCTCGGCGTGTCTTCATCGTCTGAGCCTAGTTTCCTCTTCTTCTGCGGTCCGTGGCGCTTGAAGAAGAATTCGGCGGAAGACGCATCATCAGAGGACGTATCCTTGCTGTCCCACTGCGGATCCGACGTCTTCTTCTTCTTGTTTTTCGGGTTGTTTGCGCCGGGGAGCACGCCGGTTCTGAGAGCGAGCGTTAATATCTAGCTTCAACTTGACTCATTCAATCCGTTCTTGGAACCCACTTTGGCTTGACTATAGGCGGAGGTAGATGGACGACGGAGCCGAGGTCGTATTGAGACCCCGGGACGGTGGACGACTCGAGTTCGGGGGAATCGTTCATCTCGGCTGGTTCGAAGCCAGGCGAGGAGGGAGTTGAGCGAGGAGTGAGAGATGACCTCAATCAATACCTAGTGAGAAGAGGGCTATAGACAGAAAAGATCGAAGAAGAGTGACGAGGGAGGGAAGTCGACCAAGACTGCAAGTGAGTGACAGGTTGCGCGTGGGAGAAAGAAACACCTTCGATGGAGATTCCGCCTCATAATACATCTTTCTTGTACTCACCATTCATTCATACCCTCTCCCCACCTCGAATGACCCCTCGAGTCAATACCCCTAAAGAAAGAAGTCTTCTATTTTTGGCGCCCCAGGGTACAGTGTATTCTTTGTTAAGTAAAGTAGAAGAAGAATAATCATGGGTCTGACATAAAGAACGCCAATGAAGAAGTGTGGGAGAGAGAACAATGAAGTGAGTGATGATTGACCCCACAAATGCAAACCATTCACCCCGAGGATGATTGCGAGTCACAGCCCCCCTTTCCTCCCCATAGTCCTGGTGAGATGAAAGACAGTGATAAACAAAGAAACGAGGTCTAACCGTGGAATCATCAAAACTGGAGAGACCATCTTCAGTCTCCTCATTCCCCATACCAAACTATGTAAGAGACAGAGGTGATCTACACCTCCCTCCTACGCACCTTTCTGACTGTGGAGAGTCATATATGCACTTGAGATTCATGTAAGAGTAATCACACCTCCCATTCAGTCATACAACATTAAAGCCGTGCTCAAAATATGAAAGCGAATGCACACTTGCATTCCAGACGGGTGGTAAAAAGTAAAAGACAAGAAACAAGAGGGAAAAAGGAATAGGGAATAAAAAGCCCTAGGTCATCAATAAATCAGAATAATCGGCGGGGATGGCTGGAAAAAGAATAAAACTGGGATCCAACTTTCCAAACCCACAACTCGCCCATTTCTGCTTACACACATTCGTCGGTTACACCAGCCATCAAAACTCTCATGGGTATGTATGTTAAGGAACACTTTCAAGTGCAAAAATTCGTGTCGAAGTCAAACCGCAATAGTAAACAGAGAAGAAACTACCAATGGGTTCAGGACCGGAAGAAAGCAAGAGAGGGGGGGGAAAAGAACTGGGTAATAGAAAAGAAAAAAGACGAAGACCATCACGGTCTTGATACTCTCGCGTGGGAACCGCTTGTTTAGGCAAAGTCCGCGGTGTAGGAGAAGCCGCGGAATTCTTCTTGCATCGCCTGGGACAGGACTGTGATGGGAGAAAAAGATATTAGCACCTTGTGGGTAGGAACGGGGGATGATGGGCTCCTTACCTGACTGCACGGGCGTGAGAACGGGGGTAACGCTGGTGAACTCTTGGTCGAAGTTGCTGGTATCGGTAGGACTGGTGATGGTGGGGAGGAAGGGTGGCGGAACCCGCTTGTGGTAGATGTCATCCCAGTTGACGTTCCGGAAGAATGCATGCGACATGACCTCCTGCGCGTCGGTGGGTCCGGACCCCAGTCGCAATTCGGGCTCGCGCGTGAGCAGTTTCTGCAGGATCGAGACGGAATCGCGGGGCATGTGGATCGGGTACAGGGGCTCATCCGCCAGAATGGCGTCGTAGATTTCATCTTCATCTTCACCACGGAAGGGGGATTGTTGCAGAAGCATCTGGTAGATGAGCACACCGAATGCCCACCAGTCAACCGCACGACCGTATTTCTTGTCCAACAGAATCTTTACGGGCGGAAATGTTAGCTAGGACAAATGACGGATAGGAACGAGTAGATTGGGACTCACCTCAGGGGCCATGAATTCAGGAGTACCACAGAACGTGCTCGTGGTGGCTCCGTACCACATGTTCTCCTTGCAGAGACCGTAATCCGCAATCTTGATGTGACCATCCAGGGTCAGCAGGATGTTGTCCAGCTTCAGATCACGGTAGATGACGCCGTTCTCGTGGAAATACTTGAGCGCCAGCAGAACTTCCGCCGCGTAGAACCTGCGCAGACCACTCGTTAGTCTTCTTTCTGCACTGCAGCGTACTCCTGCGGTCTGGATCAAGAAACTCACTGGGCTCTCTTCAGGCCGAATTGGCCGCGCTGAATGTGAAGCATCAGATCACCACCGCTGATGTACTCCATGACAAAGTACACGCGGGTTTCGGTCTGGAAACAGGCGTGCAGGTTGAGAAGGAAAGGATGACGCTCCTTGTTCGCAATCAAGAAGACGCGCTTTTCGGACTTGGTGCTCTCCACTTCGTCGTTCTCGATGATGAACTCCTTCTTCAGCACCTTGATCGCGTAAAGCTTCTTGTTGCCCTTGGTCTCCGCCAACATAACCTTGCCGAAGTTACCCTTACCGAGCACGGCCAAAAAGTTGAAATGATCCAGTCCGATCCGGACCTTTTGCTGCGGCGGCGGCACCTCTTCTTTCACCGCCATCGGCTGCGGCATGACGGGCGCGGGCGGTTGTTGCTGCTGTTGGGGCATGCCGTACGGGCTCCCGACCTTCTGCATGGCCTGAGGCGACATGGGCTGCTGCTGATAGGATGCGTACACACTAGGGTCGTAAGGAGCGTGCGTGGGGGTCTGGGGCTGCTGGGGCTGGGGCGGGGCGGGACGGCTTTGTTCTAGATTGTTCGCAGATCGTCAGTCCCTTCCATTCTATCTTCATAGCTATTGTCGCATCGGTAGAGTGAGAGGCAACATACCTGCTACTTGCTGTGGAGAGCGTAGGCCGGTCGCCGCGGCGGCAGCAGCGGCGGCAGGGCTGGCCGAGGAAGTCCTCGGTGGGGGCATTTGCTGTCGCTGTGCGGCTGTCGGGGACTGCGGAGGCATATAAGAGTTAGTCGCGGCGCTTATGGCTTCGGCGGAAGGCTGTCTTTGAGGTGTCCTGGGTGGGGCCTCGATGGGTTTCTGTGGATAGGCAAGGGCGGCGTTGTCCGAAGGGCCCGGAGGCGGACCAGCTGATCGAAGGGTGCGGCCGCTGAGGCCAGAACTAACAGAGGTGGATTTGTTGTGATTCTTCGCGCGAATCAAGGTCTCCAAGATTTGGTTGGCTGCTTCCATCGACATGCCGCAGAAGTCCGGTACCAAGTGTGTACACTGGGCGTGGCAAGTAAGAGCGCACTCTGTGTAATCACATGCGGGTCAGCTGCTAAGATGTCTCTACTTCTATGCTGGTCCAGTAGGGGTTCAAAACGTACCTGTGCATCGCTTGGCGTTCTTACGCCCGAACGGCAGCAAATAACCACAGTGGCAGCACCAGTTGGCGGACAGGTTGGAAAAGCCCTCGAAGCGATGGGGGATGCGGTGATTGATCTTCTCCTCGTCGGGGTCGGTCTCGTAGTTCGCCTTGCTGATACATTTGGTGACGACCTTGGGATAACACTTGCGGTGGCAGGTATACTTGCAGTCGGCACACTGCATGCCCGCGGCATACTTCAAGAAGTCGCCACACAGGGCACAGCGCATGATGTTGTAGAACTGCTGCGTGACGAACTTGTGACCCTGCTTCTCGTGGACCTCTTCCTTCTTCTGGCGCACGGCACCCTGGCGGTTGAGACCGATGTCGAACGGACGGCGGTCCTTGAGTTGTTTGGCTAGGAGCGAGCGAAAAGAGTTAGCATTGTCGCCGGATAGTTTAATCGCATCGCGATCGTCAGTCCGCACACGGTCAGGGCCATACCGAAGCTCATCGACAGATAAATGCGACCCACGGGTTCCAATGCGAACCACGATTCAATCATCGGCGCGTTGTTTCCACCTGGCGCGCCGGGGGGCGCACCGCCATGGCCTTGAGGACCGGCCCCAGGGGGTCCGCCCGAGGCCGAGCTGTGACCAGGGCTCATGGGACCTGCAGTATCCGGGCGTCCTGAGCCGCTTCCGTGGTCCATCCTGTCGGCCGACACCCAGCCGGATTGGTTCAGTTCCATTTCGATCTTCTTGCGACGCATCTCTTCGGCGATGTCGGTAATGCGCAGCCAGAGCATGCCGATCGGGGTGGGGCGGTCGCCCGACTTGTCGTAGACGGTCAGTTCGATCTCGTTGGCCTTGTCGATGTCAAGGTTGAAGGTCTCGTCCTGCCATCGATCGGTGCGAGTGGGCTTGGTCCGGGCTTTAACGGCATCCTCGACCTTGAGGACGACGGAGGTCTCGGGCCCTCTGGAGAATCTGGAGCCGGCAGCATGATCGACATCGCTGACGGCCTGGATGCGCATGGTCAACAGACCGGTGAGGGGTTTGCGCAAGTTGGGAGTGCTTAAACTTTCGTCTGCAGGGAGAATGATTAACCATGATACACCTGCATGATCTATGAATGGATGTTAGGCGTACCATCGGGGGTATCAGTCGATTCAATATCAACGTGGAGATCCTCATATCGCTTCAGAGCCTGCTTCAGCAGTTGGATCTTCTGGTTACTCTCAATGCGCCGACCCTCGGCGTCGGCACGACTCTTCCTGTCGCCCTCGTCCTGGTATAGGCGAACCATCTTCTCAATGCCGGCCTTGTATTGCTTCTCCACGCTCAGCTTGAATTCGAGTTGGGACAACATGAGCTGAATCTTGGGGCCGAGATAAGACGTGTCGTATTTGATCAGATCTATAGATTGGCGCGATTAGCACGTGGGACGATCAACAGACCGTTCGATCACCATCACCATCACCATCACCATCAAGACCAAAAAGGGTACGACGGGCCACCTACCAAGCTTCGTATAATTCGGGCGCGCCTTGGGCACAGGAGCAAACGGTCGAGGATCCTTGAAGGGAGCACCGGTCGGCATGGAGCCGGCACCTCCGTGGGGATGATGAGCGCTGGAGGGCTCTCCATACTCGTCATTGTCACCACCGGCACTGTCCTTGGGGGGAGGCGACGGGAGACGTTTATCAGTGGGGGAGCCACCATCCTGATCGATCCGACGCAGTTGTAGCTCCCTCATCTTCTCCTCCAGGTAGGCAATGTTTTTCCGGCCATCGCGGATGTTCGCATCCACCCTCTGCTGTACCAACGGATTATCGGTGGACTGTCGCATATTGGAGGCGGCGGTGATGAGGGCCTTTTCCCGCTCGATCTTGCGGTAGACCGAGGCGATGAGGTCTTCGCCGTCCATGATGGAAGAGGTGGGATGCGACGGCGATTCAATCAGGAGTGGATTGGTTGGGTGGGGGGGGGGGGAAGGAGGCGTCTGATAATTTTCTTCTTTCTATCCGGAAATGAAACACGGAGAGAGAACAAGAAATAAAATCAGGAAAAGAAGAAAAGAAGGAAAGACAAAAAAGAAAAGCCCAAGGGGAGAAAAGGTGAAGAAGATCCACCGACGGAGTAGAGGGGAGGCGTGTTTGGAGGGCGGGAGGGGGAGGAGGAGGAGGAGGGATGAAGCGTCGCGGGGCTTTTTAGTTGTTGTTGACAGAAGAAGAGAGAGAGAGAGAGAGAGAGAGAGAGGGGAAGATCGATCGCTGTCAAATCCATCAAATTAATTAAGTGGAAAGGATACTAGTTTAGTAGTCAACTCTGTTCAGCCCGGGAATGGTGAGACAGTCAGCCGATGACGAGCCCTCGTGCTCTTGGATTACTTTTTGATTTCACCTGAGATTTATTATTTGTATACTTGTTTATTTATTGAGTATTTCTAACATTTTTTGAAGAATTTCTGGACTAGAAAGCAGTAACATATCAGTGTCTGCACAAGAACATGAAATCTTACCGAGGAAGAAACCGACTTGTTCCCGCCCGGCTCGTGGCAATAACCCACCCTATGATATACAGTCATAGGGGACGTGGAATTAAGAGACTGGAGGATAGTCGGGCTCGATTGTACTGCATGTACAGGGGAAACAAGGAGGATCTTGCGTGCAGATGCACTGATGCACTGATGCACGATCAATGCACCTCTTGACTGATACGAATCTGGAATTCCACACAGGAGAAAGAATGTCAAGACGAGTATCTCATCCCTTGCTGTACAGACCTTCGCTTCTATCGATCTATAAAGCGTACGGTCTCCCCATGTTGTCTGACCCTCAAAATGAATGCGTAGTAGTATACTAACTAACTTAGTATTCTAGTGTAGCATGTCCTGTCAAGTATTGATACCACTGAAGATCAATTTGATCTCAACATATGGCTAGGAAGTGATGTTCATCCTTCTAGTATAAACCCACAAGAGACACCAAATCCAGGCGTGGCAATACCCAACTCGGACCCGAGCAAAGCACGCCAAGCGTTACCGTGATATCATCAAACCTAATCACAACTAGAGCAGGACAAAATCATACCATGAAGACACACATCTGTGCGACAATCCGACGACATCCAACGTGCGTCGCTCGCTGCGCCCATTGCAGTAGTACAGTCAGGCACATTAGCAGTATCCTCCACGCTGGGAGGGCCCTGGATTGGCGTCCAGAGCATGAAATGAATCCACAGCCGAATCAGCCCCGCAGACTCCTGGTCTACGAAGATCACACGGCCATCTCCGGTGTTGGATGGTTTTCTCGACGCAAGGGACCAAGGTAACCGAACCGTGGTCGTTCAGGTGGGGTCTCCGTCAACAATTGGATTCTTGTGACTACCACAAATGTTTATTATGGGGGGGCAAGGTCATCATGAAAGGGTCTAGGTTTCTGAAATGCCAGGATTGAGAAAGTATGGCTGAACGTCGGAGGCGCATTTACCAATGGACACCAGAGTGGGCAATATCCGTAGTGGGAAAGGCAGTTGCCCCACCATGTAGCGGCCTGAGGCACCCAGGGTCGGTCTCCGCCAAAGGAAAAAAAAAAAAGAAAAAGATTTGGGTTCCTGATTATCTCCTCCCCCGGACGCATCTGATTTGACCGTTTGTTCGACACTGAGAACTCTCCAGAAGAGAAGCCTAGAAGTAAAGGGAAATTAATAATTACTCCTCCACAATGGCCCCTCCGCGACGAAAGATGCTTGCGACAGCAGAGGAAACCCTGACCCCGCCAGATGATCTGGCCCCGGGGCAGCAGATCGCACGGGTCCTCAAGGCGACGGGGAATAATCTCTATGCGGCTGAATTTCCGTCCAAGAAGTCTGTCCTGGTGGAACTGCCTGCCCGGTTCCGGTCGACCATCTGGATCAAGCGGAAGTCTTACGTCGTGGTCGACACGAATGCCTTGGAAGGCCGCGATAACAAGCTGGGCGGCGAGATCGTCAACATTGTTCGCGACGAGAAGGCCTGGCGGAAGGAGCGCTACTGGTGAGCTCTCCTCTTGAGGTTCATGCGCCAATGAATACCGCTAACGATTGTATAGGCCCAAGGAGTTCGTCAAGCAACCGGTCTCGTCGATCTCGGACGATGAAAGTGAAGACGAGTCCAATATGGGGAAGCTACCGCCGTCTGACGATGATTCGGATGCCTGATTCTGCCGGAATAAAGTGCGGCACCGATGAACAGAGTTGGAGACTAAAGGCCCCTCTGCAGAGAGGTCGCCCAGAAGCGCCGAGTCTACTTTCTCTCGGAGGCTCTTGGATTATAACATTTCTTTACATTTATTTGCGCATAGAACACTGGGTTGTGCATTGCATTGCGAATACCGTTGCACGCCTTGTTTTTATTCGCGATGCGCTTTGCTATTAGGGCGCACACCAGCGCCATCGACTGCGCGTTTGCTATTGAGAAGGACACCAAACACCTGGGCGGCAAGCGACAAGACGACAACCGACGAGCTCATACTGGTACTTGGATAGGTGTTCCAAGCCCACTCTTGCAGGCCCCAGATCGCATAGATGAGCGTCGGATGGTAGCCTCCCTGCCAAAGGAGGAACGGGGTCGCCCAGGCGAGGTAAGCGAAGAATTGGTAGTGAAGCGACCGCGCACACAGCAGACCAATCGCCAGAGACGTCAGCATAGTCGTCAGGATGAAGGAGCTGGATAGCGAGACCTTGCGGTGCTGTCCTCGAAGCAGGCCACTGATGAGATCGGGCAGGTTGGACCTTGATGGTCGCAGCCAGACGGTGGTAGCAAACACGCCCAGGAGGATGAGATGCAGGGCTAGCAAGAGGAGAGAGAATTCTCTAGATAAGAACCATTCTTCGCCCACAAATCTCCAATTGACTGTCCACTTGAACAAGAATTGCCTGGTTAACTCGAAGGCCCGGGATGCATACCCCACTGGGTTCTCTTGCAAGAACGGCGCCCCCAGTAAGACCTATTGGCTGATTAGCTTAAATTCCTATCAGGAGCCCCAAAAGAGAACCCCTCAAAGGTAAGCACATACCTGGACAAGCAAGGCCAGTACTCCAAGCCACACGCTTGAAAGCAACGAAAGGTTAAGAAGCGTCACAATCATAATAGCCGGCGCAAGGAGCAACAAAGTCATCTTGACACCAACCCCAGCCGACCACAAAGCCACAGCGGCAGTCCACTTCTTCCTCTGAAACAAGTAGATAGCCATCCACATAGCGAACGCCGCCAGACCGTCATTGAAAAGACGCAAGACAAAAACACTATGGAGTCTCTTGGACAGAATCAGGAGCGGAAATAGATACGGGGGAGCCCCCGACAATCGGTAACAAGCAATCACCACAATAAGAGTGGCGAGGTAGAGACCGCCGAACAAAATCTGCCCTAAGAAGATATCCCGCCCTCCGTTGGTCAGATGGTACAGCAAACTGTAGCTGTATACATGCGCGGCTGGGTACACTAGCGGTCCTGTCGAGCCCTTGATTGCTGTGTAGTCACGCTCTCCTGAGATATACAAGGCTACTTGCTGCATGTACGTCGTCCAGTCGATTTCAGTGTCTGTAGCTGGTTAGCTCGAGCTGTTGCTTGTTGGCCCGGAGAGATGAGTAGTCTCACATGAAACCTTCCAGATGATGAGGGCGCAGAGGAGCGCATCGCCCAGGACCAACAGCGGGGCCACCCATTTCGTGTGTCTAGGATTCAAGCAGAGGTCTTGAACCAAGTTTTTCAGGTCCATTGTTTTGTGTGGCGCAGGCCAGATGGAATGATCCTGGTGAAGGTCGCTGGCCGGAGGTGAACTCGACTCGTGGCATCCGCGGGCCAATCATATCCGTCCATTTTCAGATTAGCGCGTTTTACACCTCAGGCTGTCACGTTGTCGCATCAGTGGAAAATACGTCAGGATGGGGGTTGCAAGTTCAATGGTATAATTGTATTGGAACATGTTATTGTTCAATTTACAGGTATCGCTATTTGTTTAAATGGCCACTGTCACGGCCCTAATACACAGGTATCTGTACAGGTATGTCGCCGGCTGTCCGGCTATGGCCGCTCCTCCCGGTGCACAAAGGGGGTCCATCTCCAATGGACTGGGTTGTATGTATGATTTTCGTAGATCTGCTGAATCCGCGTGCTTTTGGTGTCATGATGGTCGGTTGTTGGTGTTAAAAGAAAAAGGAAATGGAGGATAAAAGAGAATGAATGCCGTCAACTCCCGGTTCTCTCCTCTTGTCCCTGAGGAGTATCTTTTCGACTCGGAAACCCTAACAATTCCCCAAGGGCCCCCGTAGGTTTGGGTACAGGGCACTCCCGGCCAGTTTGTGATAGCTGTTTGGCTTCCTCCTCCAATTGGAGAAATGTCGACACATCGTCCTCCGGCGCTGGTTGGGTGCGTAGCGGACTATCCGTTTGGACCGGGACATCGGCGTCTTTCCTTACCCTCCGCCTCACTCTCTGGAATGTTTGACCATCGGCCGTAGTGATCATTTCGGAATCGGCGAGCGTCCGGCGCGGAGCCGGGCAAGGGAAGAGGTGTGGTAAGCCGACGACGCCGAGAGACGCAAGGAGGGTAGCGGCGAAGAGCGAGCTCGTCGATCGCGACTTCGGGTGTAGATGGGGCGGCATTGTCGGGAGCGGGTAAGAATATGATTGTCGGTCAAGAAGTCGAGGGTCACGTAGACATGTGAGGAGTCGAGGCCGAAGGTAATTGACGTTCTGTAACGAGGGAACCGGTTAGCCCGAGCCCGACCACACACCTTCGCACGGGAGGATATCGAACCAATTCAAACAGAAGGACCTGCAAAATTTCGGGGTCAAGGCATGGTATCCTTCTCTTATTTAAATGACATCAATATATAAGTTGAGACTGTCACGGTGGCTGGACGACTGGGGGTGCAGCAAGAGGCACCCGTTCTGTTTCCGTCCCCGAAGTGAAGCTGGAGAATTCGCACTGGCCTTGGCGATCAGATCTAATCTTATCTTTGGCCTCCCTGATTGGTCGGCCACCACAGCGCCCAAGCTGGCTCTTCGGGCTTTCTGACGCGCCACTATCAACCATCTCACCTCGCCCTCCCCCCATCGTCTCGCCCATACTCTCCCGTCTCATTTTTTGTCTGTTTTTGTTGATTTACGGTGTTTGTCCCCACGAGAAAATGATTGTTCACTTCCAGTACACATAGCGCTTTCCAGTCTCACACGTTCCCCGGTACACGGAGTCTATCCGCCGTCGTCCAGGACCCACCGATCGATCACCTTATCCCATACTTTCGCCCTCGTCCCCATCCCGTGCGCAGAGTCACCATGAGTGATCTAGACAGGTATTGCAATCCGATCGCATCGGTAGATGACGCGCCGACCCGGGTTGGATGGTACTGATGTGATCCCGTTGTTACAGAGCGATCGCGCAATTACGCGCCTGCCGCCTCATCCCCGAAACCCAGGTCCGCGAACTCTGCTACAAGGCGCGCGAACTCCTGATTGAAGAAGGAAACGTGGTGTGTGTGGACGCCCCAGTCACGATATGTGGGGACATCCACGGGCAATTCCATGACCTGATGGAGCTCTTCCGCGTCGGGGGTGATGTCCCCGACACCAACTACCTCTTTATGGGCGACTTCGTCGACCGCGGTTTCTACTCGCTCGAATCCTTCCTCCTCCTCCTCTGCCTCAAAGTCCGCTACCCGGACCGCATCACCCTCATCCGCGGGAACCACGAATCGCGCCAAATCACCACCGTCTACGGCTTCTACGACGAGTGTATCCGGAAATACGGCAGCGCCAACGTATGGCGGTACTGCTGCGAGGTGTTCGACTATCTGGCGCTCGGTGCCGTCGTCCTCGGTGCCAGCTCCGAGCTCGAACCGTCGGGCCCCTCCCCCATGGTGAACAACGCCACGCAGTCGACCATGGCCATGGAGAACGGCGGGCTGGAAACAGAGGTGCTGAACTCGCGGGGCGAAGTAACCATGAACACCTACCGAGGCAGACAGCGATCCTCATCCGACGTATCCACAGACTCACGGAACATCTCCCCACCACGCGACATCTCCACCGTCCCCAGCCAAACCCCCCTTCGCTCCGGGCCCCCGGCACAGGCGCCTCAGGCAACGGCGCCGCCAGCACCGCCAGCCGAACAGGCGCAATCCTCTGCGTCCACGGCGGCCTCTCCCCGCTAATCGACACCGTCGACAAAATCCGGCTCATCGACCGCAAACAAGAAGTGCCCCACGAAGGCGCCATGTGCGACCTCCTCTGGTCCGACCCCGACGAGATCGACGGATGGGGCCTGAGCCCCCGCGGCGCAGGGTTCCTCTTCGGCGGCGACATCGTCAAGCAATTCAACTACAAGAACGACCTGTCGCTCGTCGCGCGCGCCCACCAGCTCGTCATGGAAGGCTACAAGGAGATGTTCGACGGCGGCATCGTCACCGTCTGGTCCGCCCCTAACTACTGCTACCGCTGCGGCAACGTCGCTGCCATCTTGGAGCTGGGCGAAGATACCAGCGCGGGTGGCACCGTCGCTCGCAGTAACGGCGACTACGCCCGGAGTAATGGCCTTACGGGCAATAAAGCGGGCGTTAGGAGCCCTGGGCGTAGGTACAGGGTGTTTGAGGCTGCGGCGCAGGATACGAGAGGCATGCCTGCGAAGAAACCTGTTGCTGATTATTTCTTGGTATGTTTTTTTCTTTTCCTTCTATACCATTTCTTCTGCACTCTTCCTTCGTTCCTTCACAATTGAACCCCAGGTCAACTAATTGACTAACTTCAATAGTGATACCATATGACAAACATTCTCACTCAATTCCAATCCCTATTCACTTAAGCTTTTACCAGACGGGAACAGAACTATAACAAAGACAAAGACAAAGACACCAGGGAATAAGACAGAACCCAAGGAGGAGAAGAAGAAGAAGAAGAAGAAGGAAAAGAGAAAAGAATGTAGATCACGACGCCATGGTCTCAAGTTTCGTTGGACATGCCCATCAATCGCATATGCTATGTTTATACTACCCACTTCTGCGCAGCTGTGGTTTTCATTTACATTAAGAGTAATATCATCTTCATTTGCGGCTTGTATATCATTAATCCGAACTCTCATAGAAAAAGTTAATTAAACAAGGGGGACAAAAATAAAGCATTATAATGGCCAATTACCGCCCATTCCAAAATCCATCGTGTTGGGGTCTGGTGGCCACCAGGCTTGGGTCTCGTCGATTGGGTCCTCGGGTCCTTCGAAGCCGGATACGGGGGTTGAGCTGGACGTTGCGGAGAGGTCTTGCTGGGTGGATCCCAAGGCGTGAAGCTGTTGTTGTCCTTCGTTGGGGGAGAACCAGGCCTCGGGTTGTGTGAATGGGATATATGGGATGGGGTTATTAGTGTAGGGGTGTGCCACGGGACGGAGATAGGTGGGCTCTGGGAGCGGTGCGTTCGGACGGGCCAGGTGTGCCCCTAGTGACCGCTGAGCTTCGCGCATCGATGGCACCGAGACGGGCATTGGGAGTCCGGGTGGGTATGGCAGGGCCATGGAGCCGACGGATGTGGGAGGGGGAGGAGGAGGAACGCCTTGCATGGGCGAAGAGGTGGTGGTAGGTTCGCGGTAGAGCATATCGGGCGGTGGGTGGTAGGTGTTGGGGATTGCGGCGGGGTGGCTGATTACTGCGGGTGGGCTTTCCTCGACGGAGGAGGGAGAGGCGCCCTGGTCCCACGATCCCCACGATCCCCAGCGCGCGTGCGTCTGCTCGAAGATGGTCACGGCTTCGTCGGGGAGTTCCACTTGCCATTTGTGCGCGGATATGTCGAGGATTCGGAGCGTGCGTCGGGCACAGGGCCAGCATTCGCCCATCTCTTCGAGATGACGCAGAGCGTGAATGACATCTCGTTGGGCGTTCTTTTCCGGGAGGTTGAGGAGATGAACGGTGCAGGTGGTGTGTGCGATATATACGACGATGTTGCAGATTTGCTTAAATCCGTATGTACGTTTATACGTCCGGAGGAGTTTCGAGATGACCGAAGCTGCTTGCGTGCAGAGCTTGCGTGGGGAGACGTGAGGTGGTAGAGGTGAGTTTGACTTGGTGTACTTGAGAAAAGGGCGGTAGAGGTGTATGAAGAGAAGTTGATAGAACATGCTTGAGAGACGTTAGAGTTGGTTAAGTCTGAAAGAGATAGTCAAGGACGGCTTACTGCATCAACAGAACCTGGGGAAGCTGTCCCTCTTTCGCTTCTAACTCCTTGGGTAGACCCTTCTTCCAGGCTTCAAGTCGTGTATGAATCTCACTTAGTCTCTTTATTTCTAATTGTTTGGACGCTGCTTTATCTCTAGGCGTGGGGTCGTAGAAAAACGCGATCAAGTCGCCGCTGATCTCGCTCAGCTTGGAAATTTGTAGAGCAACGGCTCTGGTGCGGGAGGGCTGCGTATGCTCGCGACTCGGACCGGAGTCGGTGTAGGGAGACCACAACTCTGCTTCTTCGTTCATCATAACGTCAAACTTGGGAACGCTGACATTGGCAGACGGCAGTTGTGGTTGACGACCGAGATAATTAGACCAGCACCTGCAAGAGATTAATACATGAGCATGCTTTCCTCCAAACGGGCGAGATTACATACTTGTCGAACAGGAAACAGCCCCAAAACGTGATCCGACGGGCGTCAATCTCATCTTCATCGAGACTCCGCGATCCAATGCTAGGTGCATCGAGGTTCAGACCTAGATCGAGCGCCATGCGAAAGCTCATGCCACTGTAAAACCAACCCCGGCCCTCCCGACCGCAGCCAGCCTCCCGGACCGACATGAGTGCCAGGGCCTGGACCGTACACAGCTTTGCCTTTGCCAGTTCATCGTTCTCGAATAACAGACTTTTGGCCTCCTTGAAAAAGTGGTCGCCTGCCGTTGCCGAGTTGAGCGGGTCTTCCCAGGCCCCTTCCCAGGTAGAAAAGTGACAACCCAAGGCTAACATCGCGTTGACCAGCAACGACGAGCAGTACTGACTAGAAACCCCTCGCACAAAATCGCGGTAGAAGAGATCCTTGGACAGGGTGGTAAAGAAAGGATAGTGCCAAGTGAAATACATGGTCATTAGGTGGCTGACCAGCTGTTCGTTCTGGGTGACTCTTGTCCACCGCGTCACAGAGAAATCGGGCGTCTGACCCAAAATCGGGCCTTCGAAGCCCGAGCCAGATTCGTTCAACTCCGACCCCACCGGCAGAAAGATGAGATTTGACGTTCCCCCAATGAACTTGCGGGAACCATCCAGGACCAACTCGCCCACCTTCCCGGCCAGTTCGGACTCGAATTGGTCGGCTTGCGCCATCGTCCCGTCCTCGTTGGAGGTGGCTTCCCTTGAAGCACGCATGCTGCCCCTTTCCTGACTGACGATGGACTGCGCAACGTCTTCCAAGTTATCGCAAGAGCGGATCTGCCGAACCAAGTCGAAGGCATCCTCCTCCTCCTCAAAGTTGAGTAAAGCTTGAATCAAAGTCAATAAGGTCGTGTTCTTAGTCTTGAGCGCATCCGTGTCTTTCTTGTACACGCCTTTACGGCGATGGTCAGAATTTGGATCATAGACACCTAGAGGATATCAGCGACAGGGTCGATCGATCTAGTCCAAGTCATGACATACATGTCGAGTGATAAACGGAGGAGCAAGCCGCACAGCTGGGGAGATTGCCATCGCACTGAGGAATGGAAGAAAAAGAGGAATCAGGATCCGAAGTCGATCGATGAATAGTTGGAGGCGACCTTCTCTTACCTTGGACTTTCTCTTCCGGCAGGCGATGCACGCTGTGCTAACACAACGTCTTTTCGAAGCAGACCCATGGGTGGGGTTCATCTCTTGATCAGTCGTGGACAGTTTTCCGCGAGGCCTAACCGCCGGTGTAGGATCCATTTTGATATCAGACTTCTTCTCCGCGGAGTGGTCCACTATCATGGCCCAGCCCATTCAAGGATGGTCGGCGAACATGCGGAGTCAGAAATGGGCATGCTTATCAAACAGGGAGCACGCTGCGAGTCGTTCTGTCGTTCTGTCGTTCTTGTGGCTCTCTCTTTTCTCTCTCGTGTCTGTTTCCTATGCCTTGCCTTTCCAAGATTTCTTCCTATGTTGGATTGTTTCTCCCTCCCTAACTCCAGGGACAACGACAATGAGATTCAGATAAGACGCGAACCAATCCCGAGGGGTATGGATATATGAAACGAGAGGCTGAGGCTAGTCAAGATTCTTAAAGATCACCGCCCCAGATTCAAGGCGACCCGCATACCAGTGGAAGTGGGGTACCACACGATCAAGGGACTCGAATCACCACCCCGGTGATTGGAAATATATCAAGGAAGGGCGCCGAAGGTACGCCGTCGACAGGTAAACTATGTAGACGGATCGAAGAGTTCAGACGATCATCGCGATCGAGATCAGTTTTAAACACAGGGCAATACACAATGCTGGAAAAATCCCTTTCGAAAACCGCTGACTAATCCGTCTTATGCATCTGGCTTACTTGTCTGGATGGGATCGTCCTTCATCCAAAGTTCTACCTGTTAATTGACTTGATTGTAATGGAAATTTGGAATGAAAATGGTGTTATTATCACGAATTTTATTATTTTTCCCACCATATAATCATGATCCTTCCCTCCTGTGGTAACTCTCGACTCGGCAGTGTACGGGATAGATTGACCTGAAATACACGGGGCAATCGGATTACCGGGTTTAATACCCACGAATGATGTAATTGCGATACGAGATTACTCTCCTGACATAACGAACATACTCTACTCTACTCTACTCTTTACTCTCTACTCTCTGCCCTCCGTCATCTCTTCAGTCTTCTCCCTTTGCATCTCCTTTGTTTCTTTCTTGCCCTTATATTTCTTTCGCTCCCTTTCTTTCACAATTTCTATTATATTTCCCTTCTCGGAATTCTATTGAACAACCCGTGCAATATTCTTTCTATCCTCTTTCCTATCTCAAACCTTGCATGGTTGGGATTGTGCCTGCGTGACGCATCTGGACGGTTGCCCGCATTGGGCTTACGATTCTTGCCTGCCTGAGTGCCTGAATGCCTTATCGCTCCGGTGCCAACACATCATAGTGATTGAATATATCCGACATCTTCCTGCAACATCGCCCATTATCTTCTCTCTCTCCCTCTTATTACTCCCTCCCTCCTGGCCTCCTCCTGTCTCCCCCCTTCATCCATGTATCTCAGTCAATCTCTCGATCAGAGTGCCTCCGCGGGTGTGGGACGTTTTATCACCAACTACTACAAAGTACGATCGTGAACACACCCTACATCAAGATGATGGTCCCTCGAGCTTTTCTTTTCACTTCCGTGCCTTCTCCGAAATCCCATAGTCAACATGGGAGATCTAAACCGACGACGAATACGGAACCCGCCAGACGCACCGTCGATGTTAACCGATCCGATAAGGAAACCCTGCAACTACCGCACGCGGATCCCATGGTCATCCCCCCTAAACGTTCGTTGCGACTGACCCCATCGGTGCAACGCGAAGCCGACAGACACCCTAAACCACCGAGACGCTCTTTCACTACCCGCGGGGATCGTCCCGTCCCGTCGTCAGTTGCGTCGATCTTAGAAGCCACTGCCATCCCTGTCCCTCGCCGAAGCTGGACCGCGCGGGAATCCCGCAGGCTACCGCGGGATCATGTGCAGGATTTCAGCAGATTCCTCATGGATGGCGTCGGTGCGAGGGACGATCAGTTGTTGGAGGGGACGGGGAACAGTACCCTCGATCTGCTTCTGAGCCCCCCTGAAGATAACGATAAGGCAACGGCCGGAAGTGAGGACGACAGTGAAGCATTGTCCTTCTCGGGCCGCTCCACGTCCAGCGAGTCGGTTCCATCGTTGGACCATGACGCCGATACCCCTTCCAGCTTCTCTACGCTTCCCACCTCCCTCAGCCAACGAAACCTTACGGAGAGACGATATCGCCGCACATCCCGATGTGAGAGTTGTGCCTTTGATCACCCTCTACTGGAGACGGAAATCCAAGACTCGGAGGCGGAGGATGAGGTTTATAATACGACTTTTTCAAAGCCCACCATTGCGAAATCTCCCATCCCGTCGCCGGCACCTCGTTCGTTTCCGGGTCTCGGGTCGTTCCGATCCAACTTGACCGCGTCATTACGAGCCATCAAATCGGCGGCGCAAACAATGTCCCGGTTCACAACGCCTGCGCCCCCGCCCGACGACTTCCTCCCGCAGTCATTATTCACCATCAACCCCGAGATGACAGACGACCGCCGGCCTCCGCCCATGAACGAACCGCCATCACCCGCCCTGCGTCGGTATCTAAACCCGGTGACCATCTCGCCGGCGGAGATGTATGCGTACCAGGACTATCCACACGAAACCCTCGACTCGCGAAATTGCCCCGTCTCCGTCCAGATGCAGACCTATCATCGCACTCGCAAGCGCGGATCGCGGAAGAGCGGCTTCCGCTTACCGGGCGACGGACGAGATCAACGCTATCTGCCGTTCAACCCGGAAAGCCTCCCAGTTTGTCGCCAACGGGAACCGCGAGAAAACAGCAATTTCCTGCGCGTTATCGTTCTAGAAATGAACATGCGCCGGTGTGGGAAGTTACGGGATGACATTCCTACACGGGCGCGCGTCTGGCTCCCACCTCGGCAACAGCATCGTTCGGCATATTCCGACTACGAGTATGAAGAAGAGGGTACCATTCCATCTCGGTGGGTGGGAATTACAGCGAATAACGTCTGAATGGCCGTATTCACCGTTTGACGCATTTGGGGTTTGGCATGGTTTTCATTCCTTCCATTCATTTTCTTTTCCTTTTTTTTTCCCTCCTTCATTTATTGTTATTTATTGGATACCCCAACTTTCATTACCGTGGTGCTTAGCGTGGGTTTCCGATACTACCTCCTTTGCTTTATTTCTTACCCCCTTCTTACCCCCCTCCAATGTACATACGGGGCACTTTCTTTTTTGTCCTTTTTTTTTTTCCCTTTCCTTTTCTTTACTTTTTTCCTTCCTTTCGGGCACGCATACATTAGGTGCATAGAACGATAACTAGCGAGGCGTTCACGGGTTGTCTAGACTGGGACTAGGGACGGAACGGGAAACCTGGGGAATATCCACTTCGCTCATTTGCTTATCCTTTTTATTCAACTGTTTTGATTATTCCTTTTTTGAACTCATGTAACCCCAACCAACAACGGGTCTATTGACCGCTCCCTATTGATTAGCCTGGTCAGCCGTGGCCTAGGCAATCACGTACGGAGCAGTAGCACACACACATATCTCTCAGGCTGTGTTTGCTGCTAATCCAATCAATCGGTAGAGGGAGTGCAGATCGGGTTAGATAGGAGATAGCCATTGTTATCTATCTAGCTATCGACTTGTTTTGATAAGCTACTGGGATGAACGAGTTCCACTAACCCAATCACAAATGCTGCTTTATCGATTATTTGTTACCTCCCTACCTATAGTATCTGCAGGCTCCCCATCTGGGTATCTGTATGTATATACGTACGAGTGTAACAGAAAGAAAAGCGAAATCTTCCAGAAGAAAAACCCCCCAAAGCTTACAGTCTCGCAGGTGTCACCATCCCCATCCACATCCACATCCCTGCATCTTATCTCCGCCCAATACCTACCTAACACCCATACCTAGTATGGAAGAAGCGTGAAAACGAAAAAAGAAAAGGAAAAGGAATATGACAGTCACAAGGGTCAGTTGGTCGGTCGGTTATCTCCGTGCGGAGTCCGGGATGTATTTTATTGCTATATTAGGTGGTTTTTGTTTGTTTTCTATATTGATTTATTATTACGCACAATATATGCTGGAAATCATTAAGTCACTGGGTGGAATGGGACGACATTGTATTGTATTGTATAGGGGAAGTGAACTGCCGTTATTCATTATATTTTGGTTTAATTTATTTCTTAGGCGAGGGTGAGGGTTGGAATCCTGTGGGTTTAGCAGGTGGTTAGTTTTGATAGGGTCCAGACGAGGAAATACAGTGTTAAGGAATGGGTAGTATGGAGGAAAATTGACAACATACGCTCTTCATCCAGCAGCGTTCGCTGCTTCCAGCTCTCTTCGATCCATTCCACCGTGACAAGATGCGGTATCTTGCCAGACGCTCTAGCGGATAATGACGTGCGGATGGAAGAAATGTCAGAGGCCGTGCTGTGCGTGTCCACGACGATGTGGGTGACCCGGGGATCTTGCGAAGGGGAGGACAAGGAGGAGGACACCATATGAGCCCCTGCGAAACTGGCCGTGTTACTGGCTAGACGAAGGCGCAACTGTTGAGCGGACCCGTCGGGTTCGTCCCGCTGGGGCATGGAGATGGTGAGGCCCTTGAAGAGCCAGCCTAGCGGCATTTCCCAACCCGAGGTGACTTTCTCTTGGATTTGGGAGGTGATTTTGCGGATGGTTTCGTGGGGTTGGGTGTTGTCGATGTTGGGGTCTTTGATCATTTGGTTGAGGATCTGAGAATGGAATTTTTGTTGTTAGAATCTGGATGGATGCTGCTGTTGATGTTATTGTGGTGGGTGCTTACGTCGCGGAGTTCTTCTTTGGTGGTGTCGCGGGCATAGCTGTCATTGAAGCGGTCGACGTTCGCTGCGGCCTCTTCTTCTCTGTCTTGTGTGGCGAAAAAGAGGTGTCTTGCGTAGTGTTAGTAGTGGTCACCTAGTCATGGATGGTTATACCCATACCTTGGTTCGAAAGGCAGTAGAAGATCAGGGAGACCAGCGTCGATTTCGCTCTGCCGAATACAGTCCAGTATCCACGACGGACGGATTATATCCACCGTGCCCTGCTTCTGCAATGAGGCGGCTTTCACCGTTCCTGGCCATGGAATGTTAGTTGCAGTTAGGCTACATACTAAAGATACATACTTCGATCAGCGACGCAAATAGTGTCCGCGGCTGCACTATTCGTCTGGTAGAACTTGGCCCCGTTGGCCTTGACAAGCTGCTCCAGCTCTGCCTTGGACTTCTTGACGGGGGCACCCGATTCAGTCACAATATCTGTGCGCCGTGTCAGCAACCTCGAACGAACGCCCTGTCTAGCAAGTGCAGAGTCAACGTACAGAAATTGAGCCCGTCAAAGATATGCCCAGATGGTCCCACATACTTGGCCTCTGCATTCTCATCGTACCCTGCGATGGTCAGGGGTTTCTTGGTCGACCGCTTGACCCGTTTCCTGCGGGAATCGTCGACATTGAATTCCTGATTCTTTCGGTCCTCTTCCACGCTGGACTTCAGATCAAGGAACTCCTGCACGGACAATGCGCTTTTCCAGTCCTTGTCCATTCGGAGTCTCTTGAACCGCGGGAAACGCAACGTCAGCCCGAGCCGGAATTGGTCACTAACTGAAACGGAGGCCGCTTTCACACAGAGAACGACCGAGTCTTCAGGCTTGATCCACATGTCTGGTCGTTCATGCTGAGCGTCCCCGCCGGCCAGCTCCATGTATGTCGTGGGCGGTTTCTTGGGATTCCATTCGTGCCACTTGCCGTCCGTGTGGTGTCGGATATTTGCGTAGTCGGCCGCATTGAAGCCTCCTCCCACCTTGCAGAAGGAATAGCATTTCGTCTCGCCTGAGTTCTGTGAAGAAGAGGAATCGTCGGCCCTCAGTCCACACAAGAAGCTTGCCAGGCCGCCGCCGCGGTGGCCAGACCCGTAGTATCCTCCGATCACCACCAGGTCGAGTGACTCCCCAAACTCGGTCATATACTCGGGTTTGACTTTCATCCAGTCGTCGTGTCTTTCGTTCAGACGATAGGGAGACCTGGGGTTCTTCAGCACCAGACCTTCAGATGCCTCTGCGACGACCCTCCGAAGGGACGCCTCCACCTCGGCTTTTCCTGTGGCTTCTTCGTAGGGATGGATCTCAAATCGGCGGTGGACGGGCTTGATGCTCTTTTGCAGCGCGTTTCGCCGGTCACGGAGGGTATACCTTGTCAGGTCTCGCCCATTCAAGTGGAGGATGTCAAAAATTCGGTACAGTGGCCGAGTGCCACTCGAGAACGGATTCCGCTGTTCAGCTAGGGCAGCCGTCTTAAGCGTGCCGAACGGCGCCGGCGCATCTTGCTCGGGATCCCAGGTAATCATCTCACCGTCGAGGATAAGACTTTGGACACCGTCCGCAAACGCGTCATCGAGATGTCTCGTCAACGAGCCGTTCTCGTCGTGGACGCCATTCCCGTAGAGATACGTATAGTCCTTGGCTTTCCTCGACCAGAAGCCGAATTTCCTCCCTCCTGGCACCGACTCGTCGGTATCCATGTGGAGCTGCATCCGCTCTCCATCTAACTTCTCCTCGATCCAAAACACCGGATCGTCTTCTGTGAGTTTCATGCGACTTATCATCCGATCCAGCGAATGCATCTGAAACTGCGCCAGCTGCGGCTGGTAGCACTGCATCAGCGAAATCCCCCTATCCTCGTCCTCCAGCCGAATATTAGGATCATGCAGCTCCCAGCAAACCCGCCGGAGACTACTAGATATGCTGTACAGACTCTCAGCGTCCGGATGCCAGGCATTGAAAAGCGTCCGCTCCGTCGCCCCGACCTTCATCTGCCGAAGGATGATCCGGACCAGCCACATGAGCTCCTCGGGGCTCATCCGTCTGTAGAACTCCGCCATAATCGGCAGCTGCTCGTCTTCCTTCGTCGCCGCCGCAAGCTGATCAAGCTTCCCGTTCACCTCCTCGATGCTCATGTCTCCCACCTCCGTCCGCATCGGCCGCTTCGAGAGCACATCGTAGCACCGGCCCGCGAAATCACCCGCCATGCTAGACGCGCCTGCTTGCCCGGGAAGCTTCCAATTCAACAGGTTGAACCCGTCCTCGGAGTTCTTGTCGATCTTCATAATCTTGACCAACATCTTCCCGATCACCTTTTCCTTGATCCCGTACATCGCCCGGTCCCGATCCTTGTCGGGCAGAATCAGGCGGAATGCGGGGTAGATGTCGTCGCCGACCTCTTTTCGCCATCGCGAGATGAACCGCTCGATCACATCGCGGCGGCGTTCGAACGGGTTCAAATTCGCGCTGGACTGGCCGTGCGGGCCGAGTTTGCGACGCCCTGCGACGGCGCCGGCTGGTTTCTTCTTGATTTCGCTTAGCGGGTTGAAGAGGGTCTGGAATAGCTCGTGAAAGGGTAGCGTCGGTGAATTGTTCCGTGGTCTGTTTGGATATCTATAGGTTCAACAAAAGCATCTAGTCGTCAGTAAGCTATACTTATGGCTGTAAAGGAGGAAGTGAGGATTGGGATGGTCACTTTTCCTCGGGATCCGAGTCGCCTTGTCCCGTAACGAGGCTTGTTGAGCCATCTTTATCCAGAATCTCATCGGAGTCCATTTTGTTCAGATCAACTTCCCAGAGATTTGGGGTTGTTGTCTGACAGCTGCGTTGCAGCGCGTGTTTAAATGGACGCGGAATTAGGCTGCAGCGCCGATAAGATAGCGGAGCCTAGAACATGTGACATCACATCTATCTGCCTGATTATCTAGTACCTAGTGTTTATGATCAGCCCAGCGATCGTTTCGCGCCTTATATCCAGCCATGTCAGTTGAGGTTTAAATGTCCAGGCTTTATTATGCTATTTACATGCTATATACATACTACACACGATTCTCGTATAGTACATGTCCATATAATGACCTCAAAGCATCAGCTCAGCAAGCTTGGTCAGAGTCGCAATCAAGCGCCAAGAGATTCCCCACGAATTGAGGTCCGAGAGAATCTTACAGCCAACACGGAGGACTTCCTTGGGCCCCTGTGGGCCACATATATCACCAGCACCCGTCACAATGCCGCTCATGGTCTGGCCATCCCGTACAAATGATTGAACTAGCCCGTCGTCACAGGGGTGATCAAGATGGATATAGGTTGGCTTGGTCGCCTGACGAGATGCTGGTTCCACAAGCAGGGTAGGCTCTGTGAATTCCTGGGGGCGACACATGCCGTAAGCCCATAGAGTGAGAATAGAAAGGAAGGCAGCCACCGGCTCGTGAAAAGCATTCGTCGAATGGCTTCGGATGTGCGATAAGCAAGAGCCCGCGTGGACGATCGCCAGACGGGCCTTGTACTGATCGTGCTGTATCCAACGGAGGATGTAATGCCACTCGATAGACTGCTGGCGTTGGGTCCACCCAATCTGGCCCGTCACGATCGAGGTCGCTAGCGATCGGATTTCACGGAACGGGGTGAGCAGAACGATTCGTGCCATGTGGAGGTGTAAAAATATCGGATGCTCATGGCCTGGTGCTTGTGTGCCGTTGATCATCCATTGGAGGATATCCAGACAGTCGCACGCGCTGTTGCGCCATTTTGAGTATGCCGGAATGCCTGGGAGCCAGATAGAGCCTGAAGGGATAGCTGCGTCTCGAGACTGCTTCTTTGCAGTTGGGCCCCAAAAGGATAGTGGACGTCGAAAATAATCACCCACTTCCCACGTTCGCTGGTAGAGAGCGTGGGTGAGTAGTATGCTAGTGAAATCTCCGATCCCAGGCACCAGTCGCTTTTCGATGTACATGATCAGCACAGCGTCGTAAAGTGACACGCCTACCGGACCTATTAAGCAGTGTTAGGAGAGCGCGCGAGATAGTTTTAGAGGACAAGTTACCGGAGGGGGTTTCAACAAGCTGCTTCCACATCCCGGCCGATTTCGCCTGCCAGAGGCTTTCGTGAGATGGGAGCGCAGCCTGGCCGTCCTCCAAGGACAGCGACGGGCTACTATCAAAATGATAGGCGAGCGTGCAATCCAAAAGCTAATTCCGATTAATGATGTGACCGAGCGCAGATCCTCGGGGGTTCCTTACCCATACAAAGTACGTGGTCCGTCGTTTCACTTCATCCTCAATCCATGAAGTCCATTGGGTCTCTCGTGTATCTTCACCACATGTAGTGTTCGGTCTGCTCACAGAATACAAGAGTCGTTCACGGCTCACGAGTGTTACCAGATCCCCAAAGCTGTTGAGTGCAGATGCTCTTGTTTTCTCGCTTGCGCCATAAGCCAGTCCGACGCAGTTTAGCATCATTGCCTGAAGAAGCCACAGAGGCGTCTGCTCGGAGCGGTGTTTCTCCCTCTATTAAGATTAGCACAGAAGACTTTTCATTGGCGGTTGAGCACGGCCTACCTCGAAAGCTATAGCTCTTCGAAGGAACTCGTTCATTGCCACAGTACATTCATGGAGGCCTGAAGCCTGGCAACCTATGGCCGAAATGGCCAGTATGACGGACCAATGAGTGTGGTTTGGATTGTATGTAGGGGCGTGAAAGATGGGGTATATTGGCTGGAACGCTTCAAAATAAACACGAATGAAACTTGATAAAGCATTCGCCGACGGAAAGTTGGTCGAATCGAATTTGGCATAAAAAAGACTGTCGGCGCAACATAGCCGGATAAAAGACCTATAGATGTCATCATATGTCGATGGCTCGATGGGAAATTCAATGGCACTTTGTTCGTCGGGCGTGTGTTGAGATTCATGTATGGCAGGGAAGGAAAAGCAGCCCTGCGCGCTTTCTTCTTCCGAGTATGAAGGGACATTGACAAAATTTGTGGGTTGTTTTGACAGGAGGCTCTGTGTCCGATTGTACTTAGAGGGAGGCGGAGCATCACCCATACACTCATCAGTCAACCGTTTTGTGGATGACTGTACAGGAGGTTGAGTGGTATTCTGGGCCAAGTTATTGGGTTCTTTCGGGATTCCGCTGGTCGAAGAATCCCTAAGCGGCGCTTGACAGATACTTTTATCTAGTGATGAATTGATCGGGCCCGTACCGACAACTGGAGGAAGCCAAACCGTTTGACCCAAGGAACCTCCTGTCTGAGGGCCCTGGGCCGGAGCATTAGATCGAAGAGCTTCTCTGTTTGTCCCATCTTGGTACAGATCGTTGGGAAGCCAGTTGATGGTGGAAAGGTTGGGCTCGTTCGAGCCCAATGAGGTCTGCTGCAAGCCCGACACTGTCAATTCTAGAGCATTTGTGTTTTCGTCCCTTTCTAGGGGTCGGGACCTCGTAAAACTACCAACAGGATATTTGTCATTGCGTGGGTGAGTATTTCGTATGTCTGAAGTGGGAACTTCAGGATAGGCGTGGTGTGGGTTTTGCACATTATATAGAGGGAAAGAGGGATACACTGCGGTCCCGAGTTGGCTGGCATTAGGCGCATGCGAAGGCTCCGTCTCAGGAACGTCATCATGCTGGCTCCGAAGGACATTCTGGACGTTTAGCTTGTTCGAAGAGCCCGAGAACGCATCTGATACACTCTGTCCGGGCAATTGAGCTTGAGCCTGAGTCATTTCAAGGTTCAAACTTCGAGACATGACAGGCCCGTCCGACGACTTCATGTGGGTATCAACGTCATCTGCCAATGGCGGTGGGTCTAGAAGAAATGCCGAACTATTCGATGCGCCGTCAAGCACCGGAGAAGCGTCGGAAGATAGTGCTTTCTGCCCTTTGGTTTTGGAGCGTCGCTCCGTCGGATACTGGCACGCAAGCGACCGGTTTTCGCAACGACCGCATGGCATACCACCGCTGCACCGAACTCGTGCCACTGCACATTTGAAGCATGCGCGAAATGTTTTCACTGTAATCCGGTGTGCGTGTCCCTCGGTGCCTTTAGTTCCAACAGAGTGGTGGCTCAGTTCATGACGATGCAGCGTATCCCTAGCCAATGTTATCAGCCACGACGCCTCATAAGTTGTGGATACAGTGTCGGTCGGTCAAACGAGCAAGGAAGCAATGCAGAAGACTTCATATACATACGTCCGAGAAAAGTAACGGCCACACCGTGTGCATTTGAATGGCTTTTCTTTTGTATGACTGCGAAAATGGCGTTTTAGATGTTCAGGGCGTCTGAAAGTACTGTGGCATATCGAACATCGGGGTTGGTTGTCACCCGTGTGGGTTGATCGCTCCTCTTGAGAGTCGTTGCTGTGGTCCCTCGTCGACGCGCTATCCACCTCATGGTGACCTGAAATTTCTACCATTGTTTAGTACCTCTTCAATCCAGATCCCTCGCGACAAGATCTGTATCGGTGGGTATTTCAACGAGTGTAGTATCATCTGCGCGCGCTCACCTTGACTATTCCTATCTTTCCCAGAAGACATGACGCCTCACGGGGGATGAAATATTGGACACCGTGTAAAGGAGAGTAGTTTCACGTGCTAATTGCAACATACACGCAAGCATCAGACTTGAAAGTCAGATTGAGGCAACATGTGTCGTCTAGTAGTGGTGTCAACATCCTTGGGGCTCGAGAACGAGCATAAAAGAGAAATGAAACGGAGTCAAAACCATGGACCATGAGAGCGTCTTCGACCCACTCGTGCCAATCAACAAATGAGCGAGCATTCAAACGACTATCATCGTAGGCAAAATGAAGAAGCGGGGAAGATGGATCGCAGTTTGACTGGGAAGTACCGGCATATTTCGGGGTCTCCGCATTGTTGCCAGGGCCCGCTGTCGGTTAATTTGGATATTTCATCCCAACGCTCCTTTTTATGGCCTGAGAAGATTCCTCGTGATTTGGGGTTTATAGTTTGGTTTGTGCTTCATCTGATTCAGCCATGCAATTGACAAGTACATGTCTTCTATATAATCTTTGTCTCATTGATGTCGTTTCGCCTATATGTATAATATATCCGTTCATTTGTTGTCTTTGCGCCCGTTCTAGAATTTGATGATCAAAGCATTCGTGATTACCTCAGCAGAACCCCCATAGCTACGTCGACAACATCATCATTCTGACTCCGGAGTACGATAATTGACCACATCAATGTCCTCTGTGGTCCTGCCCCGATACAATTTTGGTTCAATTCTTCTTGAGACAGTTGGGACCCCGGGGTTTTCGCATTTTCCAGTCGATCTTGTTTGAAATCTGCTCTACAGCTACCCCCCGAAGGCTGGTCCCATGAATGGCGTCTCCGATACCCGCTATTAACCATCGAGCACCGCCCAATTCCGCCCGTAGTCATGTTCAAAACACCGTGACAGCCATTCAGGGGGCCACTGCGGCCTTTACGGTGACGCCTTCGCAAGATGGACGGCCAGCCACCGGTCAGAAGCCCGGGACGACGACACATCATGCCGGCTACTCCCGTCCCCAGCCAGCGTCTCATCCCGATTCTGAATCGGAACCAGCCCCTGAAGTGGGCTCGGTCAAGGACAAAATTGGTCTGTTCGCTTCTAATTCGCATTTGAACGACTCGCGTGGGAACTCACGGCCGTCCACGCCGGGCACAACCGAGCAAATTGCCGCCCGTTTTGCACTAGGGAGTTCCCAGGCTGAGAAGATCGCCGCAAGTGTGGCCAAGGATGCCGCACAGGAGCGGGGAAAGCCACGTCCGCCGCCAAATGATAGTCATCTTGATCGAGTATCACCGTCGCCTGAACCGATGCAAGATAGAGAAATAACAAAAGTCGGCCCTATTGCGATTAGTTCTTCGAATGGCGAGAAGGTACCACTTAGACACAAGCCTCCTCCGCGCAAGCCATCGCCGAAATCACTTGCGGATGCCACACAAATCGCCTCGAAGAAGCCCCGTCCCGTTCCGCCAATTCCTCGAAAAGAACGGCCCCTTCCAAACACGCCAACGCCGGCTTCCTCAACGCCCATCAACAACCGCGCCGATGAACCCCGCGGCCCTGCAAAAGACCCGCCCAGCCAAAGCGGTGTCGTACCCCTGAAGGATGTCTCTGTCCCGCCAGAGGAAAAGGCACCAGCACTACCCCCTCGGCCGCCTATCTTGTCAACGCCTAAAGTCGACGTGCGAAGCCATCGACATCTTTTGAATGAAAGTGGATCAAACCAATCGACCAGCCCCAGCTCCGGGTCGCCGTACCGCCAACCACGCAGCAACCTGAGCAGTACGAGCTTATCCGGAGAATCAAGGGTCATGGACGAAGAAACCCTGTCTGACGCAATCGTGGCCTCGTCGCTGGCGGCAAGGCATTCCCAGGCGCGGAAAGTCCCCCCGGCGCCGCCCCCACAACGCCGACCAGGGGCTCGACCTATCTTACAACTACAAGCCCCCGGCCAAAGAGATCGCTCCACTCCAATTAGCCCTGCAGGCAGTCTACGGCAGACCCTCCGCAGCGACGGCCTCGACGAGGAGAACGACGAGCACAGCCATCATCATCATCATCATCACAAACCACACTTCATCCACAAGCACCCCCACAGGCACCACGAAGGCGACCGCAAAAAATGGCGCGGCGAAGTGACGGAGAAAGAACGCAAGCGTTACGAGGGCGTCTGGGCCGCCAACAAGGGCCTGCTGATCCCTGCAAAGGAGCAGATGAACAGCAGCGACCGATATCCACCCGACGCCTCCGAGATGGTGGCGAATGTGATCGTCCGCGATATCTGGTCACGCAGCCGCCTGCCGCGTCGCACTCTGCAAGAGATCTGGGACCTAGTGGACCGGCAGGATATTGGGCTCCTGACGCGGGAGGAGTTCGTGGTGGGGATGTGGTTGATTGATCAGCAACTGAAGGGGCATAAACTGCCATCGACAGTGCCAGCCAGTATTTGGGACAGCGTCAGGGACCCATCCGGAATTAATCTCCGCAAGCTTCCTCCTCGGCTGAGATGACCAGGTGGCTTTCTTATTGCGCCCCCCCCCTTTCTATGTACAGTTACGATAGTAAGGGTCTAGACTTCTGCATGCAATCTCGATATTTAGGATAGACCAGCGGTCTAGTTCAGGATCTATTGAAGGGATACATTGGTTTGGGCGGGCCTGGATGGCGTATGATGCTCAGTTAGTTTTACCCACATCAACCAGCGTCAAGCGTAGTATCAAATCATCGACAGCTCGGAGAACTTTTCCGAACCTCCGTTTTCCTTTCCTGGACGGACGCGCAGTTGACGAAAAACCAGGAATGCAAAGTGAATCCTAATGCTGGTGGGGAGGGGTGGTCACACACTTCAGATGCCATTTTATTGACAGCTGAAACCACGCACGGGGTGGCCAGAGACCCGATGTAATATAATACTGACCCGCTGCCTGGGAAGGGATCAAAGATGAACGGGGCGACCAATGGACCCAGACTGAGGCTGTTGGATCGGCATCGTCGATATACAATGAGAAAGGGAGGGAGGGACCGAACCAGTGGAGTAGCTCCAACTGCCTGGTTCAGTAATAGAAACCCCACTGTATCTATCGAGATAGGGTTTCCCACACCAATTAGGGCCCGTTCCACTCCATTTCTGACCTATATACTTTCCGAAGAGCATAGTTTGGTGCCTGAGCGCTACACGGCAGTTGTCTCCTGGGTTCCATGGTATGACTCGCATCTGGTAGTGGTAGATACCATATAAGATTTTGCTCGACGTTCTGTCCTTGGAGATCTGGATTGGGTACTATCCACGACACGACCGCATTGATCCCAGGAAGGAATGAGAGCAAGATATCAGTCATGGTACTTTTGCCGGCATTCCAAATACCTCGTCGACGCATGTACATGTCGTTTTTTTTTTTTTTCTTTTTTTCTTCTTTTATCTGGGCCCATGGTGGATAAGGTTCTCAAACGCGCCCCCTACAGGGCATGAATCCTTCGAACTAGACGTTCGCATCATCCCAAGACATTCATCCAGAAGCAAATTGGCTGTTTCTCTTTTCCTTTCCCCACCTCCTCTTTCTCCCGGAGATGGTAAATGCCGATCCTTTCCTCTGCCTGACTGCCTAGTGACTGTCATTCTCGAACGATCAGGCCATACTAGCATATGCATATCTCAAGGGATGAAAACCCACGGACTCCGATGGTTCCTGAATAGATCCTCCATCATATTGCTCTTTCCATACTTGAGAAAAGACATTTGATGGGCCACGCGAGTTCCGAGAGTCCGATATGTTGCAACGATAAATGATATTAAGAATGACCCCAACATATACGATGATCGTATCACGTGGAGCCAGTCCTAGTAGGAAATAGTCAGGAAATGTACGAACTCCTTACTTCTTCCGTGCTTATTTACTGACCTACGTTCCTACATCTGTCCTGTACCTCGTAAGACACTTACCGTATCCGGTAATTCAAGCCCGGCCAGTTATGCACAAAGTATCCAGTGCATAATCCACCTGTCTCGTCTGTACTTTGTGGTGCCTCAGGTGTGGAACACTCAGACATCGTCAACTCTTCTTCCGGCTCCACTTTCTCCTTCTCAATCCATCCCATCCACGTCGAATGATCCTTTCATCATGCTCCCCATCCTCCCTGTAACAAAGTACTGACTGGATGGAGTGATCATCCTGCAGGTCGCATTTCTTCGCTTCCTTCTCATTTCCATTTCTTTTTTATCTGAGTTCTATTATTTTCATTCTATTCTATGGTTGAGACTTATCCATCGTGCATAGATCGCCCAAATGCTATTCGGTCCCAGCGCCTCCCCCAGGTCCCATTTTTTTTATTGACTAATCATCGTCCATTCTACGCCACATTGGCTTTGACATTTTTCTCCCAAAGGTCAAAAGCCAAATCCCGAAACTCCCACGGTTCGGGGTTTGCTTCATTGGCTATGGATGATTAAGCCCCAGGTGCTGAACCCCCAGCTCTCTTCCTCTTCTCTCACTTCTTTTGCGACGCGACGACTACAAGAAGGATGATATTTATTAACTGAAGGGGTACTTAGGGTAGTCATTGTCAGCCCACGCCATTATTGGTCTTCTGGGAGATCTGGGCTTTTTTTTTCCCCTTTGCTTAAGGGGGATCCATACGGTTCGGTTCGATCGCGTCGGACCGATTCATCTCCTCCCATCTTCTTTTCTGCGCCCCGTAGTGATGCGGATCCGACAAGAATAACTTAACTTATGATCCCGGTGGATGATGGAACCTCGCTTTTCTGTTGAGGCTGCATGATTGACTGTTGCCAAGACCATTTCGAGACGACCACTTACCATACTATACTATGACTGGGGCAAACATGGTTCTCGAAGACATACCTCTCGCTCATGACGATGGAGTTACACAGCCCCAGCTGTCAAGGCCCGGCGTCGTGCGAAAGAAGTTCGCGAAGCCGCCCGTCAAAGTAGCTTGTTTGACTTGGTAAGGGAGATCATTCTGTTTCGGTTTATCTTGTTTCTATTTGTTTTGGTTCCCTGGTTTTTTCTCGTTACCTCCGGACAATACATACCGACCGTCTTTTAATGCTTGTCCGCTAATACTTGCCATAGTCGAGCCTCGAGAACTCGTTGCGATGGACAAGATCCATGTTCCAATGTAGGTCCAAAATCTATATTTCTCTACTGGAAAAACATTCATTCTTCATCAATTCTTCATTTTGTCTTCTATCTTATCTCTCCCTCTTTTGGGGGAGAGGGGCGGTTGCGCTGTTTCCGTTCATCCACCCCGAAGCCACCCCGAAGCCACCGGATGCCATACCGGACTTCTTCCCATCCGCGCATTCAAATCGCCCATGCTGATACGATCGTATTCATCAAGTGTCTTAGTAAGAAGAAGAAATGCTCGTATCTACCGAGTAAGCGCGGTGGCCCAAGAAAGAAAAAGAAGGCTTCGTTTTCCCCAGAAGGTGGGACTCGACAAAATGAGACCCAAACCCCAGCGATCGTGTCGGCCTCGTCGAGTTTTGATGACTGTACGTGAACGGAAAATGATCTCCGCCTCGAAGTCATCGTGTCGCTAACCTCTCCCTGGCAGCATCCGGGATGTTTGGTCAGATCGATGTGCTTTCAATGCCTGGAGCCGGGTTGAGAAGCTTAGACTTTTCCTCGGATGTCCACTCCATGTTCGCCAATTTCTTTGTCCAGAATGATGGAAGCTGTGCCCATGTTCAGATGGGACCGACTCCATCGCCCTCAAACGTGTCCTCGAACGCCTGGGTGAGGACGTACGCAAGTGAATCCGAAATGTGGGTGATCTTTTTGTCCTAGCAGAGTACACTGGACCGTTCTAACGTCAGGGTAGACTGAACGCCTACTATACTTTCATCCACCTCTACTTCCCCATCCTACCACCCCGAGAAACCCTACCTAGTCCGGACCGGCCCGTGGAGTGCGTCGGCTCTTACTCCGAATCACCCTCAGAAGAGCCGATCCTGGTTTACCGGCCATGCTCACCGTTGAGTCTGGCGATCTCGGCTATCTTGGCCCTCGTGCCTCATCCACAGGACCCCGAACCGTCATCCCCTGTTTCGGCGACCCGACGCCGGACGTACGCCCATGCATTTGCCCAACTAGCCACGGCCAAGGTCGAATCCGATTGTGAGCTGCAGGATTCGTCGACAGACCCAGCCCAAGCACTATCGAACGACCGACCCCAGATCGGCCGAGATGTTTTTCACCCTCGGACGCCTGTGATACTGGAGGCGGTCCTGGCATTGCTAATCCTGTCGATATACGAATACACCCAACGCGGAAACCTCCTCAAAATGAGGTACCGCTCGGGCCAGGCATTAGCGATAGCCTTAGATATGAATCTCCATGCTTTAGGCGAAGAGCATGATGACTTTGCGGAAGCCCGACGAAGAGCTTGGTGGATGACGGTAGGTCCACGTTTCACGGCTGCTATCGGTGCATCAGCTGATCTTTCATAGTACTACTGCGTTCTTCAAGGCTCTATCGTCAGTACCACGGTAAGTCTGATCATCTTCCACTCTTCTGTCCCAAACTTGCTGAGAGCGTGGAAACTAACATCTCTGGGAACCCAGCCACTCTCCATTATCGCGAATGACCCTCAATTTGTCACACCGTACCCTCGGTTTTCGACAGACCCGGACGTGAGTATTATCCTTGTCTCGTCTGCGTGGATACATCAGACTAACGCAGCGTTCCATCCACTATAGGGCTGGTCCGTCCTAATGCAAGCTCAGCAAGTATTAGTGTCGGCGACGCAATTTGTCATCGACTTGAACAAGTGCATTGGAACTAGGACCAATATGCATTTCATATATGAACGAATGCGGCAACTCGACTCCTGGGCTAGTACCGCATTAGCGCAGTCCAACTTACTTCCCATAGCACCCCAGCCTGTGAACTGTGGTGACGAGATGGAATATACCACGGCCCAGAGTATCCGTGCCATCTCTCGGATCAAAATATGCAGGTGAGCGTTACCAAGGTAATGGTTGAAAACATTGCTGACTTTCGTCTCTAGTTCACAGATCAAGATCCACCGGTTCAGGGCGTTTTCCGACATCCCTATATTCATCAAGAAGCATTGCGATCTTACCGCGGCCAACGCCAATAATAATTCAGCGCCTGCCAAAACCACAAAAGCCTGCAAGGCGGAAGAGGGGATTTCAACCATCTCCTGCCCGTGCAGCAGCCTAGACTCGTTTCAAGCATCTTCGTCTAGCGAGAATTCAGCATCATCGAACTCCTCCACGTCCTCTGACTACCAACCAGTCTCACAATATTCCTTCTCCAGCGGATTCCCCTTCACCAGCCAATATTCCGCCAGAGTCTGCCTCAAAGCTTCAATCTTACTTTCCCGCATGTTCCAAAGCCTTCCTTTCCCACAGCCCGTTTACGACGGGCACGAGGACCAGCAAGGATCGCAGCAGATCCTCCCGGCAGGCCAGCCACCTCGCACAATGCCCTCATTCGCATGCTGCCTGATGCAAGGAAGCTATGCGATGCTGATGATCTTCTACAAGGCCCGCGTCGAGAGGCAGTTATCTCCCCCGGAGCTCACGACCAGCAACTCTAGCAGTCCATCAGAGAGACTCCTCAAGGAGCTCCGGCAAGGATTAGAGCGAATCATCGCTAGCGTTTCCAATTATGCAATTGCATTTGAGGCGTTAGATGGCATGAGAGGTATGTCCTGTCCTACTTCTGTCCCAAATTTACCTTGCAGAACATTACTAACGCTGAGATACGTTGACAGACGAAATTGAAGGTGCATATCATACAGCGTTTTATCAAGCGTAGATTCCCCTCTCACTCTTTTTTCTTTTTTTTCTTCTCTGCTCTCCACAATAATGGCCCTTCTTCTTCTTCTTCTTCTTCTTCTTCTTCTTCTTCTTCTTCTTCTTCTTCTTCTTCTTCTTCTTCTTCTTCTTCTTCTTCTTCTTCTTCTTTCTTTTCCTCTTTTTCTGCAATAAATCAACTGGTGTCTGTCTAGCATTGAGCGCGGGATCTAGGAAGGGAAGGGTGAACTTGGTCGGTGGGTTTATTATACTGATTCAAAACTTAGCAACTTAGGAGCAAAGTGATCTTATCTCCTCTTTTTTTTTTTTTTTTTTTTTTTTGTCATCGCTGTATCCCTGATCTGGTCTGATTAAGGATCAATACCAATGGTTATATCATATACTATACTATATATATAATTATCGCAAATATATCTAGGGAACTTAGGCATTATTCACACCTTACTAGCACTATAGTTAGAAGCTGGGTTGCAGTAATTTATTGCCACCGAAATGATATGTGCATGTATGACATAAGTGATTGTTTGGTACATAGACACGGTAGTATCATTCAGACAACCAAACAATCAAACAAACTCCACCCAGTTGTCTTGGTTTATGTACAGTTTTCTCTAGAAGAAAGAAAGAAAATAAAACCCAGCAAAACATGGATCTAAGCGGATACGTCCGAGAGAGAGAGAGAGAGAAGAGAGGAAGTAAAGAAACAACCAACCCAACCAATCAGTTCATTAAACGACCTCCATCTAGTGAAAGCAGGCAAGCAAATCAAAGCTTCGACCGAATCCCCTCCAACCGAAACTTAACATCCTTCAACACCTTCGTAGTCGGCTTCCAGTCGTCGAACTGTCTCAGCAATTCCGTCGTCTCGTCGTACAGCTCGCGCCGCACGTACTCTTCTTCGAGGAGGCCGCGCATGGCGAACGGGAGGATGTAGGGGTTTACGGCTGAGGCGGGGTGGCTTCGTTTGATGTGCAGGGTGGCGTTTGTGACGGTTGATGTTTCGAGGGCGAATTCTATGGCTAGTCTGTGGATTGGGTTGTTTGTGTTAAGAATGGGGGAAATGGGACGGATGATAGGTGGGAGTAGCGTACCGGTAGACTGCCTCCTCGTCGTATAGACGGGAGTGGCCGTCTCCTGAGTAGAGACTTCCGGCTAGTGGGGAGCTCAGCTCCCGGATTAGGCCGTGGTCGGAGATACCTAGGTTGCGGAGTTTGAGGGCGAAACCGACGAGGTGTGAGAGGCTAGGTGATTTAGTTGTTAGGAGGCGGAGCGCGGGTTTACAGATGGGAAGGGCTGTTCGACTTACAAACTTGGCGCGTGGACTTTTCCGTCAACAAACACAGCCCGATAGACGTAGGGATGGGTTACTGGTGAGAATAGAGATGACTGTAACACCCGTTAGCCTGGTACGTCGGCAATGTCCGGAAATATCTGTGGAAATTACCTCTAATGAGACCAGCTGGTCGTCGATACTTCCAACGTAGGAGATTCGGACGCCAAAGTTGAGGCAGTTCCGTAGTGCCGATTCATAGTCCTTCGAAACCTGACTGTAGGGCAAAGCAAACTCGAACAGCTCTCCGGCGGAACCACTGATCCATCGCGATCGATAGTCGGCGAAGGGCCCCAGGTTCACACCAGCCATGGCACAGATACCCACCCGAGCAGCGTTGAGGCAGCCAAAGGCGATGAGCTTTGCGACTAATATAATAGCCACTGGGACGCCCTGGCTGTGACTTGCGACTAGGATGAAATCGGCATTCCGGATTTCTTCCATCCAGTTCAGAAGAAGCTTCCACAGAAGGTCCACACGCTCAGCGATGCGGCCTTCACCCTCTAAGGCTATCTTTCCGATATCACACTGATAGCCATGGTCTTCTGTCCATTTGCGTATGGAATCCGCTGCCATGTTTGAGAACCTGATCGATGTCCCCGTGGGTTGCCCGAGCACACTCCGTATCAGCGGTGCCGGGAAATATCCGTGTACCCCTATGGCTAACGCCCTTTTGATACGCGGAGGGTCCCGGATTGCATAGGCATGACTATTATCTGGCTCCTTACTGTAATGTAGAAAGCGTCCAATCGTCTGTATCAAGGAGGGCCGTTCTTGCCAGGGATAAGTATCTTTGAAAAGCGGCAGAACCTGGTTTGTCAATGCCTTCTGTAGTTGTTTAGAAGCACCAGTCTCTGGTGCACTGGGCACTGGGGTGGCGGGAGCCGGTTCCACTGTTGTGGTCTTATCCGGAAGCGCAGAGCTAGAGCTGCTCTTGAGAGATTTGAGCTTGACGCCCCCTTTCTTTGCTACCGCCGCCTTTTGTTCTGTTTCGGATTCCGTGTCGACTTTTGCCGTCTGTATCGAGGAATCTTGGTTCATGGTAGCTTCTACCGCCTGCGGGGGTGGTGTATCCGTGCCTGCGTTCTTCGTGTCCTTTGATGATTCGCGGAACCATAAGGACCAGCCAGATGGTTTAGAATTTCTATTAGACGTTGCTGACCCATCTGACAGACCGGATTTATCGAGATCGTGATTGATAGACGCTGGGGCATTTTCAGCAGGCGTGGCAGACTCCGCAGACTCCTCTGTGGCATTTGGATGGTCAGTTGGTGCCACACTCGGAGCCTGGCTCGGGGTCTGGCTCGCAGCTTGACTCGGGGCCTGATTCGGGACCTCGTCTGGCCCTTTGGTCGAAGATGTCCCGTACCACATCTGTAACCAAGACCGTTTTTGAGAACTCCCCGATATCTCAGACACCTCTGGTGTTGCGTCCTGGCCTGCTGGATCCTGTCCAGATGACGTCTTGTCTGCCCCTTCCTCCTCTTTTGGAACTGATTCTGCGGGGGTGGGTTGCGACGAATCTTTAGCGGGCGGTTCTTCTGTCGTCACGGAGTTCTCTTGGGTTGCGTTATCGGTTGGTGGTGGGCCATAAAACCACGAAAACCACCCACTCGGTTGAGCTGGTGCAGTCGACGCACTGGGTTGCTCCCCGCCTTCCGAGCTAACAATCACGTCCGACGTTTCGGCCGTGGGAGTCACTTCGTGTTGGGCATCGCTTTGAGCGTTCTCTCTCTTATCCGTTGGCTCTTCCTTATCAGGTGTCTCTGTCGTTGCGCAATCCGGGTCTGTCTTGAGCTCTGGGGTAGACGCAGAACCATCAGACGCAATGTTGATCCTAGTGGTCGTGGTGGTCGCGGGGAGAGATCTGCTGGACGCGCCCGCTTTCCTCGTCAGTTGATAGGGGAGATGGCGATTTGGTTTGGGAGAGACCCGCTTGCGAGTTGATGCAGACGGTGTGTTGGATGGTGTATGATTGTGGTCGGCTGAGATGCTCTCACGGGCAACCTCGGTAACGGGGGCCGCCTTGGACGATCTGGAGGCAGCCGGCCAAACAACTGGATACCAGTTCTATCGAACCAACAAACACATCGTCAGTTAACCCCGTTGTGAATGGAACAGGAGCAAACAGTAGACCACTAGAATAACTACAGTCTCGAAGATAATGGAGACGTAGACTTACCACACCGGTTGTTCCCTGCCTCTGTGAGCCCGATCGCTCTCTATGGGGAGAGCAACCAGCAGCCCCGTCGTTCGCCGACGGACCAGATTGCTCGGCCGCGCCTGGTGGGGTGAGCTTCACTCTCTTGCGAGGACCCGCTGGCGCCATGGAAGTATCAAGATGCACATAACCAGAGCAGGTAGATTGACGAGGGGAAATCTTGCAATAAAGAACAGCGTCATTCGTTAGTCCGCCACATTCCTTTGATTGCCTGAGTTGTCGCAGATTATGTCATCGGGCGTCACGTCACATGGTGCTCCGTCTGGCCTGAGGCCGGGGTTGTGGGTGCCTGAGGCGGTGACTCTGTTCTGCCACGTATCACCGCCTGGACCGAAGAGGAAGAAAATTATTTCGGGCAAAAAGTGGAGCCGGGCCTGGCTCTGATAACTTTTTTTTTCTCCTTCCCGTCTCTCTTGTCCCTGTTAAACACAACGGACATCGTACCTTAGGCTCTCGTCCTTCGGTCTTTTATCTTTGTACCATTCTTTTTTGGTACCTCTGGGAATTGCTGAGTCGGTTTTGACTCCCAATCCCTCACCATGGCGGTCCAGAAAAAGGTATGTGGATGGACAGACAAAATCTGATGCGCATCAAGTGACCCATACTAACGATTCGCAGCATGGTAAAGGTCGTTTGGATAAGTGGTATCACTTGGCGAAGGAGAAGGGATACCGAGCGAGAGCTGCGTTCAAGCTGGTTCAGCTGAACAAGAAATATGGGTTTTTGGAAAAGAGCAAGGTCCTCATCGATCTTTGCGCTGCACCCGGTGTAAGTAGATCCTGTCTCATTCCGCCCGTTCGATCGATCTCCTGTCAGTTCTAACAAGCTTCACAGTCGTGGTGTCAAGTTGCTGCCGAGTGTATGCCGAATCAGAGTATCATCGTCGGTGTCGATCTTTCTCCGATCAAACCCATTCCCCGAGCTATCACCTTTCAGAGTGATATTACGACCGATAAATGTCGCGCTACGCTCCGATCTCACTTGAAACACTGGAAGGCGGATACGGTGCTGCACGATGGTGCTCCCAACGTTGGTACTGCCTGGGTGCAGGATGCCTACTCGCAGGCCGAACTGGTGTTGCAGTCCTTGAAGCTGGCTACGGAGTTCTTGACGGAGGGCGGTAATTTCGTCACCAAAGTCTTCCGGTCGAAGGATTACAATTCTCTACTCTGGGTTTTCAAGCAACTGTTCACATCCGTGGAAGCCACGAAACCGCCTTCCTCTCGAAATGTCTCTGCGGAAATCTTCGTCGTCTGCCGTGGCTTCAAGGCTCCCAAGCGTATCGATCCCAAATTCCTGGATCCCAAGCACGTCTTTGCGGAACTGTCAGCCCCGACCCCGAATTACGAAGCCAAAGTGTTCGACCCCGAGAAGAAGAAGCGAAAGAGAGAAGGCTACGAGGAGGGTAACTATACGCAGTTCAAGGAAATCCCGGTCACCGAGTTCATCAACACCCAGGATCCGATTTCAATCCTGGGAGAGTACAACAAATTAAGTTTCGTACAGCAACCCGGAGGCGATCTTGCCATGGCCACTCTCAATCGACTGGAGGATACAACCGACGAGATCCGGACCTGCTGTGAGGATTTGAAGGTTCTGGGTAAGAAGGAGTTCAGAAACCTGCTCCGATGGCGGTTGAGGGTTCGCGAAAAGTTTGGTCTCGCCGTCAAGAAGGGCGCACAGGCCAAGAAGGAGGAGCCCGAGGAAGTGGCCGAGGTCGCTCCCATGGACGAAGAATTGGCAATCCAGGAAGAGCTCCATCGACTTCGGGACAAGGAAAGCGCGTCCCGGAAGAAGGAGCGACGGAAGGAGAACGAAAAGAAGCGCAAGGAAATCGTCCGCCTGCAGATGCATATGACCACCCCCATGGATATTGGCATGGAGCAATTGGGCCCGAACGGCGACGACCCCACATTTTCGCTGAAGCGCATCGACAGAGAAGGAAAGAGAGACGCGATCGCGGCTGCTGGCGGGGACGCTCACGGGGTCAGCGAGAGTGAAGAATCCGAACCTGAATCCGACTTGGAAGTGGACAGCGACGATGAAGGCGATCAGCTGGAGAGAGACCTGGATAACATGTACGAACAATATCAAGGTCGCATGGAGGACCGTGATTCCAAGCTGCGCGCAAAGAAGAATCGCAAGGCCTACGAAGCGGATGAATGGGACGGGTTCTCGGAATCCGGCGATGACAAGGACGAAGAGTCGGATGGTGAGGATCAAGACTCTGCTACCCCGGCACCGCCCAAGGACGGAACGCTCTCGAACAATGCCGCGTTGTTCTTCGACCAAGATATTTTCCAAGGGTTGGGAGTTGACGACATTGAGGACGAGGAAAGCGAGGGCGATGCCGAGGAATCGTGGGAAGATATCGACAACCACGAGGCCAAGCCTGCCTCCAAGAAGAAGAACAAGGAAGTTGCCAAGAAACCTACTCAGGCGCTCGACGACTTTTCGGACGGTGAACCCGAAGAAGTCGATGACCCGCGGAAGGGCAATGGTCAACTCGGTAAGTGCTCCAGTCATGCTACCATTCTTCGCATATTCCATTCGCTAATGCTTTGTCTCAGATATCGATATCATTACCGCAGAAGCCATGGCATTGGCCCAGCAAATGGCGACGGGCGAAAAGAGATCCAGCGACGTCGTCGACGACGGATTCAACCGCTATTCCTTCCGGGACGTTGACGGTCTCCCCGATTGGTTCATGGACGACGAGACCAAGCACAGCAAGCTCAACCGGCCTATCAGCAAGGCTGCGGCTGCGGCAATCAAAGAAAAGTTGCGCGCCATCAACGCCCGACCAATCAAGAAGGTTATGGAAGCCAAGGGCCGCAAGAAGATGAGGGCGGCCACCCGACTGGAAAAGCTGCGCAAGAAGTCGGCGCTGCTGGCGGACGACGAGGCTCTCAGCGAGCGGGACAAGTCGCAGGCCATCTCGAAGCTGATGAGCAAGGCTGCCAAGAAGAAACCCAAGCAGCAGGTGAAACTGGTTGTCGCCAAGGGAACCAACCGGGGTATCTCCGGACGGCCGCGTGGTGTCAAGGGCAAGTACAAGATTGTGGATTCACGTATGAAGAAGGACTTGCGGGCGCAGAAGCGACTGGCCCAGAAAAAGAAGCGGTAAACGCAGGAGGGTTATGGTATATACGAGATCTGTCCTGGTGGATCCCTGTACATAAAGTAATGCAAATCAAATCATTGATACCCAACCTATCTTTTATTTACCTCGTACACATTATAAACCTATGAATATCATGAGAGGAAAAGAGATCTGGTTCAGGAGGAGTGGGGGAAGTAGACCCCGGCATGAGACATCGTCCCAAGACCATGGTTCTCAACCCGGACTAAAAACGCGGGCTAAAACGCCATGCGACCCGGAGTGGCGGCGGAGGGCGAACCATCAACTGGTCCATCTCGCCGTCATCTTTTTTCTTTCTTCTTTCTTTCTTTTCTTTCTTCCTCTTCAACCTCTCCACCAGCTCCACCCGTGTGATTCATTTGATTCCCCTTCTTTTTGGTTGTGAATATTTACATCTTACATTCTTTACTTACACTTGTATATCTTACCTTGCATTCTCCTCCTTGCATATCTGACCGGTTCACATGTCTTGGTCTATTTCCGTCACAAAGAGCCAGAAATAAAAAAAAATCATAAAAAAAAGAAAGAAAAATACAACCAAAAATACAAAAGAAAAGCCCGCCCACGTGTGGCCCACTCGTCATCTTCATGGGGTTTTTTGACCACCTCCAGAAAGGAGGGTCATTTTCGTTGCAGCCGAAGAAGCCGCAGATTCGCAAAGTCGTCCAGACGCGCCCCGCGGCCCCCTCGAGGTCTTCTTCGCAAACGCCCAGCAGCGCGCAACCCCGCGCGTCATCGACGGATAAATCTCGGCACCCTCGATCGCAACGCAGCTCAGCCTCGCGGGATTCGGAACCCCCAGCCTCGAAGCGACGGCTAGGAACACCTCTGCGGAGTCGGAAGCGCCAAACTCCGGAACTCCGACTCTCGAGCGATGACGATGACGATGCGAGCGACACCGACGCCTCGTTTGAGGTGCGCAAACGCGCTCGGACGAGCGACAGCGCGGAACCGGACTTGGAGCGGCGGGTGCGGTCTTTGAAGGCTTTTACGGAGGACGCGGTCAAAGCACTGCCGATGGTACATGCGGCTGAGATCACTTCGGTGCAGAAGCCTGGGAATTTCCAACCGGCGTTCGGGCGGACAGATCAGCCTGCGGAGGTTCTCCTGCAGTATCCGAGCGCCTCCCCGAAGGAGAGGTATGGTCCTCCTTTGCCTCTTTTTCTTTTCTCAATACTAACAATCCGGTGATTCCAGGTACCAGCTCATGGTTCCTCGCGACAAAGACGACTTCAAGCCTCTCGACGACATCTTCCACGTTATCGATATCGTTTCCCAGAACTACCTCCCTGATGACGAGACCGACGTGTTCGACAACGAATCCACCGGAATCAAGAGGAGGATGCGCCGCGCGATGGCCCAGTCTTCTGAGGACGACTTTCGAGAAGTGGTGGCGGATTACAACCGTACGATTGAGCGCTTGAGGCGGGACGGCATCATCGCAAAGAAGCTCGACGCCACCCACCGCTTGGAGTTGCCGCATGTCGAACGGATCTTGACCCAGATATACTCCCGCACGGTCTCGCCGCGGGTTGATACGCTCCGTCAATACGAAAACGGTTCAGACAACGTCTACGGCGAACTGCTCCCCCGGTTCATAAGCACGATCTTTAAGGAAACGGGCTTGAAATCGGGCCAGGTGTTCGTTGATCTCGGATCTGGCGTGGGAAATGTTGTCCTTCAAGCGGCGTTGGAGATAGGCTGCGAAAGCTGGGGCTGTGAGATGATGCAGAACGCGTGCGACCTGGCCGATCTCCAGCAAAAAGAGTTCAGAGCGCGGTGTCGACTGTGGGGGATCGCGCCGGGCAAGACCCATCTCGTCCGGGGCGACTTTCTGCAGGAACAGAGCATCATCGATGTGCTGAAGCGCGCCGACGTCATCCTCATCAACAACCAGGCCTTTACACCCCAGCTAAACAACGAGCTGATCAATCATTTCTTGGATATGAAAGAGGGCTGCAAGATCGTATCCCTCAAGTCGTTCGTCCCGGCCGGTCACAAGATCCAAGCTCGGAACCTCAACTCCCCCATCAACCTGCTGAAGGTCAAGCAGAAGAATTACTGGTCCAACAGTGTCAGTTGGACTGATGTCGGCGGCACCTATTTCGTCGCTACTAAAGACAGCTCCAGGCTGAAAGCCTTTGCGGACAGTATGGGGTGAGAAGCAGGTCTCGTCCCGTCCTCCCACTTCATTTTCCCTTTAGGGAAGTATAAAGCTACATTTGGAAAGCAAGGTATATTATTTGCTTTTTTTTTTCTTGTCTTTTTGTTTGTTGCTTGCGCGTGTCTTATTTGCCCTTTCTGGAAAGATATTCCCCCCACCGCGATACACGATACGATACCACTCTTTCTTGTATAAACAGACTTTTCTGCAACGCCAGCATGTGCTTTTTTGTCGCTTTCATAGAAACATGTGTTTCGGTTTGGTGCTTATGACTTGACGCAAGATTATGGGATGGGATGGGATGGGATGGGATGGGTGAGCCGCGGGTGTCAACATGGCATCCTGTGCATATATCATGGGTATCATTACATAGAACAGAGCAGGTATAGAAGAGAGAGAAAGAAACCATCAGAACCGTGCAGGACACCTGCGCTGCATGTTACAAGAAGAACACTTGTTTGTTTAGTCCGACCCTCATCACCCTCAAGAATATTTGGAAGCGTCATTCATAGCTTCCGCCTCCCTGCCCATCCTCACCATCCACCGATCAACGAGCTCCTGATTTTCCCGCTGCAACCGACCGGTGCGTTCCTCAGCCATATTAAGCTGCAAGTTCAACGAAGCAAGTTCGTCTTGGAAATCCTAGAAACAACCCAATTAGCATAGGAAAATGCGCCGGGACCAAGCCAATCAATGCCTACATCAAGTAACTTCGCTTTCCCCCTCAACTCCTCGTCGCGATCCTTCAACCGCAACTGTAGATGTGTCGCATCTTGCTCCAGCGTCTTAATCCGCCGACCGTCAAGGGTATTCCTCTTGCGCAGCTTCTCCAGGTCAGCGGTTGTACGATTCAGTCGGTCCTGCAGCTCCGAGCGCGATCGCTGCGCTTCCGACAGATCCGCGCGAGTGAGGGCTAGAAGATCGTGCGGCGATTGCGCCGACTCCCCTTTCGACTGCTTCTTGGGATCGGTGGTGGATGGGGAGCGCGCGGCTGCTGCTGGCGATTGGGCGCCAGATGGTGGTGCGGTGGTGGGCGTTGAGCGACTGGCTCGGTCGGCGAGTTTGGTGTCTACAGCCGCAAAAGGAAAAAACTATGTGGTTAGTGGGTGCGGTCTGGGGCAATGTGTGTATCAGTGGCGTTTTGTCACGTACAAGCGTCGTAGATGGCGCTGTTGGCTTTTTCTCGTCGATCGCGAACCGCCAAGGCGACGGAGTACTCCTCGCCCCAGGGCGCCATATGAATATAGATTGTAGATAGATGATATGAGGGGTTGTCGACTTAAGAGAATAGGAAAGTGGATCATAAATGCATGTTGACACAACGGGTTGATGATAAGACCGGAACGTATATCCCCTAACAAATAGTAATAATGTCGTGATACCAGACGAACTGGCTACCAGCTAGTAGCCCATGATACCTAGATGGTGAAGTGTTGTCGGGTGGATAAGTGGGTTGGGTGACGATATCGCCGACCGCGTGCCAACCAGCACACCGCCTCGGCCACCGCCTGTGGGGGCGCATGCATCATCGAGGCAGTGAGTGAAACCAACCATTCCTCATTCACTACGAACGACGGCGACTACTACCTCGTCCGTTCTTCACGACCAGTTCAGACTATCGTTTGCTGTCTTGATTGAGCCTTTTTGAAAACGCTCTTGTTCTTGCTTGACTTGACCCTCGCGCATCTCCCGTCTGACCTTTCCGTCGTCCGTATCGGCTCTTATCTCCCGCCATGTCGTTACGGAAGAAGGTCTTATTGAAGGTGAGTTTTTCCCTCCCCTACTTTACTCGACGGTCGCTTACACGAATATGGTCTGTAGGTGATCATACTGGGTGACAGTGGCGTGGGGAAAACAAGTTTGATGAACCAATATGTCCGGGCTCCTCCACTTCTCCAATACCCAAGACCTATACAGTCAACTGACCCTCCAACGTTAATCTACAGGTCAACAAGAAGTTCAGCGCAAGCTACAAAGCCACCATCGGTGCGGACTTCCTGACCAAAGAGGTCCTCGTCGATGACCGTCTGGTAACAATGCAGGTAAATTTGCGTCCCAACTACCCTACCTATGCACGGCTGGGAATAAGAGTGGGCTGACTTGACTTCTTTCTGCTGTCGATCAGATCTGGGATACGGCTGGTCAAGAGCGCTTTCAGTCTCTGGGCGTCGCGTTCTACCGTGGTGCTGATTGCTGTGTGCTGGTGTACGATGTCAACAATCCTAAGAGTTTCGAGGCGCTAGATAGCTGGCGGGATGAATTCTTGATTCAGGCTAGTCCTCATGATCCGGAGAACTTTCCTTTTGTATGACTCTCTCTCTTCCTCTATACATATATATCCACATATGTATGTGTCTGTCTGGCGATCTCTGCTAACCAGAATAGGTCGTGATCGGTAATAAGATCGATGTGGAGGAGAACAAGCGCATGATCTCTTCGAAGCGCGCCATGACCTTCTGCCAATCGAAGGGCAACATTCCCTACTTTGAGACCAGTGCCAAGGAAGCCGTAAACGTGGAGCAGGCTTTTGAAGGTGTGTATCTTCATGTCCTTCTGCTCAACGATCTCACTAGACACACACTGACATACAATGCAGTCATCGCACGGAGCGCATTGGCCCAGGAAGAGGCAGAGGAGTTCAGCGGTGAATTCAGCGACCCGATCAATATCCACCTGGACAATGAGCAGGATGGATGTGCCTGTTAAATTCTACACGATACACATGATTTGCGAATGACTTTCCACCCGTTTCTGAGATCATCGTCTTCTTTTGAATGTGTTCCATGATGTTTTGTAGACTTGTCGTATTCCTTCTTGATTGACTTGGGACTTGACGCAAGGTGTTTCTTCTCCTGGGATATCCTGATCAATGGTATATATTTCAGGCGTTCCTCTTGTATCGCCCTTTTTGTTCCTGCTCTTCGTTATTCTTGATTGTCCGCCAGGATTTGTTTTTCTAGTCCAAGTGTCTTTCCTTTTTGAAGGCAGCGAATAATTCACGTGTAGTTTGCTAGGAGTTAGGAATTCCACGATTGAATTGACCGTGAATTATCATCGTCAGCGGAATATAGTACATACCTTATCAGTCCCTTGAGACCCTGCAGCAAGGGAGCATAACGGTCATCTTGGCACAAGAGCAGCACGAGATGTGACTGCGTAACGGGATGATCTCTCCGTCTCCAAACCCCACTCGACCCAAATCCTCCATGTCTTATCTTCCCTGCCAAATTCTCCAAAACACCCCGGTGGTTTGCTGCTCTGATGGGTCTAGTAGCCAGGGATTAATTAACCAGTCTCATGTCGGTCGTCCTTCGAGGCATCGGGGTTAGTTCCGTCAGCTGATGCTCCAATAACGAGAACCAATACTATGGTACTGCTTGACCGACGATCGACATCCCAAGCAGTCGACACTAGTGTCCGAGATTCCACACTTCAGGCGGTCCTTTTCCCCTGACAATCAGCGCGAACCCACCGACCGGAGTTCTCATCCATGTGCGCGCGTGGGCACTTTTTGAACCTTGAGAACTGTGCTCGCGCTCGGAAAAGATCCAACCGTTTACAGACACCACTTAACCCTCATCCCCGACATAAATGGACGAATCTTCGAACCCCAAGGGCCTGGCCCGCCTGTGTGTCACAAGACGGTCTCTGGGCGTTTGTCTACTATTGATTGTGGTCGTCCTATGGACGACGTCGAATTTTCTGGCTAGTGTAAGTGCTTGTTGCTGGGCTTTCTTTGTGGCGACCAATGTTGTAAACAGCGGGATGCTAATGTTGATGGAATTTTTTTTTCTACGGTACTTTAGACTATCTTTGCGGATGACACGTATTCGAAACCTTTCTTCGTTACCTATGTCGATACGTCGATGTTTATTCTCCCGTTTTCTGTGATCATTTTCCGAAGACTCTGGGGGCTGTGGCGTGCCGGAAAACTCAATCGCATCAACTCTTTCTCGAGCTTTATCGACCTCATCGACTCCCAAGACCCGTCGTCCAGTGGCGAGACACAGAGCATCATCAGCCATGGCGATGGCGACCGGGACCGGGACCCTGAGATGTTGGACGTGGGGATGATGGACCCCGCCTCCAAGGAGGGAGAGTCTTCCAAACTGGGAGTGCGGGAGACGGCGAGGTTGAGTCTCCAGTTCTGTATTCTATGGGTAAGTCCGGTCAATCATGCTGACGCGTCGTCGGCGATTCAAGTTCATTGCTAACCTGTGGTAGTTCCTTGTAAGTGGCCCATCTGAGGCTTGTTTGAGGCCCCTGTCCGACCTCACGCTCATTCCGTGATATATAGGCCAACTACTTTGCGCTGGCTTGTCTGCAATACACTACCGTCGGCAGCACGACGATTCTCACGTCCACCAGTGGTACGATCCCACAATAGTGTGCATTCATCGAAGATCCAACTGACACAACTGACTGCAGGCGTCTGGACCCTCATCTTCGGGGCCATGATCAGAGTCGAAAAGTTCACCCTCCGCAAACTCGCCGGTGTCATCGCCTCGCTGATCGGAATCGTCCTGATCTCGCGCGTCGATCTATCCGGACCGTCGACCCCCTCCGCAGGCGATGGCAATGACGGCAAATTCCCGACGAAGAGCACGGGCGAGATCGCCCTGGGAGACGCCATGGCCGGCTTCAGCGCCATCATGTACGGCATCTACACGGTTGTCCTCAAGAAGCAGGTCGACGACGAGTCTCGCGTCAACATGCCCATCTTCTTCGGTCTGGTCGGGATCTTCAACATCGCCTTTCTCTGGCCGGGGTTCATCATTCTGCATCTTATCGGTCTCGAAGAGTTTGCTCTTCCCCCGACGGCAAATATCACCATGATTATCATTGTATGCTTTCCCTTTTTTTTTTTCTTCTTTCTTGTGGGCACCATTGTCTAACCACCACAACAGTTCAACTCCCTCGCAGCCCTCGCCTCAGACATCTGCTGGGCATACGCAATGCTCCTCACCACCCCGCTAGTCGTAACCGTCGGCCTCAGTCTGACCATCCCCCTCTCCCTCGTCGGGCAGATCGTGCTCCAAGGCCAGTACGCCAGCGCGGTTTACTGGGTCGGAGCGGGCATCGTGTTCCTCTCGTTCCTGGTCGTAAACCACGAGAGCAAGACAACCGCCGAAGAGACCTCCGCTGCGCCTAGCGATTCCACCACCGACCAACGATACGACGCCGTGCCGGCTCACGAAGACGATCAGTAATTTAGACTTCTCTGTTTATATTTTACCCCTTTTATTACTACCTTTATTATGATCATCAGCATCATGTTTTTACTTATTTTTGGTTGGGATTTCGCTCTGTGTTGGGGATAGATGGATGACGGACGGTCGGAAAGCAAGCGATGGGTATAGTATACGTTCTGCGATCTGCATACTCTTTCTTCCTTGCCTTGTTTTTGCTGTGTACATTGCCTCTATACATAAACTTATATATGTATATACATATGGATGATTGATCCCAGGGGATTGGTCAACATTCATGTTTATCTTTATCTTCATTTGCATTATTTCTTGTCTTGCCCCCCGTCATTCTAACTTTATGTTCGAATCAATTGCCTGTACCCAATTTTCACACGTTATGTACCAGACTTTAAGCCTGAAATAGTCAACTTTCTTTGAGGTAAATAGAATTGTCAGCTGATTTGCAAAGCTCATCGTTTGTTTTGACTTTCCTTGCAATCTTGCAAGCAACTACTCGCAACCTTTTCCATACCTTCTAAATCATCAATACCATCACACTTCCTACTTCCACCAGCCACCCCCCGATCCCAACAGTGAAAATGATCGGCAACTCCCAGCTCTTCCTCTTCGGCCTCGAAGGCACCGAAATCAACCTCCCCAGCTCCGACTCACTCCAAATCCGCGGCAACACATGGGTAATTGACAAGAAGCTCAACGAAGTCTCCTGCAGTACCACACGCGAGAATCTCGACCGTGCGGCCCCATCTTACACAATGGGAAAGTTCTCATGTCATCAGACAGGAGCTCCTCCCGAGTCTGCGTTTATGAGAATCTACGCTCAAGTCCCGATCGACGAAACCCAGTTCCTGAGACCTGAGATACGGGCAACGCAGGCTGTCCCTCCTTACCGGCATGGTGAGGTTATGGCGTTGAAACGGTTCAAGGAGGGTGGCTGTACGGTTGTGCCGGAGCTTCTTGGGTATGGTGAGCTTGTTCAAGATAGGTATGGGCTTGTGTCCGGGGGGTATATCATCTATCTTGTTTGGAAGAAAGTTCCAGGCGAGTCATTGTCACGACAGTTTTTCTGATCGTTTGATCTTCCCACGCGAGATCTTATTCGTCGGAGTTTTCGAGCTGCTTATGAGTGAGTTCATAGAAGCCTTTCTGACTATAGATCAGGTTGATATATATTATAGAACGTTGATATCTTTTGGCTATATGTCAATGACAAAAACCCCGGCTAAGATTCTTTGGGATAAAGACTCTGCTGAGTTATATATCTCTGGATTCTCAACAGCTGTCAAAGTCGACCCTACCAAAGAATGGAATGATGAGAATTACGCCATATTCCAACTTCCCAAGCGACCTAGGTATAACTGGGAGGACACCACTTTATGGGAGTGGTGAAACAAGAGAAGTTTCCACTCTATCTTTGAAGATGCGAGTCAACTCCCCTCTTTGTTTAGAGGTGCGAGTATCTCATATAGCAAATAAGACTCCTCTTTACTATGAAGATGGGAGCAGAATACTCTCCCTTTTCTGGGAGGTGTAAGTGATCATCCCAGTGCCCTCCTCCAAATACATGGAGTAGCATATGACAGATGCGGATCATGAGTCCTTGACATGACTCGGAGGAGCCTAGTCACTTGCATATATAACTTCTTTCTGTGGCAGTGAATGCAACTGGGTAATATATCAGCTGATTTGCAACGCTTTCTCTCACCATTTGGATTTGAAGTTTCTTTGCATTCTTGCATTCTTGCAACTACTTCAGTGCTTTTCATAGCGTGCTGCTCCAATGCTGAAATCTCCAAACCAATGGTACTACTACATACTTCAATTCCAGTAGTGAGAACGATCGGTAAGGCTCAGTTCTGTTTGCTTTGATATCAGAATACTAAAGGTTATTTGTTTCCAGCTCTGACTCGCTCAAAATCTATAGTTGTATATAGATGATATTACAAGGAGCTTAACGAAGTCTCTTATAATATTATACACGAGGATCTTGATTATGATAATCATACAGAAACTACGTTACCTTATATAACAAATTCTTACAATGATCAGGTTAGAGCCGTCTCCAATTCCACCTTTTTAAGAATCTACTCTCAAATCCTACTCAATCACAGAATACCAGTTTCCAAGTCTCAAGATTCAAGTCAAACAAGCAGCCCCTTCCTGTGAGCATGCTAAGATCACGATATCAAAAAGATCCAAGCAATGTAGCTCCTACCCAAGAGAGCTTGGGTATAATGAAACCGTTCAAATGGAGAAAGAACGGACTCGCGCCTGCAGTATTATACATACAAATCCCAACTACTGCACCGAAATACCGAACGGCATTTTGGTCGGACTGAGTATGTCTGATATATGTTCACTTGTTTGGGATAAGGATAAGAATCCCTACTAAGATTCAGGTTTAAACTCGGTCCGTGAGTCTACTCGAATCTCAAGGGAAGACAACTGCTAACCATGTAGGCAGAGTTAATCATGGCTGAGCCTCTTCACACATTGCAGACTGGTGGTGGTGATGAAGGCCCTGAAAAGGGGGACAGTAAGCGTGGAGGAACCACCAAGAAGGTAGGAAACCCCTCAGCTGGATCAGACTAGAAGAAACCCAAGCTAACCACACTGAAAGCGCTACCGTGTAAAAGTGCGGCGTATGCAGCCGCCGCGGCCATCACACCCACGAGCATTGGAAGCATGGTGGTAGTGCCACGGAAACGAAAAATATCGCGGTATGAGCCATATATATACGCCTCTTATAGTCAGATCAAGATATCCAGCAGGCGAGCTTACAGCAACGAGGCCTGATCGATGAGCTAGCTAGCTACTCCGGCGGAACGCGGAGCGGAACTCTCTCGTCAGCTCCTGCGTAGACAAGGACCCTCCGCGGACGATGTGCAGACGCTTGCCACTCAGCAGTCGGAGGCATCCTCTATCTCAGAGGGCCTGGGGGAAGAGCTGGATATTAGTCTGAAGCTCAACTCTGACAGCGAAGAGGTAGAGATTGATAATGATGATTGGTGGGTCTTGGGCTGTTTTGCTTGTTCTTTTCTTGCTTTGCTATCTTTTCTTTCTTTGTTTTTGTAATCGTCTCAGTTGAATGAATATGTCCCAGTACAGGGTGTTACACAAGGGGACTCAGCGAGTGCAGAAGTGTCTAGATATCTTTTGTAGCCAAATGGTAGTTATTCTTTGCGTCAACTTCATTATTTTACTTGTCTACTTTATTATATATCTTGCACTACCCCCACTTGTCGGTGGATATGAGACGGGTCAGCCCTATCATGCCCTCCGGGGCTGATCCACCTAGTGTATATGTAGGTAGATGCCTGAAGCAAGAGAAGATGAATATGTTGATGAAATTTCAGAAATAGATATTGAATGTATATATATATTGAGAAATGGAGCGAGGGAGTGTAGGGGCCGGATTAAAATACAGTAGGTAGAAGGCGTGTAGAAGATGAACGACGAAAGCCCAGATATTCGATCTCTCTCTCGCTCTCTCTCTGGTCGGATTATAGATCGATATGATATGATATGATATGATAGACAAGAAGGGATGAAAGTAGAGATAAAATATTAATAAACCTTGTAAGGGGAAATATGGAAGGAAAGGGAATAATTTTGTATTGTACAAGGAGACAGGGAAGGAGACAGAATTAAGTAGCTTTCTTTCGCGCGACGAGGACGCTCTTCAGAGAGCCGAGCCACTTGGCGAGCGATTCTTCGTCTTCGGTGCATAGTCGGTAGGATTTCTCTTCTGCGATGATCTGGATGCAGTTCTGTTTGGAGCGCGACACGGGGTCGATCTCTGCGGCGTCGATGACTTGTTCCATGGGGATGATTCGCACGGCGGAGTATTCCTGTCATTAGATGTTAGTGAATCTGTTTTCGTGCCGGCACACCGTCCTGATAAGGTCTCCGTAGCAGACGAGAGAAGAGCATACCTGATCATCCTTGTAGAAGGAAAGGCTTTTTGGGCGCAAGACCACCCACAGCCGTTTCCACTGGCGCACGGTGCCCTTGATCCGAAGACACTGCAGGTAGCCGTTGCAGATCACTCTCTCCGGGTCGCGCGGGGTGGCCGCGTCGACGACTCGGTTCTGGTCGCGTGGCAGGGGCGGTTGGGTGCTACTCGGGGCCGACGCAGACAGGTTCTGGAACGAGGACTTGGACTTGACGTAAGTGCTGGCCGGACCGTCCGACCATTCCGAGTAGGAGGTGATGTCGTTGCCGGAGTAGTCTTGGATGGACGTGAGACGGCTGGAGTGACGGCCCAGCTCCGGCGAGCTGGCTCGTCCCGCATGTTCGACCTCCGAGTGGTCGGTCGAGTCGTAGATGCGCGGGCGGGGCGCGTTCGCCGTCGCCTTTGGTTTCCCCCCTTTTCCTAGAAACGCTTCCTCCTCCTCGTCCACGCGGGTCTCGGCGCGAATACTCTCGATCCAGACCTGTGCCTCCTTCTCCGACGACGCCTGGAAGCGATAGTTTTTCGAGGGGGAGAAGATCCCGAAGACGTGCTGTTTCGACGAGCGCGGCGATCGGACGGGCGCGACTGCGGTTACTTCGGACAGGGTGATCGACGCGCGGAGCCGGGTCGCCTCTTCATCTTTGTAGACGGATAATAGATTCGGTCGCAGTACTAGATACGCTTGTTTCCAGGAAGCTCGGAACGCCTGAGCGCATGCAGGTTAGCAGAGGGGACATGACTTGAACTTCGGGGAGAGGGATCCACTAACATGCTTGTGCTTCACGCGACGAAGGATCTTGCCCGTCTTCAGAACCCGGTCAAACTCAAAGCTCCCATTCTCGTTGACGGGGGAGAATGTGTCCAGATTGACGTGTCCGACGTGAGCGTTACGGAAGAAAGGCGGGGCCGGGTGCGGAACGGAGGAATGCTGGAGGGTACCATCGGGGAGCTGGATGGCCGGGGCAGTGGAAAGGGCCTCGGAGAGAGAGGGGCACGAGGTGGAGAGCGACTGGGCCATTCTGAGTTGGGACACTGGTCTCTCTTTTGTTGTTCGTGTTGAAAGGGATGAGTTGAAGTCTTCCGGTGGTGTAGTCAAATCATTTGTTGGAGAAAGTGAGGGCGCATCCACACATGGAGAAACGGGGAGGATAGGTCTCCATCAATGTGATAAATGGCAGCCTAGACGGAAGAAAGGTTGACGACCAACAGAGGAATTCACGAGGCGCTGACTCGAGGGGATCAGGGAGGGGTTCAATAAATGTATATGAAAAAGGGTGGTGTATAGTAGTCGAATAATATAGGGGAGAGAAAAAGGGCCGAGAACGGGGGGGGAGGAAGAGAGTTATGGATTGATGATGATTACCCAAATAGGAGAGATGTGTCGGACCCAGAGAAAGTCCCCAAAATAAATATTAAATTGATTTCAACATTCATATATTAATAGTTAATCACCCCCTTCTTCTCTGCCCCGTGCAGCGGATCCTGCGAGTGATTTCGCATTCGGGCTGTATTAGTATGGGGAATTCCCATGATCATAGTGTACGGGTTGATCTCATGGACATGGTGGGGTGATCAGTACTAGGAGTACAGAGTATCAAATAATTTGAATAAGACAAGAGAAGAAAAAGAAGAGAGTGTATAGGTCATGTGCAAGAGGATATGACGAGTGACAGATTATGGTCTGAACCTGACATGATCGAGTCATGATACTGGATTGATATAAGATGACTGGAATACATACCGGTCTGGATCAGTATTGTGAAAGACCAGGAAGAATAGAGTAGGGACTAAGGCCATCAAGCTGTAAGCTCCAGGCATGCAGGCTCATAAGCTTCTCCAAGACTTCCCTCCTATAACAGGTAGGTATGATATGACGCTATAATACTCTAACAATACTATAATATATCACTAATATGGATCATATTATTCAGAAATAAGTATGATATATATTAAAGAAATAATCAATCAAATCCATCCTATTCTTAGAGGCCACCTGGACTTCTCTAACGCCAGGGTCACGTGTGGGGCGGTGGGGTCATTGTCCGAGTTCTGGACACTTACGGGGTATTACCGGTATTGTACCGTCTGGTCAGGCCTGGACAATCCAATCTGACCGACCATCTCGAAATCGGATGCGTACAGAGTCAGCATACAGATGTTGAATGCTGATGACTTCTGTCTGTACTAAATCCTGCGTCTCTTGATATTATTTTATACGGAGTAGGTCATGTTGATCTGATGATTTAATCTGGTGAGACAACTTGGCAACACACTAACAGGGTTCCATGGACGGGGATGATGATAAGCGCCATCGAATGGACCACCGTCGCTCGATAGGGGAGGAACTAAATTGGGACCGAGTCTCCTCCAAAGAACGGAGGATCTTATTATTCGATGCCCTGTGGTGTCAGACTGTCAGGTCGAGGAGAGATTAGCATGCTGATCACCATCATATAATCTCCATTAGTCTAGGGAACGGTGGAAGTGACAGTCAGGTTTAGAAACGTTTGTTCCACTGGATGATCGTTCAATACACAGTAGACCGACGTGTGCTGCATTTGTTGGTTATGTACATTTTCTTTTCTCTTTCTTTCTGTGTTCTGTATTTCTTTCTTTCTTTCTGTTTCTGTAATTACGTATATATCCTTCTGATTGCTTTCTTTGTGCTTGACATGAGTAGTAATCAATAACGAACGGTTAAATATAGATGGGAGCTTTGGGACCCTGTAATATTCCCGCTTGGCGGTAATTGGGTATGCCCGTGACAACCGTTGGACCAGAAAAATGACAAGAAACAGACTCATCTCCTACCAGATCCAGGCAGATAACAATACCGAAACATACGCATACAATACATACCTTAAGGATCCGCTTGCGCCTCCCTGGACTTGGCGAAACCTCTTTTCATCCCAGGCAAGTTAAGCTGGGTCTCCAACCAATGAACCCCATTCCTTGCCTGGCCACATCCCCGTCCCCAAAATACTGTTCCATAACTAGCTATTCATTTGTCCTTTTTTTTCTGGACCTTCTTTTTTCTTTCTTCGTCGTGTCTTATCTTCGCCTCCTCTCAGTCCTTCTTCTCTTCTCCCTCCCCCCCCTCTTCCTCCCGACTGATTCAACTCATCTTGATTGATGTCCTCGTCGGTTGTCTCCGTCTTGTCGGCCTCCCTGATCTGGACTTCCGTTTCCTACGTTGAGACCAGCGCTCCCCCCACCTATCTGTCTCGGGCCGATTGAGACTGGAATCGTTGGAGAAAGGAGGCTTTCCTCCGGCCGCTCGTTATCTACCGATCTGATTGCCTCTTCTCTCCCCGGTTGAGACCCGAACCTCTCCGTCTGGTTGCTGCTCCTCCCCCTTTCTATAATAATAATCCATCGGCCGATTCGAGATTGTCGACTTCCGCTTCGTCCCTCCCCCTAGATCGATCCGCGACGTACAATCCGATCCCGAACTCGAACTCATCCCTCCCCGTTGAACCGTTGCGTGCGTGTGGATATCTGGCCTCGAGCGACGGACACTCTCCCGCCACTATCGGGATCGCGACTGCTGCATCCAACAGCGTGTGAATCGGGTTCTCTGTTTCGATTCCTGGGAATCGACGCAGAGTAGGAATCTCGTCCCCATGGGCCTGATTCAGCGGGTAGCGAAATGGGTGCCCTCCGCGCCCAGTCTACCCCTAGATGATCTGCCGCGCGAGAAAGGCCACTATTCCCCCCGACTCGCCTTTTTCAAGCGGAGGATTCGATTGAAGGGCAACTCATCCGTGGCCATCCCCTTGGGGTTTGTGTTACTATTCCCCTGTCTTGTAATAATTCTCATTCTCCTGTTATTCGTTCGACATCCCTCGTCTTCCGGGGGCATCTTGATCCCGGCCGGCACGCCGCCGTCGATAAGGTTTGTTTCCCCTTCACCTGCATGTATCGGCGCGGAACTAACGATGGTGTCTTTTCAGGAAAATCAGCGAAAAGTATGATAAGGTCTTTGCGACGGGATGTCTGCCGGTGGAGAAGCAAGAGGGCCCCCGAGCCAACGCGGCCTTCGTCGTCCTTGCCAGAAACAAGGAGATCGACGGCGTGATCCAGTCCCTCAAGTCGATTGAGCGCCATTTCAATCGGTGGTTCCACTACCCCTACGTGTTCTTAAACGACGCCGAATTCGACGACGCTTTCAAAGATACGGTGAAGAACTATACGAGTGCCCCGGTGGAGTTCGGGAAGATCGACGACAGCATGTGGGGTTACCCCGACTGGGTCGACCACGAGGTCGCCAAGGAAGGCATCCGGAAGCAGGGAGATGCCGCCATCATGTACGGAGGCATGGAGAGCTATCACCACATGTGCCGATTCTACTCTGGGTGCGTATCCTGATCGCAGGCCGATATTCCATGACTCATGAATTGTGGTACTAACCGGATGACAGTCAATTCTACAAGCATCCTCTGCTCTTGAAGTACGAATGGTACTGGCGTTTGGAGCCCGAAATCTCCTATTTCTGCGACATCACATAGTAAGCAGCTGTCCCCATAGCTATTCGAACAGACGATTCTAACCACGGGGCCATAGCGATCCTTTCGTCAAGATGGCTGAAGCCAACAAAACCTACGGCTTCACGATCGCGGTCAAAGAACTGCGCGAGACCGTCCCGAATATCTTCCGCTACGCATCCGCCTACAAACGAAAGAACAACCTGCCGTCCAAGGGCCTGTGGGAGATGTTCCTCGAAAAGCCCGAGAAGGAGGAAGAGAAGCCCGCGGGCGAAAAGCAGGACAAATTGCCCGAAGAGATCCTGCAAAACGAGCCGGGCGACAACACCGTGCCCGAGGTTGACCCCGAGGCTATGGAAGGCGAGTCCTACAACATGTGCCATTTCTGGAGCAACTTTGAGATTGCTCGCCTGGACTGGTTCCGGAGCAAGGAGTACGAAGAGTTCTTTGACATGATGGACAAGAGTGGGGGTTTCTGGACGGAAAGAGTGCGTATAATCACTTTACTTCTTATATGTTCCCATACTGACAATATCTTTAGTGGGGTGATGCTCCCATCCATTCGCTCGCCGCTGGCGCCCTTCTGGCCCCCTCGGATATCCACTATTTCCGGGACTTTGGATACCGACACACCACTATCCAGCACTGTCCCGCCAATGCCCCGGCTCGTCAACTACCCCGGATCCCCTGGCTGGAGATGACGACGGAGGATGAAAAGGCGCGCATTGAGGAAGATGAATACTGGGCGAACGCCGACCCGGTGAAGGAGAACGGCGTAGGATGCCGGTGCCGGTGCGATACAGATATTGTGGATGTGGAAGGCAAACAGGGCAGTTGCCTTCCGGAGTGGGTTGAAGTTGCGGGCGGTTGGGCGTCTCCTTAAAAGAGACGAATCACCTCTTCCTTCGCCTTTCCCCTCCCCTCTCTTTCATGTTGTATACTCTTCGTCTCCTTGTTTCCATACCTACCTGATCGACTGTGAGCATTACTCGGGTCGGCCTTGGAGTTATTTGCTTGGGCCTGCATGTTGCGTTGGCCGTGGGTTCTGGACGGCGTTTTTAACGGATCTGACGGCTTCCACGGAAGACGGCGTGATCATTCCTACGAATATTGACAAGTTCATCTAGCGTGCTTTGTATGTTTTGGATTTGCCACCTTTACCCTAACCGAAATGACGACGACGACGACGAAGCAGAAGAACAAGGAAAATAAAAACCATAAAAGAGAAAAAAAAAAATGGAAGAAGAAGAGAGAAAGGCGGGGAAAGGAGCATTCACCATTGTACATCCGGTACGGGGTCTCGTTGGTCGTCGGGTTTTTAGGCTCGTCTATGCTTCAGATGTGCATCGATGTCGAGGTTGTGTCCGAGTCTTGGGCACTCGATCCTATGGCAGCATTGTTGATGGCGACACCCACCGCGACGGTCCAAGGGCATGTCCTCGTCCTCGCCCACACACCTCCTTCTTTTCGGAGTTTGCCTCCATTTGACATGGACGAGTCAGTGGATTTGAAGCCAGTGGCTTTTTTCATATATTTTTTTTAATTGTTTTGTTTGCAAGGACTGGAACATGGGAACGGAAGATGGACTACCGGACCATGCTTCGTCCAAACATGAGCAGTCGGTTTCCCTTCTCCCTATCCATCTCAGGCATTCAACCCTTTCCCCTCTTCTCCCCTCATTGGTTTTTACATTTACGCATTCCCCCCTTCGCCTTTCCCATTCAGCATTTTCCCTTTATTTTTTCTTGTCATGAGGTGTACATATCTGTGGTGTTTCTTCAGGCCTCGGCGACTATACGAGGACTCTTACCACGCCCCCCGCATAGCATCAGCAACGCAAATAATCGATCCGGCATTGTTTGTCTATAGAGTATGTTTTAATTGACGTGGAGAATGATGTCTGTATTAATATATTTTCTCATCTCATTTTTCTCTAAAACTGTGCTATTTTTATTAATTTATTTCTATTCTTCATATATACATATTGTTAGGTATGATTGTAGAGTATGAATGGACGATCGTCGTCTAGCCTTAGTTGGGTCTAGCGGTCTGGTTGCGGATGGAAGTACGGAGTAGGTTAGTCGCCGCAACGTCATTGTCTGTATCTACTACCTGGTCGATATGTTAGGTAGAAGATTAAGGTAAAGCAAAAGTAAAATCAAAGTCAAGGCAGGAGGAACAGCGCATGATGAGGTAACTGCCCGGTGGAAAGTCTGTCATCTTCCCCTCAAATTATTCAACCTCCTTCTTCTCTTTTATCCAACCGGACAAGGAACGAAAGAACGAGTTATCAGGTAACAGTTCAGGCATTCTCCATACTACCTACTACTAGGTACCTACTGCTACCTCCAGGTGAGTGCCCAGAGCGTCTTGTCTGCCTGCCTGCCGTGTCTACCCTTGTCATGTGCCCCACCTCGATCTACTCCATTCCTCAGTTGCATTCTCGCGATCTCACACTCTCTCACACTTTCCCTCTCTTCTTCTCTCCCAAGTCATCCTCTTTCTTTACTGTCATCGTCTGTCGTTCGGGTCTTTTTACAAGGATATCACTAAATCTACGTGATCCACCTCGTTCTAGGAAACCACCTTATCTGAGTTCCGCCCGGGCCCGAGAACCACTACTGTCCACCCCCCACCTTGAACACCCTGAGTAGTTCGTCCCGCTCGTCATCGGGCATCTCCTCTCACTGCTCAGGCTGAACTTGACTCCATCCCCGAGGACGTCACCTTGATCTTTCATCAGAAGAAAAGAGGAAACAAAGAAAAGGAAAAGAAACGAAAAGAAAAGAAAAAGAAAGAAAGAAATAGGCAGGCTTCCTTGGAGAAGTTAACGTATTCTCCCGCTGATCTTCAATTTACTATCCTACCCTTTCTGAAACGGCCTAGTCGACGTCCCATTGCATTCGATCGGAAAGCTTACGTCCTAACGTCTTCTTTGGGCCTGGCTTGACCTTTTTGGCTGCTCTCCTCATATATGACACTCTACACTCGGGCGATATGACTGACTCTCCAAAGCCTCCTTCCAGGCGTCCTTCCCTCACCTCTTCCACTTCACATCTACGCTATCCCACCTTCCCTCCGCTGAGCGGCTCCGTGGAAGAGTGGCTGTCTCGCTCGAGACCCATCAACATGACGTCAACGCCTCCGTCCAAGTCGCTGAGCGAGAGCTGGACCACCCTGAGTGTCTCGGATGCGCACTCCGAGGACGGTGGCCGTTCCGAACAGACGGACGTCGGCTCCCTCATCGATCAGCCCGGTCCCGACGACGTGGCCAGCCTTGATGGCCGGTATACTCCCAGCGACGACACCGACGGGAATGCCGACGATGGTGAGGACGGAGAGAGCTACGACTCGAAGAGCAACGCCTCTGAATCACAGGAGCTGCCCTCGGCGTTCCCCCGGCTGGGGGCGTCGATCGAAGACAGCCGCCTGACCACGCAGACGGCATTCCGCCATCCCAGCGAGTCGATCGAGTTCGTGGAGCCTGACCACTGGCCCGAGATCGAACGCGTCGAGCTGAAGCACACCGTCCGAGTGTTTAGCGGCGTCGAGGCCGCTGATCTGAAAGCTCAACTTCCTTTCAATCTGCAGGATTCCATCCTGACCGCCACGGTGCAGCAGACGATGACCAAGAAGAACCTCGACACCGACAAGCCCTTCCGCGTGCTGTACGTCGGGAGCTCGGAATACCGCAACATCATTCTTGACAAGATGGGAGACGTTCTTGTGTCCAGCACCAATGGCGGCAACTCGGAGAGTACCTCGACCGAGTCCTCCAGGTATCACGTTGTCCCGACGTCTTTTGGCGCAGGCGCGGTCCCGAATTTTGCGGAGCTTCTTCCCATCCACGTGCAACTGGTCGTGGATGAGTGTGTGGGGGCTGCGTCAGATCTGCCGATCGACAAACCGAGCACCATTAGTATGGACTTTAAGAATCGACCTTCGTGCACCTCGTCGTGGACCGGCAGCGAATACTGCGTGTCGTCCACCAGCGAATGGGTCCTGCCCGACATCGCCATCCTTTTCTTGTCCACCCTGGACACCCCCAAAGCCGTGGAGACGCAGAAGTTGGCACGGATCTTCATGGAGAGACACGGGGTCCCCACCATGGTTATCTCGGAGAGCCCGCTATGGAAAATGACGAGGGAGTCGATCCCGCTTAACTTTTACAGCCTTCACATGTGTGTGGAATCCCGCCATCCGCTCACCGGCAAGAGCACGGTCGTGAAGCGCTATCCCATCGACCTGCACACGTTTGAGAGTATCACGCCGGGGCAACTGAACCGAAACCTTGCCTGCTTGGTTAGCGCTTACCCCAAGAAAGACAATTTGATGGCCTTTTCGCATACCCACGTGTCACCACACAAACCGTCTCTTGGTCTGGGGGAGTATACAAAGTGCCTGTCGCTTGATTATCACCTGGGCAACGACCCCAGCCTCTCGTCGGTGCTGCGACTGTTGTTTCTCGTGGTCTTCAGCGCCGGAACGGTCCTTTGGGGGCATTTGGCTCTGCAGGAGGCAGTGACCTACTCCTCGCAAGTCTTCCGGGGGTCTGCTGTTTCAAATGTGTCATCCGATCTGCCCAGCAGCGTGCCGACCACCGGTATCGTTCCGGCGGACCAACCGACACAGGCGTCGCTTTGCATATCGACGCCCGGTAGTGCCGTGCAGCCTTTGGGGGAGCGACGCCGCAGTCGGTCTCCGATCGAGGAATTCATCGAAGGCACACTGTCCCCATGGGAGCAACCAGAGCGGCCCGGTGGCTTTGAGATCCAGGCAGTCGGTGATTGTCACCTGGTGGTGAAACCGCCCGCCAAACCCGTTGGCAAGAAGCACCCGAAATTCAACGTCAAGGTCACGCGCGGTGGACAGCCGCTTGCCTATGAGCTGTCCCGGCTGTTCGAAGGGGTCTATTCGCTCAAGTTGGACCGAAGCGATGCCTACGGGGTGGTGGACGTCACCATCATCACCAACACGCGACCTTATATCAACCAGACCACCCCGGTGGACTTTGGCACGCCGTGGCTCAAGATCGCCAACTGGAAACGAGCAGCGCATGCCATCTCGTCGCAGATCCTGAGGGACTTTACCACTGCCCAGACGGGGCTGACAGAAGTGTACGGACGATTCTCCACCGACGTCCAAGTGCTCATGGGCGATGTCGTGAAACGCGCGCATGTGCTCCGCCGAGACGCGGACACCATCCGGCACGACTCCTACCTTCTGGGCATGGATACGCGGGAGAAGATGCTGTCGCGGTCTAAACAGCTGTCCGAGGCGGTGCGACGGACTGCCGTCGAGCCCTTCCTCGCCGCGTCGTCGGCGCTGCAGGGCCACGGCGACCGCGTCCACCGGGAGGCGCTGGGACTCATGAGCAGCACGTGGGATCGGATCAGCACGTCAGCGCCGGAGTTCGACCTCACGTCCGTGATGGAGCATCTTCGGAATGCGAAGAAATGCAAGACGTTGGACACGGCGCAGCGGCGGGCGAAGGGACTGGTGAGACAGAAGAAGTGCGGGCACTCTGAATGTTCTTGACTGCTAGTCTTATTCTTATTCCGTATTTCGATATTGGGCGTTGAATCTGCGGGTGTTGTAGCTGGATGAGTTTGTATGGTTCTGTTTCGTGGCCTTCCTGGCCTTCCTGGCCTGTTGATGGTTGATGTGTTTTTTATTCCTCCTTTCGTCCTCGTTCGTTATCTCTCTCTCTTTCTCTATACTTTTATTGTAGGGCGGGGAATGTATGTCTTGGACACTCCCAATACCTTTCTTTTCATACCATATTTCAGCGAAAGGCTTCAATCAGAGTCATGCTAGGATCATGTAATGAGATATGAAACCATGGCCACATCCACTCACTATCGTTAGCTCTTTCTTAGACCATTCAGCCCCTCCATAAGACCATTAAAAACATGGGCAGATGACCAGCAGACACCCCGCATACACTCGGTATAGGCCGGAGAAAAGGAGAAGTAGGTCAGATGCAGCTATCTATAATAGATAACCATCAAATATGTATGTACCTCCTAACCTTAGGTACCTAGCCTAACCTTATGTATGTGTGTGCAGAGACTACAGAGAGAGAGAGAGAGCGTGGCACTTACAACAGTTAGAGAGAGAGAGATAGTGGGGGCCTTAGGCCAGCGGGAGGCAAAGATTCATTCCCCACCTTTTCTTTCCTTCTTCTTTCTCTCTCTTTCTCTCGTTCGCTCCTCCCATCTTTTTTCCCTCCTGAGCTTTTTTGCCCCTCTTGAAAAATTATTATTATTTTGTTATTAAAATAAAATAATAATAAACAATCCCGCCCCGCCCCGCCTTTTCGTCCTTTTCGTCTGACTCTCTCTCTCTCTCTCTCTCTATTATCGGGTAATTAAAAAATCTACCTACACTACACCACTTTACCTACCTACTTTACTTTGATCGCGCTGAACAATATTCTAATCCTCTTTTCAAAACTATCCAGAATTTCATTAAATCCAAATAATCACCATGTCTGACGTCGAGACCAAGCCCGACCCCACCACGGCCGCTCCTGAGGGCGCTGAGAAGAAGCCCGAGGAGACTACCCCCGCCACCACTGAAGTTGAAACCCCCAAGGCTGAGGAGCCCGCTGCTGAGGCGCCCAAGACGACCGATAGCGTGTTCTCGATGTTCGGCGGTGGGCCGAAGAAGGAGAAGAAGGAGGAGAAGGAGGATGATAAGGAGGAGGAGCCTTCTGGGTCTTCGAAGGTGAAGAAGGGCGAGGATGTATGTCACCCCCTACCCCTCTTTGTATTTTTATGATGGGTTGCGCTTTTTTCGTGCGCGTTTCTTCGTGCATAGTGCTAATGTCTAACAGGAGGAAGCTCCCGAATCCCCTGACGTTCACTTCGAGCCCGTTATCCGTCTGACGGAGAAGGTGGAGACCAAGACCAATGAGGAGCTTGAGGAGCAGACCTTTAAGATGCGTGCTAAGCTGTTCCGCTTTGACCGCGAGAGCAAGGAGTGGAAGGAGCGTGGCACTGGTGATCTTCGTCTGCTGAGGCATAAGGAGAACCACAAGACTCGTCTGGTGATGCGTCGTGATAAGACCCTGAAGGTCTGCGCTAACCACTACAGTACGTCGCCACTTTCCTTGGTTTGAAAGAAAGAAGAATGCTAACAGCAATAGTCGTCCCTGACATGAAGTTGAGCCCCAACGTTGGTAGCGACCGCAGCTGGGTGTGGAACGCTGCTGCCGATGTCAGCGAGGGCGAGCCCGAGGCTGCTACCCTGGCCATTCGCTTTGGCAACAGTGAGAGTATGTATCCAGACATGAAATGGTTGGAAGTTGTACTAACTTGATATAGACGCCAACCTCTTCAAGGAAGCCTTCGAGAAGGCCCAGCAGGAGAACGAGAAGATCCTCGCCCAGCAGTAAATCTGCAACTGAGATACGACACGCCCAGTGTGTTTGGGAGGAGCAATCTAATTGAAGATCATGCTCTACTTTACCCTCCCTACCCTCCCCCTACCCCTACCCTTCCCCTGATCTCAACGAGCTAGTTTTTAGTTCGCATATGGAATCATCGTTGTTCACCTATCCCCTTCCCTAGCATCACTTCCCATAACAAATCCCCCTCCTATCCTAATTCCCACGAGAAAACAGAATAATGATGCAAGCCGATGAGACCACGAGTCTTCATGGGTAGGATCGACCTCATGATGTGGATGTTGAATTGAATGTCAGTCGTCTGGGCGAGATGACAGTAGATAGATGCCCTATCCCCTCGAATATATGGATGAAATGCACGATTCTCATTATGCTTGGAAGATAAATCATAAGAAGAGGAAATAGAAATAGAATAGGTGGTTTATTGATTTTGTATTTTTTCTTTATTTCCTATCTTTGTATCGTGGGGAAGGGGATACGAAGAATTATCAACTGGATGGATATAGAATCGAGTCAGGAAGAAGAGAACACGATGTATTGATTCAGATTATATGAATCAATTCCATTATATAAAAGAACATCGTAAGACAGTCGAAAGACGGACACCGGCATGGAGAACCTGCAGAGAAGATGATAGACGGAGAAAGTCCCCCACTTGTTGATGGAAAGCTTCCTCCATCTTTCATCTCATCTCATTCTTCCCTCCTCGCTCCCTCTCCGCCCGATTCTTCTTCTCCTTCGACCCCTTTCATATAAACTTTCTCCTTCTTGACCTAAGCAGTTGCCTCCGTCTGAGCTCCCACCCCGTGGACTCATCCTATGATCCTAGGCACCTACCTACAACCTACCTACTTACGAGACCCACTTTTTTCCACAAGCCTTGCCGACCAAGATCCAACACCTACCTACACTACCTACCTCTCTCGCCTTACTGTACCTCGTCCAGTCGCGCGATCCAGAACACAATCCCGACCTGCATTAATTACCCTCTGGAAAACCACCCGTCCCTCGCTCTGTGGATTCTGGTCTCTTTGCGCGATTGATTACTGTTTCGTTTGCTCGACAAAATGCCTGACGTGAGTTTGTTTCTTGGTTTGGTGTTATTCGTGGGCGAGTAGGCAGACAAGCCCTTGTGCTGCTGCTGCGCCTGTCAATGCCGGGGACTCGTGATGTTGTTTGTCGCGATCTTACTGACGCGATCTTTTTTACAAATTACAGGTTAAGAGAAATGTTCGACTGGTGACGGAGCAGCATATCTTGTACGTTTGATCCTGATTCCTTCCTCCCCTCCCGTCCTGTCCAAGGCCACCCGTCGGTTCGACAGAGAAAAGCGCCCGCTGCTTTTTTTACGCCCTTCGATCGCTGGTTACCTATATTACCTCTATATCCTTCCTTTTCTCGTGTACTGTCGCGTGATCGGGCGTCGCGGGTCGGCCTCTCTTCCTCACCCTTCGTCAACACTACATTTGCGGAATACTCAGTCTACTCGGACTAGATGGATGATGGTTACTGACGAGGCGCGTCTTGTCGGATTGCAGAAACAAGGATTCCGGTGTTGAAGGGTTCCCGCTTCGGTCTTGGTCGATTGAGATTTATCTCGTCAATGATCATGGCGAGCAGGTGCCGGCGAATGCCTTTGACAAGGTGACATATCACCTTCATCCTAGTTTTGGGGACAGGGCGACTCAGGGTATGCATTCCTTTCACCTTACCTTCATTCTCACAGTATCATTGAGAAGGAGGTAGTCCTCTAGGAAGGACCTCTATGGCGGTCGCTAACTTGTTTCTATCTACAGTGGTCAAAACCCCTCCGTTCCGGATCCAGGAGGAAGGATGGGGCGAATTCGATATGCAGATTTCCTTGACGGCTGCCGACAAAGATCACATCGTGACGCATGATCTCAACTTTGCGCAGAACCGCTACGAGTCTAAGCATCTTATCGTGAGTGCACATACACCTATATCTTCTTCTGACCAAGCGTGTTCCAATGCTCACACCCGACTCGGTAGACATTCAAAAATCCCAAGCCGGCTCTTATGGCCGCCCTTCGCGAATCGGGCCCAGTGCCCGGTGATGAGAACGGGGTGAAGTCGAAACGCGCGGCTACTGGCGACGAGGGATCGAAGAAGAAGAAGCGGACGGAGAAGAACGTACGATCAAAACCCCTAACCTTTCTACTTTCTATGGTTTTTATCCATGCTAAACTCCACAGGTCGATATGGATAAACTGGCCGACGGCCTCCAAAGACTCGGCGAAGATGACCTTCTCCAAGTGGTCCAGATGGTCCACGACAACAAAGCTCCAGACTCGTATACCAAGAATGACGTTGAACGTATGTACACTCCGCTTGCTACACAAGTAAGCAAAATCATGCTAACCCTACGATCTAATTCAGAGGGCGAATTCCACGTCGACCTCTACACCTTACCAGACACCTTAATCAAGATGCTGTGGGACTTTACCCAAGAGAAGGGGGCTCTCTAGTCAGTGAGTCAGTTGAGTTGAGTTGAGTTGTTTAAAAGGGTGCGAGTGGGGGGGCGCACGCATCTTATGGGCGTTTTTTTTATTTCATCTCATTGATTTTTATTTTCATTTTTATATCTTTAAATCCCCGTCTCAGTTTATTTATTTACTTATTGATCTCTTTTCATTCTGGTTATTTCTCTATCTTTTTTTTTTTTGTTTCTTTATCTTCATATTTGTTATATTGTTTAGTACCCTACCTACCTACCTACCTACCAACTGATTTCCTTGATCTGTCTGTAATTTGCCATTTTACTTTTCTCGATCCTTTTATATTTTCTGTTTCTTGAGGGAGGGAGTGAAGGAGAAATAAGACAAACAAAAGCGAGCAAGAAGGAAGGAAGAAATATCCATACATTCCATCTACCAATCAATCTATCTATCTATCCATCTATCCATCCATCCATATACCTATCTATCTATACATCCTAAAGATGAAAGAATACAAGCAAAGAGAGAGAGACGAGGACTGGCCTCTTTGGTGGATTCATGCTTTCTTCTATTCTTTCTTTGTTTTCTTGGGTTAGCGAGAGGATAGAAGTGGAGGGATGAAGAGATGGATGGATGGTGAGAGAGAGGTGGAGAGAGAGAGAGAGAGGAAGAAAAGGGAGAAAGCAGATAGTTGTGGTACCAGTTCTAGGGTTATCAGGGCTTGACTTGGTAGCTAAGTTATGGAGGTAAATAGATAAAACGGTACATAGATAGTCGAGGAAGAATGGAAAGATCCAAGAATGGAGGACTGACTGAACGAAATCCAGGCTTCTTCTAGTGGTAAGATGGTTGTCAATATAGGATGAATAGATAAAGAAATAGAAGAAGTGAGGTATGGTGAGTGAAGTGTGATTGACAATTGATGATTGTTTTTTTTAAAGTAAAGTAAAGTAAAGTGGATAATCATATTCTAGTCCAGTATCACATAACAAAATACAGTATACCAAGATAACAATTGACAAGTAAAAGTAAAGTAAACAAACAAGTAAATGACAAACCCATGCTGGATATCTCAGCTTCAACAACACAACAATAATAATCATTATTCAACACTGACAAAGCGGAAAAAACAGGTAGGTAGGTAATCAGACAAGTATGTGGTTAATCCCGTTCATATCATCTAGTTCATATCATCTAGGTAAAACATGACCAGAAGATGAAAGATGGATAGACAAGGGTGAAAGAAGAAAGAAACACCAAGAAGTCAGAAACACCTCGGATTCTCATGCGTATGCATAAACCCGTCACAGGGTAGGGACGGATGAAGTCATGTGTCAGTTCAATCAATCAATCAGGTCGAAGAAGACAAGGAAGAAGGGAGTTTTGATGTCTTTGAACCTGGGTGGTTCTCAGTGCAGACAGGGGGGTATGGGAGGAGACCCCGGCGCCGCCTGCGCGCTTCAGGCTGGGACCGTCCCTGGGACGGTGGATGGGGAGAGGGGAGACAGAATGGCTGGTGGAGGGATGTGATATGTATGGTACAGGGGTATATTCAGAGAACGCGGTGACTGTAATTCTGGTTAGCAAGGTCATATACCAGAGAATAAGGAAGGACATACGATTTGAGGAGATCTTCCAGGGTATCCGCAGTACAAGGCCGGCCCTTGGGAATCTGGGTCGCGATGTCCACGATCGTCGCAAAGACGTCACCGTCCCTGTAGGCTAATAAAGCGGGGGCCTTGATGTGGTCCATCTCCGCGATCTCGTAATGCATTTTGACGAAGTGGATGCCCGGCTGTCGGCGCGCGATGACATCCAGACAGTCTTCTACCTGTGCGCTCGCGTGGGACTAGATAGTGTTAGAAATAGGGGAACTGGTTGTGATAGGTTCGGTGACAGGTTCAGTAAACGTACGTCAGGATCATTCAGACAAACCACAACCACGGCATCAGATGGCACTTTCTCAATGGCATCGAGATAGCCTACAGCGTCGACGGTGTCGACGGAGCCGTAAACTTTCCGCCAGGGACTATTCCGACGGCCGTTCCGGCCCTGCAGCTCCTGCATGCGCTCCTCGCGCCACTGACGTAGGAAACGATCCTCGTCGTCATCACTTGCCGAGCCATGCGGGGGGTTCGAATTGTACAGCAGCGTCGCATCATCCTTGGAGGACTTGGAGGGGCCGCGCGCGTGGTCCTTGGATCGGAAGGTGTTGCGGAAGGAGCTCTTGCGGGCACGCTCGAAGGCCTGGGCGTCGGCGATGACACCCTTGGGCCCGGTGTTGGCGTCGTAGACCGTTCGAGGGACGTGGTAGGTGGCTGGGCCGCCGGCAGCCATGTCGGAGGGGTTGGAGTCTTCGGGTTCGGAGACGATGGATTTATCGGAGTCGTCGTCGGATTCGTGGTCGGAGACGTTGCGGTCTTCTGGGTGGGAGGAGAACTTGTCGCGGTTGCTACTGACGAGCTGATTGAATTCTTCTTGGGCGGAAGACATCGTGAAGAGGGGGGTGAGGGGTAGGACTCGGGTCAATTTAATACGGTCACAAGTATGATAGATGATGGATGGATATTATTAGATATGAATCGGCAGTGTTGGTATCTGCGCTGAAGGGGTTTTGCCTTGGTTTCGACTTCTGCTTGATTCGGTTTAGAGCGCCTTTTTCTTTCGTTTTTTTAGAAGATCAACTCAAATAAAATTAGAAAAGGAAGTCAAATACAAATCAAACGTAGGATAAAATGAGGCAAGCGAGGAATGTGAGAGACGAAACAAGGATTGGTTGGTCAGTTGGTAGGTTGGTTGGCGGTTTCAGGTGCCTTTTTTTTTTTAGCCTGCCTGGATTGGTTCCGCCCTTGACCCCTGAAGTCAAGCCCGGCTTGGTCAGGATTGGGGGATGAGGGATGAGGGATGAGGCCGATCAGCTAGTCTCGACGGCTGAACAAGTGGCGGGAGATGAAACAATCGACCCAGCAGGAAGAGGACACGACCGAGGATCCGTCAGTGCACTAATCCTGGATAGAGGGCCCCAAGACGATGATCTTCCGCTGGTATTTCTCTTCTGGTGCCCAACGGCAATTTCCTCCATGCTATTAATATTATCGTTAGCGTTCTTGATATAGACGTGCCATTCTTCAGCATTTGTCCGGTCACTTTCTAGTCGGGCAGAAACGGTGTTTCAGAAGAGAGGGGACCATCTCAGCCACCCTCGGTGTGCTAGAAGAGACGAAGAAGATTCCACCGATTCCATCGGGCGACTGACTACAAACGCAGTCAGACTTGGCCGATCGGGTTTCAGGTGTTATATTCTGACGGACAGGATAAATCCGATGATGCAATGGTAGTCGTTACAAAGTAAAGAGACAGCGGAGAAAGAGAAGTGAAAGAAAGAAGGAAGATTGGCGCTTCAACCGCGTCGGCCACGTGGACCAACGTGACCAACCTCTACATCAACATCAACTCCATCTGTTCTGCACACTCTGGATCCGATCTGACAGGACACGATAGGACTACAGTCTACACGAGACATATCCGTATCTGCTTACCACGTTAGGCTCCGACAATCTGCGACAGCGGAGTATGGATCGTGCATGAGACAAGCCCTACTTAGTTTCCTCTCCAGGTGGACCGACCTGTCATCCTTGTTTCATGGTTCCATCATCTTCATCATCCGGACATCCACCCACTCAAAACCTGCATTTCCGGCTCTAGACCTGTCGATCCTAGATCCAACCGATCCTCGGACTCGGACGTGCATCTGAGATGAGTAGGTCGTCCGCTCGAAGGACGGGTTTGGACCGAAATTCGATCCTGCGCTCATATCGGCTGTGTCTTAATTCCAAATCATACGGTGGATATGGGAGAAGTAAGTGTTTGTTAGAATTGTCGATCTGTTCGGGGGGTTGTTGAAATAGGAAGGAAAGATTGGATGAATGAAGCCTGGTTTGGTTATTCCTCCGATGTTGGATACTTCTGTGGGTATATATTCACTTGAACCTCCGTCTCCGGCTGTCTGGCTGAGTCGCCGCAGTGTTGTTTTTCAGCGCAAGCGGACTTTGGAACTTTGGGTCACCGCTTCAACTACCCCGATCCGTTTGCATATTTGATCCAAAGGTTGTGTCCAATAACTCAAAGATACTATCCATTGTACTACTGATTACCTATTACACGTCTCGCCGAGTCTGAACGACGACGGACCAGATCGAAACTATAGGACACCAAGGCACAAAGGGGAAACGGGAATATACGGAGAGAACGGAAGAAAGGAAACATGGACCGCTGAAAAGTAGTAAACACCAGGTCAATAGAAGCCGTCATCGAAACACTCAAATGGCACATACAACACCTCGGAGACAATTAATATGGGAGGACAGGAAACAATCGAAAGAAGAAAAAGAGAAACTCGGATAAAAACAATGGCTTAGCCAGAACCATTCCCGACCTCCGTTCCCGTCAGTGGATGAAAGAAGAAGAAAAATACTACATATGGGGATCAATGAACAGACATCAAAAATAAAAACCAACAGCAAAGAAGAAAAGAGAAAGAAGCTCCAGATGGAGTCGAAGAAAAATCGAAGTGTGACAGGAATGTCCAAGGTTGGGAAGGAAAGGCTCCAAAACGAAATAAAACCACGCAAGCAAGAACAAAAGAAAAGGTGCAAATAGGCAAGGAATATAAAGCAGGAATAAAGGTAAGCTTGCGAGAGTCTTCACACACACCAGGGTGGACAGTCAGACGTGCAGGTGTATCACTGCCTGCAGCCTCACAACGTAAGGCACCACGCGGTGATCACTTGCAAGGCAAAAGATTGGCAACATCGATTTCAAAACCACCGTCAGTCATCCAGCATTGTCACTTCTTTGTGGTTCTTTTATTTTTTTTTGTCTTTTCGTGTGATGATTTTGGGCTTTCCGGGCTTTGCACTTGGTAGGAGGATATGACGACAGTGTTCGACCCAAATGTCTGAATCACCCTCTGTCAGCCCCTCGTCACTGGTCATTCGATCTTTTGCTTTTCGCGTTTTCTTGATGACGATGACTCCGCCTGGCTTCCCAACGGTGCATATTATGGAATAAGGCGGCCCACAAATTTCTGGCAATATAAATTATCGTACAATGGCGGACAATCGACCTATCGGTGCAAAAATAGAAAGAATTTCGGATAAGGACATTGCGAAAGACTGCGACAGGGTATCTTTTGTTTTTTGTTTTTGTTTTTCGGGTTTGTCGGTTTTCATTACCTTACCAGGCCCAGATCTTGAGCTGTTGGACAAAGGATTAGCACACACTTGGTCGCAATATCCGAGGAAGCGAGAAGGAAAAGAGTAAAAATCAAGGGAAAAGGAAACAAAGAAAAAGAAACATACCAAAGAGTCCCAAGACCCAGTGCACAGACTGATGCCATCGTTGCTGACGCCCAGGCAGCTTACGCGGTTCTCGTGGCCGCTCAGCGAGCCCACCTTGTCTCCTCGGAGTACATCCCACACCTGCAGGAGGGTTAATCGGAGTCGTTCGAGTGGGAATTTGGGAGGACTTACCTTGCACTCAAAGTCATCATAACCCGCAAACAGCAATCTGCCAGAGACAGAGAAAGCAACCGACGTAATACCACACAATATTTGGTCGCTCTGTAGGGGATTTGGTCAGTTCGTGTTAATGACCGCTTATAGATATGGAAACCTACCTGGTAGGTGTTGAGTTCCCGGTCGGCGCGAATGTCGAAGAGACGGCACGAGGTGTCGTCGGAACCAGTACCAAAGGCATTTCCGTCGGGGAAGAATTGGACCGCGTTGATATCCGACTCGTGTCCGGAGAAGGTCTGCACGGCCTTGCCGGTACGGATATCCCACAGCTTGGCGAACGCATCGCAAGCACCGGAGACGAAGATGTTCTGGTTGGTCGGGTTGATGCTGATCGACATGACATCGCCGAGGTGGTCGGCGAATTCGGTCACCTTGGAGCCCGTCTCGATATCCCACAGCATACAGGTCATGTCGCCGGACGAAGTGATGATGCGGCGATCGTTGATGAAGCGGCAGCAGGACAGGTAGCCCGAGTGACCAGAGAGCTCGCGCGCGACACGGGTGGGACCCTCGCGGGAGGAAAGGTTGTAGATGGAGCAAATGTTATCCAGACCACCGCAGGCGACGTAGTTCCCACTGGGGGCGTAGGCGCAGGTCATGACCCACGAGGAGCGCAACGGGATGGCGTGGACCTTGTTCGTGGTGTAGGCGTCCCAGATGATGAGCTTGCCATCTTGCGACGCAGAGACGAGATGGCGACGGTCGGTAGACCAGTTCATGGCGTAGATCTTGGCCAAGTGACCCTTCAGTGTCCGACGAGGTTTCATTCCAATACGGGGTAATGTTTCGGTCTGGTTTTGCGCGACTTGACGGACTGTTCGGAAGCGAGTCAGCAACTCACAGAGGCAAAATCACGGCCATTGAGGAGGGCAGAGTGAATCAATCTCGCCGGTGACCGCCATTGGGGGGGCCTGCGAAAGGGGACAGGAGTCCATACGGTTCGTGTCGGCTAACTCATCCTTTCTGCGCTTGATCTTATCCTTCAAGCCTTCAGCTTCGCGCCGGGCCGCGGTAATCTTGGCCTGCATCTGCTCGCCGCTCATATCGGCCATCTTGTCGAAGCGAGTCCCTGGAGAGGGGGGTTATGACAATAAAAAAGGCGAAATAGAGGACGGGGCCTGCAAGTTGGGGGTGAATGGACGGAAGCGGCGTCGTGATATCCAGGGGATTGGAGGGAGAGAGGGAGGGAGAAGAGGGGAGGGGGAAAGGCGGGTAAGAGAGAGGGCGGTCAGATATGGAGTAGAAGGTATTAAAGAAAGGGAGTGGAAAAGAGAGTGAATGAGAGCGAGAAGGGGAGAAAGAGAGCGGGAGGAAGAGAGAGAGAGAGAGAGAGAGGGAGAGAGAGAGAGAGGAGAGAGAGAGAGAGAGAGAGCGAGAGAGGCAGGGAGAGAGGGAGAGGGGGGTTTGATTGGATGTGGAGCGAGTTATGGCGGAAGCGACCGAGCCAAAGAGGGTGTCGGCCCGGGGCAATAATAAGTAGAGTAGTAATAATATTAATGAGAATAAAGAGAAATCAATAAGAATGATTTACCCCAATTCTAAAGTCCGGAATTCTCAATGTTAGTCAGATTGATTGAAAGCGCCAATATCAAATGCACAAATGGCAGCAGAAAAAGGGGAATGACCGTCCAGTACGACGGTAAGCATAGAGGGTCGAAGGGGTGGACGGAAACGAGGAGATACTAGCTATATTGGGGCCAGTTGGTAAGACGAGAGCGGTGGCAGGACCAGTAGTTCAGTATATCTTCCATAATTATTATTCTTATTATTATTATACTGTGATAATATTATTTAAATTACTATTGTTGTTGCTACTTATGAAGAATAAATAGCAGATCCCTACACTCTATACACTATGTCATGTTCAAAGCTCCGATTCAATACGGAGGAAGCCGGATGATTCACCTGGTTTGATTTCTTGACTTTTTGATACTGTCTTTTTACTTAATTTTATATTCTACTTTATTCTATTTTATTCAATTTATATCTATATTCTTTCTACAACGACTAATTCTCTAGGTAAGTACGGAGTACTCTAGGTAAGTACCTACCTACTAAGTATTGTAGTGACGATAGGGGATGCCGTCAGAGGGACTAGACCCCCGGATTCCACCAATAACAACCTCCGTCCATGCGGGTAATTTCATGCCACTACGATGCAAAAAGTTAGACCTCCTCATTCTCGATGGGGCACCTTTTTAAGGGGCACGCCCGGTTTTTCTTGATTTCTTCTGCTTCTTATAATTATGGCGTTTTTTCCCACAGAGACAAGAGCAAAGTGGAGCATTGTTGGTGCAAGCCCCTGGCTCTGCCGGAATTTTCGCCGATGTTGACTTAGTCTTTACTCTTTGCAGACTGTTATCCAGGGGTTCTCTTCTGTCTCTATATCTTCCTCTCTTCCTATATGTTTCTGTCTTTTATATGTCCCTTCTTTTGAATATAATTATCTATTTCTCTTCATTTGCTCTTTCCTCTACCCTTTCCATTTGTAAATCACCAAGGTAATACAATCGTGGTCCATCACTCCATAGTCCCTACTCAGATACTATGGGGCTCAATCCACCCACACTAGTAACTTATAATACCGACATCCGACTGTCGGCACGTAACATTACGGCGGACGGTAAGATCGCTCGCCGGATTAGGGATTCGATGTGTATCATGTTGGACTATCACAATATGCGAATCCCCTCTTCTCCATCCACATGCTTCACGCCTTCAACGCTCGCTCGTCTCGTCCCAACTTGCTCCGGTCAACTGGCTTGCCTAGATTGGAGGTATCACAATTGTATAGTCTAGTTTTGATCCTTCCATTGTTGACTGTCGATGGGTGGGAAAAGAAAAGAAAATTCCCCGTCATTGTATAACTATACTCCACCAAACCACGAGGAGATTTATTGCGTTTCTTGGCTGTTGTCCTTGCTGGGTAGTAGTCCCATACAAGACGGCTGACTCTCTTCTATAACTAAGTTATGATCGCCTACCCGATCATCATCTACCTTTGTTCACTGTCCGTCCCATACCCTATACTATCTACAAGGCCAATGGCATCTCACCTTTATCCCCTATACAAGGACCTACCCATGGTAGTCTAAAGGTATACCAAACATCCACACGACCGTCGCATCCTACTACCTAGAGCGGGACAGTCCCGAATTTTGTTGAGGCGCTATCCACCAACCCGCTTGGTTCTCTGCAACCAGATTCTACCTACCGTATCGACTCCACTACCAAGGTGATCGCTTGGGATCGTGTCCGTCTAGGTTTGGAGCCCAGCGGGTGTCCCTACTAGTCACCTAGAGATGGATGGATGGATGTGCTTCTTCAATCTTCACTCGCGATGGTTATTAATAGCTGTTTGGGATTGCATATTAACTAGCTCGATTTGTTAGGAAGAGAATATTGGCCTCAGCATTGCTCCCCTGATTAGGGATGGTGGATGGTGATATAGTTGGGATCTTCTATCCGGGGATTCCTTCAAGGCTTCAATGGCTTTGGATCTCCAGATTATCCCACTCATGGTAGTGACAGGAAATATGATCTGACTATAGTCTGGTGGTATTGGGTTCATTTGGCGTGAGCTAGATCCTCCATCCAGTGTCTAAGAATCAGGTCTTCGGATCTCCATGCTCATCCGAGCAATTTGGTTATCCGAGCAATTGATGGTGGCCAGTAGTCCAGACCGGACTGGCACCATACAGAGAGCAAGTATATAGGAGATCTTAAAAAGAAGAAAAATACAGTAGACAAAACAATATATGCGGTTGGGAAGGAAACAGAAAAAAAGAAAAAGATAATTAGCCCCCACGCGGGATCGAACCACGGGCTTCATCATATCATACACGGAGCGAACTTCGTACAAGTGATGCGGACTACCACTGTCCCATAGGGGCTTTCATATAGCTAAGCGGGGCCAGAAATGTTTTATTAAGGGAGTTACAGTCACTTTGCAAATTCACTAGTAAACAGTGTACTTCGAGAGCGTCTACTTCCGTACTATCCCATCGTCTTGGATCGATTTCATGGATCTGAAAGCATGCGCAGTATATATCAATTGTTAACATACATAGTATCTAGTAACAAAGAGAAAGATAAAATGAAAAACATAAGGATAATAGAAGAAGACATTCCAAATGAGAAAAGCCAAAAGATCTAATTCTTGAAGAGAAAAAAGAAAAAGATAAACCTTGCCCCCACACGGGATCGAACCGTGGACTTCATCATGTCACACACAAGAATCTTGTACGAGTGATGCGGACTACCACTGTCCCATAAGGGCTTATCGGTTAGATAATCCCTCCTGCGAAAGAACTAAGTTACAATAGCTGTCCGACCAGGCAAACGAACTATGCCACTCATGATATACCCCCGTACTGGTGTAGTCACTTGCTAATGCTTTCTTTCGACTACTCTCATAATTATCTTGCATACTGTTGTATTGCTAAGCATAGTTCAGCCGGTGTCTAGCTACCTAGTAGATCCCTCTTTACCCCAGAATAGATTTTGTAGGGCGGCTAGAGCTCCCCCCTCATCGGCCGCGGTAGGGCGCCTACCCATACATCACAGTTTCTAATCATAGATTTCCAGAATAGCTCAGCGGCCCGTCCGTGCCATCCGCCAAGGGTGTAAGACAAGGTTATGGCAGTGGCTGCTCATCCGTGCGGCATTAATTAGATTGGTGGTCGTGGGGGGGATCATGCTCTGCTTAATTATGTGCATCTAGCATCGTGTGACATCCCATGATCCATCTGAGTTCCGCCTGCCTTTTGACATGGGCGAACTGCGGGACTGACTGTGTGTGGAGATGAGGGGTCGAATGCCTCAGCTGTGTAATGATGTGTGTAACCGTCGAATCAAATCGCTTGTGGGGAGCTCGATCCAACGAGTTTGTTCGTCTTTTGCAGGGATGTGATTGGTTTGGGGTTGGATCTTCTGTAGTTGTTGAGGGGTTTGATATATTTTTGTTCTTTTTTAAGTAATGATAACTCCATTTGTACTTACCAATCTGACTACCGTGCAGGTTTGGCCATACCAAGCTAGTTACCTAGTGACTAGTAGTAAGTGAAAGTAGGAAGATTATATATATATCCCTTGGATAACAGCTCAATTCGACAGGGATGGATGTTCAGGAATCAAGGACACATACATTGTTTCAGGAGTGTGATGGGTAGCGAGGATCACACCAGTGATATTAACCTGAAAAAATTAAAGCATACCAACACATTATTTACCTCCTGAGTCCATGAATACCTATTGTCACTAGGGGGATTCAAGTCGCTCCAGGTTGCGAACGGGATACATGCCCGATGATAGCTGGCTTACCCTTTTCGGACGAACGAGCCCGGAACCGTGGGGTGGACTATATAGGAGTGAGTAAATAGGAGGTTGGCAGTGTTAGTTATGCTTCAAGTTCCCCAGCTACTCCGTAGTTATATTGTATTATCCCCTATCCGAAACGGTTCAAGCCAAGGAATGGAACGTGTCCACTGAATTTCTAGGGATTCGTTTGATGTTTCCATGTGCCGAGGCTGCCCCCGTCGCAGTGGGTTTAGGGACCTCCCCAGTGGGTTTTGCAGCTGGTCATTGCTTCTCGATCTACAGCTGTATTGGTACAAGATCTTAGATCATCTGGAAAAGGGGGTATAGGATTGGACTAGTCTCAGTCAGAAGAGACTCATCCCTTGGGTTTAGGTATCACTGGTGAGCTGATGATGATGGACCATGTTCCATTGGTGGCAAATTCTATTGTCCTCCACCTTGAGTTCAGCTCTCCTGACCAGAAGTAGGCAGTAATGAACCGATTCAGAACAGAATAACATGATCTTGATGGGGCTGTGGGGTGATATCATGGTAATTATGGACCTTCCGCAACATGAATTGACTTCGCACAACCCTAGACATGGTTCATTTTGGTCAGAATGTCGGTATAGTCACGAGTGGCTCAAGAGGCAAAGTCAGAGGTTAGTGGCGGCAAGACCTTGAGTATTAATTTAGAGTATGATTTGACAATCAAAACAATACTAGTTATAATTATATAATAATAAATCATCAATAATTATAGTAATTATTATCCTTCCTAGGCTGGAACGGCACATAATATACCGATAACAATAGTAATAAGAGAGAGCGGCGCCTGAGGCGCCTGAAGGACTCCGCTTTCACATTTAGATTGTTCTCTTTGCCCCCTCGTTCATCATACTCAGAACACTTCATCCTCACTGAAATTAAGAAATTAAACAATTTTTAAAAAGATAAAAACAAAACACAAACCACAAAACAAAAGACAGCATACCTTGGATCTTTTATTTTATTGATTTTATTATCACTGTTGTCTCTCCATCGGCCATTTCCGGGGTTCCTCCTCCTAGTGAATCATTGTCGCCTCTAAACAACGACTAAGCAGACAACCCGCCTCAGGCTCTGCCAAAGTCTTGGCTTTCTCTCTCCCTTTCACGCCTCCTCAATCCGCTTCCAACCTTTAACCATCCGACAACTGACCACACCATCTTCCATCCTTTTCTCACCTCTTCATCCAACTCACCATCGTCGTTGTTGTTTTTGTTTCAACTCCTTACTTCATGAATTGGCAATAATCTAGACAAACGCACTTTTGCATTTTCCCATCCCCTCCTTCTCCTTCTCCTCCTCCCCCCGTCTCCCTGACGCTCTCGTCGCTCCCACCCGCCTTTCATCCTCACCTTAGGGGTTGAAAGCAAGCGCTGCCATCTGTGATCGAGCCAGCTCGTCTCACTTCCCTCCCGGATCGCCGTTCGAGCCAAAGTCCATCTCGAAACCTTTGGGTTTCACTCCTCTCGCCCATCATGCGGGAGGTCAACTTCAGTATCCCCAATGTCAACAAGGCTTCGGTCAATATCACCACCACCCTCTATGACCGGCGTGCCCTCGATTGTACATCGACCCTCCCCCTGATCAACTCTCTGAACCATCTGGCCTATCTCACTACATCGTCCGCCCGGATTCGCGATATCCTCACCGTCGATGGCGGCATCGAAAGACTGGTCTGTATCCTCAAGGAGGGCCGGAGTAGAGATCTGATGGAGATGTGGAAGTGGAGCCTCGCCTTCCAGTGTGTCGTCAACATCGGGGTGCGGGGATCTGAGGGCGTGAGGACGAGAGTCGTGGAGGCTGACATGGTTCCGGTGATTGCCACCATCTTGGACAACTATATCAAGGTGGTGGACAAGGCGCGGGCGCGGTCGGACCCTGAGGCTCAGCGACACTCGTCGAGGCTCCATCCCAAGCCCCGGCCCCGACCATCGAATCTGCCCGTGCGGCCTTGCTGGAGCAATCATCCGCCGCGGAGCAACGGACCTCGCGCCGCCACGCGCCGCCCCCGAACATCGAAATCCCCCCGTTCCTGCAGGACACCCAGGCCCCCGATTCGAATGCCATGGACGTCACGGCGTCTCCTCGCATGCCGGTGACCTCTCCCCCCGAACGAAGCACTTTTGGCTCGGATGCCCACACCCACAGATCCCAGGAGGGTCGCCACCTCCACGCCGGTCACCGTCACCGTGCCATGCAGCCGCTCGCCACGGCGCTGCCGCCGATGGACACCGCCGATGGGTTTGGCCTGCGCCCCATCCGTGACACCGAACGACTGCCCAGCATGCTTCCCGGTCTTCACAATGGCTTTGCCTCTCAGCCCGACTCCCCGACAACCCCAAGTGGTCCCGTCCAATCTCAGGGCAGCTCCCAGACCGTCGTCCCGAGAGAACGTCCGACCCTCAGACAACAGCAATCAGCGTCCGGCGAGTCGGACGACGGCAACGGGGAAGGTTCGTCGGCCATCGGCGACGATGCCGGCTCCCGGGAGTCGGCTGAGCCGATCGTTGGACTGCAGAACCGGATGGAGATTGACGATGTGGGCGAGAGACAGACCGGGTTGCCCGGCGTGTCGAACACACATGACCTGACGTTGACCGATCCGTCTGAGGGTCAAGAGGCCGAGACCTTCAACATCACCCACCATTCCACGGTGGATGGCAGCATCATTAACAACGACACCACCCAGACCAACGGCGGGCTCGGCTTGTCGCCCACGCAGGCGGTGAACAATGGCAACTCCCCCGCCATTGTCCCCAGTCCCTATTCGCTGTACTTCCGGGATCGTTCGGCCAGCCAGAGCGTCCTGACCACGATCCCCCGGGACGAGGATGTGCTGATGTCCTTGCAACTCCTCGCCTACGTGTCCAAGTACTGCAACCTCCGGTCCTATTTCCAGAACTCGCACCTGGTGCCGAAGCTCAAGGTCGACCGCGAGCTTCAGCTGCTGGAAGAGGGAACGTCGCCGGTCGACCTCCCGGAGGAAGAGGATGAGTATCTCCTCCCCGACGATGTCAACATCTTCCCTCTGGTCGAGAGGTTCACGGTTCGACACCACTCAAAGGAGATGCAGTACTGGGCGTGCGTGGTCATGAGGAATCTCTGCCGCAAGGACGAGTCCCGGGGTGGCATCCGCCAGTGCGCCTACTACAAGTGCGGCAAGTGGGAAGAATTCCAACGCCAGTTTGCCAAATGTCGCCGTTGCCGTCGGACCAAGTACTGCAGCAAGGATTGTCAGAAGGCGGCATGGGTCTACCATCGCCACTGGTGCCACACCACGCCATGATGTGAACGGACGGAGTTGTCTAATATCCATAATGCATACTGGCTTGCATAGCGTCATCATACCTGTCATCTGCTATCATTTTCTTTTCATCCTGTTTCATTTTCCAGAGGTCGATACATGGCCACCTGTGCATGGCATTTGAACCTGGCGGCGTTCATCATCATCCCAGAGATACCTTTTGTATGTCGTCTGTTATTCGTTTTATTTCCCTCCCCCGATTTATTCCCATACGCCTGTTCCATTATCTCAAGGCACAGAGACTTGTCTACTACACGTGGATTCCTTCAGCGATCATGAATATGCACAGTTATCATGCTCCATCTCTCTCTTCCTTTCACATATTCTCTCCATGCCATTGCTCTCGCCGCTGCTTATATCTATGGTGGGACCTATCATATTTTCATTTTATCTATTCATTATTTCTTTTCCTTTTCTCTTGCCATATTCCCCTCCGTGAATAGTGAACGGTCTTGCCTTCGGCGTGGTCCATTGTAACGTCGGACGAGTTTCCTTTGTCAGTAGCTGCGTGCGACGCCAGCACCCACCTACATTTTCTTTCAGCGGTTTTTCTTTGATCTATCATCCAGCCGTCCTTTTTTCATTTTTTTTGAGTTTTCAACATGTCTATTTCTTTGGCAGCACATGATCATTCTGCTATTTTTATTTTATTCCTGTGCTTTTTTCTTTTTGCTTCTTCCTTTTTGATATTACCGTGAACATATGTGCCTAGGCCGGCACCACCCTTTGTCTATTTGCATCATCCAATGGATTCGATTCGTGTGCATATTCTAATCAATCATCCCGGAATCGGACCCCTCGTGAATTTCAATCAATCCGTTACACCAAACAATGTCTAGACAGACTAGACTAGACTAGGTAGTCTACGCCTCCTTCCTCTCCCCATACGTAGCAGCCAACCGTGACATAAGATGCTCATAGGCCGTCAGCGCGCGCTTCCCAGGCTCAAGCGCCCCCGCTCCGCCCCCAAACCCAACCCTCTCGTCCCCTCCTCCTTGAACTCCCTGTCGCTGTCTCCGATAAGAAGCCACCACTTCGCTGGGAACAGGTACCAGCTCTGTTGTATCCCGTGGATGGCAGAAGAATACTATACTGTACCTGTCCTGCGGGCTCGGCGCGCGCTGCTCTGAGAGGGGGAATACGACACGGTGCACTGTTGATTTGAGGAGCCCGTCGGTCCAGTAGCTGAGCAGGTCGCCGATGTTGACTAGGATTGGGGGGAATGCGTATTCCCCTTCTTCTTTGGATTCAGATTCGGATTTGGATTCGGTTTGTTGGTTGGGTTGGACTGGGACGGGCGCCCAGTTGGTGCTGTTGTTGTGATCTGTTTCTGCCGGAGGGAGGATTTCTAGACCTGGCTGTCCCGGCCGTTGAAACAGCAGCGTGATACTGCCGTAGTCGGAGTGCGCACCGGCGCGGACGTCGACGTCATGCTTGTAGGATGCTGTTGTGGGGGACGAGATGGACGGGTAGTATAGGTAGCGGAGGATGGAGCCTGTGGGGCCTTGGTGGGGGTCGTGGCGGGTTGTGAAGAAGTCGGGTGGGATCTGGGTTGTTAGTAAACACTATACACATACATACATGCATACATATATATGTGTATATATTATTGGGCAATGATATGGTAGATGAACATTGGGATGGAAAAAGGAAAAAGGAAAGGGTGTGGTACCTCAAGCCCTAAAGCTAGTAGCTTGAGAATGCGGTTGCAGGTCCGCGTGCAGAGGTCTGCGAAATGGGCGATTTCGGCCTCGTGCGTGGAGAGGGATTGTGGGAGTGGTTGCTGGGCTTTGCCGTTTTGAAATTCGCCGAAGTTCATGGCTCTGGGGTTTGTTGTTAGTTTGGTTTAGGTGTTGGTTGGAGAGGCGTACTCTTTGAAATCTCCGGTCTAGAGGGTGGTTAGCATTGTTTTTGCTACTCGTGTGGGTGTGGGAGTTTTGTATATAGAGATAGAGAGAGAGAGAGAGTGTGAGAGAGAGAGAGAGAGATGATGATGATAGAGTGGAGGAACATACTCGCTGATGCTCAGGGTCCAAAGTCTCTGCATGCATGCCGGACCAGCCTCGGTTCTGTGACGGGCCTTCCCGTTAGCAACTACCTCTTATAGGGTTAGAAGACCAGGCAATCTACATTGGTCTGAATTGGACAGGCTGCTTTTTCCTCCACAGGAGACAAGAAGAATTGCTTGGACTATAGGCGGGGTTAGTTAAAGATATCAAATGCGGGGAATATGGGGGAGATATCGTGCCAGCACTGCAACGATATGAAAACAGACAGCTATGCAAGGGGACTTACCAGTTCAAATGCCTTCTTCACATCCTCGGTGGAAAAGTCGGAGCCCTGGCTGTCGACGTAGAGGAAGCCGTACCGTGCGGCGGCGGCGAGCATGGCTTGCCCCGTTGCGACATCGTCGGGGTTGGAGATGTCCAGGATGGGGAGTTGGATTGGAGCGCCCACGGATGGTGTGTCGGACATGATTGTTGGGTCTTTGTGGCCTTAATTGACTGTCAACGGTCATATATCAGGTCTGCGATGCTGGAGTGTGGTAAGGATGTGGTGCGGTAGTGGGAGATATGTCGTTGTATATCTTCTATCTTATCAAGGAGCTTGGCTATAGATATCCGGCATCGATGATGGTGCGACAGGAGTGTATTAGTAGGACTAGCCATGATAGTAAACAAACAATCCACTGACTATCATAAGCTCCAAGCAATCAAATAATCAAATTTATCCCAAAGATAGTATAAACCTATGTCTTCATCCTTATCAATGTACTGATGAAGCTGTTGAGACTCACCGCCTACCCCATCCGGGCTATACGACGACCTGTCGCATCTCCAGCATCTCCATCTCGACCTGTTTGGATCATCTGGATCAACAGTCTGGGATCCACTGCTCCTTCCTCTCTGTCCCTCCTTTCTTTCTTTTCTTCTTTTCCCTCTTTCCCCCCCTTCAGTATTTGCAATCGACAATTACCTTTCTGGCCCCCTCCTCCTTTCCTCATTTGCTCCCCTCTTCCTCCCCCCCTCCCCGCTCTGGACACTCCATGCCCGCCAGCCTGAACGATGCCGAGTAAGCTGTCTCTTCGCTCCAGGAGCTCCATGGAGCTTAAAGGAGCTTTGATTATGTTCTATATATGCTAATCAATGCGTCTGCTCCACCTACAGTCCGTCCGCTTGATGAATGGGTCTCGTCCCGCCCCCATCTCACCCAGACCCTCCCCCTCTCAGCTCTCAAAGGTGCCGTGGTCGGCATTGATGCGTCGCACTACATCTCGCAACACCTCCTCCAGCCCTCGTTCCGCGAACCGCTCCTGGTGGCCCTGGGAGGGTTTCCTTTCGCTTTGAGAAACAACATTGAGAGAGAACTACAGCTGTTCAAGGAGATTGGCGTGGCCTGTGTTTTCGTTTTCGACGGTCTCGACTTTGGCACCAAGAACCAACGGCCGTCGGTCCAGCCGGAGGCGGTGCAGGCGTTTGAACGGGCCTGGGACTTGTATGACCAGCAACAGGCCGATCAAGTAGTGGATGCCTTTAGCGGCGCCGGTGAGGGCTCCCACTCGCCCCTGGCATTGGGTGTGGTCGGATTGTCATGCTGACCGTATCGCTCTGTTGCAGGCACCCCCCGACCTCACACTCTTTACCGATTTCTGCAGCGTATCTTGCACGACCATGACATCGATTATATCGTCGCCCCCTACAGTGCTGCTGCTCAGGTAAGACTTATGCCCAGCAAATGAACCCTTCGTGACGAGTCTGGCGGATACGGATCTGTTAACTTCCCGCCTGTATAGTTATCCTATCTGAGCAAGGAACCCAACCCGTTGGTCGACGCGATCTTTGGCCCCTCGGAAATTTTGCTCTTTGATGTGAACAAGTTGATCACCCGCATCGATGCCGACCCGTCCCAATTTTTCTGGATCACGAAACAGACTATACAGGATGAGCTGGGTCGGCTGTCAAACGACCAATTCTTGGACCTTGGCCTCCTTTTGGGATCTCCCTTCTTACAGCCGTTCCCCATCTTCGAAAACAACGGCTTCCAGAACAAGGGCGTCAGCGTTCGGGATGCTCTCCCCATGTTCAACTCAGCCGCCCGGAGTGCCCTCGGCCTTTGCGCTCAGTTTGAGGAGGACCGTCGCATGCAGGAAACTCAGTACACCGACCGCTATAAGCGTGCCTACATGACGGTCAAGCACCACGTTTACATCGACGTCGATGGCAAGGTCGGCCCGATGGACCCAGAGAACACCTCGTCCGACATGCATGAACTGATCGGCCAACGGCTCCCCGAAGAGCTCTATTTCTATATCTCCAAGGGCATCCTCGGCTCCGACGTGCCAAACTATCTAACGTCGGGTGAGGTCTTGATCTCTCAGCCAGTCGGAGTGGAGGACTCGGAGATCTATCGCGAAGTCGTGGGCAGCATCCTCACGCCGATTCAGACCCAATCGATCTGCCTTCTCTCCAATTCCCTCCACCGCTTCTATCAGACTAAAGTCATCCATGTGCGTCCCTGGTATGATGAAAAGTCCGACACGTCGATCAACCTGAAGACGATCCCCTCCGTGCGGGAGACGATCCAGTCCTGGAAGATCCGTACCGACAAACTCCCGGAGGGGCTGAAAAAGCTGCAGGTCAGTCTCGCTTTAATCACTATGTTACTATAGTTCTGACAGACTACTAGGCATCTTCCGGGCCCTTCAGATTTGCCGTGCAGAGTCTGAAGGATTCCGATTTTGCAACCAAGTCTCTGTCTCTCAAAGACAGCCAGGTACGCCCGCTCTACATCCTGGAAATCCGTGCTGCTCTAACCGTCTCTAGCCGCTGTCATCCCAAGAGGAGATCCTATCGAACGTGTTCTGGCGATTCTTGCAGTTGCGAGGTTATATCACGGAAAAGCACCAGTTGACGCCATGGGGAGTTTGTCTCGAACAAGCACTTTCTGTCCTCGACCCGAGCGATGGCCTCGAGGAGGCTACGTTCCTGGCCATTGAGATGCTCCGTCTCGGCCTCTTGAATTCCAAGCCCTGGTTCTCTCACGTGTCTGGCGGTCCCATGAGGGGATCAGGTGAGTTCATCTACCGATTACCCCGGGGAAATCAAAGCTAACTCCACTCTCATTATCTAGACGAGGATAAGAGTTTCAACATGCTTGTTTCGCGCGTGGCCTGCGTAGCGAAACTGCAGCACAAGAGTATAGGGTACTCGGGACCTTTGAGCCGACAGCTGCTCTGCTACCGTTCCTTGATCGCGGCAGTCCGCTCTACGTTAAGAAACCTGATCGAAGTTATCTTGACGGGTCTCCTCCTGAACGGGGACGCCGATCGCAACCGGAATGACTGGAGTGATCTGAGCGTGAAGTGAGTCGTGGCCCTTCTTTTGTTTTCCCAGACTTGGTACTAACAAAGCGATCCTAGGCTGCCCTTTATTGACGACAATGACTGCGGATTGGGGATTGCCGTCCGCACCTATTTGGATGATCTGCCTCTGCAAGCTGATCCTACTTCGCCCGACGCCCGCACCGAGGTCAAGTCTAAGGGCAAGGATTGGTTCCAGCACAGTGAAAGCTTCACGGGCAACTTGGACCTGGCCTTCAAACTGTGGGATGCGGTGAGTTCCGCGGTCTTTTTGTCACCTCTTTTTTCTTTTTCGAGATTACTAACGAATGATTGCCGGCAGGTCTACAAGGGTACCCAGAATGCAGGGCGAGAAGTTAAGGATGCGAAGGTCTGGGCGAATGCGAACCAGTGGTTGGAACAGCGGCGTTGAGTGCTGGTACTCTGACTCGGACAACAACAAAGCGCGAGCAGTCGTGACCACCGCCCGCTTCCTATCTACGTTCGTTTTGCACGGATGCTTCGACCTTGGGCTCATGCAAGCTGTATTAGTAGGACAAGAGAGACGAATGTGATGACACTACCCACCACGTGATGATCCGGTGGTATGGCACCGGAATGTACTCCGTAGTGTAGCTGTAGAATACTTTATTTTTCTTCTCCTCTCCCCTCTATATTTAGCAGTCATTTGGTTTGATTGTCAGTACTAAACGTGTAACACCCAACGTATGGGCTGAGATCTCCATGAAACCATTCCTGGTCGATGATAGCCTGAGATGTTGTTAGTTACCAGGTGTCCTTTAGTCGGCCCGGCTACGACCGCGGATCCGCCGCTTTACTAAGAGGTCCTCCGCCCGCTCTATTTACTATTGACCATCTAGCTTCACTACTCGGTGGCAACACACCTACTTGAATCAACGAATTCAAGGATACACCAATCCCAAATTAATTGAATTAACCCACCCACATCGCCCACCATGGCTCCTCTCAGCCACATCCTCGTGAGCGGCCTCTCCCTCCTGGCGACAGCCACCGCAGCCGTGGTCGACCTCGACCCCAAGAACTTCGACAACATCGTCCTGAAGTCCGACAAGCCGGCACTGGTCGAATTCTTCGCCCCCTGGTGCGGCCACTGCAAGTCCCTGGCCCCAGTCTACGAAGAGCTCGGCCAGGCCTTCGCCCACGCCGAAGACAAGGTCACCGTCGGCAAGGTCGACGCCGACGAGCACCGCAGCCTCGGAAAGCGCTTCGGCGTCCAGGGCTTCCCTACCCTGAAGTGGTTCGATGGGAAGTCGGATACGCCTGAGGAGTATAACAGCGGTCGTGACCTGGAGAGTTTGTCTGCTTGGATTACGGAGAAGACGGGTGTGAAGGCGAAGGTTCCGAAGAAGGAGCCGTCGAAGGTCGAGATGTTGACTGAGGACTCATTCAAGAGTGTTGTGGGCGGGGAGAAGGATGTGCTTGTTGCGTTCACGGCGCCGTGGTGTGGACGTATGTTTTATCTTTTCCTTTTCCCCTTCTGGTTGGTTGTGATTGTGGCTAACGAGTGATGCGAAATAGACTGCAAGAACCTCGCTCCCACCTGGGAAACCCTCGCCGGCGACTTCCTCCTCGAGCCGAACGTCGTGATCGCCAAGGTCGACGCCGACGCCGAGCACTCCAAGGCCCTGGCCAAGGCGCAGGGCGTGACCGGCTACCCGACCATCAAGTTCTTCCCCAAGGGCTCCACCGAAGGCGAGGTGTACTCCGGCGCGCGCTCGGAGGAGGCCTTCGTCGAGTTCGTCAACAGCAAGGCCGGCACGAACCGCGCTGTCGGCGGCTCGCTGAACGAAGTCGCTGGCACCGTCCCCAGCCTGGACGACGTCATTGCCAAGTCCCCCTCCGCGAGCAAGCTCGCTGCGGAGATTAAGAAGGCTGCCAAGGGCGTCCAGGATAAGTACGCGCAGTACTATGTGAAGGTTGCCGATAAGATCAGCCAGAACCAGGAGTATGTCGGGAAGGAGTTTGCGCGCTTGCAGAAGATTCTGGCGAAGGGCGGCTTTGCGCCGGAGAAGTTGGATGATTTGATTGCTCGGAGCAATGTGCTGAGGAGGTTCCTGGGCAAGGATGAGGAGGTGAAGAAGGATGAGCTGTGATTGCTTTTTCTTTTTGTTTATCTATCTTTTTGAGTACGTATTTGTATGAACTACAGGTTGGTGGTGAATGAATGGATTGAAGCGTCAGGCTTTTGAATGACTTCCTTTCCTAAAGGAGAGCTTGAAATAAGAATTATGACCATGTATATATAGCATGGATGACAACCTACTGTCAAATGAGTAACTCTCAACAGGAAAATCCTGTACGTAGATTCTAACAGCGACAGTTTAACTGCATTGAAAAGAGATAAGACATCTCATAGGGGTATCAAGAAAAGGAACACTGCGCGAGCAGCAACAACAACGACAATACATCATATCTTCCACCAGACATCGACTGGACAACCTCCCCAGCTCTGTCTAGTACAGACCGACTGAACAAGTCGGTCCCAAACAAATCCACGTATTGAGTTATTTCTTCGGACTCCCCGCCCCAGGCGACGCCGTATCCCCCGCAATGGTTAACGATGCCTCCAGCTCGTCGAGTCTCCGGGCCATGTCGTCCACTGTAATCGTTAGTTGGTAATCGGACAAAGATAGGTCCAGGGAGGGGCATAGGAGATAGAGGCGGGTATGATCTATGTTGTCTGTTTGTATGGTCCGGACAGAGGAGCTGTGCAAGGGGATGACTGACACTTGCCGAACATGTCGCGAGACACGTTGTCGAATTTGTGTTGGAGTTGGTCGAGGAGGTCGTCGACTGCTGCGGTGAGTTGGCCTTGGGCGTCTGTCTGTGTTGTGTTAGTTTTGTATATATATATATTCATATCTAGAGGGTAGAGAGAGGAAGTGAGGGAGGGAGGGAGTATGTGGATAGGTAGATGAGGGTGGACGAACTGGCTGGCTGGAAGGAGAGGTGACGGTCTCCGAGGTAGGGCGTGATTTGGTTTCTTCGGCCATTGCGTTGGAGTGGATAGTGGGGTGTATATCTGTATATATTTGGCAGCCTATATCGGAGAGTTGTTGAGTCGTATAACCGTAGAGAAGGAATAGAGGTACACCAGTACAGCAGAGGAAGAGGAGAAGAAGTAAATAAGATGAAGCAACACGATAAACTGTCGAAGTAAGAGGGTTATCAGCCGCTAACTTAATATAGTCTAGCGCCTCCCTTATCGGGCCTCTAACCACAACAGGCTTAGCCCCATCCCAAAAAAATTCCCGTTCCTTTTGCTTCAATCTTCATAACGATCAATCGTTCACTCTACATTCCCCCAAATTTCTACCTTTTCTTTAGGTTCTATTCTTTCTTTCTTCCTTTTACTTTTCAGTTCTTTGCCATTGACCTGCAGGATGGCCAAGCGCAGCAAGTTGCTCCAGGCTTTGGACGACCACAAGGGTCGCGACTACGCCGCCGAGAAGCAGAAGAAGCTAGTCAAGGCCGCGGAGAAGAAGAAGGCCGCGAAGAAGGCTGCTGCCCAGGATAGCGACGAGGAAGTGCAAGTCAAGAAGAATGTCGAAGAGGCCAAGGTGAACAAGGAAGCCGCCGCCAGCGACGACGAAGACGACGAAGAGGACGAAGACTTTGTCGCCGAAAACGAGGAGGACGACGACGAAGAGATGGAGGAAGATGAGGAAGAAGAAGACGAAGACGAAGACATCGCCCTCTCCGACCTCTCCGACGCCGAAGCAGAAGATGTAGTCCCCCACCAACGCCTGACGATCAACAACTCCGCCGCGATCAACGCCTCCCTCAAGCGCATCTCCTTCATCTCGCACCTGACGCCCTTCTCCGAACACAACTCGCTCGTCTCCACCGAGCCCGTCGACATCGAGGACCCCAACGACGACCTCACCCGCGAGCTGGCCTTCTACAGAGTCTGCCAGTCTGCCGCTGCCACCGCCCGCGGTCTGCTCAAGAAGGAGGGCACCCCCTTCACCCGTCCCGGCGATTACTTCGCTGAGATGGTCAAGTCCGACGAGCATATGGGTCGCATCAAGAAGAAGCTTTACGACGAAGCTGCCGCCAAGAAGGCCTCCGCTGAAGCCCGCAAGCAGCGTGATCTGAAGAAGTTCGGCAAGCAGGTGCAGGTTGCGAAGCTGCAGCAGCGCCAGAAGGAGAAGCGTGAGACTTTGGAGAAGATCAACACTTTGAAGAAGAGTATGTCCTTCCCTTCCTTCCCTACATATAAAAGAAGAAAATGTATTAACCCCAAACAGAGCGCAAGACCGACTCCTCCGGCCCAACAGACGACTCCAAAGACCTCTTCGACGTCGCCATCGAAGACGCCGCCGCCCAGCCCGCCCGCAAGCGCGGCCGCGACGGTGACTCCTCCGCCACCAACCACAAGCGCCAGAAGAAGAACGAGAAGTTCGGCTTCGGCGGCCGCAAGCGCCACGCCAAGAGCGGCGACGCTGTCTCCAGCGGTGACCTGCGGAACTTCTCCGCGAAGAAGATGAAGGGGGGTGCGAAGAGACCCGGTAAGAGCAAGCGGGCGGCTGCGAAGGGGCGTGGGTAAATGATTTAATACCTTAAGTCTTTTTTTCTTCACTTTGTGTATCCCTTATCTATCTGTTATGTTTTATCTTATATGTTATGTTCTGCATGGGGTTTCAAAATCGGTTTCGTTTGGGCTCTGAAAAAGAAAAATTTGTCTGTTATGTTCTTTCTTCTTTTCCTTTTTTTGGTGGTCGATTGTCATAGATGTATGTGTAGTCACTGTGGCTGGCTGGGTTGTATTCCTGGCTTCCTGTATATTGAAACACAGTATTATGGAGACTGTTTCCTTGTACGAAATATTGTTGCGGGTGTGGTCGTATATTCGTTTATGAAAAAGTGGAATTCACTATCATTAGGTAGGGTTATCCCATCTACTACTACCTACCTATCTATCTACATCTTATTGTACCATGTCAATTAACCCATCCAATGGATGGACATGGACAGGCCGTGTGGGAGAAGCATCATGGCTTGACTCGTATCAGAAAAAAAAAATGCAAGTATCCAGTGACTCGCCAAGATGCATGTGTTACATCTCCTATGCATGAAGGATAGCGGACGATACAAAGTCCCAGCTACGACCTTCCTTAGAAGTAGAAAGGCCTAGAATCTCCCTAGCCAGCTGAACAGAAAAGTGATGGGTATCATTTATCTGATGGGAATGCCCGTACCCCCGGAACGGCCCACTCTTCCCATGTTGGATGTGAGCGTCGCTTGGGCCGGGGGTTTCTCGTGATGCACCCCTCCTGGCGGCAGTCGACTCCCCGATAGAAGTCTTTTTTGAAGCGAAGGCGAATTCATGTAGTGTTGGTCGGGGTGGAAATTTCTGTTCGTTGCGATCAAGCGCCATCCTCAAGCGTACGTTCTGATGTATCAGGCACGTGGTGGGAATAGTAGAAGCTGGTAGACCTCGATCCGACGCCGTGCACAGCCATGGCAATCGAACTCGCAGTAAAGTGCCAACCGTCAATTGTTGAACATAAGGAGCCCACCACCATCATACCTCGCTCGCTCCATTTTCCAAAAACGCCATGGCGTCTGCGGTTCCCATCTCCCGAATCCGACTGAGAAGGTTGTCGACGGGAAGACCAATGTTGAGTTGTTGCTCAGCAAAGACCAGGTCCAGCTTGGCCTTGGTGTCGTCGGCGTGCCCCAATGAATGGTCGTCGATCACCTTCTGACTCCGTTTCAAGCTGGCCTTGGAGACCATCTTTCCGCAGCCCGGCACTTGACACGCCCATGTGTCGGATGGCAGATCATCGAGACCGTGAGTGGAGTCCAGGTCGGAAGGCTCCTGGTCAGCGACAGAGACTGAGGTGTTCCGGCTCTGCAAGGTCTCCTGGAGCGGTGTTTTGAGGATCGGGGTGGACCCCGAGTCGGAGAGAAACGAGCGGGTCCGTTTCGCTCTGGTTGATAACGGATCACGCACGAGGTCATGGCCACGGACCTTGCTTGGCGTCTCGAATTCGTCCATGGCGTCTGCGTTGTCGTCGGAAAGATATTCCGGATCAACTCCGATGCTCCGTGCTCGCTTGCCCGACTTTTTGATGGCGATTGAGCCCTTGGGCCTGAGCACCGACTTACGGACCCGCGGTCTTTGCAGCTGATCACTGTCTTCGTTTTCGCTATCCTCTCCGGATGAACCATCTTCGTTCAATGTGCGAGGTTGTAATGGGGTGAAAGTAATGTTCGTCGAGGCGTTCTCTTTAGCCAGGGCCTTGAGTTCTCGGTAGATGACCTTCCGCGACCAGTCGAAAGTCGACGTTTTCGCCTCGTCCATTAACTCGAGGACGACATCGGCTCTTGACGCGAGGAGCTCTCGGGCATACTCGACATCCTCCACCTCATACCGGTCAACCAGGGTGGAAGTAAGAAGCTCCAGAGTCAACTGGCGCCTCGCCAAATAGCCCGCTTCCTTCAAGTCTAGCACGACCTGGTATATTGTATTGGCCTGGTCTCTCGAAGCTGCAGTGGGGTCTGGCGAACTGGGTCTCGTCTCTCTCGGCTGCTCAGGAGTAGAATGTTCTTCCGCGTCGGTGTCAGCATCCCCCTCCTTCTGCTCGTACTCAGCCTTGAGCTGCTCGTAGTCCTCCTAGAGACAATTAGAGACTGGACCTCAATAGCAAGAGACAGAGGTATGGGCCGAGATACATACCGGGAACTTTTCGCAAAGGTGCTCAAAGATATTCGTTTGCGTCCACGGGATATCCTCCTCCCTCTTCAGCATCCGCGACAGGAGAAACTGGCGATGCTTGTAGAACACTTCAACCGAGTCATCTGCATCCTCACAAATACCATGCGTGTGGATAATATACTGTTGTCGAGAAAAACAAAATAAGTAAGGCGCGTGATCCACGGGACGGACGTTCGCGACACGATAACACTCACCTCCTCACACAAGTCTTCCACAGTAGGATTAAGGGTCCTCCGCTTGCGCCGCTTCGGCTGATGCTTATCGGCAAGGAAATACAATAGATCGATAGCCTCTACCACGTCATTGAACATGGGTCGGTATCCCCTCGCAGGGGAGATGGAGAACCACCCCGCGCGGCCGGCGACCCAGAACCCGACCTCGCCATCGCTGTGTTGACCGTAGGCGTAGTGGGTCACGTTTTCGAGCACAATGCGTTTCGTTAGGTAGTCTTCGTCGATGACTGCGAGGAGAAAAAGTCGTCAGTCGAGGAGGTTTCGGTTGGGATATAGGTAGGGGTATAGAGGGGCGGGTGGGTGTTATGATGATGATGATGCATACCCAGAGACTCTTGCTCCTCCTCGACCTCGTCCAGACAGCCGGTTACCTGGACGGGGTTATCCGGGGAGGCAGCCAGAAGATTGGCATAGCGCGATTTCCCAGGAAGTAGGATTCGGACCTCGGACAGACTGAACTCTTCCCAGTCGTTCTCGTCCGTGAGAGACGGATCTCGGGGTTTCAGGACATTATCTTCTCGCGATGTCATGTCTCCGGGGGCAGCATGATGCCGCGGTAGACAAGCAAGGTGGATTTGGGGGATACTGTGAGGGACACAGTAGGGAGATTGAAGGGAACAGATGAAGGTGGGAGGGCTTGTCAGAAAGTAAAAGCAGGCAACAAAGAGAGAAAGAAAGGAAGGAGAATGAGGTCAATGATGGATCATTGGATTGATAGTATGTATTAATACCGGACCTGGCATTACCCAGATACACCCCTGTATGCCCGCCAACTTCCGCATAATTACACCCGCCGAACCATACGGTAATCCAGCCCTGTCTGGACCGTCTGAAATGCTTCATTTTTTCCTTTCCTCTCTCCGCGCTCGTCGATCGGAACCTTCGCATTCACTCGTCGCACTTGATTTGTGTATTATTTTTAGGAGGTCTGAATCGCTGCGATCCCCTCCATCCATCAATCCTTCCAGAAAGATCTCCCCTCCCCACAACCGATGGGTCTCAAACACGGCTTGAATCTCTTCCGTAAAACCATGTCTGGAGAAAAGATCTACGAAGGCGTTTTCGGTCAGTCTCACTTCTTCTTTCTAAAGAAGCAAGAAAGTCCCTTGCACCCCCGAACTCCACTAACAATAATACAATAACAGCCGTCCACAAACCCCAAGGCGTCACCTCCGCCGACGTAATCCGCACCCTCCAACACCACTTCAACCCCTCAGAGACCTTCCGCCCATGGCTCGAAACCGAGCGCGCCCGCCGCAACCGCGAAAGCCAATTCCAGCGCCGCCGGCGCCGCACACAGCGTCTGGACGTGAAGATCGGCCACGGCGGCACGCTGGACCCGCTCGCGACAGGCGTGCTCGTCACGGGCGTCGGCAAGGGCACGAAGAATCTGAACGATTTCCTCGGCTGCACCAAGTCCTACGAGACGGTTGTGCTGTTCGGTGCGGAGACGGACACTTACGATAAGCTGGGGAAGGTTGTGCGCCGTGCGCCGTATGAGCATATCACGCGTGAGGCGGTCGAGGCTGCGCTGGAGCAGTTCCGTGGGAAAATCATGCAGCGGCCGCCTATCTTTTCGGCGCTGAAGGTGCAGGGGAAGAAGCTTTATGAGTATGCGCGTGAGGGCAAGGCGCCGCCTATTGAGATTAAGGAGCGGCCTATTGAGGTGTCGGACTTGCGTGTGCTGGAGTGGTATGCCCCCGGCACGCACGACTACCAGTGGCCTGCGGAGGAGGCTCCCGAGGAGGAGAAGGCTGTTGCGGAGAAGCTGCTGGATGCGCAGCCGACTGGATCGTCGACTGTCGAGGGCAGTGCCGAGAGCAAGGCGGAAGAGCAGGAGGGAGCGTCGTCGACGAAGCGGAAATCGCCGCCCCCTGCTGGTGACGAAGGCAGCGAGCCCGGGAAGAAGCAGAAGGTGTCTGCGGAAGGCGACGCTGTCCCTACTCAGACGGAGGAGTCATCCTCCTCTCCCTCCAAGACTGCTCCTGCCACCGACGCGCCGGAGTCCACTCCCGCAGAGGAGACGAAGGCGGAGGAGAAAGCGGAGAAGAAAGAGGGCGAGGAAGAGAAGAAGGAAAAGCCCACACCTCCCCAGCCAGCAGCCGTCAAAATCACCATGACAGTCTCATCCGGATTCTACGTCCGCTCGCTGGCGCACGACCTCGGCAAAGCCCTCGGCAGCTGCGGCCTCATGAGCGCGCTCATCCGCACCCGCCAGGCGGATTTCGAACTCGAGGAGGACAAGATCCTCGAGTATAAGGATTTGGAGGCCGGGGAGGAGGTTTGGGGTCCGAAGGTGCAGCGGTTTTTGGAACAGTGGGAGGAGAAGAGGGTTGCGGGGTTGAAGAAGGGTAGTCGGTCGCCTTCGCCTTCTTAGGTTTGTGTGAGATTATCTTTATCTTGATTGATAGATATTGGGGGAAGGAATGGCAGAATACACTTATATTATGTTATACGAGTTGTAGACTAAGACTGATTCAAGCTCGACTATCTTGCACCACATGCGAAAGCTGGTAAATTTTTTGAAATGGGTTCAAATTGGCTACAAGTACATCGAATGTTCTATCCCGCATCTCGCAGTCGCGCATGATCCTCTAGACAGCGGGGAATCTATGAACAAAAACAAGAAAACGCGCTATGCAACCTCTAGTCCAATCGACGCAAAGGCAGAAAACAATCAATCACACTACGCCCAAAGAACCTCAAGGAACGAAGGGGGTGACAAGGAAAAGAACAATACAGGCTGACGAGGCCCGTTCCACCTACTGACCGGATGTCCTTGCGTCGAACAAATAGCTGTGGACCGCCAGGTCTTCATCATAAGATCATACATCTCATCAAGCGACCAAGGGGACACAGGAACATTTACTGGATTGAAAGGAAAGATATGAAGGCTGGTGGACAGCCAGTGAAGAAACAAGAAGAATGGTTTTTAAGAGGGGGTATACCGCTGAAAACAGAACAAGGAGATTGAGGGAATGAATGGAGGTTGAAGAGTAAGGAAATTCGCATGGATATGCATGTTCAACCACCCGAAGAGAAGTGCCAGTTATGTTTCACAGCAAGGAGAGAATAAAAGGAAGGAAGAAAGGTAACAAGAAATGGGAAAGATGCTATATGACAGTTATCGATGGGCGCTGTGGGCATCGATCAGTGCTACAGATTGTTAGTGACCGTGACCCATGACCGACCATGACGCAAGACATGACTTACTTTGGAGTACAGAGGCTTGTCCTTGCCGCGATTCGCACGCACATTGGAGAGTGCGGCCATCCAGGAAATCGAGGATGATGCTGTTGGGGAGTTCCTGTTCGTCTTCATCGGGGAGGCAAGGCGTTCGGAGCTCGCTCAGGTGATACCGCTTGACTGCGATACGGCTGGTCGAGTCGCTGACACCGGGCCCAAGGACTAAAGATCCGTCACCCTCGACGCGGACGTATCGTCGTTTCCAGAGAAGGGTGCCGGGGAATTGGACATTGAGCTCGCCAATTTCAACTGCCTGGGCATTGCCCGCCGGTGCGGCTGGCTTCTCGGGGCTTTTGTTTTCGGCGGGGATGTTCTGTTCTTTCACCGGGGGACTTTTCCGGGAACTTGTCGTCATGGACGACATGCGGCGCAGGAGGCGGGACGTGCGAGACTCCTTCTTGTTATCCTCGGGGGAAGAAGCAATGTCACTGGGAGATTTCGAGCCAAGTGGGCTCTCGTTCTTGGGGCCGGGAGAGACAGACAAGCGGCTCTCGGAACGTGGCATAGGTGCAGGAATAGCATGAGGGCCGGAGCCGGCAGAGGAAGTCGACATGCTGCGCACCTCCGAGTGGTTGCCTGTCAAATCCTGGGAGAGAGGGGTCTCGGGAGCCTCGGAAATCTCGGGAGCCTTAGGGGCTTCGGGGGCCTTGGGAACCTCAGGAGCCTCGCCGGTGTCATGCTCGACGGTCAACGGGCTGGCCTGGAGGTTTAACCCGCTCAGGCCAGAGGGTTCCACGACCGACTCGCGACGAGACTCGGTAGGACTCCGGACGATCCGGGCAGTCACGGACACCGAGCTGGTGCGCCTCGTTGTAGGCCTGGTACTGGCCTGGGACCCGCGGCGGGCCACGCTGGAGGCTCGGGAGAACGCATCAGAGCCATTCGGGGGGCCCGATGGCAAGTCCAGAGGGCCACCCAAGGATACAGAGGCCCGCTTACGGAGTTTGTCCAAGGAGGGGGGCGCGACAGGCGGAGCCCAGGGCTGACCGAAGCCCGGCGAGGGTTTATGGCTCGAAAGTTTTTCCAAGGCCTTGATGCGCTGGGAGATTCCCGAGGATAGGTTGACTTTTTTGGCCGTTAGAACGGGGCCGGATGGACCGTCCACTTCGGTGGAAGGACTCGACACGGATCTGTTCGCGGTCGCCGCAAGCGCGTCACCAGATTGATGATCAACTGCGCTTGGGTTTGTCACGGCCCGCGAAGTCTTCCACGCGTCAGGGGCTGTCCTGGCATTGTTACCGTTGGGGTAGCCCGGCGACAGCGGAGACTTGCCGACCGAGATGGGCTTGGCCTCTTCGACCGTCGCGGACGTCAATTCTTCCATGAATGAATCGTCCGACAAAAGATTGTCGTCGTCAGAATATTCCGGGGTCGGTACCTGGATCGGCTCGAGGAAGGGCTTCGGTTTATCTTGTCGGGTGACGGCCGGTTGCTCCACGTTCGAATTTTCAGGGGTTAGCTCATGCTCCGGCTCGCCGGCGGGAGACGCGATCACTGATGAAGAATCGGGGACAGGGGTCGGCTGTGGATCGGGGGATGGAGAGGTGGGGACAGGGACGTCTTGTGGGCGAACTGATTCGGCCGGCTTGATGATTATTTCCGCCTCTCGTTCACCAGGAACAAGAGGCTTTGCGGTGGGTGGTGGGGAGGAAGGGACGGTAATTTCCTTCTCTGGGGGGTTTTGGGGCTTCTTTTCAGGTGGGACGTTGATGAGCACGCTAGGCGAGACGGGGCCACTTTTAGTTTGATTGTCAACGGAGACGGCCAAGGCCTCCTCCTCGACAACCTCCGTTTCAGTCTCCGGGCGAATTTGGGCGGTCTGACGTTGTTCCAACGCCTCCAAAGCAGCACTACGGTCAATCAGGATTCTCGACCGTGGAGTAGGGAATGAGGTGATGAGAGGTTCATCGCCAGCGAATTCGGAATCCGTGGTTTCACCGTCCGATTCAGGCTCTGAAGAATCCGCCGACATGTGCTCCTCTGCCACACTGTCGAGCCCGGCTGGACGCTCAACTGGACGCTCAACTGGTTGTTCAACTGGTTGTTCAACTGGGCGCTCGATTGGCTGCTCCGCCGGTCGCTCGATTGCTGGCTCGGCTGTCCCCCCAGCCGACTCAGGGGTAACGGATATCTGAACCCTTGACAGTGGTTCCTTGCTGGACTCCGACACGCCGATTCGCTTCTGATCCTTCCGATCGAGCTGCTCGCGGGCGTTTTCCTTATCCTCAGTGCTGCTGCCATTCACCTGCGGTTCCGACCCCCGACCCTCCTGGACTCGACTATTCTTCCCTTCCGCCGCCCGCTTTTCCATCTGAGCCTTCCGCATCTGAACAGCCTTCATCAGACGCTCCCGCTCGTGCGATGTCCCGGCCGATGATAGTGCACTTAGAGACTTGGCGCCGGGCGAGAGCTTAGACCTCGGGATAGACATGGAAAATGGAGGAACTGCCAGTGGGGGAACTGGGGGAGCTTTCCCACCAGACATGGTCGCCGAGGTGCTGCCTTGGGAACGGGGACGAGCGGGAATCGGATTCGCTTTTCGGAAGGAGGATGACCGCATACCGGTCGGTAGTGATGCAACGGGTCGCTGTTCCACGCGACGAGGCGTATTCCCTGCAGTCCGTGGCCGTCCACTGCTGCCCACTGACGGTCGGGGCCCCAGTTTGACTTTGGGCATGGTAGGGGTGCCGGCCCGATCCAGGTCTTGAAACGCCGGTCTCGCGGACTGCGTGGACATGCGCGACTGTGATGATGGGTGAGGCAGGTCCTCTCGGGCATGAGCGGACGAGCTCGGCCGTTCGGAAATGGACGCCGAGGAGGATTGGTTGTTCACGTAGGCATTCGGACCATTCGTAGCTGACATCGCTGGGGGTTGAAAACTTCTTGACGAACCTGGTCGGTCTGGAGTAATTGTGGAATGTGCAGTCGAGTCTCCATGGACCATGTCGGAGCCGCGAGTCCCAGGCCGCGACGGTGCTAATGAAGGTGGCCGCGACGCTGTTGGAGCCGTGGGTGCGGGCGCCGCCGGTTGTTCGCTGCCGGATGGCTCCTGCGTGCTCGATGCACCATGCGCCGAGGGCGTTACTGTAGCGTCGGAAAGTGTACTGAAGGTTCTCTGGTGTATACTACTGCCTGCATCATAGGTCGATGCCACGTCTCTATCGCTGGGACTCTCCTCTGCATCCTCGGCGATCTTCATCAACTTCCGGCGGCGAAGAGAACCCGAGGACGAAGAAGTCATGGAGTCCGTGGCGGTGTGGAGGAGGCAAGTAGACGACAACGAGCTTTCACTGAGTCCCGACGCGCTTGAAAAGGAAAAGACCGCATCGTGGGGCGAGAATCTGTCCAAGACCGATTGAAACTGAACCGTGGTCCGGGCTGAAAGAAGTTCAAGATCATGGTCAGTGGACTACATCAGGGATTAGTGCGGAGCAAGCTGGGCGCACCTTTGACGAGGCGGGAAACATCGTCGGGCAGATAGCTGAGTACCACCTTCCTCCGTCGATATTGCAAGACACCGTAAAGCGGGGAGTTCTCCTCGAACGCATCGATCGCATTCCGTACGTCGGGCACCCCGCCCGTTCCCCGATCGAAGAGAGCCACCTCATCTCTTGACACGTATTTGAGAAGGAACCTATATACCAAATTGGACACATTAGCTCGTGCATCGGGTAGGTAGTATGGATGGAGCGACTCCAATCGAACCACCCGGCAATACGATGGAGACGGAACACGCGACTTACCACCCCCCCGCTTCTTGTAGGGCAGTCTGATAGGCTTCGTTGACAGCGGGATTATCTAGCCCATTGAGAGACATGATAGGAACCGCATCAGAGGCAAAGGCCCTGGACGGAAGAGACTTGCAAGTCAATCAGACGGGTTGAGTCGGTGTAGGCGCGGGCGATGATGACCACCCGATCCAAAAAGGCGCGAAAAAGGAAAAAGGAAAAAGGAAAAAGAAAAGGGAAAAGAAAAGAAGAGGGGGGAGAGGAAAGTCTTAACGAAAGACAGAATATAAAGCGCGCGAACACTTGGATGAGAGATCGAGTGTTCTAGCCAGGCAAAAGGTATGATTTGGAATGGTGGGCAGAGAAACAACAGAGTCCCTCTCCAGACACCAAGATCTTCCCCAGGCCGGACACTAACACACAAGATCAAGGATCATATGAAGGGGACGAGATGCGACAATGGTGTCTGTCGCGAACCTCTCAGGAGTTCAGGGGCCCTTCTTAGTGGATGGTTCGGGGCCTCCACTTTTAATTTTTGGCGATAGGGAAGTTCGGATGGTCTCCACGTTTCTTGGCCCGATGTTGAACCCCTCCTCAACCACGGGTAATGATCGGCCGGTTTAGCGATTCAGTGAGATTGATGGGGAGAAACATCGAGCTGAAGTTAAGAGAGGGGTAGGAGGATATCAGTATTCAAATGAAGGGACAGCAGGTTGTGAGTTGAAACGATTTTTCGTGAGCGACAAAGCGCACAACTAAACGGACGGACAAGGCGCCAAATGATGCAATTCCAGTCTAAACAAGGGAGATCCGAAAAGAGATAGTTGGAAAAAAGAGGCAGAAGGGGTAAAAAAAGACGGAAAGAGCCACAAGAAAGAAAGAAAAAGGCAAACTCTGACCAGTTCTATGAGGAACGAAGAAATCTAGATAGAGAGAATGGACGATCGGAGATTGAGGGAGTTCGAGTGATGGATCTCCACTAGAACCACTTGGGTATAGTCTGTCCGTTTACCGTACCGTACCTGGAGGCTTTGTGGTTCCTGGATTATTGGTTCGCATTATATGTATCAGATCAATAAGGTATGCCTTCTGGTGGGTGGAGTATATCTTTACAGTGTCTAATGTCTATTATTACCAACTCAGCCAAGTATCAAAGCTTGCGCCATCACATACCACGGTAGGACCCCCATGTTGGTTCCTTCATGTGGGAGTCAAGTAGTCTGTTTCAGGAGGAACGCCGGTTCGAATATACCCAGTCAGTGCTCGGTACCGGATTGGATACGACTTGGCTGGTCAGATCTTGGGTAAGGACGAACTGACTGTGTTGATAGAAAAAGTCTGATTGAGGAGATATCGAACGTACCCTCCTATTCATCCGTATACTGAGGTGGCCTCCTACCTAGTAGACTCCATCATCACAATCAGTTGTTCTCTGGAACTTCGGAACATTGCGATCCTTCTCGCTTCGGTCGACGGAGTAAGATAGGTCCCCGCGGTTAGGGGTATTGGCGCGGACAGTTGCGCTGGAAGATCGGCCCTTTATTACCCGCAACGGATGGCTCATGGACCACCTTCTCGACGGAACTAATGGAGGCCGCTTATGATACTATTTCCATCGTCTAATAAGACAGGGGTTTTCTAGAAACGAGAAAGGGTTCTCCTTGGAACGGTCAGGGTCTCTGGGTTTCTAACTCCGTTGGGGGTGGAGAACGCTGATAGTTCCTGGGTTTGGTGAAGCACGGACACAGTCTTCATATGAGTCTTGCGCTATTGGTAGGGTTGGATTGAGATGCGCGTGTCTTTACTCTGTCTGGAGCTGTTCCAAGATGAGAGAACTGTTTAACTGAGCTTAGCTCTGGTGGCCTCATGCTTCTTCTGAGTGTCTGTACGTCCACAACGAAAGGGTGCCACCTATCCTAGGTGTAGACTCATAAGTCAGAGACTCTCTAAAATCATATAGTCAAATTACCTACCGACAAGAGACAGTGGAAAGAAATTCCAGAAAACCGCAAAGAAAGTGGTGTATGTGGATATGGATTGGGCTGGACTAAGAAGGGTAGGATATAGAGAAGTCAGGTGATCACGCACTAACCTTTGAATTATTCTTGTCGTAGAATTTAATATTGTCCAGCATTATCAAGCACAATAAACCATACAATCATATCCTGTCTAATGAGAACGAACAGTCAATAATCGACATCCTGGGATAGCCAAAGTACACCGTAGCTGGGCAGTATATAACATCCGCTCCCACGCCAAGACCACCAGCCGAGTCGACCTCCGACTTGACACTCACAGCTCCCGCACTCCACCTCCGTCACTCCATACACCACCTATTGTTGACCTCCCACGACTTCTGCATTTCCTGTTCTCGCCTGGACTGCCACCCAGGTCATTCATCCAACAATATTTATACTCTCATCCCGTCCCGACAACACGAGACAAAAGCACCACACAAGATGCCACTACTCCCCACCTCGCACGCCTACCTGGAACAGTCTGCGCTGTTACTTCAGGCATATCCGGACACGGTACGTTTGAACAGATAGGAATAAGGAATTATCTACATACCCAATTCCAATAAAGTCTATCCCCCTTCCAAAAGAGAAAGACACCAAGCATGAAAGGACACAATATCCAAAAGAGGAAGAAGACAAGAAACAAATTTCAATTTCAATCTCAAAAAAAGTCTCAATGCAACATAACTAACAATCACCACCAACAGACCCGCATAACAACAAAATACAACTTCCCCTCAACACGCCCCTCCAACTCCTCCCGGAAACAAAAATCCAAGCCCGCCTCCACGTCCGCCCCCACCACCACCACAGAAACCACCCCGCAAGCACCACCCACCACACCCCTCGCCTACCTCACCCTCAAAACCTACAACCCCACCACCGGAATCTGCCTCAAGTACCGCACCAACAAAGCCGCCGAAGTTGGCCGTCTGATCACAAGTCTGGGCAAGCTGGCTGCCGGCGCCAGCGTCGCCGAGCTGGGCCTGTCGAATCCCGTGCCTGCTGCGCCTGCCGCGGCTGATGTGGAGATGGCGGATGCGCCTGAGGATACCAGTGCGGGTGCGTCGACGCCTGTTGTTCCCGCTGCGCCTGCGAAGGGGGATGCTGGTGGGAAGGGAGGGAAAGGGAAGAAGAAGGGTGGGAAGGGGAGGAGGTGAGATGGATGGATGAATGGACGGTGTGGTGTGGATGTGCGTGCATGGCTGTGTTGTTGGTGAGTACGTTTGCTGGGGTTCGTCTAGACTCAAGTCTATAGGGGATCTTGCTTCCCACGGACGGCGGGGGTAGGGCGGTTGCTTTACTTCCCGTCCTTCCTTTCTTATATACGTATTATCGGTCTGAAGTAGGGGGGGTGGGAAATATGGGCGATTTAGGATACGACAGGTGGATGGATCACAACTACGCAGTCATGAATAATTGATACGATACCCGATCATGCGGCGACTATCTTCACTCATAGGCACGGCGAGCGTTGACCCTCGTTTTGATAAGATCCATTGCTTTAGCGTTCCTCGGCATCTTGCGTCGAGATACCCATATTGCAGGGAATGGCACTACGACTCTTCATACAATCTAAAGATCAAAACATAATTATCCAATCAATGTACACCATAGTATTTTAGATGCAGTCGACTGCCCATCCGGCGATAGCTAGACAGGACTCCCACCATACATCGAACAAAGAAATTACCGCCTTTCCAACGCCGGTCCCATGCGTATACCTCAGAGTAGCTTCATCAATCACTTAAAGCAGACAACAAAAAAAGAAAGAAAGGGAAAGGAAAAAAAAAACAACAAGAGGGGAATGTAAAACAAAAACAGAAAAGTCAAACAGTGGGCTCGTATAAAATGGCTGCTGCTGAACAAGCAGCCGGGTATATGTGGGGAGAGTGGTCTAGAAATCATCGTCAAAGCTAAGACCGGCGGAGGTCTTGCTTTCCACCTTCTCGGTGTCCTTCTTGGCGCTGGCCATGACACCGGCCTTCTGGTAGTCACCCACCCGCTTCTCGAAGAAGTTGGTCTTGCCGGCCAGAGAGATCGACTCCATGAAGTCGAAGGGGTTGGTGGCGTTGAAGTACTTCTTGTTGCCGAGAGCCACCAAAAGACGGTCGGCGACGAACTCGATATACTGGCACATCAGGTTGGAGTTCATGCCCAGCAGGGCGCACGGAAGGGCATCCGTCAGGAACTCCTTCTCGATCGAGACCGCTTCCACGATGATATCCTCGACAACCTTCTTGCTGGGGCGGTTGTTCAGGTGCGAGAACAGCAAGCAGGCGAAGTCAGTGTGGAGACCCTCGTCACGAGAGATCAGCTCGTTGGAGAAGGTAAGACCCGGCATCAGGCCACGCTTCTTCAGCCAGAAGATGGAGGCAAAGGAGCCAGAGAAAAAGATGCCTTCAACAGCAGCAAAGGCCACGAGACGCGAGGCAAAGGTGGACTCCGTATCCTGGATCCACCGGATGGCCCAGTCGGCCTTCTTCCTGATGCAAGGGACTTGGATTGATGTTAGTTATCTGTCAATGGGCACATACGAAGGGCTGTGGCAACGTACTGGTATCAATGGCATCGAAAAGATGGGTGCGCTGCTTGGGCTCCTTGATGTATGTGTCGATGAGGAGCGAGTAGGTCTCCGAGTGAATGTTCTCAATCATGATCTGGAATCCGTAGAAGCAGCGAGCCTCGGGGACCTGCACCTCATTGCTGAAGCGCTCCAGCAGGTTCTCGTTGACAATGCCGTCAGACGCGGCAAAGAAAGCCAGAACGTGCGAAATAAAGTAGCGCTCATCGTCGTTCAGGCGGCTGTTCCAATCGTGCAAATCCTTGGAGAGATCGATCTCCTCGGCGGTCCAGAAAGAGGCCTCGGCCTTCTTGTACATTTGCCAGATCTAATTGTTCGGAGGGGATACGCGTTAGCGGACGCGCGAGGATCGAGGGCGGTCAAAACGGGTAAAAAGGAATTTTTCCACTTTACGCGCGACGCGTGATGGACGTGACACTCACCTCATGATACTTGATGGGAAAGAGAACAAAACGGTGAGGGTTCTCCTGGAGCAGAGGCTCAGTGGCCTCCAGCTCCTTAGCAGTCGGGGTGGTCGTGACTGTCTGAGTGGGCTTCTCCACGATCTTGCCGGCAGGCGCGTCGACGCGAGTGGAGGGCGCGTTTTCCTTGCCGGCCGACTCGAAGTTGAGCTTCTTCACAGGAGAGTCGCTCATCTTGAGGTTTTCGAGGGAAGATGCAGCCTATTCAATTGATCGATCATGTTAGCACGTTGTGGGTTTCCAGAGACGCGTCGAGGCCAGTGGCCACAAGCGTGACATCACGTACCTGCTTAGAGGGAGTGACTTGAGCAGACATTGTGAGAGTACTGCAAGGCTATGTAGACTGAACAAGACAACAAGAGGAGCGAAGCAGATACTGTGGCACTCCGGTAATACTGAATTGAAGGAATGGGATGAAGAGAGAAAAGCTACGGGAAGAGAGGGGGGGAAGTGAGGAAGAAATACTTTGCTTCGGACGAGGAGCGTGACGGCTAGCGCGACGGGCTAAGTCACGTCGCACGTGACTTGGCGGACGTGTGGTTGGGGCGATCTTATGTAAGGTACACTATCCGGCCGGTTTTTCTTTGTTGGCGTCGCGTCTCCTCCGTCCACTTCTACACGTCTCTTGTTTTCCTGCCCTCCCCCTTCGCGGCACGAGCCCCCGCCGACCCAGAATTTTGTCTGGATTTGATTAGTCGCTCGCTTTCAGACCACCCGCTCTCAGCTCCATTCGAGCTCTCATCCTCGAAACACAGCTGGAATCCTCGCTCTTCGCTAGGCAGCTGAACCACCCCCCCCCCCCCCCCACATACCGAACTAACCTACCTGGGCAAGGAATTGTATCAATGGTCGCGTTGCCCGTGAATCGGCAAATCTTATCTGATGCGATGCCATCTCGATCGTCGCCCTTCATTTTTGGGCGGTTTTGACACGACATTCGAGAAGACTCACTCGTTCGCCTGGTGCAGTGGAGTGCCCCGCCTAGCCCAGTCCCCCTTTTGTCTTCCACCCCCTTGCTTCATTAGAGTATGCACCTGAATTGCTATGTGACTGATGGCCTCCGCCGGAAAGCATGTAGGCACCATGCCAATGATCCAGACCCAGTCATCCCCACATCAACGGGCTGACGAAAAAGTTGATAATCATTCAGTAAGCCTTGGTAAATCAGGCACGGTTGCAATTATTGGTGGTTTTACGCGTCGGACAGCTTTGTCCCACATCTCGACGCGAGTAGCAACAGCTCCAGGTGGCAGCCTCAGCCCCGGTGATATCCACTACGTAAGACAGTCTATGATTGTCGTTTACACCTGCCTATGGGAATCTCCTGACCCACCAGTGGCGGCGGGGGGTGAAGACATAGTGACTTGATAAAATAGATCCTTGATCATGACGTTAGAAGTGCAAAGACGCGTCTCGCGGCTGGTCTGCGCGCATCAGGACGTGCCGAAGTCGGCCTTGCGTTTGTTGAGGACTTTCCCGTTTGCTAATGATCTGGATCTGTGGGTTTGGCTTGGGATAAGGTACAAGTAGTTAATTATTCATATTAATCTAACATATATTCTAATTTGACTACTGTTATCTGTATGGCATGACCCAGGAATCAGGATAGTATTGCAGGGAATCTCCAGCTGGTCGGCTACCCCAATCAATGGCTGGCGTGCGTTCTCAACCCACATTAGTAAATTGCAAGCCATTCTTACTCATGGCCGACTAAGAAGTAAGAATTTGTCTCTACTACGAAGACAAAAATTAAGTCAAAAAAAACTCAAAAAGATTGACAAGGATGGGATTCGAACCCATGAATCAGAGAAACTAGTGATCAGATTTGAATCAACCTAAAACTAGCGCCTTAACCGCTCGGCCACCTTGCCTAGACTGGTGTGGGGAATCAATCTAATTAATTTCTTGAATAGATGGGATATAGAAAACAATCGACTGTTTTAATACTCATTGAATACTCCGTGTCTTACCACCTCAGTACTCTAATATAGCATGGGATCAGCGATCGCTAATATAAGTACGTTCCTCACTATAAACTTGGCAACTCTCGAGGATACTTTTAGAAAATAATATACTATCACCAATCAATTAAACGCTCCTAGATGCATATGTACAGAAATGTGTAAGATGTAGCATGGTTGGCGGAAATGAATCTATGTATAACCTCACGGCCCAAGCCGACATGCCTCATCTACATAATGACCGAAAAAGCCACATCGGCGTCCCACAGCAAGATTTGTGGTTAATTCTATCGACATGATCTTGCATATTTACAGGTTCGACTTCAACGAGTCGGAGAGGAACCGGTCCTCCGCCCGACGCATAAGCTTGTTCGTTTGCTCAGCCAGACTGAGAGTCAGGATCTGGAAGGGGGTTAGCAATCTGTGGCTGGAATCCAGGTTCTCCAGTTTCCCGGAAATGGACCAAACGTACAGTGTGTGGTAGGATACGGGCCAGATGAGCGAAGTAGCCCTTGTAGAGCGCAAAGATGCCTTCCTTGCGCACGGTCTTGACCAGGCAGTCGAGACCGCTCTTGTAGAGGTTGCCGGTTTGGTTGTACATTCGCGACATAATCGTGTCTTAACCATGATAATTAGCGAAAAGGCACTGCGCTTGCGAAACTAGATACCTACCAGGGGGGTGCATGACACAGCAGACGACAAAGCCGGATGCCGTGCTGCTCGCCAAATGCAGAGCAGGACCGTCTTTCAGATCCATGTGCTTCATCAAGTTTCGCTTCGCGAAAAAGTACGTGGGGAGCTGCACGGAGCTTCCAAAGCCCGTCCGCACCATGGCGGCATTCACACCGCGGTAAAGTCCGCCAAGTCCCTCGGTGGACTTGATCTGTCGCATTCCGTCTAACATGTTTCGATATTTGTGCTGAGTTCCGACGGGAAGGAACGGGGAGTAGGATTGAAGACGCGTCTTCACCAAGAAGAAAGGCGAGCCAAAGGCAGCTCCGATGATGCCGGAGGAGGCACCGGCGAAGACATTGATTGCGAGGGACTGCACCTGGGCATCGTCGTAAACCGCAGTCGTGACGGTTTTGCGCACCGGCTCGTAGAAACCTAAACGGCAACCATTGAGCACCATTTGATATATATACTACCATCCTGTTAGTCCCGATCGAATGTCCAATATCCAGGGTGCGTCACGCACAGCACAGCCAATGCCGCGGAAGAGTCCGCGGGGTCCCTCATTCTGTAGGATGACCTTCACACCGTGAAAGACACCCCGGTATTTCTTCGCCGCTTCGTGCTTCTTTTGTAATTCGCCTTGCAACTGTAACCTGCGCCCCAAACACTATACGTTAGCACACCGACAAGACCATAGACGTAACGAACGCCGACGGAACAAGGCCATACCGAATCTTGACCGTCTCGAAACTATGCGTAACAGTGACAGCTCCACATGCCGCAATACCACCTGCGATGAACGCTCTATAGCAAACTCCACGTTAGCTATCGCGGCGGTGTCAGGGTTGTACACGAGCAACGCACCCTACTGTCGTGGACATCGTGACTCAGATATCAAACGGCCTCCGTTAGCGGAGCGGATAGATCAAGCCCAGCCTATCGCGGGTAGAACAGCGGTCGTCGTGAAGAGGGTTTTGAGAACCAAGCCCGTAGGCGCGCGTAATCACGACTGGAGAGTGCTGTCAAAGATGTTGATTATCAAATCCAGTCCGCGATCGAAACAGAAATAAAGTGTCCAGCTGACGGAGAATGCGACCGGCAATAAATTAATACCAAGTACGCCACTTCTTAATATTTTTTCAAACTCAGTTAGACGGGCGGAGGCGAAGCTTGACCGGTCGCCGATTGGATTCTAACCAGCACGATTGGTTCCCAAAAGATGCTCGATCCAACTTCTCGGCCTGGAGAAAAAGGGCCTGAGGCCGCCGATTCTCGGAGCTCGGCACCGACGGTACCCGCTGGGGCTGGAACATCTATTGTTCCCCGTCCGCTCCGGGCGCGCGCCAAAAAAAGAAGTAGCGGCGGATCGCGGTGTTGCTCAAGCTGAGCAGATGTGGAGAGCTCTACGCCATTGATCTGTCGGAGTTTCTCTTTGAGAGATCTTGTGCACTCCGTACCTCGTGCTGCTGTAGTATGCAGCTTTAGCTCGACCGTCATCGCAGAACAGGTTTCTAGACAGCTTCTCCTTTGAATCGTCAACATGGCGGAAAGCCACCAGCCGACTCCGCAGGTACCTCCAGCGCAGCAGCCACAGCAACAGCAGCAGTCCGCGACTCCTTTGGCGTGCCAGAAAGTGCCGGATATCATTCGAAACTACCGTCCGGTCAAGGTGAGGAGGCAGTTCGTTTCTTCCGCAAACCAATGGTCATTGACGGTTTTGGTCACTTCCAGGCTTTCAAGAACTCCAAGCAGGAACCGTCCAACCATGTGACCTCGCTGGATTTCGACGATCAAGGGGATCACTTAGTGGCCTCAGGCGATGATGACATGATTCAGATATTTGATATCAAGGAGGGAAAGCCCACCAAATCGGTTCCCAGCAAAAAGTATGGGGCGCATTTGGCGAGGTTCACCCACCACTCGCGGCAGGTCCTCCACGCGAGCACCAAGGTCGACGGTAGGCGTGCTGTATTCCCTGTGCTTGTTGACTTTGCTCATACAGTACAGACTCGTTGCGCCTGCTTGATCTTCATAACGAAGGCTATGTGCGATACTTCTCGGGCCATACAGACAAAGTGACTTGTTTGGCGCTATCCCCCGGGAGCGATTCGTTTATCTCGTGCTCCAAGGATGATACCGTTGCACTGTGGGACCTCGGTTCGCGGAATGCCCAGGGAAAGCTGAAAATCGCCACCCCGTACCTGGTCGCGTTTGACCCGTCTGCCTCCGTCATTGCGATTGCGTCCCAGTCAACCTCGTCGATTCTGATGTACGACTTCCGCAACTACGACAAGTCCCCCTTCTCCACCTTCGATCTCGCACCTTACGAAGAAAAATACACTCCGTCCACGCGCGGACGAGCGTGGACGCGGCTGGAGTTTTCCAATGACGGGAAGTTCTTGATTGTGGGGACGGACTATCATGGCCATTTCCTCCTTGACGCCTTCGAGGGGGTCATGAAAGCGTTCTTGGTTGGCAAGAACGGGTCCCCTGGGCGCGCTGCACCGGTGTCAACGACGGGAAAGCCCCTCGGTCAGGGCGATGTATGCTTCACCCCCGACGGACGATACGCGGTTGGAGGCTCTGGCGACAGCCCGGACGTTCTGGTTTGGGACACGCAGCAAGCCCCGGAACCGAACAACTATCTGCAGCCGATGACCAGGTTACCCCACCGGGGCCGGACTGCCCTCATCGAATCGAATCCCCGATATAACATGCTTGCTAGCGCCGATAAGGACGTTGTCTTCTGGCTCCCAGAAGAAAATGCGAAGCCGTCCGAGAAATAATAGAAGTCATTAGAATGGCCACAACGGTGGCTCGCGGGCTTCTCTCGAAGTGTGGAACGTCCGTTTTTATTTCTGCATCTGGTCTGGATCGACTTGCCAGGGACCACTGGCACTGCGTTTACCATGCTTGCGGAATAACGAGAGCGCAAGACTTAGTTTTTGCGGTCCTTTTCCTTGCCAACCAGACTCCGAGCTGTTTCACAAACCCACACCAAAGGTCCCTCCAACTCCTCATCATTATCCCTGTGCGCCTCGATTATGGCTTCGATTTGTTTGACAACAGTGCGGTTACTGGATATGGTAACCGTCCCAGTTACCCATCCATACATGAACACGCTATAGTTGATATCCGACAATATTTCTGTTATCTTGTGTGATATCGGGGGAAGACTGCCCTGTGCAATGGCCGCCTCGATGGCAGGACCGGCGTCCACAGGTCTAATCGGCAGTTTCCACTGCGGCGGTATTTCAAAATCCGACAGCTCCTGGAATTTCTGGATGAGGGATTGGCGATCGCAGCCTCCATATGGGCCATCACCCATCAAGATTTCCGTGCGTCGTTTTTCGGTGTCGGTCCCGATGATGCTTACAATCTCGCGCATCCGCTTCATCGCTTCCTCCGTGCACACCATCTCGTGTCCATCCATTGCCGGCCAGAGTTCCGTCGGCAGCAAGGGCCTCTCCCTCTCGACTTCGAGTTGCCGAAGGATGGCTCGGTGGAAGTTGTTGGAAAGATGGATGTCTTTGAAGTGCGACAGATCCGACACGGCAGCGAGCAGCAGCGTGCAGTCCACGTTGAGCGTTGGGGTGAATCGTTTGAACGGCGTGGGCAGAAGGTGGCGCAAGTCCTCGGGTGTCGTTCCTGGCTGTCCTCCAGGACAGGGACCAAGGACGCTCGGCCCACAGTCTATCTCAACACCATAGCTTCGTATTAGTTTCAGAAGGTCGTCAATCTCAGAGCTTCTGCCTTTCTCCAGCTTTGGAACTACTAGACGTAGCCGTGGGTGTCTATACTGCACCCGCGTCGCATTAGCCGCCTTTCTCATATCACTCGCCAACTTGACGAGCTCAATCTCATCATCCTCATCCTCACTCTCATCCCCATCCCCATCCCCCTCATGATTCCGTAACACCGTCCTCCCCACCCCATCCTCCCCATCAGACCCCTCCTCCGAATCCCCCTCCCACCCCTTCTTCGCCATCTCAAACAAAAGCCTCGACTCCGAAACCGTAGAAACCTTCACCCACTCCTCCCCATCATCAGCCACAATATCCACATACACACTCCTCCGCTTATCCAGATCCGGCCGCTTGCGCCCATCCTCACCTCCATCCACCACCATCCGCCCCCCATCCTTCTCCCAATAAAACCTCTTCCCAAACGCCACCAGCCCCGAACAAGACCGTCTCGCAACAGTCCACACAGCCTCGTAGAACGGCAGATTCGACGACCGCAGCGAGTGCATCACCCGCCGCTCTACATCGCTCGCCCCGTCTGCGCCGCCGTCGTCAGTAGCAGCAGCTGCTGCTGCGGCGGTTTCAAGCTGTCTGCCCAGCTTCTCCAGTGTCTTTAGCTCAGACGCGACGCTCGATCGGAGGGTCCGCGCTTCGACGACTTGCGGGTTGCGTTGGGTTTGTAGGAGGAGGGACTGGAAAGTGTCTATTTCGGCGATGAGGTGGTGGCTTCGGGATATGAGGGACATTGCGAGTGACTGGCTTGTTTCGGGGGTTGTTGCTGGGGTTGAGGGGGTGGTGTCGGCTTCTTGCGCTGGGGTGTTGGTGTGTGCCATTGTGCCGTTGTAGAGAATCTTGTTCTTTTTTGGAGGGAGATGTTGAAGTGATAGGATAGCTTCATGTGTGTCGCTGTATATGTATATAATTCTTGTTGCGCTGGTCGCAGGGTTAACGACACTAGAATTGAATTATATATAGCGGGGGAGTCTCAAAAGCAGTGAGAAGCAAGTGTTGTGAGTCATTAGCGGAGTGCAAATCTATACCGATATAAAAACATTAGGTATCCACAGAATTGAATCGAATGTTCTTGAAGAGAGAAGCAGACAGACAGGCAGGTACTGGGTAAGGCTGACAGCCTTGAAAAGTGGAAATGTTTATCGTGGGGCAGATGGACCCGCGGCGGTTTCCATACCTACTCCGTACTACTACTACTACTACTATTACTACTACTACTTCATTTTCTTGATATCAATGTATATATCATTATTACAAATGTTTGGACTACAAATATCAGTAGGTTATAATACTCGAAAAGTATTGAGATTAAGTTCTGGAAAAGAAGCAAATTATCTCCACTTCTATAAGATATCAGTCACAATATACAGGGGCTCAAAGTGACGTAGTACGTTGCTCGAACGCGTCCCATAACAACGAGCACAACACTTCGCAACTCCAACGCATGCATGCTTGATCGATCCAGGAGCCAAATGCGTGTAGTCCATCGATTTTGTCAATTTCTTAGAGACACATCAATAACAGCCGTGGCTTCAAGATGGGGTCAGGGAATCGTTCGTGATCGACGACTTTCTACAGGCGCCACGCCGGCCGAGGCCAATGACCATTTCTTTCGGTACACGTCTGGCCGGTGGTTGTATGATGAGCAACTGCAACTCGAGAACCGATATGTCGAATTCAACATCCAAGCTCTCAGGCACACCGCTGCGCACGTACTCGGCAGTCGGTGTATCGAAATGAGCAAAGTACCAGAGGGCTTTTACAACAAAGTTCTATCACTGAAAATGGAGGATGGCAGGGAGGTACTAGCGAGGATTCCAAACCCAAATGCTGGCAATCCCAAGCATATAGTAGCCAGTGAAGTTGCAACGCTTGATTTTGTGGGTAACCCCGAAGGCTCCCCCCTTGTTCAATCCCCAGTCTGACTGACATATGATTTAGGCGCGCAACGTTCTTCATATCCCTGCTCCTAAAGTTTTGGCGTGGAGTTCACCATCGTTGCCACAGAACCCGATTGGCCCCGAATATATGCTTATGGAAAAGGTCCAGGGATGCCAATTAAGCGAGGTTTGGGATAATATGTCGGAAGCGCAACGCTTCGGTCTCATAAAAAGCTTGGTTAACATTGAGCGGAAACTGGCAAGCACAGAGTTTGCGGCCTATGGCAGCCTTTACTATAAGGATACACATCCACATGGTAGGAATATCATCGACAGGGATGCTGCTATGGATGATGAGGTCATCTCCAAATTTGAACTTGGTCCGACAACTGAGAGGTCTTTCTGGGAAGATGAAAAGAAGGAATTAGACCTTGATCGAGGGTCTTGTATGTCACCCTGAGAACAGTCTCTGCATCCACGTCACTAACTAATAGCTACCTAAGGGAACTCTGCTCAAGAGTATCTCTCAGCTGTTGCAAAACGAGAGATCGCCATAATCCGAAGCCCATGTTCTAGGAAGACCAAGGGCAATCCAATATCTTCGAGAATAATATCCTCACGCCCTGACATACATGTGCAACATCTTGAACAGTTTCTCGCTGTGCTGGCATACATCCTTCCACCCGAGGAGCTGTCCCGTCCTGTGCTTCTGCACCATGATCTTCATGCAGGTAACATATTCGTTGACCACGCGGATCCGACGAAGATATCGGGAATCATAGACTGGCAAACAGCCCATACCGCTCCCCTATTCATGCAAGCAAAGTTCCCATCGATCATTGAATGTCACGATGCTTATCCATGGGGGGCAGTCCAGCCTAGCCTGCCAAACGACTATGACAACCTACCAGAATCAGAGAGGACGCTGGCCAGCGAGCAATTGGACAGGGTAAGGTTGAAGAAATATTACGAGCTGGCTTCGAGAAAATTCAACCCACTGCTTGTCAAGGCGATGGATTTCATGAGAAGGGATGAAGACCCCACCACTTTCATATTCCACATCGTCGGGCGTTCTTCACTGGATGGGCCCATCCCGATCAAAGAAATCTTAATCCAGGTATACGAGAAATGGGACCAAATCATGCGGCGAAACGGCCTAGATATTCCGTGCCCGATTTCATTCTCAGAGGACGAGATCAAGGCAACCAGGCAGCTAGTGCAAACATGGGCTGAATTATATGCCGAATTTGATAGACTGCGCCTGGAAAATACGGGCAAGGATGGCTGAGTCTCACATGGCGAGTACGAGGAGTCTCTACGGAGGTGGGAAAATAAGAAAGCAGATCTAGATATCCTCCAACAGCGATTAGGAGAACTGGTTTAAGACGCATGTGCGACACTCGTCTTCTTCGCAGTGCGCTCTTTGAATCTACCATAATAACATAGTAGTAGACCTTTCAGGTCATCATGATTACTTTGAAATAAAAATCCATCCTATATGCAATTTGAGTACTCCTGTTCACGCATATGAGCAAGAGATGTTTTATATGGTTATTGGTAATTGTGGCTCTGGGTAATCAGGTTAACCTGGCACTAAAGGACCTACATAATATAGCCAGCATGAGGCTTGTTTAAATTGCGCCGTTGAAATGTAGCGCGTGTTGGGGCCTTTTTGCAAAAGTATCGAGTCATTTGATCAAAAATAATGAATAAATATTCAGGGAATATAGAACAGCAAAATGAATACCATCTCCACAAGCTACACGAACGAAGAAGGAAGCAAAGAATTGAAAGTGAGAAGAAGACAGGTTCAGAACAGAACACCGGCCAACGCCATGACATACATGTCCGCCAGGTAGAGCAGTGGCAGCGTCGGAACAGGCCAACAAGTCCAGTTGTATCCAAATGAGCCGACAGGTAAGGGTATGTCCACCCTCGATATCAGTACACAGTGGCGCACAGGATGCACCACTAATCATCGCGACTCAAGAAGCCCCCACCCCCACAGTTAGGATGCCACCTTACGCTTAGTCCTTGCCCGTGAGTCGCTTTCTTTCGCTCGAATTGCGCGGGGACTCATCGTCATCGGACCACTTGTCGCCATCCTCTCCGACGGCGAAGATGGTCTCACCATCGAGGGACTCGCGCTGGCGGGGGGCAGATGGAACGGGCTTAGGAGGAATAGGGGACAGGTCGCGACGGTGTCCCGAGCCATAGTGGCTCTCCAAGCCACCCATAGGTCCTTCCTCCTCGTCCAAACCGCTGCCGAGGGACCGGATCTCAAATCCGTCATCGTCTTGGGCAAGCTGTAGACCACGTTAGCACAAAATATTCGACCCAAACTGATTCTAAGGTGGTGGAAGCGTACCTCGTCACTCATGGCGAATCGTCGGTTGTTCGCGGTAGGTCGCCACAGGTAGGCCACAAATGCAATGTCGAAGAGATACACGATGTTGAGCCAGCCGTCCAGGACGAACCAACGGGTCTTCCAGTGGTCCGGGACGAAGCTGGCGTCACTGCGGCCAGCGAAGGAGATCGAGTTGAGGAAGAAGAAACCAAAGATCACAATGATGCTGCCCAAAATGCACCACCACAGTTTCTTGTACATCATAGCCTTGGTCTTCTGCTTTCGGTCCACCAGATCCTTCATGGTCGCATTCAACGAGTTCAGCGTCCACACGTAGAAAGCCGTCAAGGTACCGGCGAGCGGAAGCACAATCAGAAGGACAAGAGGGCCCGCACTATCTGGCGTGATGGACAGACTTGCAACGGCGTAGATGACGGCAAAGACGAAGTGAGCGATGGCGAGGACGCGGACATAGACCATCGTCCGGCCCAGGGAGGGTTTCACGACACCGTAGCCCATGCAGACGATGAGGAGTAGGAAGAACGAAAAGGAGTTCCGTCCAGCGTTGAGAACAGCGACAATCACCATTAGTGCCTTGGCCCCCATATTCAAACCATTCTGGTTTTGGAACTCTGGAGGGGGTCAGCGGCGAACGGACATAGGATGAGAGTTACATTGGACTTACCGTAGAAGCCCCAGGTCATCAATTGTTCGATAATCAAAAAGACGACAATGGCGGTAATATAGTTTTGCACCGGCACTGTTAATTGTTAGCAACGGGATCGGAAGACCATAGACGAGCACACCTACAGATATCATGTCGGTTCTGCACATATAGGAAGGCCCAGAAACTATTTCAAGTCAGTAAATCACTAAAAACATCACAGATCCGCTTCATCTCCCCGGATAGGATACTCACATCCCAATAACCGCGTACACGATCGTCAGGCCCCCATAAAAGGGTAGCTTTGCAATCTGCGCAGCTGGGAGTTCACCATAGGCATTTCTGAATTCCACCACCGCTTTGTAGTCCTGCGGCGAGTAACCATACGTGCTCACACAGTAGAAACCCGTCTTTTTGACCGGGTAGTTGATGGCGGCCGGGTTCTTGAGGTGGACAGCCTTGGTGATAATAGGAAATTTCGAGGCGTCAGTGGCGTTGGCCGCAAGTATGAAGGACCCTATTTGGTCTTCCGTGCAGTATTGCGCTTCCACACTCTTTTCGTCGCAAATGGTCTCTCTCTCCTAGAACACGTGTCAGAAGATCTCATCGCCGACAGTTGTTCCAAGGAAGCCTGCCTACATCGCTATCGTCGGATATGGGGCGTCCGATCAGAGCCTCATCACTCCATTCAAAGATCACCAAGCTAACCAGGGGATCCTTATCACCAACATCGGCGGCTGGGGCGAATTTCGTCAAAATGAACGGGTCGACTTCACCGCCCCATGCTTTGCGACTATACATTCCCGAGCATCGCTGCCGGTGGGTTTCGTCCTGCGTCTATAAGGCAACAGCGTACCTGTTAGTATGAAGCCGATGAGCTGGGATTCCAAGGAGGGCGCACCAATTCCACTTCGTTCGCAAGCGTCCGTCCTGCCAGTAAGGCAGCGAGGCCTAGGGTCTGAAACCAGCCCTTCATTGCTGCTGATCAATAGGAGATAGCCAGACAGTGGTCGTAATAGGTAGGGTCCGGAGGTGAGGTTGATTTACGGATCGTACCTCATAAAGAGGGAGAGCGAAAAGGAGGGAGATCAGAGAAGTAGAATAAAGCGCCGTATCAAAGAAACCCAATCCACGTGGGAGACTAGCGATTAGTTGGCCGTTCCCCTAAACTTATAAGGATCTTGACTGGGGTAAGAATAAATCAGGACGGGAAAGCTCAATAGGAACTGGAAGTCAAGATGAAGCGTGGCTGCGAACCGGGGAAGCCGCGTGTAGTAATGGAGGGATCCCGCCTTATCTAATACGGCCCGCTGTCACCGCCCAGGCACCAGGAAATGATTTTCTTTTCTTTTCTGCCTGCTCTCTGGTATAATTTTGTATAGACTTGAGTAAATCTTTTGCAGCTTGTGCTCGCTTTTATCTTTGAAGATTCTTTTAAGATGCCTCAAAAGGAGCTTGTGGACCCGTGCTCCGATTGTCGTGAGTTTGAGTCTATCTTGACCCAGCGCAATCGTCGTCTATGCCAGTCTGTCAACCCCGTTCATCACCCCACTTTCGAGAAAGATAGACTTGCTGACCACGTCATATTTTGATACAGAGACTGTTATAGACGCGCGGTAAGCCTCAAAGTGCTGAGGCGCACGGAAAACTATCGGCTCCGTAAACATCCTTTCCCCAGGACCGGACCGTTGAACCTCGCTTTCCCACTCTCCTACGGCCTTTCTTCAACCGTTTTGCTGCATATGTTACATGACCAACTGGACGCCCAGCTTGCGAAACCACGCGGACCTCCGGGATATACGCTACATGTGCTGATTATCGAACCATCGACTATCTGTCCTTCGAGCCCGTCGCACGAGGAAGGCTTTGAAGCGGCGCAAAAATGCTTTCCTCATTTCTCTTTCACCCGGGTTTCCTTCCACGATATCTTTGAATTCGTCCCCGACATCTTGGAGACGATGTCCCAATTCGCTGGAAGTTTTTTCGTCGACAACCCATCTCTGTCGAATCAAGAACGACTGGCCGCTTTTCGCGCTTCCATCTCAACGGCTACCTCCCGAGCCGACGTGGACTACATTCTGATGAACAGACTTGTTGTCGCCTTCGCAAAGAAAATGGACTGCCGGGCAGTCCTGTGGGGCGACTCGGACAGTAAGCTTGCGGCAAAGACCCTGGCAAATGTTGCTAAAGGCCGGGGTTCGTCGGTGACCTGGCAGGTGTCCGACGGCATGTCCCCGTTTGGCCTAGAATTCAGCTTCCCGCTGCGGGACCTGTTCACCACAGAACTCCAGAACTACGCCACTTTCTTCCCAGAGCTGTCTAAGATTATAATTCGGGATGAACCGCCCTCGGAAAATACGCTGACCAAGAATCTATCTATTGACGAACTGATGATGCGTTATGTCCAGACGCAGGGCGAGAAATACCCCGGTGTCATGCTAAACGTGACGCGAACAGCGGCCAAATTGGATCCCTCCCAAGCGCCTACGACAGCGCAATGTTCTTTTTGTGGAAGCGCAGTGTCAGAATCTGATGGAGAGAGTGGATTCTGTTACGGCTGTATTCGGTCTAGACCCGAGTCAAGGTGATGGTCCAATAAAAGAAAAGTCCAAATGTCTTATTGTCATGCACGCGGTCATCCATCTTAAAAGGAAACCAAAAATTACAAGGAAGATGGCAAAAACTAGCAAAGATCACCAACAAAAAAAGGGGTGGGCCGTCACATGTCACATCAATCATATGTCATCGCCTGGTTTTCCTGGCGTTGTCAGCGATTCCAGTTTCCACATCCTCTTCGCGATGAGTGGAACCCCCGAACCAACCTCGCTGTGGTTGACCCCTTGATGGCTGTCTCGCTGGGGCCGGTCTGGAAACATCTGCGCCCTGTGCTTGATCATAGCTAGGCGGGTCGTCCGAGGTGTTTGCATGATGCCTATCCCATTCATCCGGCAGACTTGGATCGACTTCCTCGCCTTGCCGCCGTTGTCGTTTGGCAATCGACTTGGCTCCCTTCTCTCGCAAGTGCTTTTCCAAGGCGATCGCGTTCCGGGTGTTGCATTTGTATATGGCGTCTGCGACATCTCCGACAAACGGAACCAGGCCGATCAGGAAGTCGATGATGACATTCACGAGCATCATCATTCGAAGACGCGACGGAAGCCCACCGTCGATGCCTTCGCAGCTCTTTACGACCATCATGGCCAAAGCGGTATCGGCGACATCGCCAGCACTGGCAGAAACACGGGAATTAGCGCCTGGAGCAACGGAAGGCTAGGACCGAGACCACTCCTGTAACTATACTCACAAAGGGATTAAAGCAATGACACTCCCCCAACCAAATCGTATACCGCACAGGTTGAACAGACAGTAGTCCAGTCTGTACGCACGTCGCTTCACCTTGGTGAGGACTTTCTGGTCATTCTCAGAGAGACCGGGCGGAATGGCCTTTGCTCGCTTCTGCTTCTTTTTGCCGAACGCGCGGTTCAACCGCGAAGCGGGGACTTCCTCAAAGTAGGGGTCCTGCGAAACATCAACACATGTGAGCCAATGAATAGAGTACTACCAAAATACGATAGTGTGCGACGACGTACCTCTGTTCCAAAATGGTTCTTTGCCGACTCGGCCAGTACTCTCTTGCCGACCAGCGAGACAAGTGCTCCAGACATGATCCTTTCGTAGATAATTCAAGAAAGGGGTTGCGTCCTTGAACCTAGGGTGTCCCTTGCAAAACTGTAGAACTAGGGAAAGGAAGACAATATATTCCTCTTGCACCGACTAGGGGGCGACTTTTTTTTTTTTTTTCAAAGTGAAGACCAGTACCCCGTACTCGTAGGCGCTGGCCCGTCTTTAAATAGCAGTGGAGGAACTATGAAATCTCGTTGGGCATGTGCTCGTGGGCCCGAATGAAAGGGTTTGACGCCGAAGTGTTATTGGCCTGTCTATTTTGAAAGGAAACTTGATTGAAAGAACCTGACGAGTAAAGAATAAAAAAAATAGACGCGGGAGAATAAATAGAAACGTCGCAGAGGATCATCTCCTCCTGTCCCATCTTCAGGGAACGACCAGATTCGAGCCGACGACGTCATTCCCTCTATTACATAAGGAAACCGGCCTGAGGCGATCAATTTCCTTTTTCGCGCCACATACATCAGCCACACCAGCACAGCCACGTCTGTGGCGTGACAGCTGGTGGCTCGGCATAACTGTCATTGGCCAGAGACGCCACAGCCATATCAGTCCAGCACACCTGACTGACGCCAGCTATGGATGCGACAACCTTTTGACTCCCAACCAACTCTCGGATGTTGAGACGATTCCGCCCCCTCAACTTTCCTTACACCTTCATTTTCTCGAGACAGTTGATCAGGCTGTGATCCACACCGACTTTTTCTTTCCCTCACGAGCAGTACGATTCAGGGCTGGCGTTTTGCCAAGCGCCCTCGGAGCTGCATCATCGTGCTGCCCCCCCCCCCCCCCCTCCTCGGATCTCCGGCTCTTGATCACCCTGCACGTTCGGCTCGAGAGAGCTTTATTATTATACGCGTGGCATTGTTGAAATGCTAGAGCATATTAGACAATATGACCGAAATAAATATGAAGTTAGAAGACTGTAAGTCCGGTCACCGTCTCCTATCTTGGAGTTCCCCAGAGTGGGTTCTACCACAATGGATAGTGGAGTGCTGACCAGGTGATCGGATGTCTATAGGGCTGGATGACTTGTGTGTCCGGTTTATCATTAACCTACCTCGCGAAGAGCTTGAATCTGTCGAGCGGATATGCTTTCAGGTTGAGGAGGCGCAATGGTTCTATGAAGATTTCATCCGGCCGCTTGACCCGGCTCTTCCCTCGCTTTCTTTGAAGGCCTTTGCCTTGCGCATTTTTCAGCATTGTCCGCTCATGTCACAATGGTCCCACTACCATCACATGACCGCGTTCTCGGAGTTCCTGGCTTACAAGACCCGTGTCCCGGTCCGTGGCGCGATCATGCTCAATCAGGAGATGGACGAAGTGGTGCTGGTGAAGGGCTGGAAGAAGGGGGCCAATTGGAGCTTTCCCCGCGGTAAGATCAATAAAGACGAGAAGGATCTTGACTGTGCCATTCGGGAGGTGTATGAGGAGACTGGGTACGACATCCATCAAGCGGGGCTGGTCAAGGACGATAAAGATGTCAAGTTCATCGAGATCACGATGAGAGAGCAACATATGAGGCTCTACGTCTTCCGCGATGTGCCCCGCGACGCATACTTCGAGCCCCGCACCCGGAAGGAGATTAGTAAAATCGAGTGGTACAAGCTTTCCGAGCTGCCTACTCTGAAACGGAGTAAGCAGCAGGACCAAGGAGTAGCGGTCGCCAACGCGAACAAGTTCTACATGGTCGCGCCCTTCATGCATCCGCTCAAGAAGTGGATTGCGCAGCAGAAGAAGCTGGATATGAAGAACCAGGTGGGTCCCAGGCAGGTTGTCCAGAGTGAAGGAGATATGTCAATGGACGAAGGCGGTTTTGGCGCCAACAGTCATTACGCAACGCCAAACCTACCGCGCACGGAATTGGCGGTTGGAAGTGACTTGCCTGAAGTTGCATCTTCGCAGGATGCCTCCGCTCATCTCAAGCGCCTGTTGAACATCAACAACATGATGAAAATGCAAGGACAGGCTCACCCAGCGGAGACGCCACAAGCATCCAACGCGGATCCCCTCAAATCGAATGCTCTTCTGGAGCTTCTACGGAGCGGATCCCAGGGCCCTACTCCAGAAAAGACCACGCCCAGGGAAGCCCCGATAGGGGCGCCACCCCCGCTTCAACCGGTTGCCCACCCTGGGCCCAATTTCTTTCCAGGGTTTCCGCAACAGCATCCCTTCCCTGGACAGTTTGTCAATCCAACCCCGCCGAAGGGTGCTTCCATGCCTCCCCTTCCACCTATGCATAGTATGAACCAGCATGCAATGGCACAAGGGTTCCCTGCGCAATCTCAGCAGATGCCTCCTTCCTACCCTCCTCAATCGCGTCCAGCACAGCCTTTCCATCCAGGCATGGTATCGACAGCCCCGTTTCCTCCACCCAACCCGGGGCCTGCCAGCCGCCCTTACCAGCGAACCGGGGATCCTGAGTTTTCGCAACCTCCTCGCCAGCTTTCCCAGGTTGAGGGCGCAGCTGTGCCCCCGGCCAACAATTTGCCGCCACCGAAACTCACCAGTCACTCACTGGCCCTCCTTAACGTGTTCAAGGATGAGGCGGCCAAGACTCCGAAGTCCTCCCACGCAACACTGGCGCCACAGACTGCGGATAAGACGCCGGCTAATGGACGTAGGTCGTCGCAACACCAGGACCAGTTGCTCAACCTGTTGAAAGGTTCTCCGTCCCGACCAGCACCCGTCGAGCTGCCAGGCCGACCGGTCTCTCCGGCTCAGCGACAGATCCTTCAACGGCCCCGTGGTGACGGGCAGGGAACGCAGAAAACCAGAGCTAGCTCCCGGACGACCCAGCCGAGCGGTACATGGACTGCAGCAACTGTTTCCGGGCCTTTGGATATCCCTCAATCTGCGGCCGGGACAAAGCCACCCCCCAAGCGAGCCCATAACGGACCCCATCGGAAGGCTGCCAAAGATCGACAGGCGCAGCCCCTCGCATCACCGATCACCATATTGCCTCGGCCTCAGTCTGCAAAGAAAGAGGCCCCGCCGGCCCAGGCACCAGCCCGGCCCCCGTCTCAACCGTCGCGGAACTCGTCCCAACCGCGATCTGCCCGCAAGCAGAGATCCCCGGAGGCACCGAAACCGTTCCAACCTCAGATCCTCCGCCGCACCGAGAACGCAGACAATATCCTGCCCATCCGGCCAAAAGAGGCCGTGAATCCTGAGAAGCAGGAGGAGCCGAAAGTTCCCAGTCCTCGACAGGAAACCGGCGCCCAGCCTTCCACCGCCTTTGACCGTCGGCCCAGTCAGACCACTACACAGAAGGAGACGCTTCTCTCTCTTTTCGGCAAACCGACGGGGTCTCCTGGCGTGTCGCCCTCGGGACAGCTTGACCTTCAAACATCCGTTTCTCAGCCTCCTGCACCCTCCTCCGTTGTCAGCCCGCTGTCCCCCTTCAACCTTCCTGCACGGACCATGGCCGACACCAGCCCGTCACCTGAGGCGGTCACCCAGATCTCGGAACCCAGCCGTGTTGCATCTCCGGATAATAAGGCGTTCCTGCTTGGGTTTTTGCAAGGCGTTGCCAAGAGCCACAATTGAGAGGGTTCATCGTTACTTGAGTCGTGATCTTCTGTAGATAACTGGAGTCGGGATAATTGCATATTACTATACTAGCGGGGAATAACCTGTTGTCTTTTAGCATTTCTTTCAATCATAAGTAGTTCATTATCGAGGTAGAGAATTGATTTTACAAGTATACACCTAGGTAGTTTCAATCAGTACACTCGTCAGTACATTGAATGACTTCGTAAACGAAGCAGCTGATTGGCGGATGTCAAGGTGGTATTCTGCCCCCATATACCGCCTGTTGGGTCATATGTCATCTCTGTCGAGCTATTCAGCTACTGATTCTCTACACTTTCTAGAAACCCCAACAACCCAATGCTCCTGAAATCATGATGCGATCCAGAACATCGACGCGCGCCGTGTGCGCCCACTGCTCAAGCCGCAGCCGGTTATTCTCGACAACCGCCCACCGGCAAAGCGACTCTCTTCCGCCTCCCCCGCCGGCCACCGGCTACGCTCGACTCACGAACCGGGGACTCATCTCCATAACTGGAGCCGACAGCACGACTTTCCTCCAGGGACTCATCACCCAGAACATGATGGTCGCCAATGACCCGAACCGCGCAATCCGTCACACGGGATCATATACCGCCTTCCTCAATTCCCACGGCCGCGTGTTGAACGACGCTTTCCTATACCCCCAGCCCAGAACCGATGACGCGCCTTCCGACGACCCCGCGTGGCTGATCGAGGTCGACAAGAACGAAGTCCCGAGTCTCCTGAAACATCTCAAGAAGCACAAGCTTCGCGCCAAGTTAAAGCTCCGTGCGCTCGACGACGGCGAACGCACCATCTGGTCCGCGTGGAAGAACCACGCTGAGCCCCGCTGGGCGGCATACAACCTCGAATCGCAGGCCTCGTCCCCCTTTTCACCAGATTCGTCTATCGCTGGATGTGTTGATACGCGGGCGCCTGGATTCGGATCCCGGCTTGTGACGCCAGGCGCGGAAGACCTCCGCGCTCACCTCGATGAGTCTAAAGTGGCGGGCGGGGAAGTGGACCTCGGTTCCTACACGGTGCGTCGCATGCTGCACGGTGTGGCGGAGGGCCAGTCCGAGATCCTCCGCGAGTCTGCCCTGCCGCTGGAGTGCAATATGGATATGATGCGGGCGGTGGACTTCCGGAAGGGCTGCTATGTTGGGCAGGAGCTGACGATCCGCACCCACCATACGGGCGTGGTTCGGAAGCGTATTCTGCCGGTGCAGCTGTATGATGGTGGTCTTGGCGATCTGGCGACCGACAGCCCGGTTTATGACCCCTCCACGAAGCTGGCTCTACCCCCGAGGGAGTTGAGTATCTCCAAGGCGGGCGGGCGCAGGGGTCGCAGTGCAGGGAAGTTCCTCAACGGCGTTGGGAATATCGGTCTCGCGCTGTGCAGACTGGAGATGATGACTGATATCTCGCTCACTGGCGAAGGGACCATGTTCAGCCCAGACCAAGAGTTCCAGGTATCGTGGACTGCATCGGAAGAGGGATCGACGGGTCCGCAACAGCCGGGGGAGGTGAAGTTGAAGGCGATTGTGCCGCCTTGGACGAAGGATTTCATCCTGTCCGGCGGGATGAAGAACACCAACAACCAGAGCCAGGCCGGCACGGAGGGTCATCGGGCCAGGGACTTCGTGGACCAGTTGGGGGAAGAAGAAGCGGAGCAACAACGACGACATGAATAAAGAGGTAGTATGTCAAGCATGTACATTGTCATAAAGGATCTATATTGTATAATAAATAGCAAAGTTAACGACGAGTATTTCAGCCGTGAGGGTATCTTAACAATCTATATAAACGTAGCAAATCAACAAAAGCATTCGAATCGACATTTAGCATAGTCGGATCATGAGAGAGGACTTCAAGCAAGCTAGCTCCGTGCTCCAGCAGCAGCAGCCTCCGCCGCATCAGCGGCTTCATCTTCTCTGCTGATCTGCTCCTCGAGCGCCTTGCGCTCCTTTTCCCGCTGCGCATTCTTCAGTCGCATCAGGGTCGCCTCCTCCAGACTTAAGCTGCTCGGACTGGCAGACCGGGAGTCCTGATCTGTGGGCTTGGAGCTTGCAGCAGCGGCGGCGGAAGAGAATGAAGCGAATGACGGGGCTTTTCCGGGCTTCTGCCCGGCCCCGTTCGACCCTGCTGACTTGAGACCTGGGAAATTGAAGCTCGGCTTGGGAGCTGACTGTGGGATAGGGTTTCGGTTTGTCTTCGCGGGAGAAGGGCTGCGTGTCTCTGCGGGGGTAGCCTCTGATGCCAGATCCGGCTGGTTACCAGATGCCCAGAAGACCGAGTTCACCACGGCCCAGTCGCTCTCCGCCTGGCGCCTTTTCTTCTCGCTATCCAGAACAGCAGTGTGGGCGCTGACTATGGACGCAAATACCACCACTCCCGTCGCGATCGTCTTCTTCTCCCGATTCTCCCCAATCCGCTGCCTCTTATCCTTGAGAAGCACCACGCTCTCGATCTTCCCAAACGGCTCAAACAGCTCCATCAAGCGATCCCGATCGAGATCCACCCCACGCCCCTCCCGCACCCAGCGCACCTTGACTGCGCGCTCCAGCTCCGGCACATTCGTGCCCCCCTCCCGCGACCTATCCACCCGCTGACTGCTCCTATCCGCGGCGCGCTGTGCCTCCTCCGCCTCACGCTGCGCAGCGCGTTCTTCCTCATCCACTTCCCGCTGCAACTTATCCGCCGCCTCCTGCCTCCTCCGCCGCCCATCCTGCGCAATGCGATCAATCTCCCTTTGCAGCTTCTCCTCCGCGTCATCATCAGCGGCGGCGGTCTCAGCCCCCATCCACGACCGCTTGACCCCGCGCTGCTGACCAGCACCCGGCACAGCGCCCGCGCGCTCCCTTGCCTCCAGATCCTCCCGCATCTTCCGCTTCGCAGCGTCCATCGTGTCCCGCTCGCGCTGCTTCCTCACGCGCGCCTCGCGCGCATTGTCGTACAGCTGGCGCACGGCGGGGTCCGAGAGTACATCGTAGGCGATTTGGAGGAGGTGGAACTTGTCGATGTCGGAGGCGGTCGGGTTGGCGATCTTGTCCGGGTGGTATTTGAGCGCTGTGCGGCGGTAGGCGCGTCGGATTTCGGTCTCTTGTACGCCAGGGGTGATGTCTAGGAGGGCGTAGAAGTCTTGGTTGGAGGCCGCGTGGGCCTTGAGGTCGTCGGTTGACATTGTGGGTTGGTGGGTGTGGGTGTTAGGTACGGTGAGGGGTATGGTTTGGTGGTTGGTGTTTGTAGGCCGGTGAGAATTGAGTTCTCATCCGACTGTGGGAGAGAGAGGTGTGGGAGAGAGAGGATCTTGAATGGCGTGGATAGAATGGATGTCAGATGAAGCTGAAGGCGGTGAGGTCGTTTTATTGGCAGCGATCAACAGTACCGCGCTAGTCCATATCGGGTAAATGGATGGAAAGCGGCCTCAGGCTTCTAGAACAGAGTGGACTATAAACATTTCGAAAATACTATGTCAGGAAGTGTTCGATATGGGATTGATTTTAGGATGAACATCCTTGTTTTTCTCTGATTGAAATAGTGGATATCATTCTAATTGTATTTAATAAAGTGGTGATGTCCGTGTTTAGGAACTATATATATTTGTATAGTTGTCTGTGAGAACAATACGGGAGGATGCCTAGTCCGATGTCAACACGTGCTCCCTCATTTCTCCTGTCAGCTGCTTTGCCCAAGGTTGTCTCTGAGCCTACTTCGTTTTCTATCGTAAATGGGTCATGAAGATGCAAGCCAACCTCCCCTCTCCTGCCCAGCTAGCCCTTGCCCTGGCAATCGTCAAGCAGAAGCCACCCCATCTGGATGTCAAGGGTAGACCAAGCGTCTTATGACCGAAGAATAGACACATGTGGCTAAACATCGTCTCTAGAATACATCCTCCAGATCCGCCAGCAAATCAAGAGCACGGCAGAAGCCGACGAAGTGTACACGCAGAAGAAATACTTCGACAGCGTATCCTTCTGGCAGCAGGCGTACGAGCGATCCGAAGCCGAACAAACCAAACTCCTCGACCGTATCTACGAATTGGAGCGTCGGAATGATGCCCTCCTGGCTAAAACGCAGGGACAGGACACGGCTGACGTAGAGAGAGCTGCGGACTCGACGAAGAGGAAAGGTGGTGCTGGGGATAAGAACGGCGGTGGTGGACAGATGGCAAGGAAGAAAACGAAGACACAGGGGCGTCTTTCTCAGATCGTCACCGTGCCGTCCTTTCCCGATTTATGTGGAAAGGAGCTCGAGTATCAGGAAGAAGGTGGGTCGGATATACTTCTCGTGGGTTCACTTGGGTGCTGACGGTGTTAGCTATGGGCCCGTTTATGCGACAGCTGTGCGCCCTGCAGAGAGTATTGAATAAGCGTCCTACTCGCTTGGATGTTATTCACGCTGTGGTGATGTTTTGCAAAGCGGCAGAAAGTGCTGTTATCGATGCAGTACAGGAACCTATTGCGGTGGCTCGTCCGGCCAAGAAGAAGGGTATACTCCAGACGAAGCCACCAGATGCCCTTGACACATTGCGGACGCTGGAGAACGCATTTGGCATCTTGACACAGGCATTGAAAAAGATAACTAGCTCTGAGAAAACGGCACGAGGATCAAGCCAAGTTCCGTTTGCCCTGGTGGAACTCTACGAAACCATCATGGGTGCGCTCGAACGTCGCTGCAGAGCGAAAGCGGAGAGCTCCATGACGCAAATCAAGACCAAGGCCAAATCCTCGAAACGAAGCCAAAAAACGAAGTCTGGGCCAAAAGTATCTCCTGCCACCCACGGCTATGGCGCCCTCCATGCAAATACTGAAGACGACATCTCTGCACGTCTTTCCTGTCTTCTTCACACACTGACCCTGTCGCTCGAGATTCCGGGACAGGAGCACCAAAGCATTCTCGAAGGATTTCTGTTCATCTTACTCGATCGAGTCGGAAAGGTTCTTAGTCTCTTTGTCTTCCAGGACTTACAACTGCGGCCTGATCTCCGGATCGATTCATCTAAACTGGCGCTTCCCAGGGGTCTGGAGATGGTTAACGAGATGACAATATGCGCAGCTCAGATGGAGGCAAGACAGCTGATTTGGGTTTTGGAGAGACTGTTAGCCATGCTGAATGAACACCCGGCAGCTATGACTTTGAGGTTGAAGGAGAGATTGCAGGGTACTCTTCTTCAAGGGGTGTTTGGCATCAACTCCGAGTGGCCGAGCCCACTGCAGCGCCCTGTTCGACCGGGTGATGACGAAAACAACACCCCAGCAGCTCATTGCCAGGTTCCTGATCAACCCGTCCCGGAGTGGTTTATTCAGGAGGTATGGAGACTTCTAGGATGGGAGATATTGACGAACAGCCGACCCAGAGACGAGGGGCAAAGCGCCGAGTAGTAAGACGGGCTACTTCCCCAGAGGTGAACCGAAAGATATTCCGTGGCAAGGATAGCCACACAAGGGGCTGTATAATTATTAATTGAACCCATCCAGGAGGTGACTATAAGCTATTTAATTATAGGGATGGATGGTGGGAGTGACAAGAGGGCACAAGGTGGGTTTCAACCATCATCCCTCGCATTTGTCAATATAATATTCCCCTTTCTGTAACAGCTCATCGTCCGTATTAATCCGGGCTCTGATAAACCTCTCCACATTGCACAAAGCCAGCCGTTCCTGATTACCCCTGACAATGTGACCCGGATTATCGATGTGATGCAAGCTCCCATCGGATGGCTATGTGAGGTATCTCATGCATATCGGAAGGATACGTACATACATACTACCACACAAACACGGATAGATCCACCATCTTTAATCTATTGCTGCTACTAAATTTATGGTATGTAATCTCCCAACGGCTGATATGGGTGGTTGTCAAGCGAGGGGAGGTATATATGGTTGAAAGTAAGGTAGGTGTAGGTAAGTGTAGGTAAGCGCGGTATATACAGTGAGAAGTTCTCCGTCCTCCCTCTCCCTTCCCCTCCCCCCTTTCTTCTTTCGTCTTCCTTCGTTACATCTCATCATCTTCTATACCCTCCAGGGGTATACCGTCGATTATAACCTCCTTGAACAAACGCCATTATAACCAAGAAAACAAACTGAAATGGGAATCAAAAGGAAATGTCAAAGACTCAAATCTGACCAAGACCTCCAGGAAACAGGTCAAAAGGGTGCAGGTTCTCATGAATCGAATATAGGACCAAATGCCGGCGTCCCCCGGGACTCCAACTCGTATACTACTGACTTGGTCACCCTTGGGTTGCTGATGACACAGACAGCTTCGGCATCGAATTCCTTCACGAGTTGTCGGATGATGGGCACCATATCGACGCGTCCCGACTGATTGGTCTCGATGATAACGGGGTTGGCGTCCAGACGGCGTACCAGGTTGAGGACTTCCTGTCCATAGGTCCTCAAGGGGGCTCGTGTCTGCCACACGACACGGAGATCTGGACGGTTATCGTCGCCCAGGAAGGAGAGACATGGACCGATGCCAGACCCCGTCGTGACAACTACCACACGTTTGAAGACTCGCATGGCATACGCAAAGCCATAGATAAGGACGCCTCGTTTCCAAAGGTGGGTGGGTTGGTCTTTGATGCAGGCTGACGTCCAGTCACCGGCTTTGGAAACGAGACAGGAGAAGGACTTGCCGTCGGGGTCTGGGAAGGTTGCGAACCCGTGCCAGTCCCGGAGAGGGTGTTTGGCTAGCTGGATGCCTTTCCCAAAGCTGGTGGTCGTGTGGTCCAGGTGCAACCTGATGGCGTGGGTTGAGAGGCGTTCGGGTCGGACTTTGACTTTCCGGAGCATCACCCATGGTTGCACAATGGCCACGACGGTAACCACTAAGAACCAGAAGGCAGGTAGTTTGACCAAGAATAGGCCGAAGGGTTCGTTGGCTGCTTGACTGGCTTCGTCCGCAAAGACCAGCAGCAGAACCACGAAGAGAGCAATGACCATCCATGCAGAGAATCGGTGGGTGAGCTCGAAGTAGTCGTGTTTGATGAACCGAAATGCAGGGTACGCAACAATAACAATGGCAAGCAGCAAGACGACTATGAGGTAGGCCAGGATCACAGGAGTCATCGAGATCGTGGATTGGCCCGTCGGAGGGGCCCAGTACTCCTTGGACATGAGGCCCAAGAAGCCCATGTACCAGACAACCGCGGCAATTCCGCAGCCACTATGCACTCCCCCATAGTGGTAGACTTTGGCTGCCACGCGGCGAATCCACAACGGCGCTCCTCGAGGAATCCAACAGACAGTGACAAATATGGCGTTCACCACGAGGGGCTGTCGTGCAAGACCACATGCAAGAACGTTAGCTGCGGCAGCATTTACCAGTGCCAACAGTTTCTGGTCGGTTGTCATGACTGCCACAAAGACGGCAACGTTGGCGATGAAGACTAAGCCGAAAAGCCGACGATATACATAAAGGACGGCATATCGGATGGAAGCACACCTCTTCTTCCTGCTGACCTGCGACTCGAGATCGATGCTATCGTCATCCCCATGCGGATATGCCTGTAGCTTCTCAGACAGGAATGGTGACTGGGGCTTCTCAACATCAGCCAATGTTGTATCACTAGGGATTCTCCTGCCGGATGCACATTTGGCAACCGGGGGAAGCGTCACGGCCGTTGGTTTAGAGTCTGACATGGTGGCCCAGACCGCTTGTTGAATGGAAAAGTGGTAGAAAAGTAAGTCAGAAGAAGGGAAACCCAGGGTCCAAGCCCAATGGACAAGAATCAGGGCATACAAAGACAGATGCGAAGGTTGGGTAATTCCAAATAAGCATAAATCACAACCAACTGGGCGAGTGGATGATTGGACCTGATTGCTATGAGGTACGTCTTGAATGGAGGGCACATGCGGCCTTTTGAGCCTTGTGCACGATGACATATAAAGCAGGGGCAATATTTCCCGAATAGTGGCAGTACATCAGATGCTTGCGTCTGTCTTCCTCGGCCCCCCCTTCCTCTTTCCATTTTCGTCTTCAACATCAGGCGACGACGTGTACGAACTACCTCGGTATCTTTCACCATCTTGTTTTCGAGATAGTTCGCCCCTCCATGATGGCTGAGGGCAATGACACTATAGTGGCGGGCCAGGATCCGCAGAACTAGTTCCACGAGGCGATTGCCAATGAGGAACCCGAGGCAGCTCAGTATCTCCCTTGCCTCAGCTCTCCACTGCCCCGAAGAGTGATATTAGCGAGCTAAGGAGGGGTGTCCAAGGAGGGGTGGTATCCCGTCCCCTGTTCTGGACTCCGTCCCCAGTGATAGCCCTTGCTCGATGGAGTCATTGAGAGAGTCAGGATGACCCAATGCGTGCATCCAAGTGGCTCACGCGGAATGACTGGGTTCTCTCGATCGACATTGGCAGCAGGATGTTCCCAAGTAAGACAAAGCGCTTACCACCAGGAATGCCTCAAGATCCACCGGACCCAGCGCCGAAAAAGAGATATGAATTTAATCACAATTACAGGGAAAAATTGAATTTAGGAAAAAAGAGGAAGGATGCGGGACAACCGGGGCAATCAGATGCAACAGAGTGGGTAGGATCTCGAGCACCGGTTGACAGGTTGGGAAACCACCCAACAGTTCCCTTTGCAGAATGCACAGATGCCTTGCTTTTTTCCAAAGAAAAAAAGGCTGATCAACTTGCAGAGGGGGCGCTGTGTCTATCATGGTGAACTATTGATTCCAGACACAATGGTGGCTCAGAGAGACCGCCACGAGTTTATGGATACAGTTTACCCACAGGGCGGGGTTCAGCACGCCTGCGTTCGCCCTCCCAAGGGGAAGATTGTCCCGTCAATAATGGCCTTATGCACGCATTTCTGGGATTCTAATTAGAAGACGTCAGCCAGACGGGTTTCCAGTGGGTACCGCCATGCATCGCACGGCGCACGAGCCGTGGATTAATAGGTTCTTTTTCCTTTCCCGGTTTCGCGGCGTTCGACAGCCCCTGGGGGCGCATCAGGTTCGCGTCAACGCTAGCTCGGTTCTCAAGACAAGGAAAACTCGTGCAGTAGGTTCAGCTGCATGGGGGGAACGGTGCTGTAGACCGACGGGGTGGTCTCAATGACAGGCTGACTTGTCCACTAGACGACGCGTGCGGGTCCTGGGAGAGACAAGTTTGGGCTGAATCCAGCCCAACATTGGTTTAAGTTATGGAGAAAGGTGATCATGGACCTAGCTTCGTCTGCATGACTGGACTGTGCTTCCGGTACGTTTGTTTTCTTGTTTTTTCTTTTTTTCCCCTTTTGTACGGCTTAATAACCATGATAGACCGGACGACCCACTCGGCTGAGATCTGAATTGGGGCTTAGGTTACCTCGGTGAATGGCATTCGCAACTGGTCCCTGTGGGTCAGGGAGGAGGATCACCAGCCCGATCTGAGCGGAGACTTGGGTCTTGTCGGGATTTGCGCCACACCCTAAGTATTCCAAATCATCGATAGTCGACTTTTTCGATGACACTGGGAAAATGGAATTTCTAATCCCCTAGGAGGTGACCAATCCTTCCCACCCCCCTTCAATCTCCTCCATCATGACAAAAAGTCGCGTTTCTCGTCACCAGATGGTGGGTATATCTATCACACGGGGTGCCCGGTATTTGGGCGATTCAATCCCTTGTTTTCCGTGAGAAAATCTTCTGGTTTCTTGAATTGTGGTGTTTTCTACTACATTCTCCCTAAACCTTCCCATTGTCGGCACTCTTTGTGGACTTTGCTCAGTCGGTTTCTCGATAATACTTTGTTTTTTTGTTGTCATTTATCACCGTTGTGGTTATTCTTTCTTATACCCCCCTCACGTCTTCCCTTTTGAACAAGTTACCCATCTACAATGGGCCTCTGGGAATCTTCCTTAGCGTGCCCTAACCCGGGCGACAGTCCATACACCGACTTATTGTCGTTTGCTTTCCAAGGTCCCGTCGAGTACGATCAATCACGCCCATTGTTCATCGATGCCGAAAACCCCTCGCGTTCGCTCAATGCGAGTCAGTTCCGGCTGCTGGTGCGAACTTTGATTGCCGGGTTGAAGGCCCATCATGTGCAGCGCGGTGATTGTGTGCTGGTCCACTTGGGGAATAATGTAAGCCCCTGATTGCTGCATCCCCTTCACCGTATCTTCCCATTGCCCCTCCCTGGTCTGGTTTTGATCCGAGTTGTTTCCCCTCGTTTGGGTTGCTGATGATTCGAATTTGCTGGCCAGATCATATACCCCGCATTGTTTTTCAGCATTATCGGGGCCGGCGGCGTGTTCATGGGATCCAATGCGCGCAGCCAACCGCAGGAATTAGATCATATCCTGACGCTGGCGGAGCCCAAGCTGATCATCACCTCGCCCGATGCGCTCTCCACGGTTCTGGATGTGTCCGCCGATCATGGTATGCTCCCTAATCAGGTGTGCGTGCTGGATGATGTAGCCACCGATCACATCGCACACTTGGTCCTGGGCGGCTCCCTGCCGAGCTATGGCCCCGTCAACGGGCCCTACATGCCGGACAGCGGGGTCGGCTGCCATCTGAATCTCGCCCACCTTCTCGGGTACGGGGAGAATGACTGGGTTGCCTTCGACGACGAGGCAATTGCCACGTCGACACCGGCCGCCCTGTTCTCGACGAGCGGGACGGGTGGTCTGCCTAAGGCAGCAATCCTGTCGCACCACGCCATTGTCTCCCACAACCGGAGCATCCACTACGAGGTGCCCTACGAGGTCAGTCGGCTGATGTCGCTGCCCATGTTTCACCTGTTCGGGGCGCTGTGGACGCACATCTTCCCGGTGCGCTACGGGCAACCCCTGTTCGTGCTGCCGCGGTTCGACACGGCGCAGTATCTGGCAGCGATATACCACTACCAGATCACCGAGGCGTACATGGTGCCAGCGATGATCCACACGCTCAACCGGAGCGTGTTGCCGGTGGCCGACTACCTGGGGTCGCTCCGGTACGTCGGAGTGGCCGGGGCGCCCATTGATGGGGCGTCGATACAGCGATTCAACCAGTTTCTGGGCGAGTCGGCGCTCGCGTCGCAGCTCTGGGGTATGACGGAGGTAGGAGTGATCTTCCAGAATCGGTACGGGGAGCGGGGGCATCCTGGGAGCATTGGCCGGCGACTACCAGGATACGAGGTGCGGCTGGTCGGGCAGGATGGCAATCTCGTGGAGGGGGAGAATAGCCCCGGGGAGCTCTATGTCCGAGGAGCGGGGCTCCTGATGGGCTACAAGGGCCGGAACGACGCCAAGGACGCGCACGGGTGGTTTCGAACGGGGGATGTGGCGTACTTGAATAATGGGCTGTACTATATTGTGGGGCGGACCAAGGAGTTGATCAAAGTACGAGGGTGTGTTTTCTCCTTTTTCTTTTCTTTTGTACCCCTCTTTCTACTTTCTTCCTATCTTTATACTAACATGGATATCAGATGGCAAGTCGCACCGGCGGAGCTGGAGGCAGTACTGTTGAAGCACCCTGGGATTGAAGATGCCGCCGTAACTGGGGTGACGTCTAAGGATGGCAGCACGGAGGTGCCACGAGCGTTCGTGGTGCGGACGCGGGGGGTGACCGGGGCGCGACTGACGGCGGAGGAGGTGTACCTGTTCTCGCGCCGCCAGCTGGCGAGCTACAAGGCGCTCGACGGGGGTATCATCTTCGTGGAGGAGATTCCTCGGACGGCGAGTGGCAAGATCCAGCGGTTCAAACTGTCGCAGATGAACACGTACCGGGAGATAGTGAGCTCGCTATTGGCGCGATTCAAGGGGGCGGGATTACAGACGCTGGGGTTGATGCATAAGGGACGAATCAGCGTGTGATTTTTTATCTATTGATGAGGTATTTAGTAATTTGTTGAGGGTTTTCTGGCGTTGTATCTGGAGGTATTATTTATTTATCTATATATATTGTTTTATTTTAGTTATCTCTTTCTATTTTTCCTCTCTCAACATATTCAAATATCTATTGATTTATATTGATCCATGTCTAAATTTGAGTTTGCCTTCCCTGTCGACCAGACCCAAACTATCGACTCAATGCATGGTCTCCCAGGGTAGTGGTTGGATCAAGTAGTGTCCCCACCCACTACACTAGACCAGGGAGTGCGCACGAACAGTTCACTACTACTACTCCTACTAACACTAAGTAGTAAGTAGTAAAGCCCAGTCAGTAGTGATTACCCTTGCATGGACATGGCCGGTGGGTACGTATGTAGTATGCAGTATGTAGTATGTATGAGATCAGACCTCCATACCTGACCAGGATCGGATGGATCGGTGGGAGGAAAGACGTTGGGACCGTTTTGGGCGCTGCGCCGCTGATCGGATTGTTTGCTTGCTTTTGGGATCTGGTTTTGTTGGATTGCAGGTTGGGTTGGGGTTTTTTTTTGTTGGATGTGGAGGATGGGATGGGATGGGATGGGATGGGATGGGATGGGATGGGATGGGATGGGATGGGATGGGGTTGGGTAGGTGCCTTGTCCTTAGGATTCTTTGGCTTGGGTATTATGGTGGGTTAGAAGGGAAGGTGTATTGTTGGTAGATAGTAGATACTAGTAGACTAGTCGTAGGTGGTTGAGCCGGAGGGATATATTGAGGAAGAATAATGTATTCATAACTATGCCCGAATTCCAGCCCTTCATTGTATCATTGATTGATAATCAATGATTATCTGTATGTAATAGAAGTGTCAGTCGTGCACATCAATCAATCAATTAAGTAAATAAATCAAGTCAGTAAATCAAGGATCTCCAACTATAAGCTCTAAACCAGTAGCCTGAGGCTAGTAGTAGCCTAGTAGCCTTGTAGCCTCAGGCGAGGGATGTCCTGTTTGGGACTAGCGCGGGGATATGGTTCATCAGCCACGAACTGGATCGACGTGGCGCAGTCTTCATTCATTCAGCTGTTGAGTGGACTTGCACCGCCACTTTGTTGCTTTTTTCCTGGCTGGAGATGGTGATTGTTACTTGTCTTTCATTATATTTGATAATGATGTAGTATATCATATCACGCTATTTGTCAGTGGGTCTATGCAGTGTCTTATCGACCAGAATCGACATGATAAATTGGTCATACTTCCTTCTACCTCGTATAAATCTATATGCGGGAGAATAAATTCGAGGTCAGCAGGTTAACCACTATCAAACTATCAGCACTCTAACAATCTACCCCTCAATCCTGTCAATCATTCCTTCAGCCGATCTTACCTGTCATGCTCATTCCTGCCTACCTAGTTATTGTTAGGGCTCCTTTCCTTTGGACGAGTCTAGTCCGGTTTAGGAAATTTGGAGAAATGGATATGCTGAAAGTTAGAGATCCACTTGTATGACTATGACCCGGGTGGGATCCTGGGTGGGATCATGTCGATCTTTCTAAATACCCCTCTTTGGTTCCCCTCATGATGGTAGAACGCTATTGAAGTTTGTTATACTTGTGTCTTTGGTCTCTGCGTCATGGAGGGGTTGGTTGTTACTTGGTTGTATACCGAGTCTCTATCTATCTGTCGATCAAGGATACCCCACTTGTATAGATAGTCTGTGAATAAAATGTGACAGGGTGATAGACGCTTTCAACAATAATATCAATAATCAATAAGAACAATCTATAGTCCCCGAATCCGATATCAACCGTAGTGGCATCGCCACCCATGTGACATGGTCTAGTCCAGTCTATCATCCATATATCATATATCATAAATAGGTACCGGATAGTACGTGTCTACCTACCTGTATAGTAAAGCATGGACCCTATAATATAACGTACTATAACAATAACCAACCAAATACTCCGTACAAACAAACCAATATCCTACATCCATCCAACGCGCACGTCCCACCTGGTGATGGTGACATCTGGTAGACGAATCTCAAACGGTCCGGACGGCAGCCGACATCAGCAGCAGGGATGTCGAGACCCCATAAATAGATAATGAAGACAATGGAAGCGAAGGGTAAGCACTATCTGCTACAATGGTCTTATCCTTGTTTGTTGTTACATGCGGATATCTGTATACTGCGTACTGGTACTGCTTACTTGGGTATTGTTAGCCGAGGGACTTGTCTATGATTAGGTTGGTGGTGGTGTGTATGAGGGGGAGGTAGTTAGGTAGGTAGGAGGGAGTAGACACCAGTAGGAAAATGCAGTGGTGGTAACTAAGTAATTGGGTAACTAAGGATAGGTAGGTGTTGCCGCGACGGGCGCGCAATATCTATCTATGTACCTATCTATACTCATGGGTTAAACAATAGCATTACTACCAATAACAAAAAGTCAAGAAGAAAAGAATGAGGTATGCACGTTTGTCAACTCCCAACAGATCAAAATCAACAACACAACCTAAAAGCCTGTTCGCTACCTCCCTCCCTACCTCCCTTCCTCCCTCCCTATCTACGTGCATACCCACATATCAATATACCAGGTCCACCCCCTGAAGAAACCCCAGCCCATATCCAAACCCCAGTTCCGACGAGTAATCTGCAGCGTGGTCGAGACTGTTACTCATGCAGTATGTACGTGTCGTACGGTGTATGTGTACAGTAGCTATGCAGCTGTGGGTATGCGTCTGTTGTAAGATGGTATGTCTTGCATATCCATCTACATGTGGGGGATTGAAACAATTGAGAAATCAAGAGGTGGTCATTGGTTAGATACGGCCAGTGCGTAGACTGCAGACGCAGACGTTGTGGCCGTCAACGCTGTGGCAACGATCGAGAGCGATCGAATCTACGGAGGATATCTGCTGTGCGACGTCGATTTGAGTAACGTTTTACGGCTAGGGTCAGGGTATGTCAGGGTCAGGGTTCAAGGATAATGTGATGTGGGTGTCTTTTGAGCTGGGGATCCCAGCTGCAGTGGTCTGTTTCATCCTGACACCGGCTGCCAACAAATCCATTCATCCATCCATTCAACCGTCCAATCCAGACGAAAAAACAAACCCCGTACAATGCAATAGAAGAGAAAAATGAGAAACAAATCAAACAATCCCATACCCCCTCCACCAAACCCCCACACCAACGGCCCCAACGCTCCCAAAACGGTTGCCCCCACTGGCATCTCCAGTATACACCACACCCAGATGGTGCCGATGGCCGGCGCGCGCTTCATCACGGCGTAGTATGGGTCTTCGTTAGTGATGGTCATCAGCTTCACCCCGAGGGCAATAGCAACCGGCAAGAAGACGACCGTCCGCCACGTCGGCGGGAAGAGCAGTTTGCGCAGAAACGAGAGAGATAACTTGTCGTTGGACCACGGGATTAGCGAGACGGGTTCGGGCTTGTGGGGCCAGACCCGCGCGAAAGACACGATGTGGCCGTGGGCGAGATGGATGAGGAGCGTTAATATGGGGAAGGTGAGGAAGGCGGATTCGCGGAGGAGTTCGTCTAGTGCGATGCTTTCTGCGTATTGGTGCGCTGCTAGGTAGCTGAGTGTGAGGTGGAGGGTTGTGAGCGGGAGCGAGAGGAGCATTGTGTCGATTAGGGGGGGGATGGGGTGGTCGGTTGTTTCTTTTTGATTGTTGCTGTTATCGTCGTCTTCGTTGTCTTCATCATCGCCGGATGAATATGATGCATTGTCGTCGTTGTCGTCGTCGTCAGAGTGTGATCCCTCATCAGACGATATCTCCTCCACAAACCCCCCAGACTGCGTCCTCGACATCTTCCCCGTCACAGGATCAATCGTCACGAACTGCGTCCCCGGCACAGACGCGGCGGACGTGTTCGCGCGGTGCAGCAGCTCGCTCTGCCTCTCAGCGATAATGTCCACTAGCTTTTTGCCCTGCGATATGGATGAGCCCTGTGGGGGTCTGGCCATTGGGATCGACGATGGGTCGAACGCGTTGCTGTCGCTGCTGGACGAGGCTGCGGCTGCTGCGCGGCGTTGTTTTCGGTTTTTGGGGGCGTCCATGTTGAGTGATTATTTGACTTATGTCGATTTGGTGATATGGGAGATTGGGTGGAGAGATTGGGGAGCTTGATCGGTGTGGTGGTTGATTGTTGATGAGCTTAAGCTTGCTTAGCTTTCGGGATTTCGGAGGGATCCGATCCATCACCGCCCGGATTTAAGCGGGGTTAGCGTACAGTGACATCTGATAGGCGGTTGAACTATACTACACTATATACTGTATACCTAGGTGTGAATACTAAATATAAACAAGGTGAATGATATTGACGATCGATGTTGCAGTATTAGTACTAATTTTGTTGTACAAATTGATCTCAACAAAACTAAAACAATGTTCCTACACCATACCCATACCCATACCTACTCTCCTCAGAACCTCCCCCTACCTACTAGAGTATCCCTAACCAGCTTGGTAAAGAGCGGGCCCAGCAACTACATGCTCGTTAATCATAGTGATATTAAACGGGGTGACAGTCGGATTCGAGTCCGTAATCGCAATGAACATCGTCCCGTTGATAGCAGGGTCACCCGCATACGTATCCAAATTCGGCTGCACCGTCTTGCCCTGTCGTCCCGTGGTTCCGGACAGCGTCAACCGAGTGTAGGTCACGTTCAGCTGCGTCACCCACGCCACGTAACGGGGCGCCCCCGCCAAAGTCGACGTGAGGTAGCTGTTGTTCGGGCCGACTGGTTTCCCTGGGGCTTCCCACGAGAGCTGGATCTCTCGGCCGGGGTACGAGAGCGGGATGGTGCGGTTGCGGGTGATGCCTGGCTGGCAGCTGGAGCCGACGGCCGTGGAGGTGAGGCAGGATTGCGAGCCGCCCACGCCGGTGTTGTTTAGGACGTTCGTGCCGCCGGTGATCGTCTCGTTTGTTGCTGCGCCGCCGTTGATTCGCGTCGGGTTTGGCTGATCTGGGATGGACAGCGCTGGGAAGTTCTGCCATGCTAGGCGGGTTTGGCCCTCTGGGCAGGAACTGATGTACGGCGCCAGTAGGGTCCATGCCCAGGACTGGGGGATCCCGACTTCGAACCACACGGGCATTGGGAAGAGGCCCTGGAACTGCCGGAAGATCATCTGCTGCCGCGCTTCGGTCGTGATCGCCAGCGTTAGGAGGCTGGCGGCCTCGCGTGAGTCCAGGTGGGGGAGAAACCCGTAGACGCCGGACTCGCCGAAGCGCGTGAGCTTCTGGCAGAAGTCAAAGAATTCTTGGACTGTGGTGTACGGGTAGTTGTAGGTGCACTGCCGAGGGGCTTTGGCGCCCAGGATGTTGGTGAGCATTGTGGCATGGCCGACCTCTTGCTCTGCCATGAACTGGATCAGGAAGCGATCCTCCGCGGTCAGCCCGGCTGCCTTGAAGTCCTCTACGGAGAACCGCGCCAGGCCGTCGTGGAAGAGATCGAGCTCGACATATTCCTGGTACAGTCCCAGGGCCTAGTCATTGCTTTAGCACAGAACTCGAGGTTGGGAGAGGGGGTGTGACGCGCACCAGTGATTCGTAGTCAAAGTCGCTCTTTGCGTTGTAGACCGGTGCATTCCCGCCAGTCCCCAAGCCTCCGCCGGGTACATAGGGCGCCGGCTCCGGCTGATGAAGACGTCCATCGCTGGGGTATGTCGTCGCCGCAGGAAGGGCAGCCAGGGTGGGAATTCCTGTCCCGATGGAGCTGGCATTCAGCGCGCCTGTCACCGTCGGGGTCCCGTTGAAGGGGGTGTGGATCGCGGAGGACGAGATGTTCACGACGGGAGGCACATAGGACGAGGCCACTGGGGTGGCTTGGGCCATCACCCTCCTGGGAACGGCCGTCACCACAGGCAGACCTGCTAGGGTGAGGACCGGCAAGTAGTACATTATCCAAGTCATGTTGGGCACTTTCACTCAGTCAAGTATCGGTATAGGGTGAAGATCTAGGAGGACCGGCATGGCCGGGGCTGAAGTACATATAGCATCCGGGAACCACGGAGGGCGACATCCTGACGCAACTCATTTTCTCATCGACTAGCTCTTGTCATAGAGAGTAGCGAGAGTTTCAAGCCATTCCACGCGAGGCTTGTCATGATTGTTAGGAGGTCGATGGTGGAACCGGGCCACAGACGAGCATGATAGGTCTATGCGATGAGCCACCATAGTCAACCATTTTTCATTTCACATCTGGCATGAATATAGGTCAGACTCGCATCGTAGCAACTGTACGACGTCATCGAGAGACTACCAGCATTGCATTGGTTCTCGAGACGTATATAGCAACCACCGCAAGGCGGACGATGCATCAAGTTCGGAACGCGTCGATCAATCAGGTAGTCGTCTACACCGAAGTAACCGTAGAACCCACCAGTTCCTGCTCCAGGAACAGATAACATAACAGGAGCACACAAATTAGATCGTTTACCACAAGGAATGCAATCGAGGCGTTGAAAACAGCCAGAGAAGAGCCCAAATCAATGACGTTGATGGCGTTGACCGGCAAGGAACGTCGTCATGGAATAATCCATGCTGTCAGGACTTTATAACAATATTGAAATAGTAGATATTGATATGAAATGAATTTCCGCGGACCTGAAACGAAGGTGGAAGATATTGGCGAGGCGAAGGAAAGTAGTCGAAGTGGAAGCGAAGATATCCCCGCATATCCACGGGACCCACCGCGGGGAATGGGCACGCCATAGAATGGGGAATGTTGTCAATCCACCCCATTATTAATGTTACATTCCTCATCCATCGTACTCTCCCTGCATCCGTCACCTGCCTCTCATCAACTCAACAACCATGTCCAACCTCCAAATCCCCAATCTCTTCTCCGTCCAAGGACTCGTCGTCGTCATCACCGGCGGAGGAAGCGGTGCCTCTCCTTCCCACTTCCCACTTATGTATACCAAAACAGAAGCTAACTCACGACAGGACTCGGCCGCACAGCCGCCCACGCCCTCACAGAGAATGGAGCCGCCAAAGTATTCATCCTCGGCCGACGCATCGAAGCCCTGCACGAAACCGCCAAGCAGGCCCCCCAGACGATCATTCCCGTCCAAGCGGACATCACATCCAAAGAGTCGCTGACGGCAGCGTACGAGACGATCGCCGCGCAGACCACGCACGTCGACCTCCTCTTCGCCAACAGCGGCACGATCGGCCCGCGGGCGACCCCGCCCACGCCGCCGGCGACGCTCGCCGACCTGCGCGAGCAGCTGTGGGCCATCGACCCGCAGGAGTTCACCCGCACGTTCGACATCAACGTCACGGGCTCGTACTACACCGTGCTGGCGTTCTTGCCGCTGCTCGAGGCGGCGAATAAGCGGCGCCCGGCACCTATCAAGAACCGCGTGTCGGCGCCGACGGCGCAGGTGGTCATTACGAGCTCCATTGCCGGGTTTATCCGGAAGGTGCCGTTTAGCGTGTCGTATAACTTGTCCAAGTCGACGGTGAATCAGCTGGTGAAGGTGTTGGCGACTACGCTGGCACCGTTTGATATCCGGGTGAATGGGATCGCGCCGGGCTTGTATCGGTCGGATATGTCGGCGGGGAATTTCCCGGAGGATGATAAGGGGGTGTCGGATGGGTCGTTTAGTCGGGAGATGATCCCGTTGACTCGGGCTGGTGGGGAGGAGGACTTTGCGTCGTTGATTCTGTGGTTGGCCGGTCCGTCCGGGGCGTACTTGAATGGGAATATCACGGTGACGGACGGGGGACGGATGGCTATGCAGCCGAATACTTATTAGAGATAGATCTATAAAGCTGAGCTAGGTCGATTTGATTGGACTATTCTTGCTATGGAAAGAAGTGCGCTGGTGGCTGGTATATAGAGAATGTACGGGTCCACGGATTAGATCGTCGCCTGCAACCGCTGGACCAGGTAGTCACCGGTCAGAATGCCCGGGTACTTGGCCGGGCGCAGCGACTCGCCCGCCTCGTAGGTGCCCGGCAACGCCTCGATCCACCGGTTGTGGTTGGGGTTGCAGAAGTACGCGATACTGTAGCGATCAGGGTACACGTCGGGCTGCTCCGCAGCGTCCCCACCGGTGGAGATCAGCGGGGGTTCGACGACCCGGTGGCGCGTGCTCTTGATCAGATCGTTGGACCACCGTGCCAGCAGATCCCCCGCATTGACCACGACCGTGTCGGGCATGGGCGTCACGTCGACGAAGGTGCCGTGGGGACTGCGCACCTGCAGACCGCCGCGACGGTCCTGGAAGAGCAGGGTGATGGAGCCGTAGTCGCTGTGTTCGGCGGCGCGCACCTGGGAGGGATTTGACTTAAAGACCTGGCGGCTGACTTCGGGATAGTGCAGCAGACGAAGGTTGTTGTCGCCGGCGTCGACAAAGGAGTCGAAGTGATGCTCGGGCAGGTTCATGCCGAGGGCGATGGCACGCATGACCTCGGTGTGGAGGGCCTTGCAGTTGTCGAAGAAACCGAGCATGGTCTCCTTGAAGCGGCGGCCGTCGTCGTCGAGATGGTCGGGCCAACGGTTTGGCATGCCGTCGACACCCTCGCGACCGATCTCCATGGTCTCTTTGAGGTCCGGGGGGACTCCCTGGGTCTTCTCGGTCTGGTCCGGGGTGTTGAGCTTCTCTTGACCCGTTTTCACGTAACCGCGGTTCGCCTGTGGGGTGGTCCAGCCGAGCCCGTCCTTTTGATCCTGGGGGCGGGCAAAAAAGTGGGCCGATGAGTCGAACACGCGGGTGACGACCGATGGGGCGATGCCATGGTCTTTGAGGTAGAGGAATCCGGAGCCCTTGAAGGCGTTGATGACGGAGATGGCGACCGCATGACGCTCGGCTGGGGTGCCATGGAGAAAGGGTGCGAAGTCGATGATCTGGTTACAGGTCAATTGAAAGATGTACAGAGTAGTCGGGGTACATATCAAGCAGGGTCTCTATTATAGAGCCGGGATACCAACCGGGATGACCAGGTCGTCTTTCTCCACGGCCGTGACGGCGGGACGGCACTCTTGCTGGGGATTGCCTTCCATGGGGACTATCATATTGTATTCGATGGGTGGTGGTAAGTGGAAGTAAGAAGGGAGTATGTAGACTAATGATTTGAGGGGGAGAAGACAGAAAGAGAGAGAGAGAGAGAGGAGGGAAGTGGAGAGTGGGGAGAAGGAAGAGAGAGAAGAGGAGAAAAGGGGATATCGATATACACACTATCCTAGACTATACTATACCTACTATACCACACTGTGTACTACAGACTCTACTATAGATAAAGGATCTGATATGATCGATATGATCCTTTATCACCTCGTATCCGATAACTTATCATGATCATTATCTCTCTATCTAATCGGTTATCCTGATTATCTCCCAAGCGGGGTTTGGCTTCATTGTATGCAATGAAACATCAACCCCGCTTCTCTCTTCCCCTCTTCTTCTCGCTTCTTCACGGTTGTCTTTTGAATTGACTTTCTAACCTACTTCTATATCTACTTTCTCCTACTGTCTACCTACCACTGTTGTCACCCCCTCTCAAATCATCAATTACCTCTACAAAATGCCTCCCATCGTCGACATCCACACCCATGTCTACCCCCCAGCCTACATGGCCATGTTGCGCTCTCGTCGCACAGTGCCCTACGTCCATGACCCAGCACCCAGCAAAGACGGGGATACCACTCCCCGACTCATCATTCTCGCCTCCGACGATGACCCATCCATCCCCATAGACCAACGCGGCCGTCCAGTCGACTCCTCCTACTCCGACATCAACGTCAAGCTCTCCTTCATGCGCCGCCACGGCATAACAACAAGCGTCATCTCCCTCGCCAACCCCTGGCTCGACTTCCTTGAACCAGCCGACGCCCAACCCTGGGCCGAGCGCATCAACAACGACCTCGAAGCAACCTGTGCCCAATCCAACACTGACACCTCCAGTACTAAATCCCTTTACGCCTTCGGCACCCTCCCCCTAACAGCCCCCACCCCCTCCGCAATCGTCGCCGAAATCCACCGCCTCAAGACCCTCCCCCACCTCCGCGGTGTCATCATGGGCACCTCCGGCCTCGGCAAGGGTCTCGACGACCCCGCCCTGGACCCCATCTGGTCCGCCCTCCAAGAAACCAACACCCTCGTCTTCCTGCACCCGCACTACGGCCTCCCAGAGGAAGCCTACGGTGCGAACGGCGCCGCCGCCATCTCCCGCTCCGGCCACGTCATGCCGCTTGCACTAGGGTTCCCGCTGGAAACGACCATCGCTGTCACGCGCATGCTCCTCGCTGGTGCGTTCGACCGGTTCCCGAAGTTGACGCTGCTGCTGGCGCATTCGGGCGGCACGTTGCCGTTCTTGGCCGGGCGGATCGAGAGCTGTATTCATCATGAGAGGAAGTATGTTGGCGCGGATGGGAGTGTCGTCGATGGGCCGAGGAGGAGTGTTTGGGATGTGTTGAAGACGAATATCTATCTGGATGCTGTGGTTTATGGGGTGCCTGCGTTGAGGGCTGCTGTTGGGGCGTCTGGTGCGGATCGGTTGATGTTTGGTTTGTCTCCCTCTCTTTCTCTCTTTTGACTCTCTTCTCCCGAGAGTACCATTTTATACCCAAAGAAAGAAGAGAAATACTGACAAATAATAAGGAACCGACCACCCCTTCTTCCCCCCTCTCGACGAAACAGAACCCAACCCCGAATGGCCCAGCGTGACGACCAACTACGACGCGATCAAGGAGGCATTCGGCGACGATAAGACGGCGGATGCGGTGTTGGGTGGGAATGCGGTTCGTGTACTGGATTTGAAGTAGATTCTTTCTGTCTGTTTGTGTCTTTCGGTGGAGTATCCCTGTGTGGGCTGTGTATATTGGGTTCTGTGGGTGGTAAGTGAGCAAGTATCCTACTATCAAAATAGGAAACGAACGAAAAGAAAAGAAAGAAAGGTGAATGCTATATCTGGTTCTGCTTCTGCTGTCTCAAACAAATGTTTATGTAGGCGTAGATGCAGATTAGATTAGATTAGATGTAGATATTGTAATGGAGCTCAAAACGGCCCTGTCCTTACTACCGATGTTATACATACATCATTATGCTTGTTGCTCAAGGTATTGTAGTTTTGCTTGTCCTTACCATGGTACGATATCCAGGGTAAATCGTATCCTTATCCTTATAAGTAGGTAGTTAGAGATAACCTGATAATCAATAGGTACAACCTGTATGGCTTCCCTTGTAATCGATACGTTCAAACACTAAGGAGAATAAAGGTAGGAAAAATACGAAATACCAATACGATGAATATGATATGACTGATTGAAATACCATGATAGAATTCGGGTATTAAGTAGATACATTTGAAAAATTAAAAACAAGTAATCAAAGAAAGCGTAAAACGCCGACAATGGGTATGGGTATCATATCGAGTCAGTAGGTCATGATCCTCCCCTGTATAGTAAACATTTTTTCCCTTTCAAGTTTATTTTTATTTTTATCTTTCTTTTTCATTTTCCCACTTTTTTCTTCGTAATTGTTCACGCGGGGAAGAGCCAAAGCGGTCATTATTATTGTGTAACAATTTATGTATGTTCTCAGTCGTCTTTGAGAGACTGTCGATTAAGTCATTTGTAGGTCTAGAAGTCGTGTCGATCGTAAAATAAGAAGAGTGAAGAATGGATAGCGTAACGTCGTAAAGGAATTGTATCCCGGCTCATGAGCGCGAGTCTGGGTCGGTGGTCAGATCGTCTGTCGTCAAGGCGCGGCTGCGGCCCGAGTGCATCGACCCGCTGCGGGAGGACGCACTGTCCAGGCGCAAGGAGTCCATCCGCTCCAGATCCGCGTACTCGGGCAACGCCAGTGGCGACCCGTGGTAGTCTTCCATGGCGCTGCCGCCGTCGAGCATGGCGTAGCCCGGGGGACTCGCCGGCACGTCCTCGTACACCGGGGGCATCTCCTCGTCCCAGCTGATGCCGAGGCCGCTGCGCTCGGTGACGTGCAGGTGGAACTGCATGCGGAGCACGCGGGCGGCGCCCGTCGGGGTGACGAGGCGCGGGTTGCGGTTGGGGCAGAACTCCTCGGCGACGATCAGCTCGATCACGAGGTTGTGGCGGGCCTCGAGGCCCCCCGGGGCGTCGAGGTCGCAGACGGGCTTGGCGTTGGGGTTGATGCTGGCCTCGAACTCGCAGGTGATCTCGCCGCCGGCGGTGTCGAAGTCGGTCTTCCAGCCGTCCTTCTCCTCGTGGTGGCCGATAACGCGGGTCTCCTGGTGGAGGACGCCCTTGCCCTCGCCGCCGATCTTGTGGGCGTGCTTGGGGCAGGCGGGGGAGATGATCTTCTGGTGCTCCTCGATGCGCCACATCATCTTGCGCAGGCGCCAGCGGGTTTGGGTCTCCTCACCCTTGTCAACGACGCCGCTGAGGGTCATCTGGACAGGAAAGGTGCCGATCGGGTGGACGACGGAGGGGAGGACGATGCGGCCGGTGAGGTTGGTGGGGGGGAAGATGCGGATAGAGGACTTGTCGTTGCCGGGGAGGATGGCGCGGCGGATGTGGAGGGGCATCTGGAAGGTGTACTCCTCACCGGAGACATCGCGAGCCTTGGCGGCGAGGACATACTCGATCTGGCCGAGCGTGCCGTTGCACGAAGCGGGCAGGTGGCCGGGGAAGAGGTAGCTGAAGGGGAACTCGTGGGCGCCGGGCTTGAGGGGGAGCGGCTCAGTGAGAAAGGTCCAGTGGTTGAGTTCGTCGGTGCGGGAGGCGCAATTGCGGCAATCGCGCGAGACGGGTTTCTTGGTGGTCATCTTGCTCATCAGGCGCATCTCGAACTGGTCCAGCGTCAGGGTGCCAGCGGTGTCGGCGACGGTGATCTTCAGACGGCCCGAGAACAGGGCGCCGGTGGAGTTCGACGGCGCTCCATAGCAGACCAACGGAGGGGACTCGACGATGACATCCAGCTTGGCCGCGGCAACCTTCTCCTCTGCCGCCATGCGATCCTTGGAGCGCGCGGATCGAGAGAGGCCGCGACGCTTGTCCTTACTGTGGTCCCGGTGGGGGTGGATCAGATGCTCGACGGCGAGAGAGAGGCGCCGCTCAGGTGAACGGGCTCGGTCGGCCAGCATGTGGGCGGTGGATTTCTTGCCGGAGGGCAGCGGATCATGGGGGATCTCGTTGACGGAGGAGGAAGAGGAGGCGTTGGAGTTGGTACGAGAGGAGAAGGAGATGTGGTGAGAGACGGAGGGGCGAACAAAGCTAGGCAGAAGACGGCCCGGCATGATTCCTTTCTTTCTCTCTTGTCTTCTGTTTTGTTTGTTTCCTTCTGTCCTTGTGGGTCTACTGACCAGGCTGATTGACGACGAGAGATCTTATGTCAATCAATGAGAGAGATGTCGTGATGTAGATCTAGGACTCAGAGCGATGCTGATATAGTTGAGAAGTACGATTGACAGTCCAAAACATAATCTATTGGATAGACTAGATAGACTGATGCATCAAGTGAAAGGTGTAATGTGGGGTAGTCCAAGAAGTATGAAGTCGTTGAAAGTGGAGGAAGAGGAGAATTATATCCGGAAGAAAAAAAAAGCAGGAGAAGAAATCCAGATGAATCAGAGTCATAAATAAGGGAAAAACTGCCTTATACTTCTGGCTCCTTCTCTTTTTTTTTCACTCTTTTTTTTTTTCTTTTCTTTCCCGAGGAGATGATCCACCGAGTGACCCACTGGATGTCACCGATACCATACCCAATACGGTATGGTACCGTCCGTCTGGCCACCCTCGTCTGGTTGTCTCCGAGCGGTGAGTCTTGGAAGACCCCGCTGCATGCGGGAGTTGGCAGAATCAGCGTCATTGTGGGTCGTATTACTGATCCTCTGTAATTACTTACCAGTAGATGCTTGGGTAGAATTACATCACCGGATGACAGATCCGTCCCTGATACAATACGTGGCTAAGTACGTGGATGAGACTATTCCAGAAACATCGTTGCTACTGCATCTGTCAGTCAATTATCCGGGAACGGAGAATGCATCTCACAATGTCTTTTGTCTGAAATTGTAATTTATCTATATCATCCTGTATTGCAACAGAAAGAAACAGCATAGGATCCCCAAGAACAGCCTCAACTACTATTCTGTCCCAACAGGCCACTCTATCATTACCATACCATACCACAGCACACACTAGTTGAAGATCCTCAGGCTCAACTTCGGATCCGTTCGAACCGGCGGTGCGCCGATCCAGTTGGGAAAAATTTTCATCTTTTTCCGTCTGGGTGACTAACAGTCTGTTACTAACAGACTGTCTTGGCTCCACATCTTATACTTTTGTCTGATCTTTTTTTCCATTGATTAATTTATTATCTTTGGATCAAATGATCAATCTCGGTCATTTGTTCACAGGGACCATTGAACAACCCTGAGAATGGACAATGGAGGGGTCTCTCTAGCTTCTCCCCGCGGCAGCCTGTTAGGGTAAATACAACATCACATCTTCCTCGAAACCCCGCACACTGCAGGAGATACAATGATATGTCCGCGGAAGGAGATTTCATCATCCGCCTCGGCATAAACACTGTCACGAGGTCGTTGATCGTGTACACCACCTCTACTGTTCAATCTTTGGAGACAAAGATCAACCTGACCAACTCTCAGGCACTCTCACCCTCAAGGTCCATAAGTTCTAGACAACGGTCCAAGGCTGATGGACCGACTAGGGGTCCCATGGGTCCGCCAACAGCCCCATTACCTAACCGCTTGCCCATTTCCATCGCTTATTGGGGCCTTTTGCCCCTCTTGCCGCTCCTAAGCGTCAACTGATGGAGATTCGATTCACCATCGGACGATTGAGAAAGCCGGTCGGGTGAGAACAGGACGGACTACGGAGTATAAGCCGACCTCTTCGGCTCGGACTATTCTAACTTCTGACTTGCTGAGCTGTTTCTACCTGTCCTGTCTGTCCCTGACGCCCTGTCGGTGATTCCCGAGATCGGCCGAAACGTCGATCTGCTATTTGGATCTCGGTTGGGCTTTGACCTCCGTAGACATACCAGACAGGGGACAGTGGCTAGTGACACGGGGAAACATGCCGATGTCTCCTGCACATGACACCAGTCCTCCGTAATATCACGATCCTTTGGATCCACCCACGTTCGAGGGGACTCTCTCCTCAGGGTCAAGGTGGGAGTGTGTAAGCGGCCAGAAAAGCCGCAGATGGGTCCGACTACTAGTGAACTGCCTAATGGGGAGCGACTCTCGCGCCGGCTGGCTTGGTATGGTTCCTGACTAGCTGGGGTCACGACCAAATGAGTCAGAGTAGACGAGACGAGTCGAGCGAATTTGACTCGCAGGGTACTAGCCAGAAGGTACCCTCGATCACGTCAACCCATCCCACCGTTAGGTCGGTCAACGATCGAAGCTACGGAGTCTCTCCGCCGGCGGAGGGCGCCGAGGGATTTGTCGGGCGAATCGGCATTGCATGATCAGAATCATTCCACACATTGTACTATGTAGGTTGATAGTCGGTTGTCTTTCGGAAGTATAATATGGATAATAATAGTGTTGAGAATCATCTAGTACCTGGTATACACTGGATCGTTTTGTTGTCTACCACACCACCCAATTCACTATCCACATCCACTTCCCGCATAACAGGACCAGAACAGACATACAGAACCCCAAACAAAATAATAATAATAATAAATAATGATAATTAAATAAACCACATTCGGCCCTCTCCGCGGGAAACCAAGCTGTGGACGCCGCTCTCCGTCTGGGAATCGAGTTCTGGAGCTGTCTGTGGAGGCGGGTGGAATTAACTAGTGTGGCCCTTGGTTGTTGGCCTTGGCATTAGCGTGGAAGAGATTTCACTTCTATATCTTGGCATTGACTTGTGATATACGGAGTGATATAGAATATACGGATACAAGACGAGGTCATAAATTACAAGTGAGTAGAGTCGTGGAATTGATGGAGTCAATCACTGTATGAAAGAGTTCATACTCTCTCATTGAGTCTTAGTGTAGACTGCACTATTGTACTTTGTAAGTGTTAGGGCTCCATACAGCGGATCCAAGGTTGACACGGTGGATTGCAAACAGTGGATATGAGTCAATTAAAACTCCGATATGCTTGATTGGACGGCGTAACATTACTTGATTGGACTGACTGTCGGTGTTTTACCGTCTTCAAGTTCATGTTGCAGTGGTTTTGTAGATTCTATTCATGTATATGATTGTTCTTTATTACACTACTACATCAATTGATATGATATGACTTGATAGAGTAATTGTCTGACTATAGACTTGTAGTTACACTGTGTATACTGATTATGAACATAGCACTAATAATGACATTGTATAGTGTGCACCCACCTACATGTGCAATCAGCACGTGACGATAAGGATAGTTATCGACAGCTTCAACTTCACATCCCCTTTCCATACCACCACCAGCGTGATAGAGGCCATCACCATGTCGCCAACCACCCTCCTAAGCCTCGGCATCTCAATCTCCTTCGTCTTCATCTTCTGGACTTTCTCCGCCACCACGTCGTCCCCCTTCGCGCGCAACTTCCCCCGCCTCTACAACAAGCGAATATGTCTACTGATCGCCCACCCCGATGACGAGGCCATGTTCTTCGCCCCGACAGTGCTATCGCTCACGCGTCCGGCACTCGGGAACCATCTCAAGATACTGTGTCTCAGCAGTGGTATGTCCCATGTTCCAAGCCAGTATGCGAAATCTAGTTTCTAATTAATTACCCAGGAAACGCCGACGGCCTCGGCGAAACCCGCAAAAAGGAGCTCGTCAAAAGCGCCCTACGCCTAGGCGTCCGCAGCGAATCAGACGTCTACGTCGTCGATGACCCCTCCCGCTTCCCAGATAGCATGACCGCCGAGTGGAGCGAATCCGACATCTCCAACCTCCTAACCTACGCCTTCGCCCCGGAGAACAACACCAGCAGCAGCAATCAATCCCTCCGCAAGCGATCCTCCAAAAACAGCAACGATCACAACAATACACCCCCCACCGCAACAATCGACGTCCTCCTCACCTTCGACTCCCACGGCATCAGCAACCACCCCAACCACCGCTCGCTCTACCACGGCGCCGTGCACTTCGTCCGCTCGCTCATGAAAGGGAAAGATGGCTATACCTGCCCCATCACGCTCTACACGCTGAGCACGACTAACCTCCTGCGGAAGTACATGGGCGTGCTCGACGCCCCGCTGAGTATGGCGAAGGGTGCGCTCTCCGCGCTGTTTGCGTCTAGGGATGGCTCGTCTTCGCCGGCGCGTTTGCTGTTCGTCTCTGATGTGCGCGAGTGGATGTTTGCGCAGGAGGCGATGGTTAAGGCTCATCGCAGCCAGATGGTCTGGTTCCGCTATGGGTGGATTACGCTGGGGAGGTATATGGTTGTTAATGATTTGAAGAGGGAGAGGATTTGATTTGTAGTATATTTTTCTTCTTTGTAGGCTGTAGTATATGTATTTTGATGTATATGTTTTTCTTTTCACCAAGTATTTGTTATGCCTTCGATATGTAGGTTCATTCAGGTGTCAGTTGTTATGGTTAATTGTTTTTAAGATGAATATCTTGTCTCTGTGAGACATGGTATACGTTATATATACTAGGTGGGGTAGCTTACCTCAAAATATATACTCCGATATTCTAAACATACGAGACCACCGCCCGATAAACATAACATAATCGCCCAGCCCTACTCGGGAAATACAGTAAATTGAAACTCTACAAAAACACATGCTAAAAGATGTCTTGTCTGTTGTCTTTCTCTTGTGGCATATTTTTTTTGGACTTAGTGGTGCTAGCTCAGGTACTGTGGTAAGGACGGGTAGGTGAGGACAAGGGAAGATAGGATAGGACAGGGTAGGCAGCGGTAGTGGGTATAATGTCATATCGTGTCGTGGATGTAGGTAGTCCCGACATGATGTCGGATTGAGTATCAAGTTAGATAAGAGATGGGGAGGAGGTCTTGTGTGAAAGGGATAGAAGGGAATAAAAGAAAAAAGAATGTCTAGCAGTCGAATCAGGCTATGGAGAATTCACCCGGGATGGTGGGATCCTCTTGGGGAGACACATGTGGTTGTTGAGGGCGCTGTCGAGGGTAAATTTGAGGGTGCTCTTGAGGATGCTGCTGAGTATGCCGTTGATGGTGCCGCTGAGTATGCTGTCGAGGTTGTTGGATATGCTCTTGGTGATATTGCTGCGAATACTCTGCCTGTTCGTGCAAAGCACCCGGCTCCACAGGCGCAAACCCCTCATACACCATTTCCCCCCCATGAAGCTCCGGCTCCCAAGCAAGACCCTGAAATAGTCGCTGTAGCGCCGGGAGATCACGCACGAGCTGCGGTAGCGACTCCTGCAACTGGTCCCAGAAGTGGCAGTCGTCGAGTTGTCCCCGGCCCTCGTCCAGAGCGATCCCATTCTCGACCGTCGGTCGTCGGGTAGGCACATGTTTATGTGCTGTCAGCCGGGCATGCCCCCAGTGGATTTTGCCGTGCAGTGCGATCTGTCCGCCGCGCGTGCTGTAACTGAAGCTCTGGGGTACGAAATCGCGCCATTCTTCCAACGCTTGTGGCAGAAGGTGTCGTTCCCAGACGGGGTTGTTCCGGCCTGTCCACCGGTTGTGGATGAGGAGGAGTTTGGCGAATCGTTCCATGAAGATTGTTTGCTGTGCTGTGCGCCAGCGGAAGATCTCGTATTCGTGGATTGCGTCGGCGTACTTTGCGGATTGGAGTAGTGCTGGGTTGATGCTGGATGGGAGGACGGGGGCTGAGCGTGATGGCTTGTAGCCGAGACCGCGCTGGATGACCCGTCTCGCGCGGTGGAGGTCTCGACGGGTTTCTTGGAGTAAATCGTAGGCCGCGCGCATATGATGTTGGAAGTCCCGCAGACGTGCCCGGTCCCAGGCGCATTTGGCGAGCACGTGGTGCATCTCGATCGTGTAGCGGACGTTGAACGGTTCGGATGCCATCGTCTGGACTAGTACACCCAGGAAATCGTAGTTCACTTTGCCCTTCCGGTCACGTTTCGCGTCCGGGCCAAACCGCGGTCGCGAGAGCACAAACGATCGCTCCAAGAGCTCCAGCCATACTTTCTCGGGGATCGGGATGTCGTATGAGCTGGCGATAAAGTTGACCGTGCGTAGGGCGGCGGCGATGTCGCTATTCGTGCCAAAGGCGTGGGCCACGGCAAACAGCAGCGCGCCCGACGGGTGAAGGGGCGATGATCGATCATACTCTGTCACCGGCGGCACGAGGGACTCGTCGTTCTGGGCGAGGAGCTCATCCACATCCACGTTCCAGGCTGTCTTGAGCACGCTTTTGATGCCCTGCACATAGCCCACTCGACTGGCCGCCAGCAACACGTTAACCAAGGAAGCCTCGTCCGCTTGGTTCCCATTCGCGACCATCTCGTTGAAAATGCCCAGCACTTCCTTTCGCACGCTGCGACCGGCGGTCCCGTGGCCTTGCCAGCCTGGGTTGGGAGCATCCATCCTCCGCTTCCGATAGGCAAATGGGGTCACGCGCAGGTGGTACTTCTCGTGTCCCGCGTAGGCTCGGTCCCAGACCTTGGCCGCCATATAGTAATTGTAACAGTGGACATCCGGGATCACCTCGTCCTCGTGCATATTGGACCAGATGTTATCCGCCAGCTCCGCATCCCCAATCGACCGGGCGCAGTCCAGCAGATGCGTGTATTCCGCCAGACCCATGATGTGACCGGCGGACTGCCGGATGTGAACAATGGCGATCAGATTGTGGGCATAGGTCCCCAAGATCGAGCTGAGCGACCGGTATTTCTTGATCGCCACGGCTGTGGGGTGCAGTGGGCGATGGATGTCCCGGTACGGCTCCACGAAATAGGCCGGCGATAGCAGGCGAAAGACCTCCACGAAAACGCTCTGCGGCAACAATTGCACCAACTGTTCATATCGGGGGTCCAGGAGAGCTTCCATTACCTGATCTGGTTGGGCATTCCGAATAATTGTGTGGAATTCGTGGTGGAGCGCCTCGCTGGTGTGCCCGGTCGCTGAATCCGCCGTGCCTGAGGCCTCCACGGTCGCACTCCATCCTGGCGTCGCCCACGGTCCATCCGGCGACGCACCAAGACCCGTCGAGTCCCTTGACTCCCACAACGAGGGAGACTTGGAGCTGAAGTATGCATTCGAAGGGCTCCATCGCGAGAGTTGAAGGAGGAATGGTCGCGTGGGACCTGTTCGGGAGGACCACCCTGAAGTGGAGCCCGGACCACTCCAGCGAGGAATGGACCAGTGAGGCCCCAGAAGGCTCTCACATCGACCCCGTACCAAGTTCCGCATCGAGTATGTATCCAGAAAACGAGGTTATCAACAGGGTAAAAAGGGTGAATGAGATGGAGAAGAAGGAGGAGAGAAAGAGGACAGAAAGACCTCTGCAGTCCGAACCCCCTCTTCGGCCCCTGGTGCCTCACGAGTGACCAGGATCATCTGCATCTCACAGTCACTCCGGCCTGATTTCCCCATATTGAGAGTCTGAGCGTCTGCGGGGGTGGCCTTGGCATGGCCCGATTGGGTTTAGCGGGCCCATCCCTCCCGTCATCATAATGTGTGCACAGCTGACTCATGAACGTGGGATAATGGCCAGGATTGTCAGGCATAAAGTGATTTTGCGACCGCTTTGGGTTGGCGGAGCTTCATCTGGCAGTTCTTCTCTATCTCCGTCCACCATTCCCCCTCACCCTCTCTCCCTCGCTTCTTCACTCTTTTTTCCTTCCTTTCTTTCAAAAATGGCCGACACCGAGGATACGGGCGCATCGTCTGTCTCGGAGCCGTTAGATCTGGTGCGCCTTTCGTTGGACGAAATCGTCTTTGTCAAGCTGCGTGGGGATCGCGAGTTGAAGGGTCGACTGCATGTGAGTGACCTAGCTAGGTGTTGAATGATCCAACACGCACCCGCATACATATATGGTGACTGACAATGATACTAGGCATATGATAGCCATTGCAACCTGGTGCTAGGCGAAGTCGAGGAGACGATCTACGTGGTGGAGGAGGATGAGAATGACGAGGAGACGATCCGAGTATGCGGTCCTTTTCAGTACAGGTTGACATTGGAGGTTCAACATCCGCTAATTCTATACACAGACAATCAAGAAACAGGAAGAGATGCTTTTCGTTCGAGGTACGTCAACAACGTGGTATTCCATCCGACAGTGAAGGCTAATGGGCTGCTTCCCGTCAACAGGAGACTCGGTCGTCTTAATCTCCCCCCAAGCATGATTGCGAGTCAAACAAGGCGTTACTGTTGCGTAGGAGTCAGGAGATTCTATGAGGATAACTGCAGGATGTGCAGTACCGTTGGATCATGAATGCGACCACGACATAAATCGGAGAGGGTTTCGGATAATCAAACGCTTGCGCAGTTCTGTGTATTCCTATTTCCTTCTTGATTCCCACAGAGTTCTATCCCCAGCGAATGGTTTCTGGGGATGTATTGAGCGGATGGTATGGCACTGGGGTACACATGGGTACACGTGGACGATTAGACCACACCGGGAAAGGGGGAAATTCCCAAGAAAAAAACCAAATATAATTACATACTAGGAGTCATGCAATTGCTCATCTTGTAGCCACTTCCTCACTGTACCATGAGTTTCTTCTGGATTCCTTGTCAGCCGCGCCAAGTAGTTGAGTTATGACACAGCGAGGCTGGACATGTTTAATAGTGGGTATGACTCAGGCATATGACTGGACTGTCTATCGATAACACGCCCCCAAGTTCCTTAAGAGCCGCACCTACTCCGGCTTGACCCCGACTTAATTTGATTCATCTTCCACTCTTGTCTTCACTTTCTTCCTTCCAATTGTCTTCCTGAATCAATATCCCCCATGAACTTGATTTGATAACGCAAATGTCGTAACGACGACCGTGTCTTCTTTACCCCGCATAGTGGAACTATGATCACACGAATACACATCTGAATGCGCCGGAGGCGACTTACCATCATCCAACCGAACGAATTGTCTGTACGATACTTTACCGACTACATCGCAGTGCCTTTATATACATAGTACCTTTTATTGAATCACACCTTAAAAACACCCCGATGCGCAGACAAAAGCCCTCGGTGGAGGAGCGGCGACGAGGTGAAGTGGTGTGTCTCCCATCCCACCCCAACTTCTCTCGCTGCTCGTGTACTGACATCTGCCTAGGCGCTGAGCGAGTTTGCTGAATACGCCGAGCAACAACAATCGCATCGCGCCGCCCTGGTTCCTCCCAGCGACAGCGGGTACTCCACAGGGGCCCCCTCCAAAACCCACGACACCGAGACGGAGGACCATGCGGAGCTGGAGATTCTCGACCAGCTGAGCTTGTCTGATGCTCCCAAAACCGTCAAGCTGAAAGAGCTGTTGCTGGGGACAGGCGACGGAGGCGACGAGAGCCTGCAACAACTCGCCAGCTTTCTGCAGGCCCGCATCGATGAGGGCCACGGCGAGACGATCTTCGACCTGGGGCTCGAGGACGGAGGTGAGCCGATGGGGTTCGATCACGCGCAGTGGGAAACCGCCGTCCGGAGATTACGCGAGACGGCGGACACACTTCCGGCGCATTGCCGCATCCTCATGACGTACAACGTCGGAGGCCCACAGGAGTCTCCGACCAAGAAGGACGATCGCTCGAAAGACGCCTGGGGCAAGGTCCTGATCCGTCAGCCGGCGGACACCGTCGAGGAGATGGCGGAGATCCGGGTGGCGGTGGTGGGGAACGTGGACGCCGGGAAGAGCACCATGTTGGGCGTCTTGGTGAAGGGCAACCTGGACGACGGCCGTGGTAGGGCGCGGGTTAACCTGTTCCGTCATCAGCATGAGATTGAGAGCGGGCGGACCAGTTCCGTCGGGATGGAGATCATGGGGTTTGACAGCCATGGAGAGATCGTCAGCAGTGCCCATGGCCGGAAGGTCTCGTGGGAGGAGGTCGGGCGGCGATCGGCCAAGGTGATCTCCTTCTCTGACCTCGCGGGCCACGAGAAGTACCTGCGGACCACGGTGTTCGGGATGCTTAGCAGCAGCCCCAACTACTGTCTCCTGATGGTGGCGGCGAATAATGGACTGGTCGGGATGAGCAAAGAGCACCTGGGGATCGCGTTGGCGTTGAACGTGCCCGTCATGGTCATCGTCACCAAGATCGACATCTGCCCGCCGCAAGTACTCCAGGAGACCCTCACCCAACTGACCAAGATCCTCAAGTCCCCTGGGGCGCGGAAGATTCCCATCATGGTTAAAGACATGGAAGAGACCATCAACACCGCGGGCCAGTTCGTCAGCCAGCGCATCTGCCCCATCTTCCAAGTCTCCAACGTGACGGGGGAGAACCTGGACCTGGTGCGCACGTTCTTGAACATCCTGCCGCACCGCGGCCACTACAACGACGAGGCGCCCTTTGAGTTCCTCGTAAACGACACCTTTTCGGTGCCGCACGTGGGGACCGTGGTGTCTGGCGTGGCCAAGTCGGGCGTCATCCACGCGGGGGACACCGTGCTGGTCGGGCCCGACTCCCTCGGCCAGTTCACCACCACTACCCTTAAGTCCATCGAGCGCAAGCGGATACCCGTCAATACCTGCCACGCGGGCCAGTCCGGGTCTTTCGCGCTGAAGCGCGTCCGACGGAAGGAGGTGCGCAAAGGGATGGTGGTTCTCAAAAAGCTGGACCAGCCCCCGAAGGTCTACCGAGAGTTTATTGCGGAGGGTTTGTTTTCTCTTCTCTACTAGATATCCTTTGCAACTGTTAACTAACCCTTCCAGTGCTTATTCTCTCCCACGCAACGACCATCAAACCCCGCTATCAAGCGATGCTCCACGTAGGAGCGGTCAGCCAGACCTGCTCCGTTATCGACATCGACCGCCCGTTCATCCGCACCGGGGACCGCGCCGTGGTTGCGTTCCGGTTCGTCCAGCGACCCGAGTTCCTCGCTCCCGGAGACCGGGTGCTCTTCCGGGAGGGTAAGACCAAGGGTCTGGGGATTGTGAAAAGTGTGGGGTATGACCCCAACCAGCCTCTCAACGTGGAGGCCAAACAAGCGTATGAGAGCAAGAATGGCTGAATGCCAGCTTGAGCCTGGGGCTGTTTCTATCTTTTCAGTTTTACCTTTTGATTTTTCTTCTCTTATCTATGCGTTGGTTTGTTGCGTTGTGTTTTTATTTATTTGGCGGGCTTCGGTATTGTGTTTACGCAAATTGCTTGTTCTTTGCTCCTTGTCTTCCGGGATAGATTTCATTATATCTCTGTTGTTTGACTTATGCTGTACAGAATACGGTCTAGTGCAAGTTTGTTCATTGATTTCCATGCTACAAGCTTATGACACAACACTACTAAGATGGATTCTTCATATATTTCCCTTGCTCGCAGCCATCGAAGCCTCTTGTCGGAGAGCCGTAAGACATGAAGAGAATCACTTGCCCCTGGGATTCTGTTTCAACAGCCGTAAATAAACCAGTCCATATCTCGCCGTCCCAAAAAAGCCTGACTCTCGAGCTTCATCAACAAAAAGAAAGCCTTAAAAGTGTCAACCACTGGCGACCATGAATTTCCGCTTGTGCCTGGCCCAGCCGTCTGCACCGTGAACGGATTTTGTATCCTATCCTAACCTGAGAGAACGTAGACTGATGTTGTTGTGTTGCTTTTGAGCGTCTTTTTGACTAAAATATTCACAGTTGTTGCTTTGTCTTGAAGTATGTATTTCATTCGAGCAATCAGTTCTTAGTCGCTGCACCAACGATGTTGACCAGCATCTGGTATAGGGCTCGACCTGATTGATATCCCCAGCATAAATAAGTTCGTCAACCACTTTGTTCCGGGAAGCAACTTGAGGCCTAACGGCGGCGAGAATCAGCACTGGTCTTGCCGTGTCTCAACCAACAGTGTATTGCTTACTTACCTACAGACTCAGAGATCCGTGCTGGCGGAGAGCCGGAATCGGGAGAATCTGCAGGCTGACATTAGCAATGGGAAAACAACACCGAGGAAGACCTCACTATAGCCAAGATGGAGGTAGAGACATCGGATGCGAGCATTCAAGCATTCTATCCGATTGATCAACTCACCTTGGCCGCGGCACCAAAAATGCTGACCAGCACTTTGGGTGGGCTTGACTTAACTAATATCTTCAGCACATCAAGATGCGAGATAAAAGATCCGGAGGTGCAGCATGACACTATCAGATCATCCAGCACGTCTCGTCAGGAACGAAGACCGAGAGATTTAAAGGAATGGGTTGGAGGGCGAAGTGAGAGAGACAAAAGGTAGATGGTTATTCGGCTGCTCTGTCACCCGACTTTTATTATCTCAGTGACCTCATACCATACAGGTGAATAGGTCAATAAGTCTCCCCTGGATCATGGGTATATGACCCGTATTAAAGGTCGCTTTCGCTCAAGTCGGGGCCTCTTATCAGGTCGTTTTCACCCTGCATGATGGCTTACTCTCCCCATTGGCGATGCTCTTCAGCTTGAGCACCGTCCTCAAATGGCAAATATTAACGTGAACCGGAACTGGAGCCTGAAATACTAGAGCCCCTGGCTCTTCTCTAAGCTGAAGCTTACAGTAATTCAGAGTGGTTCGTGTTTACGATGATGCCTCGCTTCAGGTCTGCCAGCAGGACAGACGGTACCCAGCCGTTCTCGAGGTGGATCACATTCTAAGAATAACGTTACCAGCTGGCATGGTGCTACAGGAGACATACGAAGTGGCACAGTATACTACAATTCGAGCGTGGGTTTAGGCCTGTGGTCTGAACACCTGGAGGGCAGGGTGGTAGGCCCAGATACTGACTATCCGCCACCCAGGTGGGATATTGAATACTGAAAATAGAAAATATAACCACAACAGGGGATTTACGAATCACAGGTCTCCGCTTTCCTTTCGCAATCACCGAATCTATCCCCAGTAGAACCATTCACGAATGATACTCTGCCGTCAGCTACTATGCGACACGTGACCAGCTGGTGACGTCCGATGACGTCAGAGGCCGTGGTTGATGACATCAGGGTGTGGAACAAAGTCAATGGCATCAATTGCAAGGAATCCGGACATTGACGTATCTGGGGCAGAATTGTGGGCTGTTGGGATCTTATAAGAAGAGCAGTGGTCTGGACTGAACAATAGCTTTTATAATTACTGTTGTTACTACTCTACTACTGAAGCAACTACTCAAACTACTTGACCAACTTTGATTTATACATACATACATCCTTTAGAAAGTCTGATATTAGAACATGGAGACTGCAAACAAGATCTGGCACACTGCTGCTGATACATTCCGAGACGACCCTCACCCGCTCGACAGCCGTGGCACCCCGGGCAATGTCAAACAGGAGCAGCGTCGTCAGCAGCATGGTGAGGAGCCCATTGCTGGCGTTCCCGGTCGAGGAACGGTGACGGATCCTTACGATGCTGGAAATCGCGACGGTATGTCTCTCTTACTCTTCTCCTCTCTCCTCTCCTTTCCCGAAAAGAAGGAAAAGAAAGCAAATGAACTGACAAAACCAGACCAACCGGGCGCCGTCAAAGGCCAAGAAGCCACCGTGCCCGTCCACGAAGCCCAGTCCTCTCTCCCATCATCCCATCTGCAACCCTCCTACGAAAGCAAAAAGACGACTCTCCCTGACCGCTCAACAACCGGATCCAGCACCACGGGTGCTGCTGGTGCTGGTGCTCACTCTGGCACCTTCACCAAAGGCGGAGTCGACTCCTCGTCTGATATCTGGGTGCCCGGCGAGCCGGGCCTTGAGCAGAGGGATGCGAACTTGGGGTTGAGCGGGTACGGCCGGGATGCTCCTGAGCCGCGCACTGGCGCGCAGACAAGTAAGGTCGCGTCGCTTGATGATACCGATGTGCGTGCTTCGGAGAGGCAGTTCGGTGGTGGTGTTGGTGGTATCGGAGCCACTGGCGCGACTGGCAGTGGGAGTGCCAGTGCTGGTCGGTATGCGGAGCCTGTGTCTACGCCGGCGGCGGCTTCGACGTCGTCGACTTCTGGTCTTCCTAGTGGTGGCGGTGTTAGAGGTACTGGCACTAGTGACAGTGCTGGATATGTGGAGCCGGCTTCTACACCCACGGCGTCTTCCACGACTTCGACTTCTGGTATCCCTAGCGGTGCCGGTGTGAGAGGCACTGGAACGAATGACAGTGCTGGCCGATCTGCGGAGCCGGTGTCTTCACCGACCGCGCGCTCCACGGCGTCGACTTTTAGTCCTCCTCCCCGCAGCAGTGGTGGTGGTGATGCCTTTGCCAAGGCTGGTATGCCTGCGAAGGAAGAAGAGGAGGAAACGGCAGGAAGCAGGAGCGTCAGCGCAAAGGAGGAACCATCTGTGCTGCGAATGCCGTCTAGTATTTCGGATGAGAGACGCAGCAAGCACCACGAGGCGAACTCCAGGCACGTTGACCCTGACGTGTTGAGGGGCCCTTCGGTCTCCGGCATCAATGAGCAGACCAAGATCCGCTTTGAGAAAGAGGCGGAGAAGGCTGCTAAAGAAGACTCTGGTACATCGCCGGCTAATATTCCTCTGGCTTCGGGGCCGGGGACCAGGGAGCGCTCGACCATGCCGACTGGTGCTGACAAGTCTGAGACTGCCACGAAGGAGGAACAGAAGCAGACTTCGTCTCAGGGTGAGTCCGGACTGCAGCAGAAGCAGCAGCAGCTTGACGAGAGTACCTCTGCCGGAAGGGGCAAGTCCGAGCAGACAGAGAAGAAGACCAGCACATCAGGTCTGTCTGGGGCGGGATTGCAGCAGCAGCAGCAGCAAGACCAGAGTACCTCTGCTGGAAGGGCCCAGTCCGGCCACCAGGTTCTGGACAAGTCCGAGCAGTCCGATATGAGGACCAGCACTATGGGACAGTCAGGCGCCAGCGATCGTCAAGCCAGCCAGGCTGTGCAGGACGCTGAACAACGCGACTCATCTGGCGGTGGCGCCGCCAGCAATGGAAAGCCACGCGTGCAGCAAGGCGCGAGCAAAGAAGCCCTCCAGGGTCCTCAGGGTCCGCCCCCGAAGGAGTACGAGTTCGAGAAGGAGTTGACATCAGGGCAAGGAGGCAAGGGAGGGTCGAAGACTGGTTAGTGTTGTCATTCCCTGGCTACGAAAGATAGAATAACTGACTCTCGCAGCGGATCTCCCCGACAGCAAGGGCACAGGAACTGGCCAGAAAGCCCAACAGGCGAAGCAGGAGGTGCAGCAAGCTGACCAGACGGCTCAGAACGGGACCAAGGCGCATATGAAGGAGAAGCTGGGGAAGGTGCTGCATCATAAATAAGCCAGCTTTTGGACTTGTTGATTCACAGACTGATGGCTGATGGCTAATGTTGTTCATGATAATGGAAGTGGATGGCTTGGCTTCGGAGGGGAATCTACTTGATATAATGTATTGTTTAGCGATTTGATTGATTAATGAACATTTTGACCACTATAGATGAATTCTGATGTAAACTAGGATCACTGAGCCAAAAGATGCTTGTCATAGTAGACCAGATGTATTCCAGACTTGTCTGTTATAATTGAGTATCAAGTACTAGATAAGACTACAAGATGAAGACAAACTGACCAGTAAACACCACAACGCCGCTCCCCAGGCTCATGCAAAAAAAAAAAAAAACGGAACAGAAAACCAACACGCTATGAACCAGCTGCAACATCCTTCCGCTTCCTAGTCTTCATCTTAATCTGCAGCGGAACTAGATTCCTCTTGGTGCCCGGGGTATCCGCACGGGTCAGCGGTTTCCGACAGACCGGACAAGTGCCCCGACTTTTCCCCGATGCATCTGTACGTCGCTCTTCGCCAAACTTCAAGGTATCCATGATGCACTGGTGACAGAAGAGATGGCCTTTGCAATCCGAAGTCAGCATGATCATCGAATAGTACTAGGTAGGTCCAAACCAGCGACAACATACCGCATACTGTACTGGTGGCGTCGACGGGAGTATCCATGCACACGGGACACTTGTACGCGCTTAACGCTGTCCCTCTTTCCCTAGACTCGTGCTCTGCCGCCCGCTGCGCCATTACTGCGTCCTCGCGCTGTTTGGCGAGGGCTTTGGCTAGTGCGGAGGATTCATCGCCTGCGGTGAGGTCGATCGATTCCTCGACTTCTGGCTCTGGTGTCGGGCCATCGAGGGGAAGACTCTGTGGCGATATGGGAGACGAGGCTGTTGCTGAAGCGGTCGATCGGGTAAGACGGCGGCGCTTGGAAGTGTGAGAAGTGTTTGGATCAGGATTGACTGGAGGAGATGAGCTGTTCGATGACCGTCGGCGCGGACGAGCGTGAGCTGAACGGCTGGAGGTTGGGCGCGGGGGTGAACGGAGTTGGTCCATCACGGTGATGTTCAAAGTCAGCTTCAAGTGTAGCGATCAGGTATTGGACTCTAATGCAGCATAATGGAGCGTCGTAATTGCTGAGAGCCAGGAAATCAAATTGGCCGGAGCAACTGGTAGAGAGCAATGAAGCTTCTCGTGTCTTTCTCTCTTTCATTCATTGATCAATATCGGTGGCTGCACTTATCGATAAGAAGGCGATTGATATGACCGAAATGGCAGGCGGTGAGTCTACCAGAATACTCCGGATCATCTGCTCTTCCGAGCTCCGCTGCATGACGGCGAGATCGATCCCTTCTTGGTAAAGCTTCACTCCTCTCTTGATAGTCGCATGTCACCTCCTTCTCTCACGCGCTGAACAAAATTTTACGTGCATACATATACGTATAGACGGAAGACAGTTCTATTACGCCAATTTTCTGCAGCATTCCAGCTGCAGTGTGGTCGTACCATGGGCCCGTGGCTCTAATCTTTCTGTCATAACATGCCGTGGAGTCTTTCATGCACTCCCTATACCAGGGGTGTGGCACGCTCATGCTCGCGGAGTTTGCGCCTACCGCTCGCTTTCAAACCCCGAGTGTCTATCCACCTCGCGCGACACTATGTGACTCCAGCGACGGGGAGCGCGGATGGCGAGACGCGCAAGAAATCCCTATCCCGTAAGTGTGGACCCGCCTTCATGTTGAAGGCAAATGCTCATGAATTGTCTGTTACAGTCCCCGCATCTGCCAGGTATAATGAAATAGGCGTCCAACAATTAAGCGACCATGTCTATTCCCAAGTGTTTCCGAATAAAGCGAACCCCCCCGATCCCGACCTTGTCGCCCTATCGAAGGACCATCTCTCCAGACACGACCTGCTCGGGAAATCCCAAGATGGCGCAGAGCCCGTCGCGTTCGATATGCCCGCCCTACATGGCCAGACGCTGGACGAGCACTTCTTCAAGCTGGGAATGGACTCGTCCGAACCGTATTTGACCTATGCGAAGGAATACACGACGGTGAATTCGCCGGAAAAGCCTCGCCAGTGGATCAAGCGGAGCGGGTGGACCAAATACAACAGCGATGGATCGTGGGAGGCGGTTGACGCTCCCAACGAGTCCATGCTAACGTTCGACACGGAAGTCATGTGGAAAGAGCATTCGTTTGCCGTCATGGCTTGTGCGGCGAGCCCCACCGCTTGGTATGCGTGGTTGTCCCCGTGGCTATTGGGAGAATCTGAGAACGAGATTCAGCTTATACCGCTGGGGGATCCATCGCAATCACGGATCGTGGTCGGTCATAATATCGGGTACGACCGCGCGCGCGTCCTGGAGGAGTACGACATGGCGCAGAGCCGAAACTTCTTCTTGGATACCATGTCGCTTCATGTCGCGGTCAACGGCATGTGCTCGCAGCAGCGGCCGACGTGGATGCGCCACAAGAAAAACAAAGACCTCAGAGATAAACTGTCGAACGAGAGCAACGCGGTCGAACTTGCCGCTTTGCTGGAGAGCAAGATGCTGAGCGACGAAGAGGAGGAATTGTGGGTGGGACGAAGCTCAGTGAACTCCCTCCGGGATGTGGCCAAATTTCACTGCGACGTCACGATTGATAAAGCGCAGCGGGACCACTTTGGGGAACTGGACAGGGAGCAGATCCTGGGGAAGCTCGAAGAATTGCTCGACTACTGCGCAGCCGATGTCGCCATTACACACCGTGTATACAAGAAGGTCTTCCCCAATTACCTTCGGGTCTGTCCCCATCCCGTGAGCTTTGGGGCCCTGAGGCACTTGTCCTCCGTTATCCTCCCCGTCAACCAGACGTGGCAGGAGTATCTCACGAACACAGAGGCAACCTACCATCGACGACTGGAAGACGTGCAGCGGAAACTGTTGGAGCTGTGCGACGAGGCTCTAAAGGTCAAGGATACGGCGGACGTATATTCAAACGATCCCTGGCTGCGGCAGCTGGACTGGTCCGGTCAGGAGATCAAGATGGCCAAAGGCAAGAAAAAGGGTGACCCCCCACGACCGGCCGCCCGACAGAAGAAGCCCGGTATGCCAAAATGGTACAAGGACCTCTTCGCGACAAATACTGCCGACATAAACCTGACCGTGCGGACCCGGATTGCCCCGATCCTGCTTAAACTCTCCTGGGATGGATATCCGCTGACCTGGTCTGACAAATTCGGCTGGACCTTTAAGGTCCCGCGGGATCAGGTCCGGCAGTATGAGAACCAGCCTGTGGTGCTGTGCGACATGGCGGAAGAAAAGAACGACGAGCTGCGGAATGACCGCCGGCACGTCTACTTCAAGCTTCCACACAAGGACGGGCCCCAAGCTCGATGTGTCAACCCGCTGGCTAAAGGTTACATGCAATACTTTGAACGTGGAACCCTGACCTCCAGGTTTGCCCTGGCCAAGGAAGCCCTGGAGATGAACGCCTCCTGCTCGTATTGGATCAGCGCCCGAGACCGGATCATGGGTCAGATGGTGGTGTACGAGGACGAGATCCGAAGTTCCTCGTCGAAGAACGAAACCGGCCACCGGACAGGCTTCATTCTCCCGCAGGTCATTCCCATGGGAACTATCACTCGACGTGCAGTGGAGAATACGTGGCTCACGGCGAGCAACGCCAAGGAGAACCGGGTTGGGTCAGAGCTCAAGGCTATGATCAAGGCACCCCCTGGATACTCTTTCGTCGGGGCCGACGTTGACTCCCAGGAGCTGTGGATCGCCAGTCTCATCGGTGACGCTCAGTTCCAGATCCACGGCGGGAACGCGATTGGGTTCATGACCTTGGAAGGATCCAAGGCGGCTGGGACTGACATGCATTCCCGCACGGCTCAGATTTTGGGCATCTCCCGCAACGATGCGAAGGTGTTCAACTACGGGCGTATCTACGGCGCAGGGGTCAAATTCGCAGCCACCTTACTCCGCCAGTTCAACCCGTCTCTGACGGAGCAGCAGACCCAGGCGGTTGCAAGCAAACTCTACAAAGAGACCAAGGGCACCCGCACCACCCGCCGCATACTGAGCGAGGGGCCCTTCTGGCGTGGAGGGACCGAATCGTTCGTATTCAACAAGCTTGAGGAGTTCGCCGACCAAGAACGGCCGAAGACGCCGGCCTTGGGTGCTGGAATCACCGAAGCCTTGATGCGACGCTTCATCAACCGAGGAAGCTTCATGACATCGCGGATCAACTGGGCCATCCAGTCCTCCGGCGTCGATTATCTCCACCTCCTAATTGTTGCGATGGACTATCTCATCCGGCGATTCAACGTCAATGCCCGTCTCGCCATCACCGTCCACGATGAGATCCGGTACCTTGTGAAGGACGAGGACAAGTACCGAGCGGCGCTGGCCCTGCAGGTGGCAAACGTGTGGACCCGCGCCATGTTTTCGCAACAGGTTGGCATCAACGACCTTCCGCAATCTTGCGCGTACTTCTCCGCTGTCGACATTGACCACGTTCTGCGGAAGGAGGTGGACATGGACTGCATCACCCCCTCGCACCCACACAAGATCCCGCACGGCGAATCTCTCGACATCAACCAGATTCTCGACAAGTACGACCAGGCACTCCTCGACCCGTCTATCACGCCGACCCTACCCCCCACTCCCGACAAACACCCCTACACCCCTCGCGAATCTGTCATGTCCACCCTGCAGAGCACCAGCAACCCGGCCTTCATCCGCGCCCAGATCACCAAAGACGACGCAGAACTCCGAGAAATCATCAAAGAAGCCACAAAAGTCAAGTCCGCGAACCCGCAGGCGCCCAAAGCCCGCGCCCGCCCATACGGACGGCCCCAGGCCGCAGCCCAGAAAGCCGTCCTGGTGGACCTGGAATCGAGCCTCTACCACCGCGATTTCCGCAATGTTCCACAGGGGAGCCGGCCTCCCCAGGTCAATCAATTCCCCAACCGTCAGTCATGGAAACCGCGGTCGTCGGCACGGGCATGATCTCCACCACCGTCTTCATTCTTCATTCTTCATTTCTCCCATTTTTTTCGATTGTACATATATGTTGTGCCATGTTCTCTTCTCGTCTCTCTTTACTCTTGACCCTTGATTTTTTACCCATTATCTTGTTTCACCCTCTTTTTTTTGGTTTCTTTTCTTTTTTACCTTTCTGTATGATCTACCGATGATGACCGAGAAAAGCATGGAATGGCGTCTAGCAGTGCGGGTGGAGTCGTTTTTTTTTTTTACTATGTGACTGATCTTTTTTCTTCCTGGTTTGGGGTGTGAGGGGGGCATATGACTTTGGTGCTGTAATGTACATAGGTTTTTTATGGATTTTAAATAGTACATCTACTAGAAATTTTTTTTTTTTTCGGATCTCTCTCCACATTCCAAATTAAGACGATCGGGTATATCTTTTGAGCAACAGATCCTCAATATATACATCCACCACATCACGTACAAGGATATTGCTCGTTGCTAAAAACAAGACCATTAGATTTCAGGACCATCGAAAGAAGAGGGTGTATACTATACACCACAAAGGAAGAGCGACAACAGCAAAACCGCGCAAAAATAAAGAACCCTAATAACTAGCACGCGTAGAGTATCATTCATTGCCTGAGGAACCTAAATATCACGATCACTGGTGCTCTACTAGGTGTCCATTCGTCGATAGTGAGATTCCGGCCGAAAACAACCAATCACAGCATGTTAGCTCAGGGGAAGAGCGCCGGGCTCATAACCCGGAGGACCCTGGATCGAAACCAGGACATGCTATTCTTTTTTTATTTTTTTATTATTACTACTGCTGCATACTACGTCCTAAATTTTTCAATAGATAAAGAGTATTTCTGGAGATTCAATTGATGGAGTCCTCTATCACATTATACGTTAGACAACAGACATGAGTCTATTTGGTATACCCACCCCGTTGATCAGCTTGACGGTTATGGTATTTACCAGCTATGGGGTGAGGGATAGAGGATGAGAAGCCGTATAGATTCTCATACTAAAATCGTTGACAGCAACGTCGTTAGGCTAGTCACGAAACATGCCGCTTTCGCCCCGGCTCTAGGGTATTCCGCCGGCTCAAACCGCCATTGCCATCTCCTCCACGTAGCATGGCGTCGCCTTTCTTGCCCAGCACGACCTCCAGCGCCTGGATCAGCGCATTCGCGTCGTATTTCATGCCCACGGCAACCTCGGCCCCATCGGCCCCGGGAACGGTGATTTTGCGGCCGTAAAGCCGGAGTGTCTCGATGCCCATCGCCGTCAGTTGGTCCCGGTCGACGCGTGGGGTACCGGGGCCATCTAGGTGCAGGATATGGGTGACGTATGAGTTGTAAGGAAGTGGCGAGGATGTCGATGAGAATGGCGGGTAGCGGCCGCGGCTTTCCTCGCCCGCACAGGTGATCGCGTGGACAAAGTCAGCAGCCGAGAAAGGGTCTGAGGGAGGCCCTGTTTCACGGTCGAGTGAGCCATTCAGGATGAGGATCTTGTGGCGGGCGGGACTCGAGGAGATCGCCCTACCGACACCTCGAAGAATCAGCGACGGAACGAGCGAGGTGTATAGCGAGCCGATGCTGTAAATGATGGCCTGGGAGTCGTTCAGAGCTTCCAGGACTCGTGGATTGGCCGGTGGTCGGATCTCTTGGCCGTACGGGTTGATGTACCAGATGCGAGTGATACGCGCGGGAAGGTTCTCATTCTCAGATTTGCTGAACTGGATGTTCTTGTGGCGCAGGGTTGGGAGGGACCCTGGAGGATGGTCTTCGCCTTCATCGTAGGGAAGGACGTCAGTGTCGTCCGGTGCTGGTGTGACCGATTTCGAGGTGGGGAAGATGGGAGGCGTCTCTGGATCGTCGATGTCCTCCCCTCCATCAGCAAGGAGGATGCTAGGACGGCGAGAACCGGGGCATGGTTGTAAGGCAGTGGCCTCGCTCGGATGGGAGATGCTGTTTTGGCCGACGATCACAGTGCCGTTGGAGAGGGAGGCGGAGATGTGGTGAGAGAAGTTGGAATTGATGGCTGGAATGACGCGCACCACGTCCGACGGAACGCCGCAGATACTGCCCAGGAGATAGATGGCGCTCTCGAAACTGCCACTGAAGAGGCGCGCGCCGGTCAGGAAGAGGTTTCCGACGCTAGCCGAGGTGAAGTCGAACGTGGACGTGGGCGGACGGGCTCGTTTGAGGATCTCTAGGTTCAAAAGGTTGAGGAACGAGCGGATGAGTTCCTTTTTGGCGGGCATGATGATCCTCCAAAGGTCAGACGTGCCGTCCACGATAGAATGCCATTCCGCATGAGCGGCGGCTGCGTCCGCTGGTAGGCGATAATTGAATAGTGTTTTCATGGCAGCCCGTTCTGAATTGGGCGGCGAGGGGGGAATCAGGCGGACGAGCCGGCCTAGATTGGCATCAGTGAGGTCGCAGAAGGCAATGAGGGACTGGTGACATATGATTTGCACGTACTCCTCACATCGCCAATTCCTGGGCCCCCAAAAATGCGAATTAGCTCGGAGGAGGAGCCACCATTGTCACTGATCGGGATGATATAGCTCAAAGGACATTGCTTGCTCTCGCGGACGGCGTTGAAGACATCCACCAGATTATTGGCAGCACTTCCCCCGGAGAAGACCACGATGCCTCTATTAGGTGGAGATGAGGTTGGATCGGACATTGTAGCTAATCAATTGGTCTCATCAATAAGATAAAGATTGCTCCGATTGTTGTGTCTGTTACTGATAGCCCTTATAGAGATACATTGACAAGCCACGGAAGCATCATTTCTGCTCCTGTTGGAGAGTGTTAGCCAGTGATTCACAAGGAGATGGTTTGACGTTAGTTTCTACATCAAGATACGGCTCCGACCTGACATCCAAGGTAATGTGGGTCACTGCATTATGCGACCCTGACAGAGAGATTCTCAGACAGAGAGTCGAAGGGATGGAGAAAGTGAAACAAGGGAGAAGTGGAGGAAATCCGGTTTCATCTAGAAAATTACAATACCGTTATTTAACATCCGAGTCCTATTTACTACGGCCGCCAACTGACAAATACCTGGTAATACCACCTCCAAATCGCATAGTGAGTATATCGCCATTAGATTGTGGGATGTCAAAGTTCAGAAATCAAGATACATTCATAACGCGTCTATATTTGCAGTAGTGTATAAGAGAGGATATCACGCATATGCGGCCCAGCCTGTCGCATTCCGTTTCATCAGCTTTGGTTACGCAACGAAGTAGGTCGGTTATACATACCGCAATAGAGAACAGCGAGATTCTTCTCGTCGGTGGCCTGTTGAATAAGTTCGTTGACCGTGGCCGTTACACTCAATGTCTTGCTCAGTTTCTTTGCCACGACTGTCAGCGCGCGATCTGCCTCGCTGGGTTCGTTGGCTGAGCGCTGATCTACCGCTCCAGGGAGTACGGGAGGCCCGTCACCAGCCGCCTGAGCGTCTTGCATCTTCTTGATTCGCAGGGGAGACACAGTCCAGCTGTAGAGCGGGTCGTATCGCAGCACGTCAAGGATGGTCATGATGCTATAGGACTCCTGTCGAAGGGCCTCCAGCGTAAATTCGCAGCATCGCCGAAACACTCCTTCAGTTCTCGTAATGCCCATTCCGTCGACCAGGTCACGCGTCAGACGGAATGGTACGACTTCCGGAACAGGTAGCACTCGGCCTTGCTCAAACGCCACGCCCAGATCAATATGAACAACCTCGCCGGTTCGTTCGTCAAGCAGGATGTTATGACCGTGTCGATCTCCAAGGCCCAGAACATGGCCCAGTATCGAAATTGCCGCTGTGCTTCGCGTGTACGAGAGTCTCTTGCCGAACCAGTCGTCTGGGTTGTTGAACTTCTCCATGAAGAAGTACTTCATCACGGGATGGAAATGCTCCGTCACTTGGCGGTATGTCCGCACACGTTGTTCAAACGACCGGGTCTGGACATCAGCGATGTGCTTTCGGCAAGCATTGGGTTTCATATCCTTCGGGAAGTATTTTTGGTGCGCAGGTATCAGGTAGTCATGCAGCGGAATGGTATGGGGCACGAATTCGATAATGCCGGCGTTAGATGTGAGGGGGAGCACCTTATAAGTGCGGATGCCCAGGTTCCGTTGGCGAGTGGCCTGGTGGTCCTTGAGAAGACTGCTAACTTGCTCGAATACTTGTTCCATGATCGCATCTTGCCGCAAGTCGTCGTTACCTCCCTTGAACTATGACAGAGTCAGTATGGATAGCAATTTAGGGTGGATATAGAAGTCTGACCAGCTGCTTGTAGCGGATCCCATTACTCGCAACAGCCGTGACTATCTTCGGTGCGCTGACACCCGACGCTACTGTGAACTCAGGGTGATACCGGACGAGCTTAGGCACATCGCTATAGTCACAATCAGCGCGGATATCGATATTCATCGTCGGCGGAGGCAGTCTTTGGGTCGCGGCGTCTTGCTCGAGGCGCTGGCCTGTCCCCAGTTTTCTCAAAGCCAACCTCGCGCCACTCTTCATCTTTTCATCGGGCCTGTCGATGGCGAATCGGACGTAATTGATGTTAGAGTTGTGCACAGCAACCCAAGTCGGCCCTATGCGTTTGTCGTTCTTCAAGTATTCAACCAGTTTGCCTGCTGCTCGGTTGCGCGACAAGGCGGAATGGTCCTTGCCGCCCTTGGACTTGCTGCTCGCGAATATCTGGTACATGCCGTGGAACGGATGCTCTACGCAGATCCGAAAGATCAGAGTAGAAAGCATCTTCTGGAAGTCATCTGAGACATCCAACAAGCGGGACGTTAGTTGGCTCATAAGGGGCGCGAACTTGCGACTCGGGACTTGGTCGATGTACTTTGACACCGCCGCATTCGCGATCTCATTGTCAGAATTGTCCAGCCATATTGCAAGAAACCGGAGTGTATCGTTGTTGTGGGCTTCGCTTTCTTGAAGGCAAAGAAGATAGTTTTCGAGACACTGCTGTAGAAAGGCTTCTCGGCTCCGTCGCAACCGCTGGTATTCTCGATCGTCAAGATCAAACCACTGTTTGGTTTTGATGCGATGGAATTTGAGCACCTCCCTTTCCTTTCCCTCGGCATTTTTCATCATGTCTTCCAGGGCTTGGATTTCTTTTTCTTTTCGGTTTCGAAGTTGTTCGACCCGCTTGAAATCTTCCAATCCATCGGGATTTTGCAACTGCTGGTCGCAAAACATCGCAAATCCGTGGTAGACACGCCCGGCCTCCTCACCTCCAGAGGCACGATTCTTCAACTCCTTGACGGCACTTGAGAGATACTCTTGGATAATGTACTCCGGCTTTTCTAGTCGCGCCTCTGCGACATGCGTTCCCTTGAAGCTGTTAGCGTTTGTCTATTATTCTTAGAGAAAGGGGTTGTACCAGTGTCACAAGAAGCTCAGCACGACTGATTGGAATTGCTTGTTTGTGAAGATCGTTCTGGTTCTTAAGCTGTTGGAGCATCTGAATAGATGCTGTCATCTCGCCTTGGTCCCACAGAACGTTGGCCAGGTCAAATTTGACAGCTCCTTCGACATTAATATCCTGCAACATACACTGTTGAGATAATTTGGACAGGCAGACGGCTGATTTCAGCGAGGCCTGCGGAATTCCATGACTCCTTGTAACTGCAAGAGACTGGCGAATGACTTTCACTTCCAGAAGTTGCGCATCGCGATCGCCGATATCGATGGAAGATTTGAGGTACGCCTTTTGCTTGATCGACGAAAACAGGGCCTCCTGGCAATTCAATATTTCACCAACCTCATTTTCACTATTCATGTTAGCATTTTGTTGAAATTGCTTTCACTTGCGTGACTTGAGTGCATACCTCGCTGTTTTTAGCCAGGAATTCCTGGCTGAGATCTTTTCCCACTCGGCATAGACCTCTTGAGCCGATCGAGCACTCAAGACATCGTTGATCTCAGTCATTACACCCAGAACTCGCATAGCAGTCCGTAAGGTCATGGCGGATCGGCTAGAGCTCGTCAATAATCCCAGAGTCGACAAGAGACACTCGTCCACCGAGGCGGACACTTCAGATAAAGTTCCGGATGTATTCAGATTCTGGAAGGCCCGAAAAACGGTAGCAGACGATGATGGATCCAAGGATGATACAGGTATATCCCACTTCCGCAAGCTTGTTGCAGCCTGCAACATATTTTCAAATCCAGAGGACGTGTCTTGCGTGCCTCCGGGTGCGGAGAATACAGAGCTGGCAAGCCCTTGAAGATTAGTGGAATTGAGAGCCTTGAGAACACCATGGGCGTTCGCACTTCCTGACATCTGTATATCACTGTCATACTGCGCACTTTGGAATAGGAGATTTTTGAAGCCAGAGCTTTCGTGTTCAAGCCGCTCCATGACGGAGGATAACGAGGAGTTGTGTTCAACGCCATAGAACAGATCTGGATCATCTATGTTTTTGAATATTCCATGAAGCATGTCCGGAGGAGCCTCGTATCTGGCTACAGATGATCGACGAGATTCAGTAATCGCACGAGAAGCTTGGATTTCGAGGAAAAGCAATGCTGTCTTTGGCAAGCGACATCGATTAGCAGCCGCTGACGCTTCCGCAAAATCTATATCGAGCCATTCGTCTCGCTCCCTTATCGTTGCCTCACCTGGCCTTGGCTGGTTTCGGAGGTAAAGGATGCAATTGATGACAAGCCGAGCGTGGGGTATGGTTCTATCATTCACCTCGCGCAGACCTTGTTTGAAGATCTCAGAGATTATTTCCCTGATATTCACGTCGCCCTGGAGGTCTGACAGAAGCACATCATGCAGGATATAAGGCATCGCATGGACGGCAAATTCAGGGACGGTATCCAACAGCCTGTCGAGTGGGCCGATTACAGGATCCTGCTGAGCTGCCTTGGACAAGAACAGCCCGATGTTGCGAGCCCACTGCGGGTGAGGGATGCTTGGATCCCAGCCAACCGCAACTTCCTGTTTTCGTTGTTGAACGGTGGAAGTAGTTATTGATGGGCACTGGTAAGGGCTCCAGGTAAGCGCCTTGATCAGCAAGCCAGGTATAACCTCTCCACAGCTTTCATGCTCTGGGAACCGCCCAAGGTTGCTGACAATAGACTGCAACGTTCGTTCGACAAGACCGACCTCCAAGTTACTGCTTCTTTGTAGCATATCACAGAGAACCTGGAGAATACTGGCTTTTGAATTATGCAAGATGTCCGCCGCCGTCAGAGAGGGCTGTGTGAATAAAGCAGGCTCCTGCTCTCTTAGCAGATCGTCGCTGATTTCACCAGTAATAGCAAACGCGCGACCCATTGCTCTAGCTGCCCACAATCGATACTCATTGCCAGATTCAAATTTCTGAAGAGTTTGATAGGCAGCAATAGCTTTAGAAACGGTGCCCTCATCCTCGCCAATTCGATCATGTCGAAACCCAAGTGCTCCTTTGGAATCAGAGCAAAGCAGTGATATTACATGATCAGCAATCGGACTACTCAATAGGCTCTTTTTCGAAATGCGGTCGGTCAATAGTTCAAGAAGCAGGTGACGTTCGCATGAGTCGCTCGGAATTTGGTCTTCGGAGTGTAATCGCTGAGAAAATTGCACCATACGTCGAAATGTGTCACCAACTTCGGTGCTCATGTCGGGAGGATTGTAATCGTTCAAATAATCCTCAAACCACAGCAAAAACGACTGTATCTTGGAACAGATTGCATCCCACTGGATTTCCTGCATTGGTTCTGCCGGCGAAGAGGTTGCAAAGGCCTTCAAGGATACCAAAGTTGATACCGCTATCCCTGCCATGGAATCAGGGTTCTCCCACAAATAGGGCCTCCCTGTCTCCAACAGGTACCATAGAATCCCCAAAGCATCCTCGGAGCAATGAACATCGGTCAGGTAAGGTCGGATCGCGTGAATTACCACTTCAAAGGGATAATCGCTCAGCATAACGGAGCCAGCCATGCAGACCAGGATGCGAATTTTCCGAATGACCGAACATGCATGTAGAGAACCGAGGGCTGGGTGGATCGACTCTAGCAATATTCGGCAGACATAAGAGGCGAGTGCGGGGGTCCATATAGTCTCAAGTTCGTAGCCGCTGCGTCTGCAGAGAAACTCAAGCTCATCAACAAGATAGCGAGCTCGAAATGACGGCTGTTGGTTTACAGGAAGAACAGCCTTCGAGGAACTCTTATTCATGACGTTTTTCATGACGCTAAGCGCACCTTGGAAGTTGCTTCGTTTCGAAAATGCTTTTTCAATCTGCTCGTGCTGATCAATTGACACAAAGAATGCAGCAATCATCCGAGGGAAGTTCTGGTCGATAAGTTCGAGGAATCTATCGGTCCCAAGTTGTACCTTCAGCCTGTTCTCCACGCCTCTGGGCTGAGAGCCTTGTCCAGGAGGTGTCGAGATGTCCCATGCTATACTGTATGCCTCTGCCTTGTAAAAGGAATCCGCCAGTAGCTCGACAAATGGTTTCCCCATATATCTTGATATCTCAGTGGCTTCTTCATCCTGGGCGCGCATCATGATTTGGCCGACTATTTCATCTTGAACATCGCTCAGCATGTCTTCAATGCTGGAGTAGCCGAATGTACTGTAAGGCAGTTCCGTGATCGACTGTGTTTCGCTCCATGTGTAGAGTACTTGAGAATAAAACAATCGAAACAATTCCTTCGCATTCTGAAGCCCAAGCGCCTTTGCAACATCGTACAGGCATCTTTCTGCGTAGAGAAGCGAACCCGGCGCTCGAGCTGGGGTTTCAAACATATGGTAAATGCTCCTTCGAAGTAATGTATGCCATCGAGAAGCCAGCTGTGCCAAGATAAAGAGACGGAGGGCGATTCCTTCAATCCAATCAGTATCCCGTGGAAGGCTTTCTAGGACGTCATCAAGTATGGCGTCGTGGTCTGTTAGTGGGAACCGGTTGAACAGCTGAGGAACTATATGCCCTGCGCTAAATTTCACCGGTATGTCGCCATCCTGAAGTATGGTGAAAAGGCTTGTGCGTGGCGATGGACTCGACTGGCCGCTTGTGTAATGGGGATCGAAACTGAGGATGCTTGCTAGAAGTTCAGCGAATGCAGTCAGGACTGGCGAAGAAGCCCTTCCCTTCGCTAGTAGTACATCGGTGAACCAACTATACAGATCCGAGGCAGAATCACGGAGATGGGTATCTTTCCCACTGGTCCATGACTTAACGAAACAGTGCATCATACGAATGCAAAGCAGATGCGATGTCTCGCATCGCTCCGTCTCGTATGACTGAAGACATTTTTCACCGAGATCCTCTAGCAGCCTAAGTAACAAAGGGTAATCCATCCCAGAGCATACTTGGTATACACGAGGTAAAAAATCCCAAGCAGACAGAAGATCGGCTTCATCAAGGTCTATTAGGTAGTCGACTAAATCTTCATTGCTTGATTCTGTCGATGCGTGTATATTCAGAAACACGGAGAATCGGATGGTCATGCAGCGCTGAAATGTGGCAAACTCGTAAAACAATGGAACCGCTTCTCTGTTCATATTGATGATAGATTTCGTCTCGGCCAATGGGTCCCCGGAGGTCGACAATGGATCATCCAAATCCATGACCTCGCCTTGGCGAGAAAAGCAATCCTTTTGGTTTTGCCGCTGGTTTTCGAGAACGCTGGTGAATGGAGGCAGTAGTCTGCAGAGGGCTTTGGGGATTGTACTTTGCGAATCTGAGACCAAGCATTCTGGGCCAAGGAGTGAAGAGAATAGCATTAAGCAAGCCTGAACGTATTCGGGTTCACGAGAAGATATAAATGAGCAGATGCTTTCCCACAGTTGTTGGATTTTCTGTTGCAATCCTTCAACCCTCGGGGTGGATTTCTGCGGCAGAGATTCGGTATAGAGTGCAATGACCATACAGGAAGACGCAAGTATTTGCACAATATCCACTGTTACATGGTGCGATTTCCCTTCAGTGACCGATTGCCACGTCTGTAAGAATAAGTCGGTCTTGACTTGCAACAAATCCAAGATGACATTGTCGTTTGGCTCTTGTCGTGTATAGGGGCCCAAGGAAAACGTTTCTGTTGAGTCCCACAGGTCGATATGATCTACAGCCCCTCCCACGTCAAATATGTAATTGATGAGTTGCTTATTCCTATGGCAGAAATGCCATCCTCGAGAAATAAGGCCGACCGGACCATCGAATGCAGAACTTGGCAGATCAAATGACCTATTAGTGCAAGCCAACAGCAGACCCAGGAGATTCAAGGGACGTGCAAATGTAGCAAGCTGGGCGGTTTGCATTCGGTCAGTCATTGTCCCTATATTATGGTTAGAAATATATGATATACAACCGTGCCAGCCGATATTGGGCAGACAAACCAATGACCCAAACCTCTCGTAGCCATGCACAGATTTGCTTAGAAGCGTTTGAGATGAAGGCCGGGTTCATCTGCGCTGTCATCTGAGATATTGTCACCCAGAGTCCCAGAGACGAATCCGACATAGTAGAAGGGCTGTTCAAGTTGACAGATGATAACATCGAACTCGTTGTTTCTGCGATGACAGAGTACTCTAGAAGACTGTTTCGGAGGATATAGTTCATGAGGTTACAAGCAGCCCTGGAAGTAGACTGAGTGGTTGAGGCACGAGATGTAAGATCCCAAACCTGCTGCCAGCATGTCTTCAAGGAAGGCGAACGAGCCTCCGGACTACACGCATAACTATTGTCATCGTACTTCATCAGCCTATATCTTGCGAGCGAGCGAGAAGAGGCCTACCTTGTGATCGCGACCATCGTCCAGGAAGATACGGCAGCATTGTCATCCAGTATACAGGGTACCAGCCGCTGAAGGTGTGATTCTATGGTGTCCGTGTCCGAGAAGTGTCGGGTGAGGAACGGGATTAATTGTAATGCGCAAACCCTTCTTCCTCCAGATGAGGTGGTGGAGTCACGAATAATATCATCCATCGTCGATGTAATACGCTGCTTTTTTCTTGACACTTCGTCCGGAATGCGAGGATGCGATAGCTTCGCAGATAGGTCTTCCGACAACTCCAACAAATTCGCCATTGCCCATAACAGAGTCCAGTTATGTTCCGATTTGGGGTTTTCCATGCGGGGGTGCATTGGGAGCCTATCTTTATGCACGGTCATCTGTCGGCAGAAGATCAAGTCGTCGATCTGTAGTGTATCCTTTTCTGATCGCCTCGTATACTCTAAAAGTAGTGTATTAAGAAGACCCTTTATCAAGCGCCCGAGCGATTCCGATGGTTCTTTTCGGGTTGCATCAGTCAAGATGATCACACAAAGCATCGTCGTGACGAGCAATTCATCTTTCAGAGCGGGAAGCTTAGTTGTCCACATCTGCCTGATTATTGGAACCATATCCATCAGGAAAGTCCGAGAAAACTCGGATTGGCCAAACAGAATTCTCATGATGATAGTATTGATGCAATTAAACGCAGCCTGGTGTTCATTTCCGGCAATCGTGGACGACTCCACGAACTCAGCCAGCCCACCAAGGATCCGGTTGGCAGAATCTTTAATTGGTGCGCAGGGATTTGCAAGCAGCGACTGGATACATACCACGGCTTCCCCCGAGGCCCTCCTGTCACCGTGTGTCTTCTCCCTGACTGTAAGTGCGGGCGTTCTCCTCGATTGTGCCGGACTAGCACTGGGAGTCCCCAGGTACTCATCCAGAGTAGAGAGACGATCACGACGAGTGCTCGATTGGCTCCCATCGTCATCTTCGCCATGAATTACCCTGAGACAGAAGTCCATCAATTTCTCCCACTCGCCGGTCCCTAGATGTTCAACATGCGGGCGGTGTTGTAGGAGATTAGACAGGCATTTTGTATAATCCAGACTCAAAAGCTCCCAGAGGCCGTTCCTCGGAGCCAGCAGAAGCTCCGCGATGTGATCAACAATGGCGCGAATTGACTTCGTACGCAAATTAAGCAGGAGCACATCAACTGCCGTTCGAAGGACAGAAGCACCTGTAGATAGACGAGGAGCTGCTTTCGAGCTCGCCCGATTGAACAACGCTTTTTCTGCGGATACGAACCGAAAGATGGATTCAAATAATCTATGGCAGGCCTTGTCGTTTAACGAGGTCCTAGTGTTGCGCAGAAATTAATATCCATCGCCATTCCCAGTCAGATATACACATACAACTTGGAACTCTGTCTGTTCTGCTGTAGAATATGCTTGAGGTCTAAAACACATCAATCTAAAGCCACATAAAACCAACCATCAAGAAGGCCGCATGAGACCTCACGCATGAGACATACCAGCCAAGCCATCTGTGCGCTCTTTCTGCTTCTCTGATGAGAGCAGGCTGAGTGCTCTATCTAGAGTGATTTCGCCCATTATGGTGGGTCCACTCGATGCGAGGTGAGAAACGGCGTAATTTCTCGAATAAAACCGTTAATCCATGCTGGAATATTTCAAGACTTTGTTTCCATTCTCATCATCATCAATAACCCACGGAGCGTGACGATAGATCACAAATCGCATTGTTGTTGGGTCCAGCTGCGGTGGTTGGTGCAGGTCGGCAAGCTAAGCAGCTCCTCCGCCCGCCTTTCAAACTAGGCGGAGTTTTGATTGTCGTTTCTCCGACCTTTTTTGGTTGTCCGCCCAAACAGCTTCTTTTCCCTTGTACCTTACCCTCTCTCAACCCCACCCACTTTCTGCAAAATCCAAACCAACGTTGAGGATGGAGGAAAGGGATAGTTTGGTCGGCCTTCGGGGCCTGTACCAGGACCTTTCTGCTGTTTCCGACCCCTCGTTTGTTCACATTGAGCGCCTTCGGAGTGAATTGGAGATCCACATCCAGGATTTCCGAAAACTCCTTGACAAGCCCACGAAAAGCAACTCGAGTCGCCAGATCGTTCTTGCAGGTGAGTTCTTAGCAAGTGCCCTAGGTTGAGTATAGGACAGATTGCGCAACCTCTGCGGGATGGTGTACGGTGCTGATGTCTGTCTCGTCGCAATCCAGGAAATATTTCGGTGAACGATTCCGAGTACTCGATCAACGAGGAATTTCAACAAGGAGCATTACAGTTGGCGGACGCGCTGGATATCGATGAATTACACGCGGCAGTATTGTTTTTTTTCGCCCAGGAAGATGCCCAGGTGCTGGACAGACCCCCTCTTATTGCCGCGATTATGCGATTCCACGAGCGACGCCTCTTCCTCCTCGAATGCCTACGCCTCATCCTCCAAGAATCGTTCGAGGTGGAACGAGAGATGACACAGGTGCTGATGCAGGAGATGGTGGCATTTGTCCTAGAAATAAAAAATGCTCCGCTCCGGAATGCGTCGCTGTTCACTCGGAAATGCATGCAGTCGATGGAGGATATTGAAAAGTGGCTCTCGCTCCTGGGTGAACAGATTCAGAAGGCTTCCATTGTCGGACAGTCGGAGGATGTGGATGTTATGGAAGCCATTGAGTACCAACGCACCAGCTTACAGCAACAACATGAATCTCTGGGCGCAACTGTATGCTACTTGTTCAAAGGGCCTTACACCAGCCCGGAAGATCTCCGGCTACTGTTGAACCGCCTCAGGAAACTGGAACGTTTCGATGCATTGCTTGTGCACTATGTTCCGTCGGTCATCTCTTCTTTCGTTCAACATGGGTCACCCGAAAATTCGGCCTCATACAAGGAGGCTAGAAGCCTAAACACAGCCATAGTTTCGACGAAAGATGGCCAAACGTGGGCCCTCTCGACTTTCCACTCGGCAGTGATTGCGCTTTGGCTTGCAATTTACAGTGGGTGGGATATCGACGGCCCATCTTCGCCCGTCCAGGGCGTAGACTTGGAAAAAGAGGCCGAAGACCGTACAAAGACTTTCATGACGGCGCTCGACGATGGCGGACTGGATTTTATGCTCGCCATATGTGCGGGTGTGAACAGTGAGGAATGGGCTGATCCAGCTCGCAGCGAACTAGTGTCCCTGCTGCTGAAGGAGAGCGCATCGGCCGTGCTTGAGGCAGATCCCTGTGCTGGGTATTTGAAGAATCTTCTCATGGAGAATTTCGAGGTCTTTGCAGAATCTTGCATTGCGAACATGCCAGATGCCGTTCGAATGTTGAAGTTTGAGGAGGACTTGCAGAGACTGGACCACCTCACGGCGCTTAGAGACGGTCTGACTTCCAACCCTCACCGCGGGCTTGTAGAAGCTCGGACGCATCTGGAGACTTTCCTTATGGTCATGGCCTTTTCCTTCGAGCAGCGACCGGATGCGGCCCAGGAGTTCTGGGCTGACCCGGATGGAAACCTCTACGGCTTTCTCCAGTGGGCGTCGAAGAGACAAACTGTCCCCCGGGTGAGCGCTTTCTGCGAGTTGCTGTGCTCTATATCCAACGGAGAGGAGAACTCGTCGGCAGCACACAGATTCCTTCTCGAGGAGGACAAGTTTATGGCTGGGAAATTCAAGCGCACCGCCTCGATGAACTGGTCGCAGATGTTTGCCGAGCTTCAACTTTACGCGACCAGAGTCACCGAGAAACACCCGACGTCCCAGGGAGTCCATCTGGCGAGGAAGTCGGATGCAGCCGATATGAGCGAACCTGAGAGCCCGGTAATGCTGACCTGTTATCTTCGCTTGATGGGACACTTGTGTAGGCAGAGCTTGGCTGTGAGGAACTGGATGCTTCAACACCCCGACGTCCACATCGTTAACACTCTTCTGGCGCTGTGCAGCGGGCCGATTCCTACTCATTTGCGAGCCACGGTGTTCTCCACCCTCGCCGCTTTCATGACTGACAGGACATATCACAATGGCAATGAGATGTGGCTTGCTATTGACCACTGGATCTCCGGTGTTTCGACTACTGCATCGGGACTTGGAAAGGTCCCGATAGTCTCAAACCCGCTCGTATGGCACGAACAGCAAGCTTTTCAAAAGATCGGAGAGAGCTTTGACCAAGCCAACGCCTTTGTGACTCTACTTTGCTCGCTCGTCTCGCCGACACCCGATTTGGTCGAATTCCATATGTCGTTGCCCTTCCCTGAGTCCCTCGGTGCTTCTTATCGAATGCCTGGCATAGAGCCCTACGTCGACTTCATTATGGGCCAAGCACTGTCGAGGAAGGTTCCGGATCTCACTGAGCGTCAAACCAGGTTGCTAACTTACAACTGTTTGGAGTTTGTCGCGACCTGTCTCCGGTCATTCAACGAAAACATCGTGACTGTCCTCAGCCAGCCGACAATCTCGGTCGATACCGTTCTGAAGACATCGTCATTGTTAGCCTACATCCGCCTGCATCCGTTTGCACGAGTAGCTGAATGGCTGTTCAATGAAGATGTTATCAAGACCATCTTTGCCACGGCTCACCAAGATACTGCCGAGGTAGCGAGAGCGTCTGGTGATTCGGTATTGGTCCTCTCTTTGGTCAGAAGTCTTGAAGTCATGGACTTGATCATCGATCTTCAGTCCACGTATTTCAACATCGTGCGGCCATTGATCAAGTCGCAAGCCGGCGGAAACCGTGTCAATGTGGCCAACTCCGCGCTTTCTGCCTTCGAGGACAGCATCCTAAACCACTTGAGTATCATCCCAGCGTTATGCCTTTACTGCAGCACCGCACACGAGCCGCTCATAGTCATGTCCATGGGCCTTCTGGAGAAGCTGTCAAGTTCCACGAAGTTAAATAAGGTGTCATCTCCGGAATTGTCCAGGTGGCGCCCGTCAAACAAAATTGTTGAGGTACTTGGTACGGAGGTCGATGTCGACAGTGTGGCACGGCCACTCGTGTCCCAAATGCAGCCAGAGGAGAGGGAACTCGAGTCAGGCCCGGTGGCCTCGGGATATCTGATCAGAAAGAGCTTACTGGCACTTTTGAATAGCTGTCTGGGGACGATAACAGATCGGCCAACGGTCGCTCATATTCTACTCGGTTTCAGCAGCATCGGAAATATGCTTGATGTCCCCTCTAAGGGTCTTTTTGCCGACGGGGTGTCCTTGTTGCACGCTGTTATCGGCTTTCTTCGGACCTACCCAGACCAAGTGGATGGGAGCATTCTCTCTTGGATGGTGCATATCAGACGCATGGCTGCAGAAGTTTTGAAACATCTCTGGTCTTCCAAAATTTCCGCTTACTTCACTCTCTCTGCGATGCGAGCTAGCCAGTTCCTCCCAACCGTTCTGGGCAACCAACCCATAATCGGGCCGAGCACTCTGTGGAATGGCCTACCCATTCTTGCAGACGAGTTCTGGGTCTCCGACGCCACAGTTGCTCTCGCCGAGTTTCTCCTATTCAGGAGCTACTTGTATGAGTACGCGGCGACTGAAATCCGTTCTTCCGCCAAACTGACTTCGCCAACCCTTCGGGAAGAGATCACCTCGGTCCTGCTTGGAACCTCCACCTTAGAGACCGGCGAGCTGATTCCCAACCCCACCGTTTTCGACCTCTTTGATTTTGCCGACTTGGACACTGGGTATCAGTTGGCGCCCCCGCAATTGGTGCTGCTGGACAACCTGGGGATTGACGTGTGTGCGAGGCCAGAAGCGGGTGGCTCGCTGATCCTTCACAACGTCGCTGAAGTTGAAGAGTTAATACAAGTCCGAAAGGAGGAGTTGCTGATGAACGGACAGTTCCGGCCTCAGGATGAAGAGCAGTTTCTGGCCGAAGCAGAAAGCTTGACGGTGTTCGTACAGTCAACTAACCAGTCCAAGACAATCAACCACAATCGCTATCTGGCTCTTCGGTCGTGGACAGAGCTCGTTACGACCATGCTCACTTGTTCGGGGATTGAAGGTGGCCAGAAACTAACCTTCATATTACACTCCATCCAGCTAGTCCTCCCTAAGCTCGAGGTTGCCATCGAGGATGGTCTCCCTGAGGCTATCGAATTGGCGCGACTGGCGGAGACTCTGGTTAGCAAACTGGACTCGGCCATCCCGCAAGTGAATTCCACCCGACGAAGCGGAGACATTGTCGACGAGAAGCTCTACCAGTTGTTCCAGGCCTGTATCCGGGGCATCACCATGGCCACCGGCGATATCAATCTTCGGGAGACGTTCTACAACATCTGCTCGCACTATGTCATGCGAATAATCTCCCCTGACACCGCTCGCGACAGTATGAGACGTCACAGTCAGCAGGTCATCAAGACCGGGGGCGCCAATCTGGTCGAAGCCATCTGCGACGATGCATATGCTGGCCAGGAAACGTGCCGCGTTTCGGCTCTCTTGCTCCTCAACCTGTTGGCTGCTCTAGATAGAGAAACCGATCCGATCCTGGTCGAGCTCATCTCCGAGTCCAACTACCTGAGCCTTTTCTTGGACGCGATCCGGACTTTGCCAGTTGATCTTCGAAGTGCCCAAGCCAGTGGTAAGCCACCCCCGTGTCTAATTCCAACGTTCCCGACCTCACTAACCCATGTCTCCAGATACCCCTCTCTTGTTGTCTTTCTACGAATCTCTGTTGTCTTTACTCCAGCAGCTCTGCCAGACGAAGAACGGTGCCATTCACGTCTTGAAAGCCGGCCTTTTCGAGGCCGTACGAG